GAAAAGGATAAAAAAAAATAAATAAATCGGGAAAATATCACGAGCAAAAATGATCAAAACCCATTCCAAATTTCCCGGCTTATGCGTCCTTTAGCCCATGGGGTCACACCTGGATGTATGAAGTTTAGGCCAATTTTCAGCAGTCTTCCCACCAGTACCCGACGACATCATTGAGTACGAGCCAACCAACGCCAGTTTAATCTTGTAGGATAATGTTTAACATTGTATCATCCACTTTTTTCCTCTCGAAAAGCAAGTGTGTCGAAACTTTGTCTGGGACTGACATCGACGACGGAACTAGCTCGAGTCTCCTGTGCCTCGCTCATGGCGTATTGAAAGCCGTCGACAACCGGGTTAGAGCCATCGTTGTCATCATAAGCTGGAGGTTCAGAGCAGCCATCGTCGCTTCGGTAGCTAGGAAGGCTATCTGTCCGGACAAGGCCACGAGGGGATGCTCGGCCTTCTTCGGCTTGAACCATTGAATGAACGACCTCGTGCGTATTTTGAAGCTGTGCTATCTCAGCCTGCATAGCAGCTTCGAGAAGCGCCTCCTGAGAAACGACAAGTGCTCTCTTCTCTTCATAATCAAGTGGTCGGGGACCACCGCGACTGTACCACCACTCGCGCCATGCTTGTCTGCGGGCTGCGCGGCGATACTGCCGTGCCGCTCTTCGTTCCTCCCGGCGCTGGCGACGACCTTTGCTGCAACACGATTTCCCACAGCATTTACGGAGGAAGAAAACAATACAGCCGAGGCCTATAGCGGACGCAAAGATTTGCAAGCCTAGTATGACTCCGCGGAATGGGCCATGATGACCTTCTCCTCCAAAATGCGGTCTGTACTTGCGGTGGGAAGGGAAATGGCCACCCTCATCATCGTGCCAAGGGCCGCCAGCGAACTTCGGTGGCCTATTATCCTCGAAATGGGGGGGATATTCGCCATCGTGCGAATCGGGAGGCAGGCCATGAGGCGGAGGCGGAGGGAAAGGACCTTCATGCGGGTGATCGCGATGTGGTGTATCAGGTGGATGACGATGGTATGCTTGGTCCGTTCTATTGCCATGGCATGACGGACGTGCCCCAGCCTGACCTCTTGGGCCCCAAGACCAGATTGAGGTTCCAGAGATTTCGGGGTTCGACAATTCTGTGTTTGACATTGGTCGGATCCTGAATGAGATGATCTTCACTGCGCCATGCACTTGATGCAACATGGCAGATGCAATGCACTTGATATTGTTGCATTGCTTGATCTCTTCTCGCAGAGATTTGAGTTCTTGCCTCATCTGCGCGCGAACTGCGTCTTCCTTGGATTTAATCATGTGCTTGAGCTTCCGCGCTTGGTGCTTCAAAAGTCTAATTTCTTCGAGTTGCTCTTCAATTGAGAGAGATTCATGGTCCCCCTCAGTCGTGTTTCCAACGCCATCAGGAGACCAAAATGAATCAGGTGTAGATGAAAGCCATTGGGAAAGGTCTTGAGTTGATTCGGAGGGGTCCAAAGAGAGACGAAGCAATTCTGCATGAGGATTCTGTTTGAAGAGAATACTAAAACCGAGTGGCTCCGAGAGCCCTTGAAGTTTTGTTCCATCAATCTCCTGAACAGTAAGAGAGAGTACTTGGGCTGGGCTTTTGTCATGGTCGAAGCTGTCGTCATCAGTAGCGTTGGAGAGGCAAGAGACATGCCACTCCGCTGCAAGTTCGCCAAAGTTCGATTGGGCGTCATCAGCTGGCGTAATCACTCCTTTTCCGGAAGCGCTGACCCCTTCCCAATCCAATGCCAAGACTCTGTTGTTGATGGTGATGTTGCTCACCCCGCAACCACGCTCGGCCGGAAAGGCTTGAAGATCGAAGAGCTACTATGCATGAGTATAACAATAATTGGGAACAACGACGTCACTTGAAAGATCAAAAGAGAAAATGCAGGGGAATTTCATACAAGCTTAGCATCATTTTCATCTTCCAAACAACTATTACAGTTGAGCTGAATCTGCGCATGGGCGTGACTCCCGTCTAGATCCCATTAGTTGTCATATCTAAGCTAAAAATGATCGAGGACAAGAAATAAAAAAATTTTTATGTACCGTAAAAAGTTACGGGTGACTCTACATCTGGGACTTTGCCATTGGTAAGGTCGGGCGATAATCGCTCAGGAATTGCCAAGGCCGAAACAACGACCGGCGCCAGAAAAGCTGTTGCCTTGTAAAAGGCCCGCATGTTTGTGGATCCCAAGGCAGCCTCTTGAGAAGGTGAGAATAATTGCCACGATGAAAGAGAAAAGAAAAAACCGTGAGAAAGAGCAAAACCCCCAATCTGAGGAGGCTGATGCCTAGAATTGGGGAAGTGAAGCTTATCTGGTCACTGGGACATACGCGTCAGCCTAGCTGACAGGGGCTGCGGGGTGAATCCGTCGGCATTTGGTTGCACAGCCTACCCGCTCGTCGCCGTCGACCCGTCCCCGTCCGAGAATCCCAAGCAACGTGGCTTTTGAACATTATCATTTCTGATCATATCTTTTGATATGTAAGATAAGTTATGAAGAGGAGAAACCCTAACGTATGATCGACCCGGTTTTTAGCCCATCGCTTGCTCTATGGTCTGTATAACATCATCATTACACATTGCATTACAGTGAATATTCAGCCTTATGATTCCACGCGAGAAGAGAAATAAGCAACGTATAATTATTGGAAATTAGGGGGGGAAAAAACCCTCAATAATAAATATAACATACATTTTTTAAAATAATTAAATAGCTAATCTTCAAGAATATAGTTGGATCTGCTTGATTTTATTTTGCTGCAATCATATTAAACTACGCGTCAGAGCCTAGACCTCGGCTTAACTGAGGTCAGAGACCCTGGCGTCCGACGATATTGATCACGTGATTGATACCCCAACTTTCCACGTCCCCATTGTCAACAAACTGTCTCTGCAACTCAATGACATGCCTGTGACAAAAATTGCCATTGATGGGCTGTGGCACTGCCTTTGCCCTTCTATAGAAGCGGCTGGGGCTTTGAGATCTTCTTTTGGCCGCGTACCATCTCGTCGCGCTCTCTTGAGACGGTCCTCCTCCATTCCCTTCCCCCGCAATGCTCCCCACACTCAGCGGCGCTTGTTCAGCAGGACAATACGCAACCCAGAACAGGCCTCTGCTAGTAGTACTTTCAATGTCTCATCATACGAGCAGAACTCAGTCGATCAATCAACAGTTTTATCTGGGGAGTCTCTTGCTTCTGAATCGACAGAGCATCTCTACGAAGTGCTTCGCTCTGCCGCCGCACAAGGACAATATGAACGAGTGTTGGAGCTGGTCAATTACCTCGTGAAGCATCGGCACGAGGAGCCAAATCTACGACTTTATTCTGCACTACTTTTAGCCAACGTGGATCCAAACCATGGCATAGCTACTCGTATAACAGCAATACTCGACGAAATGAGCCGAGAAAGAATCGGCGCGGACTCGGGTTTCTACCACGCTGCTTTAAAGGTAAAATACTATCGCCATTGAAAATTACAATCTTCTGCAATTGAATTGTTTCTCAAACTTAATTCACATAGGTGCTTTCCATTCATCCTGATCATCTCCTTCGTCAGAGAGTACTGCAGGAAATGCGCCAGCGTTGGTTCGTCATTACTGTCGACGGGCGGCACGACATCGCGGCGGGTCTTTTTCGTGAGCGGCAGATTGAACTTGCCTTGAACTATCTCGATTCAATGCGACAAGAAGGCATCAAGGTGCATGGCTGGCTCTACGATTTGGCCATGTATATCCTCTGCGATATGCAAGAGTTTGACCAAGCTTTGAAATTCATCCAGGCACGCGTTGCCGCCAAAGATATTGACATTTCTTCCCATACGTGGTACTATCTGCTTGATACAGCTAGTAGTTACTATCACGTAAGCTAGCCCTCTGTCTTCCTTTTTCCTTTTTCCCTTTTTTTCATCATTTCATACAATCGATACTAAACCGCCCGCAGTACGACGCCACACAATACGTCTGGAAATGGCGTGTTGAGACACTACACATCAATCCTCCCTCCGGCGTGTGCATCAACGCTCTCGCAACCGCAGCACGCCATGGCGACGCCGAACTTGCCACGGACGTATTCCGCGTCCTAGGCAACCGCTCTACGCACTTTGAACTACACCACTACGAAGCTTTACTAGAAGCCTACGCTCGATCCGGGGACCTGGAAACCTCCTTCAAGATTCTCTGCATCATGAAGACAGCCAAAGCCGAGCCCGAAGAAGCCAGCACGCGACCCATCTTCGAGTACTTGTGCGAACATCCCCCCGATGAACTCGATCATGCTCTGAACATTCTGACGGCCCTGCACGCCGAGAGACGCATCATCCCAACTCCAGCATATAACGTGATTATCGAAGCATACATCCACCATGGCGACCTAGCAGGGGCAGTGGAACGGTACAAGCGACTACATACCCTCTGTGCTGCCGGCCCGTCCACTGCCACGTTTAATATCCTCTTGCGCGGATGCAGAGACGCCGGGCGCAAAGACGTGGCCATGTTCCTCGCGTCTGAAATGCTCGCGATGAAAATTCGGCCAGATGCGTTGACGTACGATCGGCTGATCCTCGTGTGTCTGATGCAAATGGACTTTGAAGACGCGTTCAAGTACTTGCAGGAAATGAAAATCCATGGTTGGAAACCACGCCAGGGCACCCTTGTCGCCGTGGTCAAGAAATGCGTTGCCGTCTCGGATCCGCGGGCTTGGTCCTTGCTGGAAGAAATGGCGGCGACTGGGTTCGACACAGTCTCGTTGGAGAAATGGGTCACGGCGAATTGGATGGATTATTCAAGTCCGAAGAAGGGCGCAGTGTCTGGGAAATGATTGCACGGGGCGGTGGAAGGGGCTTTCTGCGCCGTTATATCATTGCTCGACGCTGATTCATCATTTCTCCGTACTGGATTATCATTGCCGACACTGGTATATACACATTTTACTTGAAACACGTATTCTGCAATATTCTGCATTATTGGGCAGCGCTTGAAGCACGGCTACCTGCTATCCTCGTAAAGTGAAATCCAGCGCCAAAATTCCGACCAATATAACCAGCATAAAAATGCTCCTAGTGCAGGTGTAAGATCCTCCCAGACCGCTGGCTTCTCCTTGCCGGCTTGCGTAGGAATAAGAAGAAGAGGAAAAAAGTTAATCCAAAATCAAAATAATACATGAAAGGAATCGGAAATCCTATACATGATGAAACTGTTCGAACCTTGTCCGATTCAATCGCCGTAAACCACCGCCTTTCCTTGGAGGGTGAGAAGTATTCATTCCACAATATCCATCCAGAAAAATAATCATCCGCCAACAAAAAAAGGGCAAGGGGAAACAAATAAGATAGAAAATATCAGAACAAGAATAAAAAATAAGAATCAGTAATAAGAACAAAAAGAACAAAAAATAAGAATGAATAATAAGAATAAATAAGAATAACAAAAAGGACAAATAATAAGAAAAAATAAAGAATAAAGAAATTATACATTCTCCCTGTGCACCGCCTGACCAGACAACTTGACATCCTTTTCATCTTCCTGGCCAATGCCATCGTCATCTAGATCTGTGCCTGCACGAGCACCCGGTGCGGCTAGGGGCGCAGGCGAACCAACTCCGAGTCCGTCTTCAAGATGGCGACCAGCACCAAAACCAGAACCACCATCGCTCCCAGCGCCACCAGCACCAGCAGCAAGCGTAGCGCCAGCAAGGCCATGAGCACGCAGGGCATTGTCAACATTGACTCTGCCCGCTGCTTCGGCGAGATCGTTATCGTACTCTGCACTCATCTTGCGTCCGAGCTTCTCGGGGCCGAGGAAGGTGAGGATAATGGTATACGCGTAGACGCAGCCCATGAAGATGCAGATGACTTTGCCGTACTGGTAGCGAGTTTCCGAGCCCTTACTGGGCAAGGGGAAGCGTTCGCCGATAGTGGCTTCAATGGTCGACGAGGCGGACGAGACCAGGTTGCCGAGCTGGTAGGACGTGCCGACGACAAAGGTGCGGAAGGAGCCCGGAGACAACTCCATGAGATGGATGGGGATCACGCCCCAGGCGCCCTGCACGCAGAATTGCTGGAAAAAGGCAGCGGCGATAACGCCCTTGTTGGAGACGAATGTGTAAGGGTACAGCAGGGCGCCGCCGATGACGCAGATGAAGATGATGCTGAACCGGCGCCCGAAGATCTGTGAGGAATAGCCGATGGTCGTGCCGCCGGCCATGGCGCCCAGGTTGGCAACGACCTGCGTGACGGTGACGGCGTTGGCGGAGAAGTTGTATTGGTTCGTGAGCATGGTTGGGTAGAGATCTTGAGAGCCGTGGGACTGCGGAAATGAGTTAGAGGAATGGAATGGAATGTACGATTTGAGATGTTGGTGGGGTGGCGGACAGAGATCAGAGAGAGAGAGGGGAAGGGATGGAAACTGGACTAAGGGGAGGGGGGAGGATATACCATAAAGTTAAATCCAGCCATGAGAAGAACCAGATAGATGAGAAGCAGCCAGTGTCTCTTCAAAGCGACGCGGCCTTCGGAGATGAATGTCTTCCCGATATTTCCTTTTTCGTGACGCACTTGGTGGCGTTCCCGGTAGGAGCGGGTCTCTGGAAGACAAAGCCGGAAGAGAATGATGAGGACCGGTGGGCCCGCGCCGAACCAGAAAAGCGGGCGCCAGCCGTGGCTGGTCGTGTTGACAAAAGCGCGAGAGAAGACTGTCGCGAGGAGATATCCAAAGGCGTATCCCTGCTGGAGCATGCCAGAAATGATACCGCGAGCGGCTTCGGGGCAATCCTCGAGAGCAGTCGCCGCGGCGTTACCGTACAGACCGCCCATGGCGATGCCAAAAAGCGCTCGCACGGCCAGAAACTGCTTGTAAGTCTGGGTGAAACCAGTTCCAAGCTCGAGGGCAATGAAAAGAATGTTGTTGATAATGAATGGCCATTTGCGCCCATATCGATCAGCAGCTAGACCAAATGCAATGGATCCAACAGATCGCAGCATCAGCACAAGCGTGATGCCCCATGTTATGTCGGCTTTGCTCTTGTTAAATGATTTGGCGAGATCGCTGACAGTTAAAGATACAGTGAAAAAGTCGAATGCGTCCCATGTCCAGCCACAAAAAGCAACCTGGGTAAAAAGCAATTATGAGTTAATGATTTCTTTCAAATTGTCCGGTCAAAAAGAAAAAAAGAGGTAGATACGTACCAAGAAGAACAGCCATTGTTGGACATTTAAAAGGGCGAGTAACTTGAACGGATTAGGAGCCTTGGCCATTGGGGGCTTCAGCGTGGGAACCCGAGTCGCTAGATAGCGAGTGATGCTGCTGGCTTTGCCTTTGGCCGCATCCTTGAGCGGCGGCGGCGACGAGGACCCGCCCTGGGCATAGCCTTTCTCTCCTTCAACCTGGCCCTCCATGGTGATGCGGGGTTGAGGTCTGCAGCATAATTTATTAGCATAATGGCGTTTTGATTTGGATGTAAAAAAAATATGCGCTTTTTGGAATTTTTTTTTATCAATTATTGAAGCTCTGAACATTTATTTAGGCAATGACCAGCTTCAATAATTGCTACAGTCCACATTCTTGAGCAAAACTCCAAATGGATAGCTCCACATAGTATACCAAGACAAGGCGGCAAATGAACAAAGACCCGAAACAGCTCAAACTTACATTAAATTGAATCACTTCTCGCGTTGTGAACAACAGCTGCCAAACCAATTTGCCAGAATTCCAGCAGCTCAAGGCGATCGTGACAGAATGACTTGCTGCATCAAAATGCCACTGCGCAGTGGTTGCGACTCTCAATGCAACGGTGGGAACAGCCAAGGCTTTATTTATCCCGGGGCTGGCCAAGGCCAATCCCCAAGATGACACCCAAGCTCGGTCCCAGCTTGGCCTGGCCCCATTACCGCGATACAAAGCTTGGCCTCATAGTGTGTGGGAATGCATGAGGTAGAATGCCGTACAATGTGCCCGGGGAGGATACATTACGCAAGGGCCGGGCGGGGGTGCCGAAGGGCAAAAACCTCAAAAGACTTGCCCTTCTTCAGGTCCTTTTTTCTGGCTTTTCCCTCGTTCTCGCTGTTTCACTTCTCCCGGATTGAAGGTTTGGTGGGTAGAAAGGTTGATACTAAGTTACTTTGGGAAAAGGAAAAGACAGCTTTTGATGGAAAGACGCTAAACCCCGCATTCTCCCATCCCCAGAGACCCACATTATCTCCACTCATCTTTCTGGGGAAAAGCCAAGCCCCATAGCAATATGATCCCGAATATGACGCAGAAATACTCAACGACACAAGAAGAACGGGAGGTAAATTAATCCATGAAACTGACCTTCAACTAAGACTTCTTTTCTCTTCCGTGTTATTTTCTAGACATGATTATGCCGAGCCTTTATGTTCCGAAAGGTAGATCCGTTTGGGCTCAACAGATTAGGGGGGACGGCAGATCAAGAGCAGGGGTTTAGCATCCAAAAAGGTATTAAATTGATCAGGGGAGACGAGCAACACTAGATATCAATGACGGCAAGGAATGGACATTTTGGTGTGGGGCATAGTTAGTCTAACGGGACAAGTTTGAAAGGCAGCCAGACCGCCAGACGGCAAGTCACACTTGTCAACCGGAAGACGTTTAAGCCCTCCTCTTCTTAGCGCGATCCACTTTGTCTTTTCTGTCGCCCGTTCGGCGCACCAGGTTGAGGTAGGTAAGACTCCAGAGGTCAGCCATACACAGCTTCGTATCTTGGCGGCGACGGCGGCGGCGGCACACACGGCTAGGAGCATGGGATATTTACCACGCTTGCTCAGCTGCGGATTTCGCTCGGCCGGATCTGGTCGGAGCCGGGCGAAAGGGAGAAAGAAGAGGATCGTTTGTAGAACTTGAACGGTATAATTGCACCCAATAGCCGCAGCGCGTACATGTACCTGTACTTGATCTCGCATTTCAGATCTTTATGAAAGTGAGAAAGAAGTCTTCTAATCTGGGCATCCAAATATCTGCTATAATGGTATTGGTATGGTAGATATTGTCTGAATTTATATGGCTCATGAAAGCGTCCTACAGCCGGGTATCAGCGGCACAATAATTGATCAGAGGCTGGAAAAGGCATGTTGTGTTACACTCTTGCGTGACTATTCTTCTTGTTCCACCCGTGTTCATGTGAAACATGCTGCACAGCTATAAAGATTTGCAGAGTTCCCGGTCAGATCAAAAACGGCGCTGAGCATGGAAACATGTGACCGTCTGCATGCCTTTGGAGAAATCGATTGGCGCAAGGGCGGGTCTTGAAGAATATGGTCATGGATGTGCACCCAGAGCGCTGGCTATAACTTCAGCGAATCATGCCAACCTGTTTCATCTCAGAAATAGAGTCGAATTTCATGTTGGTATCTCGAAACCAAGCACAGCTATAAAGATCTGAGCTTTGGTCAGGTAATGTTGAGAATATCTAAACCTTTCTTCTCCAATCTCCCGAATGCCTTCGCATGAATTCCAAAGTATAGGTACTTGTAGTTTCCCTTCAAATGATGACAACCATCTACCTTGGATAAGATAGGTATGACTCTAGCGCTCAAAGGTTTCCGACAAATCCCCGTCAAAGGAAACTACAAGATAGTGTATAACTAACTAATTTGAAGCATTGACCGATGCTCGGGGCATGAGAACTCGTCCCGGAATGGGTCAATTCTGATAAAGCTTACCGTATCAGATACCATTACAATCCGCAACGATGTTCATGTCTTTGAAATGGCTGGACCGTGCCTCAACAACCATACTGAGCGACGGCGCCCGAGGGAGCATAGTTCGAGTTTCCCGATTCCGAAGCACATGGCTAGCTTAGATAAAAACAAGGAGAAAGGAAGTGGTTATCGCAGTCGGACCCTGATACCCTTGCCCTTATTGTTCGGTAGAAATCGCAATGTTCCTCCGATGGCCGTGGGGGTCCATGGACCAGGTTCGTTTGTGCATCACAGAGCTAACATATCGGGACTATTCGTGAGTTTAATTGTTATACTCCGCATTAATATATGAATTGCCGTTCCGGGTTAATGGCGCCCCAAACTCTGTTATTTTCGTATCAGTTGCGAGCGTAATATCCATCAAGGCTCTCAAAATCTTGTCTTCGCGCATCATTGTAGGTTGTTCGCTGGAAAACACCCTCAATGCTATGATTCGAACCAGAAACTGGCGCCGTCCGCCAAGCATTCCAGCCGGCGAAAGACGATGACAAAAGCCTTGCTCGAGGTCGTTTTGCCGCGTCGAGGTTCAACATGGGCGTGATGAAGGATAGTGCCATTGAATCGATGGCTAGGGCGCGTCGATGGCGAGTCTGGCGGGGGATCGACTCCAATCGCTGAGACCAAAGCCCTACCTTGTCTAAATTCGCATGAAAACTATCATTTCCGTCTCGCTGCCGAAAGGAACGGAATGTCTCAATGGATTGTCCTTTGATGACCGTCATCATTTCCAAGAAAACAGCGCCAAGAGAGAAAATGTCTGCAGGGCGAGATCGTCGCTGGCGATGCACAGATTCTGGTGCTGCATAAGTAAAGGATTTTGTTTGGTCCATTGACGACGGGCTGGGATTCGGAGACTCTGTTCCAAGAGGGGGCGGCTCAAGACCAAACGCCCCAAAGAATATATGATCGCCATTGATCATTATTTTCCTGGGGCAAATATTTTGATGTCTGATATCATGGGAATGAATGTGTTCCAAAGCTCCAGCTAAATCGGCCAGCCATCCCCTTATCAGCTCGGGACGGATGGTTTTTAAAGGCAGCTGGAGGTATTCGCCAAGGTCACATTCAGCTACAGGCGTCGTGATGATTCCATATGCATTTGTCTGCGTGTATGAGCACCGAATCCGGACTATATTCTCATGCCGTAATGCTTTCAAGCTGCGCAGTTGACTCGCGATCGCTGTTCTCTGGGCTTGCCGCGTAAACACAATTGTTTTTCGGGCGTAGATTCGATCTTCCGGACCACCAAGCCAGTGTACACGGTCCATTCCCGGCTCCCCGCTCACGCTTTCTGGTTTCAAATCCTTAACGGGCTGTAACGGGAGCGCGTCGGTCTTATTCAGGTCAATGTGCTCGCCATCTACAGGTAGCAAGCGTACCATGACCCTCCACTGCACGTTGACCACTTCTTGTGGGTCGTTAACGACCTCGGAGAGGTCGGCTTTGGAAAATGGAAGCATGCCATCCTCTAAAGGTGCAAATATCGCCGCTACAGGCCATGCTGCAAGATTCTCGGTCATGTAGAGAAGTAAAGCTGTTCTGGGGTTTCGAAGAGCCCATATGTAGCATATTTGTGCAGTCGGTCGATCCCATCCTTGCCTGCTAAGCAGGCTCGGAAACGAAAGTTTGAGCTCCGCGATCAAAGCAGGGGTCAGGATCCCCTCAGCGAGCGAAACTGGAGATGCAATCTCTTGCTGTCTCTGCGCATACGGCGTTGGTGTGGGAGATAATTGGAAACAGGAGGGTGCAGGTGATGGAGGGATCTGTTGGAAAGGAGTACGAGGAATTGGGCAAGGAGGATGAATAGGTTGAGGAGCGATTGGAGTGGCTGTTCGACTTGTTGACGGTGATTGCGTTGGTGTCTTCTTGAGACCCTCATCTATAGCCGCCAGCGGGGAAAGAGGAGGGCTTGGCGACTTTGACCATGGATTGCGAGAAGCCAGAACAGGCGTTGCGCACCGACTTGTCAAAGGTGGCGAGCGCGGCGAAGTCGGAGAGTTTGGCCATTGCCAGGTTGAACCTGAGTGCAGATTCAACATGGACACCGCATGGTAAAGTGATGGTTTGGGAGGAGAGGATTGAGGAGAAGCAGGAGACAACGGCCAACGCCAAATGGGCGGACTTTGCATTGTCAAGAGATTCACTCAACGTGCAGACAAATGGACTTGCAGAAGTTCATGACAACATAGGACTGTGCTTCTAGAGAGGTTACAATTCGGCAATAGTGGGATGTGCGGTATGGAAAAGAGAGGGGAATTGCAGTATGCCTTAATAAATTTCAAGTATCCCAAGACGATAAGCACTCAGGCTGAATGGAGTGAAACAAGTAATACGAGCAAAGACGCAAATGCCATCATGCAGACTGCACTAGAGAATCCGACTGTATATTGCTCAAATAGATGTTGGTAATGGGGTTTGCTCGATACCGACGGGTCACGATATAAGCTGCCATGTCATCGCGATAATAGAGAACTCTTGAGCTCCACCGGAGAAGGTGCGAGCGAAGGAGGAGTCGATCTACCTTACGTTTGATGCGCTGGCAATTTTTTTTTTTTTTTTTTTTTCTGAATGAGCACTTCGCCAAACCCTAAAACCGAACCCATGGGTGCGTTTTCGTCTGAAGGATACGTTTGCTGGTGGAGCATATATCTTGACAACCTTTGACCGATAGACTAGACGGAATAATCATGCATGCCATGTGTAAGCATCTCACTTGCGACGAAGCAATTCCAGCGGGGTGCCAAATCAGGGCGAGCTGGACTGGTGAAAATGGTCAGCAGGGGGTGCCGCCTTTTCACTGACCATTCATAGAGCTCATTCGAAGTCAAGCGAGATAAAAGCAACAAATCAACAAGGATTTTCTGCGTCGACTGGGCAGCAGCCTAGCTTTCAGCCGTGCCTTGTCAAGTGCCCGAATTCTTTAGGGCAGTAGAAAGCTGATTGAAGTCAAGACTTTCTCTGTATGTCATCCTCCTTTCATTCACACATTACTTATACTATAATCCTCAGTAAACCTCATTAATTCATATTCAAGAAGCAAGAAATAAGCTTAAATATCCACACATTATTATTACGACTACTGGTTAAAACAGTGTGTACAGAAACACAGAGCGGATTCAGTAAGTAAGCGTAACCAATTTCCCAGCCCATTCATCTCTATGTTCCGTTGCAACGAGCTTCTCAAACAACCAACCCCCCACGTCAGAGCGTGAGATGGTATATCCAATGGCTGGACCCTCTCCCGAACCGTCGGGTAATTCCCATCCGACCCTGATCTGTTGCGTGCCTTTTGAAGCACCGTCCGTCAGCAGTGACGCCCGTACAACAACAAATCCTCCAAGCGGGGCATTGTCTCCGCTTGACGCCTTCACCATCGCATCCTCCATCGCCCTCTTGTCGGCGTGAGGAATCGGCAAAAGCCAATGATAAAGAGGTAGCATCAGGACGGGTACATCTCGCCGAAAATCAGTGGTACCTGTAGTGCTGATGGCTGCAAGGAGAGGCTTCCGTAGGCTAGGGTTTTTCGTCAAAATAGTTGAAATTGCCTCGAGAATCTTGTTCATGGCATCCTCGCAAATGTGAGGATCGTCAAGCGTTGGCCGCAGAGGATTCGGCGTGAATTTAGGAATGCCGCCCACGCCGGAAATGATGACATCGACGATACCATCATTTGCCTGAAGTGTCTCTCGCACAGCATTTACATCTTTGACGTTCCCTTCAATGATAGAGAGGTTTGTGTCAATGACTTTTTGGCCGACACCCTTTGCTAGAAGCAACTTCTGTAGCTTCGATGATGAACGGACCACTTTGTAGTATATTAGCCTAGGTGTTTGGCATGCGAGACCTCCATGGCCCATCGGAGAAACTTACAGGCTCTAGATTTGTAGCCTTGGGTCAAAGACAACCTCAGCGTTTCCCCAACGCATCCTCCTGTCGCGCCAAAAACAGCAATGGTCGGCTTATTTGAAGTGGACATAACGACGATAGAGGAAACACAAAATATATCACAATTGAATGTTTTTCAAACTTAAAAATAAAGCTCTGCTTGTGGAGTTGAGACCGGCTGTTGAAATGTGGCAAGTCTCTCGACAGGGCGTGGGTACGTTCAGATATAACACCAATTGGAAACTTATGTATCTCTTCAATGCTTGGACCCAAGAGGTCGTAATGTAATTTATATAGATGGGATTATCCTCCTAAATTCTGCAATCAAAATAAGAAGCCTTACATTGATATCTTACGCACGTAATAGGATGAATATGAGGCAGTGATTAAAAGGGTTGAGGGAAGGCTTGTGCGGCACAGTTCCTTCAGTGCTGTTCCGATGAGATAAATACCGGAAGGAGTAACTAGAACATGGCTAGTGCTTATTGCTATCAGTTCGCCAGGCCGAAGCCTTGGAGTGTATACGCCATCGACATCCCTTTCTTGGAAATAAATCGAATGACTTGCGATCAAGCATACGTTGCTCCATATTCCTGCAGCAGGCAACCAAATTATCATTCTTTTTCGAAGTGATGCTGAGGCTGCAGGCTGCGCGATTGCCCGGCAATTGCCCGAAGCGCCATTGAGATCTCGGACGGGTTCAGGCTGGAGATGCGAAAGGCGGTGACGGCGCCTTTCTTAGTTTGAAATGTTATCTAAATTGAAATCTTATCAGATCAGCCAGTTCAAGCTCGTTAAACAAATCGCGAAGCTTAATGACATGCGCAACACGCGAAACAGACGCGAAGCACTTACGCGCACGGAGCGCGACCTCCTGGCTCGACACCTAGAGCTGCACAATGAAGTCAAAACTCTCTCTCTTTTCAGTCATTCTCTTTAAATCATCTCTCAAGTTATTCCCTCAGTTTTTCTCTTCTCCTTTACACATGTCATCCATATATCCAATAACTTCATACACCCTGTGGCTCATCCCTCGAACGGCATTCGCTCCTTCAAAATAGGGAAGCTCTGAAGCTTCCCTCGGCCTGTTGCAGTTTTTGGTGCCGCTATTACCGCCTCCTTCGACTTTGAGAGAATAATACTCTCCTTCCAAACATGCCTATCACGGATGTCCTTGACTCTGATGGTAGCAATCTTCAAACAATTGCCGATACTTTGGCAAAAGCCAAAAAAGTCGTGATTGTGACAGGCGCTGGAATAAGCACCAACAGTGGGATACCCGTATGTAATTGAATTGCTTCTTTATTCACGTCCCTTTGTATTCGAGGCATTCAATTGACAATGTGCGTCCAGGACTTTCGATCAGAGAACGGTCTTTATTCGTTAATTCAGGCTCAGTATGATGGTGCGAAGGATAATAATACAACAAGAAAACCACGCACAAGAACTGCGCAATCACAAGCAGTTGCTCCGGATGCCAACAGATCCAGATCGCAAAGCAGAATGAGTGGTCGAGACATGTTCGATGCAAGGATTTGGCAGGACAGTCTGAGCACTGAGGTGTTTTACCGCTTCATCGCGTCCTTTAGAAAAACAGTCCGTGACGATATCGCTCGAACCACAGCAACACATAGATTTATCAAGACAATGCGAGATGGTGGTCGCCTCGTCAGATGTTACACTCAGAATATCGATGGACTGGAGGGCCGAGACGGACTCAATACCGATCTCGCTTCTGGAAAAGGCAACAAGGCTCGATTCAGCAGAAAGGCCATGCAAAAGCCAAGGCCGGACGGGCCGATTTTCCCTGGCAGCGATATGTATGGAGGGTGTGAAGTTGTCCAACTGCACGGCGACCTTGAGCTGCTTCGTTGCAGTATTTGTCAAACGTCACGAGAGTGGGGCTCGGCTGATGAAGAGCTTATGCTCTTGCACGGAGAGTCTCCTCCTTGTGAGACCTGCCTCGGAAAGGATCAGGACCGCCGTTTGAGAGGGAAAAGGGGCTTACCTGTAGGTTTCCTGCGGCCAAATGTAGTTCTGTATGGAGAGGAGCATCCCAACGCAGATCTTTTATCGCCTATCATCACGCACGACCTCGCGTCAGCACCGGATGTTCTTCTCATCCTCGGGACTTCACTCCAGGTCCATGGTCTTAAGGTCCTGGTAAAGGAATTCGCAAAAGCGGTCCATGCTCGGGGAAGAGGAGCCGGGAAAGTCATCTTTGTAAACAACACCAAGCCTGCTGAAAGTGCCTGGAATGGAATCATTGATTATTGGGTCGGAATGGACTGCGATACATGGGTTACAGACATGCGAAAACGGCGATCCGATATTTGGCTCCGACAAGGCGAGTTGAAGCTACCTGGTACGGCGGTTAATAAGGCGGGCGGTCCCAGAACACAGCTCGAAAGAGCTAAAGAGAAAGGCTTGTCGATGAAAGATCAGGCGTTGCTGGAAGAGGACAAGGAGAATCGAGGTGGCCAAAGGAAGAAGGCGAAGAGTGTTTGTTCTCAACATGGTGATCCATTGGCAGAAGCAACACAGAATCGAGCTGGCTTATTTGTGCGTAAAGACAGCGAAAGAAAAGGAGAGCAATGTTCCGCTGTTGAGACGTCGCACTTGCAAAAGAGGCGATCCTTGAGAAACATGGCGCATCCTGCGGAAAGAGAGGATAGCCATCAGACTATAATTGTCGACGATTCGCCCAGCACTCCCCAGAAAGAAAAGTCCTCCCCGCGGGGGCATGGTCCTGTTCAGCTCTTGACACCACCAGAAAGCCGCCAAGGCTCACGTCATAGCACGCGAGTAAAGAGAAACCACGAAACTTTCCAGGAAGCAGAGTGCATTTGGAATACTCCGTCAAAACGGCATCGAACCGTTGACATCCTTGCGCAGGATGCACTCAGGTCCGAAACAAGCAAATCCGAGTCTCAGAGCATACGGAAATTGCAATCTAGGACAAGAGTCACAAGGCTTCAGCCGTTGGGAGACAAAATTCCGAGTCGAAAAACTGATCAGTCTTCTGATTGGGATTCAGATTTTCTCGAAGGTATCCATGAATATGCCTCATTGCCGGATTCGATGGCAAGGGGAAAGACGCGACATTTGGTTAGGAAGGAGGGTTCCCGCCATGCTCCGGCCCAGGACTTGATAATTATTGATTAAAGTGTTGGTCTTTTTTGTTGCAATATTGGCGTTGGGCAAGAAGTGCCGGAAATATAATGATTTGCGAATGGCTGCACGGGGCGCAATGGTCTTTTTAGGAGTCCGATACAGGATGGACTTCAATTTTATCGCAGTATGGCATTCTTTTTAGGCGCAGAGAATTTTCGTAATACCCCAAATTAGACAGTATGTTGTTCTGGTAGCAATGGGAAGATGATAGATTGCATTCTAGTTTTCAGTCAGGAAGACTTTTAATAAGATTCGGCTTCTGACAACAAATAAGCGCAGTATAGAGGGTGATCCACCCAGCGTCGAGGTCACATTGATTCGCTAGCTTCGCGTCCATGTTTTGAAACAGGATATTTCGTGCTGAAAATTGATTGGTGCCAATGCTGTTTGACTTTGAGTAAGAGAGCCCGCACAAAATTCATTAACCTTATGTGAAAGTGTCCTGCTCCTGATGACCGACTTCCGAGCACTTTTTTACGTGAGTAAAGTAGGTGAGACAAAAACACTTGGGAAAAGAAAAATTGTGGTCATGATGCTGAATCAGGCGTCCGCCGCCTGGGACCTATTGAACTTACCTGTTAACACGAGAAGCTTGAGCGGTGAATGCGTAGACAAGCGTTTTGCTACATATACCCGAGGGTGGCTTAGACCTGCTCAATCGCTGCGGCCCGATCGTCTGCAAGTGCGCATACTTGGGGAGTTTGGAAGGCTGCTCATCCTGCAGGCGCTGAGCCTTCTATAAGTTCAATCTGAACATGCCGCGCGGTCACCAGGCGAGCTCAGGTCTCACAAGGCTGCTCGGTTGCTGCGGCACCCTTGCCCCAACCCCTCCCCCGCTGGACTTAACTTGAGGTTTTGGGGCATATAAAGGCTTACTATCGACGCAAAGTCTTTGCAGCACCCTTTGAGTAATTCCTGAAGACATTTGATTGTCCGCATCTTCCCTATTCCAACCCTTAACTATGGCCGCAGAAGGGTACTACGGAGGGTATCCTCCAGATCAACAAGGATATTCGCACCCGTACGGTGCGCCTGCCCCAGGCCAAAGTGAATACGATCGTGCACCTCCTCAGCAGCAAGGATACAACTACGGCGAAAGTCCAGCACATGGATACGGTGCCCAAGCCCCATATGAGGGTTCTCCATACCCACAGCATCAGGTACTGTTCTGGCTACTTCTTTAATGCAAGCACTGTTCTCGGTTGCTGTTACTGATTGTGGTTTGCTTTTAAGAGTCAGTATCCGCCGCCGGATGCTTATCAACACCACAATCCTCCGCCTGGGAACTATGAAGAGCCTAGGGCTTCGGCTACACTTTCGCCCTATGATTATAACCAGCATCCTTCATCTCGACCTGGGTCTGCCCACGGATATCAGTCGTCCCATTCTCGAGGTAAATACACCTTTTTCAGCTTTATTGGTGTAGCTGTAACTTATTTTGTGGTGGCTAGGTTACGTGCCCGGCTATGACGCGCAGTCGACGGGACCTGGCGGCTATGCCCATCCAGGACCATCCGATCCGGGGGCACCTGGTGGAGGACACGAAGGAGAGCGTGGACTTGGTGCTACGTTACTAGGCGCCGCCGGAGTATGTCAAACATCTCTTCCTAGCTTTAGCCTGCCTACCGAGTAGAACGCACTGACCAATATAGGGCGGCTTCGTGGGCCATGAGGCCGGGGGTGGGGCTCTCGGAACAATCGCCGGGACCCTTATAGGTGCAATCGGTGCCAACGTTCTTGAAAATCGACATGAAAAGTAGGTGTCCTAGCTTATCATTCGCCAGTGACGCATTTTGATCTCGTGCTGTTTCTGATGTTCGTCTACCTATTCAGGAAGAAGAAGGAGAAGAAGCACAAAAAGTACGAGGACGACGCCGGTCTAGCATATGGAAGCTCGTACGGGGGAAGCCACGAGAGCCACGGTCATGGCCATCACCATCACCGACACAAGCATCATCACTCTCATTCTAGGAGTAGAAGTCGAGCGGGGAGCTCAAGCAGCGACTCGGATTGATGACGTCGAAGCTATTCAAGTATTTGCTCTCGGTTCTATGGTTAGAAACCATTTTTGAGACCGTGTCGTTGATTCCAGGGCTTTCTATTCCGGTGATACTACACTGCATAATGACGAATTTTCTAGACAGATATCTGAGTTTGAGTTTTATCTCTACCCGTAGAGGATTAGTCGCTGATACAGCTATGACGCATCGCGGGGCTATCGCCTGAGGACACTTTGTTTTGGTTCTATTTTGCTTTTTCTTATCTGCGCTTAATACTTTAATGAGTACCATGATCGACATGCACCATCCTCAAAATGGAACGTCATGTGACGGGATACTCAAGATACTTCTTTTCGAAATGCAGGTACAATGAAGGCTTAAGGGTGCTGATATTGCGGGTGGCGATGTCATTCTCGAGACGGTGCGTCATTTACAGATGTCATGATGAGCGAAGCTGTCACAGCAAACCCATCTTAGAGAGGGGAAGATGTGTCAACCGTGGTTGCAATCACACTCCAAGGAGAGAATTTGCTGAGATGAATGCAATGTCTTTCGGGGGGCTCCAGCGTCGATTTTCCCCACGGGGATCCCATTGTACGAATTAATTCTCGTCCACTCGAGACGGCGGCCTCGGCCTCTTCGCTAACCGGGGTGCACACTACAATTTCACTGTTTTAGGGGTGAGACTGAGGTAATACATACATCTATACTGTCATTGGCCGGTCGAGATCCAATAAGGCGCGAAAGCGATAAGCATTGTGAATTCGAGTAATTTGAGGTTGCAAACTTGAAACCGCGCATTGCCGTAATACTACAGGCGGCAGTGTTCCCGCCAGCAAGGTTCCAATAAAGACCGACGAAGGGCCGCTTCAACTTCAGACCAACTGATGTCGTATGTCGAAGACAACCGGAAAACGCTGTCTTGCTAGATGGGAATATTTCGGTCCAACAGCTTTCACGCGAGTGGAGGAATAACGAAGAAGTCGTCGGTGGCGCTCACTTAAGGCCCGGCCGATGACCAAATGGGGAATCCAGATAAGGATCCTAGGGTCAAGTTATACGGGAGTAGTTCGCAAAGGCCTAGCTGGTACCATTAAGGTTTCCCCAGGGAAAGCAGTTGAGGAAAACGTAAAAAGTTAAGCTGGCCCCCTTTTTAGCCAAGGGAACCCGGGGCAAGATTCCAGAATTTTCAAGCCGCGTCCGAGAGGGCTCGAGCGTTGATTGGCCGAATGTGTTATAGTAAGCGCCTCTGATTGGCAATGCGACATGGGAGGCAAAAGAACAAAGGGGGAAATGGAGATGTGCCTGTGGTATGGACTACCGGACTACTGAGAGCTGAGGTGGCGACACGTTGAGAGACCAAATTTGGGATCGAGATTACTGTTCAGACGATTGGGTTAAGCGGAATCATCTTTCTCTCGCTTGGCACTCTGATTCAGCCAAAGAGAAACCGGTCTGAACCTTGCCTCAGGAACGCCGTCGGCCCTGGCGCTTGAGACTGACGTCCTGCAAGTACCTGAGCAGTATAGGTACTCTGACGACAGCGGTCAAAACCTGTCGTCGTCGTATCTGGGGCAGGACGAGTCGTAGCTAAGTGGAGAAAAATGGAAAAGAGAAGCGTTTTTCTTTTTGGCTTTTGCTGTCAGCGTGCGGAGAGGAGTGGACAGGGATGGACGAGCTAATATTGATAGCTGGTTATTACTGCGTCGCAGCTCCCCTCCTCCAACTGATAAGGTGGAAGAGGGGCTGAAGGAGCATTGCCCTCACCACATAGAAACAGAGACGACGAGAGGTGGGAGATACAGCCGCACCTCGTAGGTTTTTCCTGCCTGTGCGTTCATTCTTCCCCCCGTAAGAGTACGGAGTAGCATCGGCAGATAGTCCCACGCAAAAAGTCTAAAAAAGGGTTCCGGAAGTCGCGGGTACGAGTACCGTACACGTTCACGGCCAAAAGCCATTTACTCGCATGCGTGCCAACGAGGTACAAGAAGATACGCCTCCTTCGGACAAAGGGTACCAATGCCACTTCCTCTTTCGGGTTTCGTCGGGCGGTGAGATCGAAGTCTAGGCTGCATTCGGAGCTAGCGCCACCCTCGGCTCTCATAATTTTTTTGAAAATCCTTTCGTGGCCCCCCCGCCATAAATATTCTTTCACTGCCCACCAGCCTCCCTCATCCTCCTCTTCTCTCTCCACCACTCTCTCTCCTTTGACTTTGTCAAAGCCGTCCTGCCCTTCTGCCTTTTCTTGTTTTCTGCATTGCAGTTAAACGCAAAGACACCAAGTCCACCTAGGACCGCGACTTGCGTATCGATCGCACGTCGTGTGCACGGATTAGACTCCTGTTGTTTTTTTCTTTTTTTGCAGTCTAATCACTCTCTTAACGAATCTTTGTCTTTCTCTTGATACCTTGTCTTAATAATTCTCAATGGCTCCCGCTATGGAAACCGCCGCCCACACCGAAGCGAACATTCGCTCTGAGAACAAGAAGTCCGTCAAGGTTCTTGATGAGCTGCTCTCGAAGCTCTCCATCTCCAAGACCGCTGAGGAGACGATCGAGACGAGCACCAACATCGCCTCCTTCATCAATGGCCCCATCGAGGAGCACGATGCCCCCACCAAGTAAGCATTTTTCATACGGCAGGAAGTTTAAAACATCAATGCAAGATGCTAATCCACCTATTTCTTAGGGCTGTTGCCAGTTTGAAGAGCATGCTCGGCAACAAGAAGGATGCTGCTGCCCGGGAACGTGGTCTCAAGGCCATCTACGCTATCGCTCAGCACTCATCTATCTCTCCCGTCGTCGAGCCCTACCTTGTCGAACTTCTCTCCCACACTCTTGCCGCCGTCGGTGACAAGATCGCTTCCGTCAAGGATGCCGCTACCGCCACCTCGCTGGCTATTGTCAGTGCCGTCAATGCCAACGCCGTCAAGATCGTCCTTCCTCCGATCATCAACTCCATCCTGACTGCTCAGAAGTGGCCCGAGAAGATGACCGCTCTGCGATGCGTTGAGGCTCTCGTTGCCTCCGCTCCCGCTCAGCTCTCCTACCGTGTGCCCGAACTCGTCCCCGTTGTCTCCGAGTCGATGTGGGACACCAAGGCCGAGGTCAAGAAGGCTGCTTACGGCACCATGGAGAAGATTTGCGCTCTCATCGTCAACAAGGATATCGAGCGTTTCATTCCCGAGCTTATCAAGTGTATTGCCAAGCCCGAGAATGTTCCCGAGACCGTCCACTTGCTTGGTGCCACGACTTTCGTCACCGATGTCCACGAGCCTACTCTGGCCATCATGGTTCCCCTGCTAGACCGTGGTCTGGTTGAGCGTGAGACCGCCATCAAGCGAAAGTCCGCTGTCATCGTCGACAACATGTGCAAGCTGGTCGAGGACCCCAACATCGTCGCTTCCTTCTTGCCCAAGTTGATGCCCGCTCTTCAAAAGAACTACGACACTCTTGCCGACCCCGAGGCCCGTGAGAAGACCAAGCAGGCTCTCGACACCCTTGTCCGCGTTGGAGATGTCAAGGATGGCAAGATCCCCGAAGCCTCCCATGCTGGTGACGTTTCCACCGTCCTCGCTATCCTCAAGAACCTCCTTGAGGCTAAGCACAAGGATGCTGTCACCAAGTTCGAGCCGGTTCTCGAATACGTTTCCGCCATTGCTGGTCAGCTCATTGACGAGAAGGAGTCCGACACCCTCGTCTGGACTGAGAACACCAAGGCCTACATCAACGCCGTCGTTGGTGACGCCGACACTCAGACCATCGCCGACAGTCTCCGCAAGCGTGCCTCCCCCGGTGCTGAGGAGGAGGCTGAGCAGGAGCCTGACGAGGAGGAAGGTGAGGATCTCTGCAACTGCACCTTCAACCTTGCCTACGGTGCCAAGATTCTCCTTAACCAGACTCACCTTCGCCTGAAGCGTGGTCAGCGTTATGGTCTGCTCGGTCCCAACGGTTCCGGAAAGTCGACCCTCATGCGCGCCATCAACAATGAGCAGGTCGAGGGTTTCCCCAAGAAGTCCGAGGTTAAGACCGTCTTCGTCGAGCACGACCTTGACTCTGCCGACACTGAGCTTACCGTCATTGGCTGGACTGAGATGAAGCTCCGCTCCGTTGGTGTCACCACCAGCCGTACCGACATTGAGAACAAGCTCGAGGAGTTCGGTTTCTTGAGAGAGCAATTCGAGGGTCCCATTACTGCCCTCTCTGGTGGTTGGAAGATGAAGCTTGCTCTTGCCCGTGCTGTGTTCGAGGAGCCCGACATTTTGTTGCTCGACGAGCCGACCAACCACTTGGACGTCAAGAACGTTGAGTGGCTCGAGCACTACCTGATCACTTCTCCTTGCACATCGATCATTGTCTCGCACGACAGCAAGTTCTTGAACAACGTCCTCCAGCACGTCATCCACTACGAGCGCTTCAAGCTCCGCCGCTACCGTGGCAACCTCTCCGAGTTCGTCAAGCGTGTCCCCTCTGCCCGCTCGTACTACGAGCTTGGCGCTTCTGAGATCGAGTTCAAGTTCCCCGAGCCTGGTTTCCTCGAGGGTGTCAAGACCAAGGCCAAGGCTATCCTCAAGGCCAAGGACATGAGCTTCCAGTACCCTGGTACCAGCAAGCCTCAGATCTCCGACATCACTTTCCAGTGCTCGCTCTCATCTCGTATTGCCGTCATTGGTCCCAACGGTGCCGGCAAGTCCACCCTGGTCAACGTCTTGACTGGAGAGCTCATCCCCACTACTGGTGAGATTTGGTCGCACGAAAACATCCGTATTGCCTACATTAAGCAGCACGCTTTCGCCCACATCGATCACCACCTCGACAAGACTCCCTCTGAGTACATCCAGTGGCGTTTCCAGACTGGTGAGGACCGTGAGACCATGGACCGCGCCAACAAGCAGATCACCGACGAGGACGAGAAGGCCATGGACAAGATCTACACCATTGAAGGTACTCAGCGAAGAATCATTGGTATCCACTCTCGTAGAAAGTTCAAGAACTCGTACGAGTACGAGTGCTCCTTCGTTCTCGGTGAGAACGTCGGCATGAAGAACGAGCGCTGGATTCCCATGATGACTGCTGACAATGCCTGGATTCCCCGAACTGAGGTTCTCAACACTCACGGCAAGCTCGTCGCCGAGGTTGACCAAAAGGAGGCCCTTGCCAGCGGTCAGTTCCGTCCTCTGGTCCGCAAGGAGATTGAGTCTCACTGCGCCAACTTTGGTATTGACGCTGAGCTCGTCTCTCACTCGCGCATGCGGGGTCTCTCTGGTGGCCAGCGTGTCAAGGTTGTCCTTGCCGCCTGCTCGTGGCAGCGTCCTCACTTGATCGTCCTGGACGAGCCTACCAACTATCTCGACCGTGACTCCCTCGGTGCTCTTTCCAAGGCTATCAAGTCCTTTGAGGGTGGTGTCATCATCATTACTCACTCCGCCGAGTTCACCAAGGACTTGACTGAGGAAGTCTGGGCCGTCATGGACGGTAAGATGACTCCCTCTGGCCACAACTGGGTTACTGGTCAGGGATCTGGTCCCCGTCTCCAGGAGAAGGAGGAGGGCGACACTTTCGACGCCATGGGTAACAAGATCGTCGTCGAGAAGAAGAAGAAGCTCACAGCCAAGGAGCTCCGCGCGAAGAAGAAGGACCGTATGGCCCGCCGCAAGCGTGGTGAGGAGGTCTTCTCTGATGAGGAGTAGACTTGTTCTCTTCGTTGATGCATGATGTTCCTTTAATTTTAATTGTGTTGTTTCCATTTTCTGTTCATTCCTTTTTTTTTTTACCATGTAATGCGCACTGGTCTTCGTATTTACCCCTAGACTAGATTTACTTCCGTTAATGTCGTTATGATGGAGTCGGTCTGGCATGGGCATTACTTTTCGTTAGGCATTAGAGAGAGAGAAAGAGCTACCTTCACTTAAGCCTTGAATAAAAAGTACAATTTTCAGGAGTCAAAACAACTGTGCCATTCTCTGCCTGTGATTTCAATTATCATTGCTATAAATGTTGCATCTATACTAATTCGTCACAGTTCTCCTGCAAAAGGGAAAAAAAGAATATAAAACTTTTCATGTCAGAAATTGATTGCGAAAATTATCACAACAGGTCTTTTCAATTCTATCGTCATCGCTCTTTGTATCAGATATATATCAGATGGTGCCATGTGAGACGGCTGTACGAACTACATGCTGTGCACGACTGCATAACTTGTCGCAGAGAACTTCTTTACGGTGTACTCCGTGCTCTCCCTCTCAAACTCCTTTCCAATACCAAGGCTATGATTGGTCAGATTTCCCGGTCCTTCCCCACACCTCCCTTTGCCCTCCAAACGCTCTCTCGCTCAAGGTACGAAGTACACCGTACAAAATATTTTCTTTTTCTCGCTTACATATCCTTTCTTGGATCCGATCAATGTCCCACCAGCTAGCTCAGTGCGCCGAGTTTGACCAATGCCACAATGTACATACCCTGACACCAGGTCCACAGGATCAGCCCAGTACCCACCCACACCACCTTTCTTTCTAGGTAGGGAGTACGGAGTACTTTGTACTTCGTATGCCCTTCTGTGGCCCCACTGGTCGCTGCAACCCACCGCAGCAACACCCTCGAACCCCGAAGTTGGGAAATGGAAAAGGGGAGTGAACGCGAGGCGAAAGAGAAAAAAGGGCCGACGGTGCCGATCGCACAACATGTGCCGAATCTGCGAGTTCTGCACCCCGGAGAGAAAAAGCAAAAAAAAAACAAAAAAGAAATTGACCTAACCAGGGGTCGAACCTGGAATCTCTTGATTCGTAGTCAAGCGCCTTGCCATTGGGCCATTAGGCCAGTCATTCTTGTTGTTGAAAGGAAGCGGGCAAATGTTGTATATGTACCATTGTTAAACTTTGATGGACGGATGGAAGGACAACAGTGTGCTGATATGTGATATGGTGCCCCGACAAGTACATTTTGTGCCGTAATTCATGTAAGGGTGGTAAAGTGACATGTATATGTTGGAACATTGGGTTGGTGGACAATGATATTATTTAATTACTTTGTGGAGGTGTTTGTAGTATTTAGTGAACGGTATGAGGAAGTTAGAAATTAGAAATGAACATCTGGATTATGGGACGTGGAGGGGGGAAAAGGATAACATAAAACAAGTTAAAATGAAAACGAAAATGAAAATGAAGAGAAAGACAAAAAACAAAAAATTTAAATAAATAAATAAATAAGTAAATAAATAAAATAAACAGGAAAATGAAAGAAAAGAAAAGAAAATCATGGTTCAAGTGAAGTATATTGTTATGATTACTGTACGATACTGTTAAAGAAATGGCAGAGAGGAAGTTGAGGGTCAGTATGATTTACAAAGAAATGTTTGGATTTACTTGATTCATCAAATGTATGAATATACTCCTCTATAGTAACTTTTCTGATATCCCGCAGAAGCAGAATCAATCAAAATCTCAACATGCTACCCTTGAACAATACTGGGAAGAAGATTGAAGACGCACGGGGACAAAATATAGGATGGTAGGAAACAAGACAAGTAGGACAACCTAGTTTATGCGCCTCGGAAATCAGCCATGGCATTCGTCAGACGCTCCCATCCTGGCGTGTCTTCCCAAGTGCTCTTTCCTCTACCCATGATACCTCTGATCGCGCTTCGTGCCTTGAACTTCCAGTCTTTGGCCACGGGTGGGGCATCTTCGCCGTCTCCTCCGCCCGCTGCTAGGCCTTCAGTCTTGGGCATGGGACCAAGACTTTCGTACGCTTCTGTCAACTCGATTGTGGCATCGACAACGATATTCCATTGAGCCTCGGTACCGAATTCCCAGCCGGGCTGCTGGACGACTGTCCGCCATGCTTTTTCGTGGGCGTCGAGAGCCGTAGCAGGACGTTTGCGCCATAGAGCCAGTTTGGCGACGAGATCCCAGAGGCGCCGGGAAGATGTAATAAGTGGCACGACGTGTTTCTCAACAAGTTCAATAACCAGTCTTGGGAGACCGCGCCGGACCGCGATATCTAGGGCGTCCTTCACACTTTGGCCGGGAGCCGGTTCGACTTCAGTCGAGGCGATGACGTGCCGGATAAGCATATCGATAATGTCCTCGTCCACACAGGCTTCGCCGACGGTCGGGCCCCGCAGCTCGATAAGTCGCTTTTGTGCCGCCACTACGTCGCTGTAGACTGGAGGCTTGATGGATGCTGCCACGATCAGGAGGTTCTCCCAGATGCGGAAGTTGTCGTATTTGAGACTGGCAGCACGGGCGAGGGCCTTACGTGCCTGCTTCCTGTTTTGCTGAGGATCAATCTTTGACTGCTGCTTGTACAGCGCGACGTCTTCGGCGTCGTCGTGACTAAGCTGCGCCTCTGCATTTGAGTTGCCTTGGCCGAAACCATTGTCTGTCGGGCTTGCAGCTTCGAGATGTAGCAGCGCTGCCCCAAGATTGCTCCACGCTTCGGCATCCGTGTCGTCGAGCTGGACTGTGCGTGCGAATGCCTGCACGGCAGCATCCCATTGCTCCAAAGTGAGACGAACACAACCTAGCGCAAACCAAGTGGGGTGATTAAGTGGATTGACCTTCAAGGAAGAAGCATATGCTGCTTCTGCTCTTGGGAAATCTTTGGCGGTGAAGTAATATCGCCCAAGGGATCGTTGCGCACGTGCATACCGATTCTTCGAGACTTCCCATGCGCACTCCCACATCTTGGGATCGTTCTCAATATCTCCGAGGATGCAATACAACCGCGGAGCATCTCCAGGTGGTGGCTCTCGCTCTGGGCCTTCCCAGCTCTCTTCATCATCGTCGGCTACAACCGCGTCTGGTCCAGCAGTAGGATGGAACAGCTGTTTCCGGATCATACGCTTTGCTTTGTCCTCCCTTTCGACAGCAGCCCAGCAGAGTGCCGCCTCAGCCCACATGTGTAGCCGCTCGTAGATTTCCAGTGCGGTGCGGAGACCGCCAAGACTGACCCATCGTGAAGCTAGCTCGGCTTCGAGCTCCCATCGTGTCGGAGAGCAAACTTGGTGGATGTACTTCAGCCGTTCACTTACCGGAGCGGACTCTGACTCCTTTGGTCTAGGCAAAAAAGTAGTGGCAGTCGAAGACTCTCCCAGAGCTGTCGAAGCGCCTGTGTCTGGTGTTGTATCTGCAATGACTTGGTCTACCAGAGCTTGGAGTTGCAGAACACCACGTTCCACCGTCCGTGATTTGTAGCCTTCAATACGGCTACGAACGAGCAGAGCCTGCGTGTAGACCTGCCAGTTGGTGCTTCCGCCATCAAGAACACGGGTAGCGTACGGTAAAGTCTCCTCTCTTGTGAGACCGTGAAGAGGGGATGTGTTGGTGATGCTGGATGCGAGCGAAAGGAGGATGATGGAATCAAGGGGATTCAATGCGGGTTGATTTGAAGGATCCAGTGACGCCAACGACTCGGGGAGTGCAGACTCTTCCCTGATATTAGTTGATGAGGAGGTGGGTTTTTGCGTAAAGGAAATATTTTCAAGGAGAGTATCGTCGTTCAGATCTAAGGTCGCGGGCTTCGAAGCTTCTTCTGCAGGTGCGGTATCTGAGCTTTCTGTTGCCTTTTTACCTTCCTCGGCACTTCGGGCGAGTACAACCAGCTGACTGACATCCTTTTGCTGGAATTTGGTCCTCTTTCCCATCAGTCCAGTCAAAGCAAACTCAAAACCTCTGAGCGAAGAAACCCTGTCCAGGTCTTCTCTGGCTTTAACGTCAAGACTGTGATGCGTATTGATCACGGCTCGTTCTATCAAATATCGAGCTTTCGCCTCATCAGAGTAAAGAGAGTCAGCAGCCAAGACTTCCTCATTTAGGCGGTCAATATCCCGGTAAATCGCGGTCTGTAGAGTTGCCGTAACCTCTGAGAGCATTCTCTGATGCCAAAAGTTGACACGTACTTTTGCCCATCTTGCGCCAAAAACGTTCTCTTCTATCAAAGGGTGATTGAGGATGATCTTGGCTATGCAAAACAGCTCCACGTTCGGCGTGAGCGAGTAAGCGGCCTCTCCATCCACACCCAGCGAAGCAATTGCAAGCCTCCTCACATCTTTAAGACTTGCCTCTTCTGATGCATAAGACGCTGGGATAACGGTTTTTGATGATGAAAAGTCCAACGGTGGACCAGTGACATTGGATTGGATGAAGGCATGACAGGCAGCAAGTCCAACCACTAATAGCCGATGACAGCGAGACTCGAGATCTCTTGAGTTTGATCTCAAAAAGTTGTCAACTTGACGAGAGATGTAGTCGGTCCAGGATATCGTATTATCTTGGATGTCACCCTCACGTGAAACACCAAAAAGTTCTTGGGCGAAATCTTGAGTCAGGACGGCCTCAAACTTGCCATCTCTCAGATCACTGAGGGCTTGGCCTATGGATGAGCCACCACGGAGAATATCCAAAAGGTCATCCATTCTGAATCTCGCAAGGGTCTGGAGTAGCAGCACCGTTCCTTGTTCAATCCTTCATACAATTCACGGCCACCGCTTTTGCTCCCGCAACTTTTTTTGATGCCCCTCATACCGATAACGACAATCAGTGCGCTAATGGCGATTAGCGAGGCAAAATTACAGCGAGATATCCAATGAGAAGACGCGAAATCCTTAACCGCCTTGTCCATCCATCTCAGGGACCAAACGCCCAAGACATCATGGAAGTGAAGTGAAGGCGGTCGAAATTTATTATAAGAGACTTGGTGTTCCAGACGGAAGATAAGATGAAAGGCCTGAAGTAAACCAAAATTCTTGCAAATTCAAGCACCTTCGGATCTCGGAGACTAAAGTAGCCATTGTAGCCTTCTGCAGTATAATAAATTTTCAAACCAATACGAAAGCCACAATATGAAATCGCCGAGTATCATTTTGAATGCAATGGTGACGATACTTGACGGATCAAATATTCACACCTGCCAATCCTCTATGGCTCGGAAGCTTCAAACAATATTCCTAGCCATTTGATGGCCCACCACATCTGCACAGAATATCATCTCCTAATTCTGATTTTAATCAGAAAACTTCAAAATATCCGCAGTACCCTTTGAAGCATTTCCAAGGACATTCCATAAAATCTCTTAAAGCGGGACCATAATGAGTTGAGAACTCCTTCATGAGCAGTCTGACTACCCATTGCCCATTGCGGTGGCAATCGATTAGAGAGATACATACCCACACTGGTCCCGCCACCATCCGTACAATGTCATCCGACCTCTGTTTCATGACGATGGACGAGCGTTATAACCCTAATGACCCGCTAAAGGCCCACCCCCGAGTTCATAATTTTTTCTCCCCCATACCCCGGTACTGCTTCCTTTATTCATCGGCATTTCGATTAGCCGACCCCACCGGAACAACTCACGAAAATTTAGCCCTCAATGGCCCCAGATTTTCCCCACCACATTTGGTGACATCCCTCGATCGTCCGGAAAAAAATTCCCACCATTCGCGGCCCTTTTTTATCTTGGCGACTCAATGAGCATATTATTCCACAAACGAAAAGCGAAATTCCGCCGAGAAAAAAGCGCAAGGATTCTCCAAGAGGCTAAATTAACCTCGTTTTGCCAAGGGTAATAGATTTTCTGCGTCCGAGAAGTTGCCAAGACCATGTCCAAGTTGAAAAGAATCCATCTACAATTATTACAGTCAGCACTTACCGCTACTATATTATTGTGTGGGCCTTCTCCACACAAAGACTTCTTTTTCTCCCCCTAAGCTACATGCCCACATACCTTCATACTCATACCCAAACTCCACTATGATAATTGGCGAGTCTCCAATCATACAATTATGTCGTCACAGATTTGGTTCCGGTCCAACCCCGGACATCTGTAGTGATTTTAGAGATGAATTTCTGTGTCCCCACGTCTCTCGGCGTTATTTTTCTGGCTTTGTACTTCTGCACATCTCCACTCTTGGCAGCTCCTGTTCAAAGGCGTAGTCCTACACTTTGCATCCCCAGTGGGGAAAATATAGCAGTCCGCCCACAAGTTTCGTTGCTCCGCCGTTGCAACATAACCTTCTCCACTACTATGGAGTTGGAGGTGGAGAAGCAAAGTTCAGTTTAATTTACGTAACAATCCCCTCGGTGGATTCCAAGATCTCTGTCTGTGAAGGCTTTCCTCAGCTGCTAGATATCCGAGATGCCAAGCCCGTCAAATCGCCCCCCTTTTTTTTCGTCGGGCCCATGTCATCACTGAATGCACTGCTTGGCAAAATTCAGCCATAGAGAAGCGCTATGCACGGCACTTCCACTCGGCACTGCACGTCAATGTTGTGCATGTCAAACCAGGGTGAAGTTTGTCGAGATCAAGAATGTAGAGGACGAAAATGCTCTTGACAAAAAAATGAATCCAATTTTGATAATCGATATATGCTATGTACAGTGCATGTTAAACTATAGTCGTATACTCGTATAAAGAAGCTAAAGTTCAGCAACACGCAAACATTCCTTTTGCGTTAAGCCAGCTTAGAAGCCAGGATAAAGGTTCAGGCCAATGGGAATGCCAAAGACATTGTCAAAAGACATGTGCGTCTCGTACCAGGGATCCTGGTACAATGGGCTGCTCGAGTTAGATGGGCGTTCGGGCCAAACATTGAGCATGTTGCTCCATGCTTGCACGCTGCCAAAGGTTGCGGTGCCCTGAGAAAGGAGCGCCACGTTCAGTGCGTCAGCCCTTGTAGGGTAGATGCGCGAGGTGAGCGAAAAGCGGTTATTAATAAAAATCTCAATCAAGCTTCCATCGACGAAAATGTCAAATTCGATAGCCTCGGTGACATCCTTCCCTCCTTGGGCAAACGTGTAAGGCTCAAAAAAGGCTTGGTAGTCGGTCTGGGTAAAATTCTGGACCAAGGATGAGTGGCTTCTCTGCAATGCGAGCGTAGAGTTGGCAGGATAGTAGACGATTTGTGTGTATTCCTCCAAACCGGGGCTAGCGCGAACAATGAATCCAAAAGGACCATCCCAGTCCGAGACCGAGGCCTTCAAGTGGAAGTGATCGCTTGTGACATTGATGGCAGAGGTCTTGTTGCTAACGCTCACATTGCCAAATTGGACACCTTGGTCCAAGTGCAACGCCTCGATCACGTCAGGAAGCGGCTTCGAGGCCAAATCCGTGACTGTAAAGGTTCCGTCATCCTGCGCATCCCAGATAGCCGGTCCCTTGAGCGCGCCTCCAGCAGGAGCAAGAACACCATGAGACTTCTGAATGAAAACTTCACGAGGGAGACCAAGCGAGCCCTGGAAGCCTTGCTGAATGACAGCATAATCTCCCATATCTTCATCAGACCAGCCCCAAAGAACACGTCTGTCATTCTTGGTGTCGTTAAACGTGGTTGAGGCATACAGATTACCCCAGTCAACGGCGCCAGAAGCACGAAGATCAAGCTCAAAAGATCCGTCAGATCGCTTAGAACCGCCTCCAAGGAAGAAGACACTCCAGTGATTGAAGGGGTGGTAAGTGTTGTTACCGCCCTCAGAACCGGCATTGGCAACAAAATGCACCGTCGTTCCATCGCCACCATTTTCTTCCTTCTCGACAAGTGCATTGAACCCAGCAAGTTCAAAGTTGAACCCTGCGCTTGCTGTGCGGAAAGCATCGTCACCCCAGCTGAAGTTCTGCGGTGGCTCGATGATTGAACCCAGAAAAGTCCAGTTTGTCAGATCGTTGGCTTCTGCAGTATAAAGTGGGATCCTCGAACCAGCACCATAAATGCCACTTCCGAGCACCATGTACCAGTGAGGCTCAGTATAGCCCAAGATAGCATCCACCTCGGGCATCGTGTGGACGTAAGGGTCACGCCAGCCAGTGAAATTCCATCCCTCAGGAGGATTACGGAGAATAGGGTTCCCTTCGTACTTTTGCCAGGTTTGACCTGCGTCGGAAGAGGTTGCCAGGCACTGAGTTTCGGATCCGGCAGTCTCATTGGATCCCCAACCTATGGGCTCTTTTTCGACACAAGTATAAAAGATGGTCATGTTTCCATCTGCTTCACCGCGCAGATTGACTGGCTGTCCATCGCCGGAAAATACTCCAAGCCAGTCCGAACCGGGATATGGGTCGGGTTGGAGGGCATCAGGCTCATTGTTTTGCCAGCCACCGACGTCTACCCAAGTAATCAAATCTTTCGAAGTGGCATGTCCCCAGCTGGTGTTTCCGACCTCCACGTGATTGGGATGGTGCTGGTAGAACAAATGATAGGTGTCGGTGAAGTTATTGTACCTATATAGTCTCATTAATACATACAAGCTCAATGCTGCCCTGATATTGAGATTGTATGATTCTTACATGGGTGCACAAGGGTCATTCATGTGACCAGCAGGAGCCATGAAATGAAATCGAGGTCGCCAACGATTGAACAGAGCATTGCTGTCATAACTTTCGAGCTCGTCAGGATTCAGATTGACGCCAGCGAGAGGATCTGATTGAGCTGCCGCTTGACGGGCAGTCAACAAGCCCCAGCTCAACGCCGCAAGGGCATTGAAGGAACGCATTGAGAATGATAGTTTCAATGAAATCGAAGTTTTGGAACCGGTAAACAATGAGGTGATTGATTTCTTCAAGCTGCCAGAGGCTTCTGGTTCTTGGAGACGGAATTGTTCAGGGCTCCTCGGCCATACTTATATTGTGTCTGAAGAAACTCAGTGGAGCGTGGGCGTCCCACAATTCTCTTAATCATCTTTTAGTGACGTGACCAGGCTTCTCAGCTAAGAGGATGACGATGTCGCTCATTGAGGCACCATCAAACTAAAATCGGTCTTTGCAGAACTCTGCGTGGGACTCTGCGTGGGACCTGGGTCTGGGTTTGACCGATGCTGCTCTCCACAATAGTGATGTTACCTTATGCCGAGAAAACATGACCAATTGTGACCCGGACGAGTCGCAAGGGTAAGGTCTAAGGTAACTGCTCTTGGTGGATGACAAGACCTAGCCGCGCGAGGAGCATTCAATTACTCACGCTATACACTCATCCAGTCAAGAGCCAGTGTGGCCGAGCCAAGCCTGAGCCAAACGACATGATCCCGTAAAACAGACTTAAGGTAGGTGTTTATGTCGGTGGTGGATCGGGTCGCCGAAGACCCCCGGCTGGAAGCCTGGGGTCTCTACGAGGCGAAGTCGGAAAACCCAGCCCTAGCACAATTCCGGTCAATGTTCGGCCTATAGAAACCTCAACTGACTCGATAGACTTTGGTAGCGTGGACATGGTTATAGAAAAATGAGGTCAGTGGTTGCGCTCGCAAGGTACTACTCAGCCAGGCAATGACCGTAAAACGCGAGGATTTAGCAACTCGATTCTGCAGAGGCTCTCTCTCTTTCTCTCTCTCTTTCTCTCTCTCTCCTTCTCGGGGTCCTATTCTGTGTCCGTCCGTCTTTCTGCACACCAATTGCTTTCGGTAAGACGATATTTGGTGCGAGTTAGCAGGAGTACTCCATCGGCATGCCGTGACGAAGTGGGATGGTGCAGTAGGTGGTTGGACGTGAATAGTCAGTGGATAGTGTATTGCGATATTGTGGCAGTGGATGAAATGCCTCGTGCCTGGCGACCCATTGAAGGTTGAAGATTACTGTTTTCGACGGGCACCTTCCCGTATGAGGTGGCCCATGTGGAGCTGCCGGCTCCAGTGCGCTCCCTCGCTCGTGGCCATGGGATCGGGCCGAAAAGGGGAGATGACAGGGATGATGAGGTGAATTCGAGCATGGGGTTAAGTATCGTTAGGGGATGTACTATTACGATAGACACGATGGAGCAAAAGGTCCCACCATCTAACTTACACTTTAAACGGTAATGAACTGTTACGACTCCATAATAATAACTTCGTCCGGCACGATAACCGTACAACTTTAGTAGTATAGTAAGCTAATCGGCCACTACTCCGGACACATGGCGTGTTTACATCGTAGTCGCTCATTCGTGGTGGGAAAACAAAGCGCACACCAGGGTCCTTACTTCTCTCCCCTTCGATCGGGGAGATGGACACCGACAATTTGATGTGAAAGCTATTCAACACCCTCATGCCACAATAGATCCACAGCAACATTACTCCCCTTGCCCATAATCTCAGCCAGTACCGGCCTATGCATAATCTTTATCGAACCGCTTCGTTCCCACGCGATGCCATTGCAGCATGCATGCAATTGTCTACATTTTCGCAAATTGACTAGAGTATGCTCGCTATGTCCATCTCATTCAAACTAAAAGCTTTTACTATTTGCACACTATCTGTCTATCATTGAAGTGTGCTTGATGCTCCGCATGCTATTGGTACAGGTCCGTGTAATTTTGAAAACAAAACCTAAAAAAAAGCCGAAGACAACTGCTGAAGATTCTCCGTCTAAGTATTTCTATACATACGCGAATTGAATGTCAGTCATGGTCGCAGACCGGAAAGTGGAATAAGGAAAAAAGAAAACTCCTTCGGATGCACCCGATGTAATAATGTACAAGCTCGCCCATCAATCGCTCAAATGCCCTTCGTCGGTAAATGACCTTGGCATCAAAAATGCTCCAAATTTCGCATTCATCTCTGCTTTCCCCAAGACTCAAGCAATCGCGCTACCTTCGTTGGAGCCGGTATTAAACAAAGGGTGGGCCTCGAGCTGGCGGAGAAGCTCTTGATAGAGCACTAACATAGTGCCACTTTGCACACTTGTCCACACAAATCGCGGACCCACGCCGCGGAACCACCCGGCAATTCCTTCGGTCTTGTAAATGCGAGCCAGACCTGTCAGCACTGAAGATGTATCGAGAGTCTCCGATCCCGGGCGAGGGGTCGAGGTGGATGGGGACGAGGTTGAGATAAGCCGCATTTGATGTCGCCGGCTGGACGGTGCATGTAAACGACCACTCCGCTTCGCAGCTTCTTGGAGAGAAAGTTTGGAGTGAGCCTGCTGCGCAGAGGACTGCTCACTACCCGCTGGATTAATTTGTGTTTGTATGCGAGTCTTCACAACATCCAACGGACACGTGATGACGCCCGCTAAGCCTCCCGCAGATGCGCCTGTCAAAATTTCCAACGGTAAGCCGATGCTTTTTGATCCAACCCATTCCTTGGCCCACTTCTGCTCCTGTTCGTAGAAGGCAAATTGCAATGCTGAGAAGGGAAGGTCTCGAAACAATGTCGCTCTATAACCGTAAAACAAAGCCGAAAATCCTTCTTGCCGAACAATGGTCCGCGCCGCATCCAGAGTAGATCGGTAATTATATCCAGAATGGAAGAAAGGGTTATTGTAGCGACCCTGGAGTTGCAAACGGGTTTTGAGAACCTCAGACGGGACATAGACTGTAGATGCAGCGAGATCGGCGAGAAATCCTATCAATCCGTCAGCAAATGAATAGATATAGCTACCATCAGACTTCCTGGTGCTCGCGTACCTCCAGTCAAGTAGGCAACCGAAGGTATGACTCCGAAATCTATCATGTGCCGTTTGCTGCATTCATACGTCCCGAAAAATATCAATGTACCTGGGAAAGATCCGAGAAATGCAGGTGTAACTCCGCTGTATAGTCCGCGGACAAATCCTTCTTGCCGAAGAATCTTAAGATAAGATGCTGACATTGACGTGTATTTCGGAGGAATATGAGTGTCGCCTTGTTGTCTCGTCTTAACCGTGTCTAGCGAGTGCATAAGGAGATCACCTGTCGTTCCTCCAAGGCCTCCAGCTATTATGGACTGCGAGATTGACTTCAGCACGGGAGCGCAAGTGATGATTTTTTCCTCCGCAGAAAACAATGTCGTGAGTGAAGAGGCTTACATGAAGATAAGGCGGCCGCCCCTCGGTCTCAACGTACGCATCGTCGATGTCCAAGTCTGTCAAAGTATGCCCTCTCTGGCCTGTTCCAAAATCTGGAGTGTCGGCAACCCCCGGGCTGATCCCATGACCGACATCTACATGGCTGACCGCCTGGGCGGAGGAGCTATTCGAAGAGGCAGGCGAAGAGAAGAAATTTGATATCAATGAAGATAATGACATGGCCCTCCAATGTCTTCTGTGGAGGCCGAACACTCCACAACCTTGTTATCCCAGCTGCTGCTAAGACAACTTTATGATCGACCACTAGCTCCTTGCCAGGGTCGAGTCTGAATTGTTGATGATGGATTGTCTTACCACTGTGCGGTCATCAGTAATTATTTCTCGCGACTTTCGAGAGTGACCATTACGGAGTTACGGAGTTTGGGAGCGCCGACTCCGACCCTCAAAGGCCGAACGAGGGAAGGCGACAGGGCCGAAGGGGCGACGACCCGCCAGGGCCGCGGAACCCAGAAATTGACATTAAACCTGGACGCTTTCATAGCATATTGAATAAATTTCAATCACAATGAATGAGTGCCATGTTTTAGATCTTGTCGAGTCAATGATAAGATTTCATCTATACACAGTTCATGGCTTCCTTATGGCATCCATTTTCAATCAGTTTATTTCATTTGACGCCTCAAGCGAGAAAAGCATAGGGCATCTTCAAATGTATCTAAATCAGGTCACGTGAATGAGTGACGGAGAGGAAAGGTACGTACCTGTTGACACTCGGTGGTCGAGGAAGACCTAAAGCGCAGCGCTTCCTCGATCACGTCGCGCCCCGAGTCAAAACAAAGTGGGTGGTAGGTATTTGTTGTGGCTTCCCCCACCACCTCCAAAGCTTGCGCGCACTGCATTCCTTCGTCTCAGCCTTCACCTGTGACCAGCATAACGTTTCTATAATCTCTCTCAAAGACAGTGAATAAGGGTACTCTTCGCGCGCCTATATTGGACAATTTGAAGCAATGTCTGTGCCTTCGTCGTGGCTGCAGAAGCAGCGGAAAAGCGACCTGGTTGGTCTCGCAGATCAAGTCGGACTCAAAGAGTGAGACTACCGAATTGACTTTGTAAAACAGAGCTTCTGTGAAGAGTACAATGCTGACAACTCATACTTTAGCTATGAGAGCTTGAAGAAGACCGATCTTGAAGTAGCGCTTGATGAATTCCTGCGCGCAAACCAGAGCAAGTTTGCTAATGAATCGAGTCTGATGCCTTTTTACAAGCGCATTGCGGCGGGATCACCCGTGAAGAAGGAAAGCGTGGCTGCTACTCCTGACTCTGAACCTAAATCTGCGAAGCCGAGGAGCCGAAAGATTGTTAAAGTGCGCGACAATATCGACTCTAGGTATGTTTTCCCGAAGTTGTGGGAGTGGCGGTCTTTGTTGCCAAAATACAGGTGTTAACACCACAGCAGTGAACATTCAACGCCAGAAGCGAGTAGAACGGCAATGGTGACGCGAACTCCTCGCACTAGTTTAGGGTTCCCTTCGCCTGTTAACCTTCCTCCATCTCCGGCTGCTGTCGCGGACGCCATTGATCGCAGGACGGCAGATGTACGTTCAAAGATTGGAAAGGCGTGGGAAGGGACTGGCGTCACAAACTCAGCAGAAGGTCTTCGGGAAGTTCTCAGTAGTGCTGTTGGAGTAGAAACTTTGGTACTATTGATTGAAGCATGCGGCCTGTTTCCGGAGGTGTTGCCGCTTCGTTACCCTTTCAAAATCCCAGCACAGCCAGCTATTGGACTTCAATCTGACCTTCCAGTGCCCATTCCAGACCTGTTCCTATTGCTGACGAATTCTTTCTGGGGCCCATTTACTTTATGGCTTTCAACCACTCTCCTTGTGCCGCTCGCGTTTGCGTATTTCTTCAATCTTACCCTCCATGCGAAGAGCAGTCACGCGACACACTCCCGAGTTGTGAAGCCTACTTACAGATTTGACCCATTGGCTTTCAATGTCGTCAAAGGTCTGATCACATGGCTGGTTTATTCACAGGGAGTTGGCTTTGGAGGTTGGTTGAGGAGTGAGAATGTCGCAAGAGTTGATGCCGCCATTCCTGGTGGCCATACCGGAATTCTGATTGGAGCAGGAGTTGGTGCGCTCGCCAGCATCTACGAAGCTATTCTGAAGAAATAATCGATAGGATTGCACGACTTCCAGGGGAACATGTTGCAGAAAAAGTACCGGCTATGCCACGGTTATTTTCCACACTCAAAATTCACTTTTGAATGTGTTGCAGCGACTTTTATCTTTGAAACTTTTGGGTCCCTCTCTCGCCCTTTGGCCTTTGTAATTCTTGGCTTTTCTTTTTCCTGTTTCTCTTTTTCTTTTTCATTTTTCAAACCCCGAGTCGGCGGTCTTGGTGCTGGCGTTGATTGATGACTTGTTCGTGTTTTGTGGACAGTTTTTTGTTGAAAGACATCATTATACTATGCAGGAAATTGTATTTTTTTAAGCAATTTCAACCAATGCAAATACTTCGGGCTCTGCAACCTCATTGCGGTCTTTGTTGAAAAACTTCCGTTTCTTTGTTGCAATTGGCCTAAGCATCTGCACCTGAGAGCTTTTCGGATTGAATTAGGAAATTGGAGAATAGTTTCTAAATCGATCATCGAGATCGAAGGATCGGAGAAAATCTCCAATGAGAGAGTAAACCGAAAATCTCATATCGAAACATTTTAAAATTGTATATTGCTCATACCAATTGTACAACGAAGTAATCTGCCGTGTTTTAAGGTCTGAAGTGTGACGGACTACCGAATGGAGCGAAGGGGTCATACGGAGGATCCCCGGTACTTTTTGAGCGAGGCGGCTCCGGAGAAACTCTTGGCATTTGAGCCCCCACTGCGAAAAGAGATGGCGATCGAACACTAATTGTGTGAGCCGCACAACTGTTTGACTTGCATCTTCAGCAACAATAACGTCAGGGATTGCAGAAGCTGCTATTTTCATCAGTAGCGCTTGAATTTGTCGTTGTATCTCAGGCTTAGTGATTGCAACGTCGCATCTTGCGAGATCTCGCCACACTATCTCAAACTTTCCTCGTCCGAACGAGTCATCGGTTTTTTCCTTTTCTTGAATTTAGAGAAGCATACCAACAACAACAACCACCAAGATGTCGTTAACAAATTGCCGTTTCTACGAGGAGAAGTATCCGGAGATCGACAGCTTTGTCATGGTCAATGTCAAGCAGGTCAGTCGGGTTGAGTTCCTTTTTCGACTCTGACGAAGCGCTGATGAGGAGAATACAATAGATCGCCGAGATGGGTGCCTACGTGAAACTTTTGGAATACGACAACATCGACGGCATGATTCTGCTCAGCGAACTCTCAAGACGTCGGATAAGAAGTATTCAGAAGCTTATTCGTGTCGGACGAAACGAAGTTGTTGTTGTTCTTAGGGTTGATAAAGAGAAAGGTTTGGATTTACTTTCGTCCGCATTTTCCATTTTCCATACTAAATAATCACTCTCACAATAGGTTACATTGACCTTTCGAAGCGACGTGTCTCTCCTGAAGATGTTGTCAAATGCGAGGAGCGCTATAACAAGAGCAAGATGGTGCACTCTATTCTCCGCCACGTCGCCGAGAAGACGAAGACTCCTATTGAAGAGCTCTACCAGAACATTGGCTGGCCTTTGAACCGGAAATACGGACACGCAGTTGATGCTTTCAAGCTTTCAATCACGTATGTACCATCTATGTCACGGGGGAGGATGCGCGCTGACCGCCAATGTTGCAGTAACCCTGAAGTTTGGAACGATGTGACTTTCCCCAGCGAAGTCATCAAGGAGGAGCTTTGCTCTTACATCAGCAAACGTCTCACACCCCAGCCTACGAAGGTCCGTGCCGATGTCGAAGTCACCTGCTTTGGATACGAGGGTATCGACGCTGTCAAGACGGCTCTTCGCTCCGCCGAGGAGAAGAATACCGCGGACACCCAGGTGAAGGTCAAATTGGTTTCTCCTCCCCTCTATGTCCTTACCAGCCAATGTCTCGACAAAAACTCTGGTATTGAACTTCTGGAGGCGGCCATCGAGAATATCCAGTCGAGCATCAAATCAGCGGGAGGCAACTGCGTAGTCAAGATGGCACCCAAGGCGGTCACCGAGAATGATGATGCTGAGCTTCAGGCTCTTATGGAGAAGAGAGAGCGTGAGAACCAGGAAGTCAGTGGAGATGAAAGCCTCAGCGAGAGTGATGAGGGTGTTGTGTAGATCACATGGTTAACGCGTAAATGTATATCCTGGGGAAAAGTTCATTAAAACACGAAATTCATTTTTTCAAATTCAATTGAGCTTTCACTGTGCAGCGGCTGGACTTTGATAATTAAGTAGGTTGGACTGAATGAGATTTTTGACAACCGGGATGCGTGCTGTGTCCCAGTCCGTAGTATATAAGGTATCTTATCGGAGTGCATAATTCCGGATTTGCTGGGTCGCGTCGCGCGCAATGACCACAGACGGAAACGGAGCTGTCGTCATTTAAAGTTTCTGCCCTCCCAAACTCGTTTTCTCATCAGTTTCTCAAGTATTTACTTTGAATCACCTTCTCGATTTCCGAGTTGTGTGGGATTACGATTGTGGCATTCTCCGTCTTGCCCCTCTTTTGTCACCGTTCTGTGATCCGAGAGAGAACGGCTGAAGCTCCCCGCGAGCTTTACCAGAGCTATGGTACAATGGAAGCGGTTGTTTAACATCAATGACGACACTGGCAGACGATTTTACGCAGATGAAGCCAGCCACTGTAAGAAATTTGAACTTGAGTGTTTTTCTGGCCGGTAGACATTTTACTAACCATGATCATTGATAGTGCTGCCCACGCATAGACAAGAAGCAATTCGTTCCGCGTTCCCTGCCGAAGAAGTCACCAAGGTAGCGCTTCGCCTCAAATATCAGATTGAACAAGTCATACCTTGCGAGCTGGAAGAGGCACAAATTGTTAAGGCTCATTCCCCAATATTAACGCATAAAGTGCAGAAGACTGCTGCAAAGGCAGGCGGAGACGAGTATGGCGCTTGCGTAGTATATTGTTTACTTGTTTGCAAGAAATGGTTCAAGCGGCAGGCGACATTAGAATTGTGGGACGCTGATTTACATAATGTCCGCGCTGTTGCGTGCGAGATGCTTGCAAAGCATATGTGTGTTAGCCTCTCATATTTCTTGCTTGCGCGAAATGCTGATCCTTCTACTAGAATTGAAACCCAAGAAGACCAACAGTATCTCCTCCAAGACGTCCTTCTTCGTCGTTATTCCATTCTTGTGAATGGAAAGGAATCTTTGGCGGCGAATGTCGTTGAGCGAGCCGTAGACCTTCATGCATTGCGGGTAATTGGGTCGTCCGGATATCAGAAATGCATAAAATATCTCTGGAAGGGGTGGCTGGTTCAAGACGAGAACGACCCGTCCACATTTATCGACTATGTGCAAAAAGCCAATACAAGCTATTGGGCACACTTCGATCCAGATCGTATGCGTGCACCAATTTACCAGAACTCCCTGCAAATATTCTTTTCTTTGGCCTATCTGGGCTTGTACACCGGCGCAATCAATACAATAAACCGAACTGGAGACCTTGACCTTGTTGAGGGATTGCTCTATGCGTTCACTTTGGGATTTATCTGTGACGAGATCGCAAAGTTCTGGAAAGTTGGCAGGTACTACATCGGATTCTGGAATGTCTTTAACAGCACTTTATACGTACTCCTCACCATATCTTTCGTGACCCGAATGGTTGCCCTTGGATATCCTCTACACGATCATGATGGCCGCAGGGAGCACTTTAACGAGTTGAGCTATAACTTTCTCGCATTTTCGGCGCCAATGTTCTGGATGCGTATACTTTTATATCTTGACACTTTCCGATTTTTCGGCGCAATGTTGGTGGTTTTGAAGGTTATGATGAAAGAGTCCATCATCTTTTTTGCATTGCTGGCGGTGCTCATCGTTGGATTCCTCCAAGGTTTCATTGCAATGGATGACATCGATGACAACAACATCGTTACCTCATTCATTCTCCAATCCATGGCAAATAGTATCATGCAGAGCCCCGACTTTTCAGGCTTCCATAACTTTGCACCTCCGTTCGGAATCATCCTTTACTACATCTTCACCTTTGTAGTAATGGTTGGTGAGTAATTCTCTTGTCGACCGCCTTGATGCGTCATATGCTTACTCTGAATCACAGTCCTCCTGAACATTCTCATTGCGCTTTATAACAGCGCATATGAGGATATCACAGACAATGCTATCGATGAATACATGGCACTAGTAAGATCTTCTTGCAACCCTCAAGCGGTCTTAATTTATACTGACGCCCAGATTCTAGTTCTCTCAGAAAACAATGCAATTCGTCCGAGCTCCAGACGAAAATGTCTTCATTCCACGTAAGTGAAATATTCCCAGAAGCTCCCATTCATTGGTCTGCGCCTGAGCCGTTTCCTGATTCTTATCTTTAATTTAGCATTCAACTTAATCGAGATGCTCTTACTCATCCTTCCTTTTGAATGGTGGATGCCCAAAGCCACGTATGAACGTGTCAACGACTATGTCATGGGCGTCATTTACTCTCCTCTCCTCCTGCTCACCGCTTGGATCGAATCTCGTCAAGCGGCCGATGTGACGTCAAACCGTCAACGCGGAGAAGAAGACGATGATACCATTGAGGAATGGGAACAAATGGGTAATCACATTGACTTTGAGACCGAAGGCTGGTCCAAGGAAGTCGCACACACGGCGCCAAATGTTGAGATTAACGCCACGCTGCTCGAAGTCCGCGAACTCAAAGACCAGATCAAGGAACTGAAGTCTCTTGTCGAGGATCTAAGATTCTCTGGTAGTACCACAACACTATCATGATCTTCGCTATGGGTGATATGCGATGGTTCAGCACCTTCAAATCGAAGTATTGAATCTGTTCGCTATCGAGGTGACGGAGAAAAAAAGGAAACAGACTTATCTAGCATACCGTGATAGAAACATGAGCGCTGGAGACATTTCAGATTCGTCAGCTGCCGTGTTTACCCTGGTATTCATTCTGACTGTGCTTGCATAGCTTCAAAATAAGAGTCGAATTTATAAGTCTATTTCAAAGAGACATCTTTAAGATACATTCCTTCAATCTATCTGTAAGGCATGTGGCGACATATGATAAAAGCATATGAAAGTGTGTAGAGAAATTTACAGAAGATGCAACAGAATGGTCTAGCAAAGCCCGGCTTCATCGTTTGCCTCCGGCCTTCTCGACTTCCTCTGCAGCCTTCTTTTCCGCTTCGATCCGTTCTGCTTCATTCCGCTTTTCCTCAGCAGCAATCTGATCAGGTCGACGGACGGCAATATCCTTGGCCCTATAATCGCTGTAAAGCGCTTTGAGACCCTTTTCAACGGCCCAACATCCAATGTAATCAAGCGCCATGACGGTAGTCAGAACCACCTTGAAGTTAGTACTAAAACGAACCAGCTTCATCTGCTCATTGATCTCCGGAACAAACTCTGTGGCACATGAAAATGCAACACCTGCGGTCAGGACGAGCGAGTAATACATTCCGCTATTCTCTTTGATAGACTCTCGGAATGGCCGACCCTGATAGTTGATGGCAAAAGTCGAAATCTGCTGAATAAGTTGGAGAAGATACACGGCGCTATTCAAAAGTGAAGGCTCAAATTTGCCCTCGAGATCAACATCGTCAGACTTCCTGCAAAGAGCGTTAGTATTGATTCTCTACGGTAGAAAAAGCCCATATCTCGGAAGAACTTACGGTTCAATCTTTTGGACGTAGTTCGAGATGTACAAAAGGGTGACAATATGAATTGCGAATTGACCAAGCACAGAGCCGACCACATAAGCGTTGAAAATTGTTGACTGAGGTCGCTCTTTCGATAGTTTGTCGACGGGCTATAGACACTATTAGCACAGACAATGCGAGATATTCACAACGCGATAAACTCACTTTAGCACGCGAAATGGACAAGGAGCAGATGCTAACCAGCATTCCGCTAATGGTAGCTTGGCGATCACCAAATTTAATTCCGTCAAGGTAGAGAACACTCAGACTGTAGGCGCTAATGAGACAGTTCAGGGCAAGGATTTTGTACATCTGAATGGTAGCAACTAGCGTGCAACGGCCTTGCCGAATGATGTGTGAGATAGCAACGACGTTCGCCAATTTGCTTGTAAAAGGCGCTGCGACCGAGGCGTCTCCAAGTTTGATCTGGGGAGGCTCGGCTTCGTTTAGTTGAGACTCGAACATCGAATTCGTAAGTTTATCCGCAAGGGTAGCTGCGGCTTGTTGAGCCTGTTGCTGACGCTGTTGTTCAGGAGTAGCATTCGCATTGGCTTTTTGGAGAGCTTGTGCACCAGGAGATGTTATCGTAGGGATACCGTCGGCCTTGTCTTTCTCCTCGGATCCGATATCCACGGCTCCGGCGGCGGTCATCTTTTCGGCCTGCTGAAGCATGGCCTTTTCGTAGTGAGGATTAGATGGACCTGGAGGATAGAGATGGGCAATTTGCAGAGGGACAGGAGGCGCAGGCTGATTGAAGCGCTTCATAACCGAACATTGCTGCTCATAGATCTCTTTGAATTTGGTAGTTCGGGCATGTTCAGCAATGCGATTCAGGTCGTCTTGTGTGCCATTAAGGAGCGCGACGCCAACATGAGCTTGCTTCAGTGCACCCACGTCGTTGGTGCCGTCACCGCACATGAGTGTAGTGTAACCAGCATCTTTGAGCCCTGTCAAAATATCCTCTTTCTGTTTCGGCGAGACTCGCGCATACACCCAAGTATGGCGCAAAAGATCGGGCAAAGCGGGCTGACCAGCGAATTTAGCCAAGGCGTATCCAGTAACACAAATATCCTTAGTTGCAAGAATCTCTTTATCCAAGGCCTGAGAGGGGTCGACTTCAATCTGAATCTTGTTGTCGACACTGTGCCACACTAACCGAGTTCCGGTTTCATCATGTTCGGGAGCGTCCAGAATGAGGATATCACGGTCAACGATTTCAACTTGACGAGCAACGTGGGCTGCGGTCAAAGGATTATCGCCAGTGATCATAACGACACGATGGCTGCTCTCATTGAGCATCCGAACCGTTTTTGCGGCATCCTCTTTAAGAGGACATTGCAAAACAAGGAAACCGGCAAAGTTCAAGTCACGTTCGACTTCTTCCCGTTTGAGCTGGTTAATCCTTGATTGTCCCAGCTCGCCTTCTCGGGCTAAATACTTGTATGCCAGAGCCAAGACTCTTCCTCCATTTCGAGTGAAATGCCTGAAAGTTTCCTCGTAGTTGGATGGAACATGAACAAGCATCTTCTGTATTGTTTCAGGCGCTCCTTTAACGCCGACAAACGTACTTTTCGCGCTTTTCGAAGTATGACGATCGGTGGATACGATGGTAGCTATAGAGCTCTGACGCTTGAGGGCGGAGGAAAATTGGAATCGCCTCTTGATCTGGACAGTAAAGGCGCTGTGAGAATGAGATTTTCCTTTCGATAACAGTGCCTTATTGGTTAAGATATCATGTCGTCCGAGTTCCCAGCCTAGGGAGGACAGGGTTGCCTTTTCCATGGGATCGCCAACAATCTCTCCCTCATCTAGCATCACAAGAGCATGAGCAGTTGAGAGAACAAGGGTAGTCTCCTGACCAGCTTCCAAGACCGGCGTAACTTCGTATTCTGAGGTTGCTTTCTTTTCCCCTGCCGAGAGAGATAATCCAGCAACTCCATCGACTACAAGATCTTCTCCTGTGAGAGTTCCTGTTTTGTCAAAACAGGCTATATCCACTCTCCCGGCAAATGGAATTCGGAAGGGTTCTGTGCAGTAAATCGCGAACCTGCTCAAAGCAGCCAGGCTTGTGTTGACAGCAAGGCTAAGAACCATGGGAAGCTCCGGAGGAACAACGTTGGTGATGATAAGGACGCAGTCCAGCAGCAGCTTTGAACGCTTGCGGTCTTTCAAGACCCCTTCCTGCCAAACATACCAGGAAGCAGCGAGCGCGAACATCAACAGGAACAAAATGAAGAACAGCGCCTCGAGGTTGTTGGCAGAAACTCGTTCGGTGGAATAAATCATGGTGCGGACCAGAGTTCCTTGACTGGTCTCAAAGCCAGTTTTGATAACAACTGCCAATGCTCCATTGTCCGGCGCAGATTTAATGCCAGATGGCAGCGTAGGTGTAGCCTCAGAAGACCCTTCAGTCACGTTACCATGAGTTATTTGAAGAACTTTGGTTCCACCAAAAAGGAAGGCGTTTTTGTCCAAGCCCTCAGGCTCGATTTCGGCGTCTCCGGGTCGAAGTGCGACGGAATCCTTAAGCAAAGGCGTACTCTCTCCAGATAACATCGCCTCGTTAACGATTGCACCCCCTTCCACAAGGAGAAGGTCACAAGCCACACCGCTATCTTCCTTGGTACGGCCGACAGACACCAGATCGCCTGGCAAGAGGCTATCGCTTCGAGTTTCGGTCCATTTCCCGTCGCGATAAACCCAGATATCATAGGGCTTGATACCCATTCCCCGAAATTCGGTCAAAGTTCTCTGTCTTTGCCATACCACAGTGCTTTCGAAAGCGACCAGCATGAAAAGAGTGAAGAGGGAGTAGTACCAATAATCATCAAGCATCCACAAGCCAACACAGAATACCTGGAAGACGAAAAAAGGAGCAACCGCATGCTCCTTGAAGAGTTCTGTAAACGTTGGCACAGGAATATCAAAAGTATTGGCCCCATAATGCTTAGTAAGTCTGGTCACATCAGCGGAGTTTAGCCCGCGTGACTGCTGGAAAGTTTTGATCGCAGGCTTCGGATCACTGTCCAATGCAAAGGACAAAGGTGCAAATGATCGTGTCTCTGGGTTGTAGAGGAACCGGCGCTTCTGGAAGAGGAAGGAGAGGCTGACTTTCCCGGTTGCCTAGACACAGTAAGCTGCTGAATGAAATAGACCAGTAATTCTTCGACTTACAGGGTCACGATCCCGCAACAGATTGCATATTTCGGCGATACCTGCATTCGTAACGGGGATCACTTTTATGAGCTTGGCTTGCTCAACATTCTGAGCCGTTGTAGAAGTGAAAAGAGCTCTCAGTTCAACATTCCAGAAAGTGCTGAGCCAAACCAATGCTTGGAGTGTTATTATGGTACCGGACCAGACGAAGGTCCATTCAGAAGATTGAAGGTGCTTCTCATAGCGTTCCGGAGAAAGATAGAAAGCAAAGAAGACCGGCCAGATCAAGAGGAACGGCCAAATGTATGCGTGCAAGGTAAAGGGCAGTGGGTTGTGGAGCGTGGCAGATTTGATTTGGGCATTGTCAACGAGGGGAGCCCTAAAGTCGAATTAGCATATAGTTGATGGGAGGAGGGAATAATTTGAATCATACATGGTTCCGCAAGGCGAATGTCCGCCGAGGGACCGGGAATTGAAAGACAGGTGGCAGAAAGGAAGTTAAAGAAGTAGCTTCAAATTCAGGTCTGCATGGAGAGGCTTTTGCTTTCTAAATGGCAGAGAGCAAGCCGATGAAATCACCCTTCGATTGAAATGTATATCTTCTACGCAAGACTTGTTGCGCAGAGAGCTCTGAATCGTCTGATGATAGGCGCTGTTGCATAACAACTTTATTCGATATAATTCCGTATGAAAGGAAGATTAGGTAATTTCAGCATAGCTGAGTTCTCTCCTTCGCCGTAAGATAAACTTCATTCTACGGCGGGCGATGGATCGCGGGGCGCGCAGTTTGACTCACTGAGCGAGGGGAGCTTTTGCCTGTGATAAACTTTGTTTCCAACAGCGGCACGCATTTCTCTTTTGTTTCAGGGTATTGCTCCAACATGGATGGACAAACTACTCTTCCAGAGCGTCCGAAGGAGCCAGCTGCTCCTACGGAGTCCGCTGCAAATAATTCTCCAGCCGTTGAACAGGCTACTAAACCCGCGAAAGCGCCCAAGAAACCAAAGCCGCCAAAAGCCCCGAAAGCGCCCAAAGAGCCAAAGCCTCCGGCTCAGAAGAAGCAGAGCGCACCGAATGTGCCAGCTCCTCCTGCAGACCCTAATTCCATGTTCAAGGAAGGGTTTCTCAAGGCGGTTCATGCGGAACGACCTGCAGAGCGTGTTTTCACTCGATTCCCCCCCGAGCCAAATGGATATCTTCACATTGGACATAGTAAGGCGATTGCGATCAATTTTGGATTTGCGCGATACCATGGCGGAGACTGCTATTTGCGATTTGACGACACAAATCCCGAGGCGGAAGAAGAGAAATATTTCGTTGCTATCCGAGAGATGATTGAGTGGTTGGGTTTCAAACCATATAAAGTAACATATTCCAGCGACAATTTTGATAAGCTTTACGAGCTTGCAGAGGAGCTTATCAGGAGGGACAGAGCCTATGTCTGCCACTGCTCAGGTCTGTTGATCAATTTTCCTTTACTCCTCACTCCAGCTAATGTCGATAATTCCAATCTGCAGATACCGAAGTCAAGCAACAACGAGGCGGCGAAAACCACGGTCCCCGTTATGCATGTGTCCACCGCAGTCGCCCTACCGAGGAATCTCTTCAAGAATTCCGTGCTATGAGAGACGGCAAATATAAGCCCAGGGAGGCTTTTCTTCGCATGAAGCAAAACCTTGAAGATGGCAATCCTCAGATGTGGGATCTTTCTGCGTATCGTGTCTTGAATGCATCTCACCACCGAACCGGCGATAAATGGTGCATCTACCCTACCTACGACTTCACCCACTGCTTGTGTGATAGCTTCGAGAATATCTCCCACTCATTGTGTACAACTGAATTTCAGTTGTCTAGAGTTTCTTATGAGTGGCTTTGCGATGAGCTTGATGTATACAAGCCCATGCAGAGAGAGTAAGTCATCCCTAGTACGTTAGCAGGATATGGCTAATCCTTGGCCGTCAGGTATGGACGACTCAACGTTACAGGAACGGTCCTTTCGAAGCGCAAGATTGCCAAGCTTGTCAACGAACATTACGTTCGAGGCTGGGACGATCCCCGACTTTATACCTTGGTCGCTCTGCGGCGACGTGGTGTGCCCCCTGGTGCAATTCTCTCCTTCATTAATGAGCTGGGTGTCTCAACGGCTCTTACAAACATTCAACTTGCTCGATTCGAGCAAAGCGTCCGTCGCTATCTCGAGACAACCGTGCCACGGCTCATGGTAGTTCTCGACCCCATTCCGGTCGTGATCGAAAACTTACCCGACGGGTACGTGGAAGAGGTTGAAGTGCCTTTCTCGCCCAAGGATCCGTCTATGGGCGGCCACGTCGTTCCTTTCACGAAAGTCGTATACGTCGACCGCAGCGATTTCCGAGAGATTGACAGCAAGGATTATTTCCGTCTCGCACCAGGAAAATCTGTTGGACTCCTCAAAGTTCCTTACCCAATTAAGGCCACCACCTTTTCGAAGGACCCTACTACTGGCCTTGTTACCGAAGTTCGTGCCGTCTACGAGAAGCCAGAGGAAGGTGCAACTTTCAAAAAGCCAAAGACATATATTCAATGGGTTGGTTCCTCGGAAAAGCACCATTCTCCCGTCAAGGTCGAAGCACGCATGTTCTATTCTCTTTTCCGCTCGGAGAATCCTGATGCTACTGAGGGCGGTTTTATCAACGATATCAACCCCGACAGTGAACAAATATTCCCTAATGCTATGGTTGAGACTGGCCTAGATGATGTGCGCAAGCGTGCGCCCTGGCCGCAGGAGGAAGGAGAGAAGAACATTGCCAACAAGGATGCGGGTTACGAGACTGTGCGATTTCAAGGCTTGAGAATCGCATACTTTTGCTTGGACAAAGATAGCACTTCCGACAAGCTCGTCCTTAACAGAATTGTTGGTCTGAAGGAGGATGCCGCAAAGTCATCTTAGAGGTTCTCCATCTGCATTAAATTGTTCCAAGCATCTATATAGTAGACGCTAGAGGGAGTGAATCAGCTATGCCCTTTGATTCACAATATCAAGCGGATCCGAAAGTACCGTTAGATAGCATCGAACTTTAGGCCTTTAAATTTCGGCCAGTGACACTTTCTGGGTTCGAAGGTTTTTTAACAAGTCAAATACAAAACTGGAAAGACTTTTGTTGTTCTCCATAGGGCAAGAAATTCGTGCTGAAAATTGATATGACCTGGGTCCGTATAAGTGCGAAAATTGTATCTCCGATAGCTACCCGTCAGAGGGAAGCAACGCGAAACAACCGAGATGCACACTATGACGCAGTTGTCCTCCCCGCGTTTTCCACCAACCCCTGTCAATAACGATCTCAAGACTACCACTTGATGCGAAGTATCATAATTTTCTCTGTTCTTGCCGCTGGGCGATGCCACCTCTGAAAATGACCAATATAATTCCTCTCTCCGACATCCCAACCATCGCCCTCCTCTACAAACTGCACCGACTACAACCTTCATCGTCCTCCACGGCTAGAGCGTCACAAGTCTTCAACAAGAAGATCTCAGTGATTCGAAACGACATCACAAAGCTTGAGGTATGTCTCAGATCGTGAACTGTGCTAATTATCATACACATATGAGTAGATGATATTGGAAATATGCGTTGGAGACGCTAACGTCTTGCTCTCGCAGGTTGATGCGATTGTGAACGCCGCAAATGAGTCTCTCCTTGGCGGAGGAGGTGTTGACGGTGCGATTCATAGGGCTGCTGGACCAGAGCTTGTGAAGGAATGCCGGACGCTGAATGGTTGCCATACTGGTGATGCTAAAATCACAAAGGCATACAAGCTCCCATGCAAAAAAGTTATTCACACGGTCGGACCTATTTACTGGAACACCAAAAAGACTGGCCACCATACTCCACTACTGCAAGGATGCTATCGACGTAGCTTAGAGCTTGCAGTCGAAAATCAATGCAGCAGCATTGCCTTTCCGGCTATCAGCACCGGAGTCTATGGTTACCCTAGCGGGGAAGCGGCGGAAACTGCACTCACCGAAGTTAAACACTTTTTAGAGAGTGGCAAAGGGGATAAGCTGGAGAGAATTATCTTCTGCAACTTCGAGGCCAAGGACGAAAAAGCGTATGAGGAGTGGATTCCGTGAGTGTTTCCTATTTCTTTTGGGGGGGCTGACTCTAACCCTTTTATTCCAGTCGATTCTTTCCACCCACTGAAGAAGTTGAGAGTGGTTCCCCAGAGAAGGGTGAGTCGCTGGCACGGAGCTTACCCGATCCACCTTTGAATGAACCCCTCGCCGACGGAGAGCCGCAAGCTAAGAAGCAGAAGGTCAATCCTAAACTCAGTACCCGCTTGTCTTCGCCTGATGAATCTTCTGGGGATGATTCGCCGGTTGATTCCCAGCGATCTGCTGCGAATACAGAGCTGGACAAGGTCGGGGAAAACTAAGAAAAATCAATACCGATGGAATGGACTCTGAGCCTACTTTTTAGGACAATGCTCCAGGTTGTTGTGAGCTTTTTCACATTACGTTTATGGTGTATGGCGCAATGATGGATGATGGTGATCCACCGCCAGTCTAACTCCATGCTGGAATTGCTTTACTCTGAGGCTCGAGCTCTTGAATTTCAGGCACGAAGGATTGACTGATTGCATTTCACGATGGTTTCGAAAAATGGTATTCCTCACTGAGGAGAATCGCAAACGAAAAGTAGTTGCCTTTTTAAAGTCCAATACAAATTTCTAAGCATTTCAAAATAATCCAGCTCAATTATTGACAATTCTTAAGTCCGCATAATTCAGAATCCATAATCAGCTAGCTCAAAAAAAAAAGTCGATTGTTGTTGAGTAAAATTGAGAACTACATGAGTATAGAGATTTCTCAACTACAGGCAATGTGAGCGTGTCAAAGCATTTTACGCCATTGGGGTTGAGGAAGAACGAAAAGGATTTCTCCCCCAAAACCAATTACCGGACAGGATGCCAACGGAAATCACAGTCAACCTTAGCTTCCTGATAATAAAGGGATATAGAGGACCCCTACAGTGTCTGCTAAGTTCGGCTTTACTCGCAATAGTTCAGTGATAGCTCCAAAGCATTACAATAGGCATTCCAGAGAGTAAACAGCAACCTCAGGCGCTAAGCGCGTTGGCCAATGGGGCGCTAAACTCCACGTGGGCGGAACTACCCAGATTATCCGATCCCTGAAACCACAAGCGACAGGCCTGCATGATTCCGGAAATAAATGTACCGGAGCACCGTATTTTCCGGAGACCCTCTGCAAGCTACCTGATAACTAGTCATCCTCCTCTTTCGGACTCATTGAATAATCTCGTTTCCCTCCTTCTTCACCTCAATTCCTCCGCCACCTGGCCTTTTGCCTTGGAAATTCTCTGCACTAGAATTCCGTTCGACTCTTCTTTCTAGCTCGAGAGCTCTTCGAAACATTCAAACACGGAAAAACACAGCCTGCGAGGTATAAACCAGCTTCGCGAAGATCATAACAACGTCCTCCGTGGGACAACACAAAAAGTCATGTTCCGAGCTCGGAGCATATTCCAGCTCTTCAACGACACTCTCAAAAAACGACCCTTGTCCAGTTTCGCCAATGCGCGTCAAGAGTCTCAGTCTCAGGCTACACGGCCGTCTGTGTTTTCCGGATCAGCATGGTACACCTGGGCATTCATCACATGGGTGCCCGTCTTCGTCTTCCTGCATGAACACGTCTATGACTTGATGTGGGTGCGCGGTCCTAGCATGGCGCCGGCCTTGTCGCCCGATTTCCACGCTACAGGCCGTCGGGACGTCGTGGGCGTGAATATGTGGGATGCAAAAGCAAATCTGGAAAGAGGAATGATTGTTGCGTTTCGGTAAGTGATGCCCTCCTTCCCTTTCCCCCCCCCCAAAAAAGAAGTGTTAGAGTGTAAGAGTTCTAATTGTGGAGTAACTCTTATTTCTTAGGTCACCGCGTAATCCAGAGCGAATTGCGCTGAAGCGGATCATTGGGCTCGAAGGAGATATTGTGATGGCGCGGAATCGGTATCCGTTTCCCAGGGAGACCGTGCCGCAGGGACATGTGTGGGTTGAAGGAGCAGATCAGGCTCGATCGTTGGATAGTAATGATTACGGACCGGTACGTCTATGTTTGTTTTGCACCTTCAATTGGTGCAGCGACACTACTCAACTTTAGATATATCAAGAGTATCAAGAGAGAAAAGGGGGAGCTCAGGCGCTGACATGGTATTTTTTTTGGCACTGATATAGATATCGACAAGCCTCATTACGGGTCAAGTGACGCGCATACTTTGGCCTCCGTCTCGAATGGGTAAAATCTCCAATGACCGCAGTTGGCGTCGCAGGGTGTTGTCTATCGGGATACCGCCGGGCTTTGTGCACGATTAAGGATATTCGAATGGTTTCATGTCTTGCGCTCGATAATAACCGTAGAGGCAACGTCATTTGCCCCGGTCACTGTTGATATTTCAATTACCGCTTGCCAATTGCCTGGCACCGGACTATTTCATATTTTCCTGGGCTAAAAGATACAAAGAATACGGTACAGGAAGGAGGATTATAATAGTATAGATGAAAGCCCCAGGAAAGAAAAGGCATTCCGAAGAGTGGGTATATATATATGTACGCACCAGCAACCCTACTGTGCAAGGATGGGAAAAAATGCTAATACAGCTAGAAGTGAAAAGGATAATTCAAATCGCCCAAGGGAGCTACTCTGATACGAGCCTGATTTGCTCAGCCTCCTGAAGCCGTTCGATTTCAAGCCCTATACTGAGAACCCAATGGTCTCGCTCGGCGCGACTTCGTGCCTTGAAAACAATGGATCTGCCAGAAACTCCGAGTCTGGATACTCTTTTGAGATGTTGGCGCTTGCCATCTGGCTTTCCATCGTCTTTGGCTTTGACTATCGACTTCTTTGTCGGATGCCAGATGACGAAGCACGTCATGGTGTCTTCATCTCGCGAGGTCCAGCCATCGTCGGAGTAAATACGTGGAAGCGCGGAGTGACCAGGATTGTTGCTGTCAAAGGTTCGATCTTGGTATAGAAGGTCGCCTTCAGCGATCAAACCACTGTAAATATAACAGTCCCTCAAATCAATGGCGGCTTGCCGTTCATGATGTGTAGATGGAATTTCCGCGCCAGTACGCTTGCGAAGGGAATCATGAAAAATGAGTAACCGGCCGTTGGAAAGGATTACTTCGCAGCGTGCAAACGTTGAATGACGGCGCGGCTTTCTGTAGAGAACTCCCGAAATCTAAGATTAATTAGCGATCTTAATGCCATGTCACAGTTTATTAAATGTGGGTTCATACCGATATTGTTCGACATGCCGAGATAGGGCACATATTATATAATTCTGGTGATGCTACAGACCTTGTCACCTCCCATTTCTGTGCGAACTGGCCTAGAAGAGCCTCGCTCTGCTCATCAATCTTGAGTTCTTGCAGATTTTCCCGGCGCACTTTCTTAAAAAGTTCCAAATCGGTCGTTGTTCGAAGTTTCCAATACTTTATAAGGAGTCTGAGACGTGTCATCCATTCAGCCTTGGTAACTTTATCATATGCCTGTATTTCCTGTCAGTCAAATCAATTGCAGAAATGCAAGAATGCCCGTTACACCACTAAAATAGGACTCACTTGAAGACGGACAACAAGCCCGTTTTTCATAAGCAATTCAAATGTTCGATCATCATCAAATTGCCCAGTAGAGCCGTCGTCTCGGTGTGTATCAGCTACATCGGTATGGAAATCAACGTCTTCTCCTTCATCAATGTTCCGATCAGCCGGAGTGGCACCACGGACGACATTGCGAACCCTAACTACGTGGCAAAGGTTTATAAAACCATCGCAGTGAAGAAGGGTTTCAAATTTCCGTTGCGCCTCGTCACAGCAATCTGCGTCATGCTTTTCAATCGTCTCAGCGACGTCCGACTTCAACCATGAGATCTGTCCATTGTCCATGGCAAACGGATCCACGGCGTAGATGAGCGGAATCTTCTTCGTAATCTGGTTTGCCGTAGGGACCTTTGAGCTTTCGCTCATCGGGAAAATTGGCGGAGGTGGGGGTCGAGCTTTTGAAGGCCGGCAAAAGCAAAGATACTGATTGTGGGTAGTGAAATATAAACGTTTGAAGTACATCCTTCCTAACCGCTGGTCGAGCCCTCGTTGGGAGGTCAGCCGGATGAGAAAGCCTTCAATAGGCGGCGGCTCTACAATTGAACTGCCATCGCTGTCGGTAGCAGATGTAGCGTAATGTTGCTTGGGGCGTAACTCCAGTTCATGCGACTTCAGCATAGCGATTGTGCCATACATCTTTTGTTCGTTGCTGCCATGAATCCATTCGAGCCGATCATATCGTTTCCAAGCTAAGCCCAGTTTCTCCGACTTTATCCAGACGTCGACAACATTAGCCCACTCTGGGAGACCCCTGACAGTTTCAAGACACCTTTCTATGATTCTTCCTGCCACAGCACGTTCCTCCGCCATCATTTCGGCAATGGCTCCGGCATCGCCTTCGGCCGCCCGGGCTGCACCTTGCGACTTCTCGAGAGTCAAGAATGGATTGTCTAGGCGGATAGTGACACTGAGGTCCGGAATGTTGATCTGCAATCGATGCGACCGATGCTTGCCCAAGACGCTGCGTAAGAATGTATACCACTCCACTGAATTTGCGGCAGATCGAGGACGCATAATATAAAATCTCGTTCCGGATTTCCATGGAACCCAGACGACAACGGTCTTATCCAAGGAAGAGAAGAGGTTGACTTTTGTCGTCTTGGGATTTAGAGGAATCTCATGTTTTGCCCTCTTTTTGACGTGCGACTTGTCAACCACCGGTATGACTCGGCTTTGGTACATCTGGAGGGAAAAGTCGGCCTCATCATCAACTCCTTGCCGACATGCAACCACGAATTCCCTCCACTTCTCAACCGGTCGGCTTTCAGTCTTGAAACTATCGTTTTCATTGAAATCGCCTGGTAGCTGCTGCATCGTAGAATCGACCCGCACCAGCATCTTTTCGACCTTGACAATTTCGCCATCATGTTGCTTATTCCGACGATGCCTAAGAGAGCGTCTTCGGCCCATTTGAGCTACCATTAATCGCGCCGCATGCTCATTTCGCTTTGGGAGATCGAAATGCACAAATCCTGAACCATGGCGTTTCTTGGTCTCAGGCGTAGTCGTTGGAACAGGCTCTTCCGCACCTGAGTTGTCACTCGCTCTTGACTGGGACTTTGATCGCTTCGATGTAATTTTTGACAGAGGGTTCTTTCCTTTTGCAACAGCGGGAGGTTCGTCAGTCTGGGATGTACCGAGTGATTCTCCATTGCGCGTTCCGTGATCTAAGAGAGAAGCAGTCGAGTTGGTCGCGCCAGCAAAAAGCGGCGTGTCACCAATGTAAGAGCCATTTTGGCCCGCACTGTCGGCCGTTATTGAACTCTGGAGCGTACTGGGCTCAAACTCCTCAGGCTGCGATGGTACCTTTCCACTAGGGGAATCTCCTGGAGTCCGATTAGAGATGTATCATAGATGCACATATGCCATCTCACAACTTACTTGATGAACTAGCTTCCTCCAAAGGCTCCGGCGGCGCAAGGCCTTTCTTCCAGGATCTTCGATTCAGTCCATCTTCTCTTGCAGTCACAAAGGAGAGCTCGTCTGCGCTCTGAGTCGACGGGCCATTCTTGATAAGCTGAGGCCTTGTTTCGAACGAGACGGGCTGTGCGGGCGGATCTGAAGTTTCTTGGTCATCGACGCTCAGAACCTTCTGGTCTGTGGGAATTGCTGTATCATCTCCTCGGTTTGCTGTCTCGGGGTCCGTCTCTCCTGGCTCAATGGTCCGGGATCGTGGAACGGGTACTGCTGGTGGCTGTTCATTGGTGACTTCTGCATCTTCGCCTCCTCCATCTGGATCCTCTGCTTCGTCTCCAATATCGCCTTCAGCTTCGTCTGACTCGAGCCCATCGGGTTGCGGGAAGCTGTGTCCATACATGGCCATAGTGCTCGGCCCTTCCAGACCCGTGAGGCGCCGTTGTCGAGAAACATTTTCGTCCGCGGTGAAGGACGCAGTTTTGGTGGAATGGTCCAGAAGGAGGTAATGTTTATACCACTCGCGTCGGTGAGTTCTCAGCCACCCTGCCGGTAGAGGACCGATAAAGCATCTGCGCGTCGTCAAATGAAGATGTTCTGGGTTTGCATGTTGCTAAATCAAAAAGATATTCCAAATCAGTCTCACGTTTTGCAGCCCCTTGTCTTAAATAAAGAAAGCACCTATTCTTACCAACCGCTTGGCGGTGTATGAATCAGGTTTCAAAGCACCCAGACCTAAACGTTGATCGGCGGCAGCATCCTGCCTCTGTTGGGAAGGCTCCCCGCTCATCTGCAGAACGACGCGATGCTCGAAACGATACGCTCGCGAATAGTTCCGGTACTATGCAGAGATGTTGAATTAAATGAAGCACAGTATGAAAAAGGAATGAAATTTAACGTATGCTAAGGCAATATTTGTTTGTCTGCATGGCTCCAGAATCCCTCGACCGGAGGAGCGAATCATGACGGCCAACCAGCAGGCCAGCAGGGCGCAAGGCCGAAGCCAATTTCGGACCGAACCACCGACGTCAGCGAAAAGCACGTCCTCCGGTAATCTCCGCTCACACACGTTCCTCTCTTTGGTTAAGCCGGATCTGTGAACCACTAGTGATGGTTTTAGTGGAGGAGGGAAGTAATGAGTTACCTAATCTGATTGGCTTGAACTGTTGAACATAACTAACATAACTGATTAATGGTTATTGATTCAACCATGTCAATCTCTGGCCGAAGGCCTGCCCATACAGGTATTGTGCAAGTATGTCTCCTCCATCTCTCCTGTCAAGGTGAACCTATGATGAACATTAGCATTGATTTTCACATCATATGTTGCATAGAAGACAATGACTTTTTTTACTTCAATTCGGAAGCAATGGATAAATTATACATCGTTTTATGATTGAGGTTGTTTCCTGTTGACTTTTTACGCCATAGGTTAGGTAATCCAGGGTCCAAATGGCAAGCGAACTGGGGGGCGAAAGGATCCAACCAGAGGAAGGAGCGAGCTGTGGTGGAGGGGCTGTCAACCCTTTGCCTGATTTGATAGTGGTTACCCCATACCAGATGAACCGATGCCGACTGTACACTCCACTTCCACCTTGTTTCCAGTCCACGCAAGTCAGTAACTAAATCTACCCTTCACCGCTTTCGAGCATACGATTCATTATTGTGAGGCCTGGGACGCCCAACCGCTTGATCCCCAAGCTTTTACACTCCGCCTCAATTTCCCCTCAGAAGCTGTGTTCAAAAGCAATCGACATGTCTGCCCCTCAAATCCCCCCAGGCGGTACCTTTTTCGACACCATCAAGGAGTCGTTTGCCGATGTTCCTGTGGACGCGGCCAACGATGATGCCATTTCCACGGAGCAATTCCTTGAGGCCGCTGATGCCCTCGCAACTCTCTTTGGTGAGACACTTCCTCTCTGTTAAACCGGGATATAATAATATTCCGTATCAGAATCATTATACTAATGCCGTTCGCTTTCCTGCAGATCTGCTCGCCTCTGTCGTCTTCGTCCCCGTGAAGCAGGATATTCAAGGCAACGTCAAGGTCAGTTTTTCATGCTGGCCTCGTCGAGTTCGAGCAGCATATCATGGGACCGGGGAAACATTTCTCAAGCTAAATCTGTGCTAGAAACTCCGAGACCGCTTCCTCGCTGCCCCTACCGACTCGCAAAGCATCCAAGCATTGGTCGTTAATGAAATCAAGTCGAAGCAACACACTGCGACCGAAGGTCTGCTGTGGCTGGTCCGGTATGCCGAATTACTCCCCGAGCTCCTTCATCACTTGACCCTCATCCAGCTTGGATATGACTAATCTGACGTCCAATCTAATCTTAGTGGCCTTGACTTCACCGCACAAGCTCTCCGTTTGAACCTTAGCAACCCCTCTGAGGAGCTCGCGACCTCGTTCAAGAATGCCTACGCCACGACTCTGAAGCCTCACCACAACTTCATTGTCAAGGCCATCTTTAACACTGCCATGTCAGCTACCCCTACCCGAGCAGACTTCTACAAGAAGCTCGGTGATGACCAGACCAAGGTCGACACCGAGCTGCGCAAGTGGCTGAGCGCATTGGAGCGCCAGGTTGCTATACTCAAGGCTTTCCAGCAGCGCAAAGAAGCCAAGTGGTAGTTTTTTCTTTTATTCTCAAATCCATACGCGTTCTAGGGTTTCCTTATATCATCCGTTCTCAAGATCCTCAAAATACATTGATAGCATTATCGCATTACCTATACACCAGACATGGAAATGTCTCTACTATACACAAACATACAACATTGTGGTGCTCTTTTCCAAGATTTATCCTGCGAGCTTGACTTGTGACCTAGTGGATACTTTCCCTTCTCTTAGATGCATTTTGACTTGGCGTTAATATGTGACTCCTAGACCATTACGATGGACAGTGTACCGGAGTACAGCAATCTTCTCCCGTTTAAACGTTTCGTGAAAGTAACCTATATTTACCGCAATTTAGTGTTCGCCAAGTACATACGACCATAGACTGAGGAGAACTGGGCATCCCGTCCGCTCTGCCATACATAAGCCTCAGATCGGCGGACTAGTAGTTGGGTCGGTGACGACCAGCGAATCCCCGCTGTTGTATGTTTTTTTTCCTCGCCCATTAATATCTCCTTATTCATTTTATCTTTCTTATTTTTTTTATTTTTTTTTTCTTTTTTGGTAACTCCGCCTCTTTTCTTCTCTTATTCTTATGTTTCGCAATAGCGTCGGGAACGGGCTTCATGATTGTGGGCCTATCTTTAAAGAGTGATGTTCGTCTATTGTACTCTCAAGGAGCTCAAAAGGAGTATCTATCTATCTATCTAGAGTGAGAAGCTAAAAAAAAAAGTCTATGTGCAACGTTGCTATATACATTCTCTTCGTTCCGTCATTTAAGAGAAGCAAAAGAAAATATGTACTGTGTGCGAGGTAGGGGAAATCGGTCATATATACTCATGATGGAGGTTTGCGACAATCGAGATGACTTTATCATAATCATCACGAGCTGCCATGGCCAACGCAGCCGTCTTCTCGACTGACCGCGCAGAGGATTAGATAAGCAATTACCACTTCAAGGTCCACTTGTGAGCCCAGGCACCGGCAGCAGTGTAATTCTTCAAGCCGGTGACGCTGAGGACATGAGAAGTGCCGTTATACGCAACAGACGAGCTAGGAAGCTTGACGCCATTGAAAGTAACGCCAGCCAACGGGGCAGAGGGGACGCCCAAGACGGTGATGTTGGCGAGGGGCTGGGGCTCGACATAGGCGCCCTGGGGAACAGCGGTAAGGGTGTTGTTCTCGGCGGCATACTCGACAAAGAGGGTGGCGTTGGGCTTCACGCTCTCGCCATCGTCCACGTAGAGCTCACCCTTGGCAGTTCCCTTGGCGCTCAAGGCAGTAATGAGGCTGTAGGGGGTGTTGCGAGCGTCACGGGTGGTCAAAGCGTATTCCTGCTGGGGCAAGACGCTGCCGCCTCTCACGTAGACTGGGATATGGCCCAGAGGGGCGTCAATGGTCTCGTTCTTACCCGCGGTGGCGGAGACAGGGGTCTGAGTGTACCAGTCGTACCACTTCTCGCCCTCGGCGATACCGGGGAAAACACCTTGGACCGTAGAGACCTGAGGCTCAAGGACAGGGATGACCAAGATCGAAGGACCGAGAAGGAGCTGGGTGTCAACATTGGCAAGAAGAGGGTCGTTGGGGAACTCCCATGAGAGAGCACGCAGGACGGTTGAACCAGTGCTGTGCGCAAGGTGTAGAAGAGTGTACATGTATGGAAGCAGGGGGTAGCGAATCTTCATGGCAGTCTTGGTCGACTCGATGACAGACCCCCAGCGGTATGGCTCCTGTGGGATGGTCGAAAGCGTGTTGTGGTTTCGGTAGAAGGGGAAGAAGGCTGACAGTTGCATCCAGCGGTTGCAGAGCTCTTCATCCGAGTTGCCCAAGAAACCGCAAGTGTCAACACCAAACATTGGGATACCAAAGAGTGAGAAGCTGAGGGCCTGGGAGATGGACATGTACATGGAGCCCCACTTCGAGTAGTTATCTCCTCCCCAGTGGCCTGCCCATCGGCCACTGCCAAAGAAGGTGCTTCGCCCAATGATGAACGGCCGCTTCTCAGGGAAGATATTCAAGAGAGCATTGTGCGTCGCATTCAGGATTTGGTATCCCCACACATTGTGCATCTCGTATTCCTGGGTACCGTCAATGTGGGTTGCGTTGGGCGAGATTGCCTTGTTGGCAATGTCACCCTGACCGTTGTTGATCACATAGGCAGGATGGTTCACATCCCGAACGCCGGGAGTCACGGTTGGTCGGTAGATGGGAGTGGAGGCGGGTGTCGTGGCCGACACAGAGGCCGCCGATGACTGGCTTGCGGCGCCAGAAGAAGCGGAGGCAGCTTCGGTCGCATTTGTAATATTGAATCCCTCCGGATAGTCATAGACCACCGCGCCTGGCTCACCGGGGAGAGCAAATGGTGGGTGGACAGGCTGCAAGTGTAGGTTTCCGGATCCGCAGCTGCCGGCACAGAAAGAAGAAATTTCTGACATATCAATCCAAATACCGTCGAAGCTGACTTTTTCATGGAAAGCAGTAATTTCATCGACCCACCACGTCTGGGCACCCTCTGAAAGCCAGTCGGGGAAGACGGTAAATCCAGGCCATACCGCTCCGATATACAGACTGCCGTCGGGGTTCTTCAGGAAGGCGCCAACCTCGTTTCCGCGATCAAAAGGTGCATAGCTATCCAGCACTTTGTTAGACATTGCCCATTCAAGATCTTCTGGATCGATAGACGGGCAGAAAGACTTACGCGTCGGAGGCATTGTCCGGGTTGGGTATGTAAATAGCTGAGTCGATAATGGGCACAAAATGCTGACCCTTTGAGTGCAAGGATGAGAGAAACTTCTCGCCTTCCTCGATGCTCCACGTGTTTGGATCGGTTTGGAAGTCTCGAAGTTGACCCAAATAATCAATGTCAACCCTTTAAAAATTTAGTCAGTCATGTCGAATTTACAACTGCTGGAAGGAGCGTGACATACCAAAGAGTTTCCAATGGGATTTCGAATTTGGAAAAGTTCGAAGCAACGTCTTCGACATCTGACCAGCCCTTGTATCCCCAGCGACACTGTTGGTAGCCAAGGGTGTAGTACTGCTGCATGGCTGGAAGTGCATCATTACTCTTCAAGAGAGCCTTGGTAACTGCCGGCTGCGTCGGGCCAGCATAGAAGTAAAGGTCGATGCTCCCTCCCAACGTACGCCAAGTGATCCTATTCGGGCGAAGAAGGACCTCGTGCGCATGCGTGTTGCGCAGATAGACGCCATGGGAATAAGACTCGTACTTCTTGCTTGGGTCTGTTGCATTTCCCGTAGTGATGCTAGTGTTGCCGGTCTTGGGGTCAACCTCGAAATACCGAGTCTCGAGATAGAAAGGATGAGAGCCGTAGATATTGCTGAAGATATTGTTAGTTGATCAAGTCAAAAACGGCAAATATGCTGGAAAAGCAAAAGTAAACGTACTAATCGATAGGGTTCGCGATATCCGCTGGGAAAATTGTGGCAGTAAAGTTGTTTCCCAGACGGAACTCATGAATGTGCTCGCCGAGTCCATAAATGTTATAGTCGTCCGGAAGCGGTGAGGTGAACTCAAGGAATTGGTTCTCAAAAATCAGTTTTGAGCCCTCGGTAGTGAAAAGAACATCGCCCGTAGATCGCCGCTGGACCGTGAAAGCGAAGGTAGGATCATTGGACCAGGAGAATGACAAATCGTGGAATTTCGAGGTTTCGCTCACACCCTCATCGAGTGCTGGCTTGGCCAGAAGGCTGTCCCGAACCAAATACTGCGTGTAGTTGGAGCTGTCGACGTAAGTGGGGACAATATTGACACTCAGGCGATCAGCGGTTTGGTATTGCACCGTCAAGTTGAGCGTGTCAATATCCGTGCCGTAGAGGTTGCATGGAGTGCCAGCAAGAGAAAGCGTTGCTGTTAATCCAAAGGTACTATTCTGAACATTTGTGGCTTTGTAGCCAGGGCAGACACTCTGGGCATCAACAGCCTGAGGGTCATTAATATTGGGGATGACATTTTCCGCGTATTGAACGGAAGCTGGAAGAGTGTACTGGGAACGAGCTGAAGTTGCCGTGCTCGAAACCGCAGCGGCATTGGCCAGCGGCAAAGAGATTGCACTGAGTCCAAAGACCGCCGTGGAGACGGCTTGAAGCATCGATCGAGCCATGGCTGGGATTGAGGAAGATGGCGACTGAAGATCAGCCCAAAGCAGAGCTCTATCTCGACCTTTTTATATTTGAGTCAGAGCAGTCTGCTCTTGCAATTCCCAGCCCGGCATTGGATGCAAGAAGCCGACGTCAGAGACTATTGTCGAACAGCATCAGGGTTGTGTTCCAACTCCACTTTGTCCCGGTGGAGTCAAACTTCACACGGTCATCATGCCATCAACCCAATTTGCTTCCGAAGAACAGCACCAAGACCATGCCTCTCCATGATTGTGGAGACACTACATCGGATCTAAGACAGGCCCATGTGGGTAAAGAACGATTTCGCGCCCTTGGATTCTTCAAGGAAATGGTTGGACTAAACATCAGAGATATCTCCAATTTGCGCCAAACTCATTTGAAAGTCATTTCAACATTCCAATGGTCCGAGGGTTGTCATAGTCTGATTCCATTCCATGGGACCCACCATCGCTGTTTTCTGCCGTTGGGATGTGCTAAGAGAGCAGCGTGCCTGCCGACCAGGTCGCGGAGACACAGTTGATTACTCCATAGAGACAATAATGCCTCTAAGGTACCCAAGGAGCTGTACCATTTGGGGATTTCCCGGGCCAATCGATTCAAGGGAAACATTGGTCCAAATGCTCAAGGGTAAATTGCTGAGTCTTTTCTTGAGCACCCATTTCTGCTTCGGTAAACCTGTGCTTTTTTTGGGCCGCATCTCTGTCCCTTGTAGGCTTTGACAGGAAGGATGTTCATCATCTTGATGAGCATTGTAGGTATTGCAATTGCTAGATGAGTGTTGCACCAAGAGAGGAGAGAGTCTTCCCGAGATTCTTTCCGACGCGGGGGCTTAGATTTATTTCAGGCCGTGGGAGCTCATCGGAAGGCCGCATGATGCATGGCATAGCGTAAGATCTTGGCCCTTCAGTCCTTGCCGATAGTATTGTGGCTTCTTTCTCTTTGTCATTCTCCACACATGGGCCGCTAGAACGGAACTGTCAACTGACGCCTCCCGCTGAGCAGACGGAAGCAAAAGAGATTAAGGACCCACCAAGGTTTGTCAAGTTAACCCCATGTGCAAGTCGGAAAAGGCGAAAGAGGAGCCAGTATGGCTCAGTAGTAGGATTTAGCGTGAGAAGTTGGTTAAGTTTTCCCCTTGGGGCCGGTCCGTCCCTACATTGTCGCAGGTTCAACTGCGGGTTCGCTTCGATGAGAAGAGGTTGGTGGGAAGAAACGTTGTGGGGGAATGGCAAAGTTCGGCCCGAGTGGGCCGGGAAACGTCATATATCCCAGAGATATTCCTCAATTCTCCCGAGATAGCCTCAGTGGGTAGCGAGAATCATCTTTACACATGACCGTGTGTCAGCATTGTGCAATGCAAATTTTATCAGAGAAAAGGAATGATGAGGAGAAATGTTCAAACGATGAGCAGATCTTTACCCAGTGTGTGTTCCTTTGCTGGTACAATACTGGTTTATTTTTTTTGGCGTCCGAACAATCATCAAAACCCCTGTTATAATCCCATTCTTCAGGCTGTTCTTGATTACACTGAATCGTCTTTGCATCTTGCACCATTTCGATACCGCAATCTCACCGAAATTCAGGCGATGGGATAGACTTGAATAGCTCCGAGCCAAGGTTGTTGTCCATTACTCCGTAGCGACTTCCGTCCGCAGGAAAGCCCGTGCTCGTCGGCCGTGGAGACTCACGAGATGGTGCCATCACCACGCGCAAAAACGATGATCCTTTCCGAAGAAAGCGAGCCCTGCGAAATTCGCTAAAGTTGTCACTATGAGTATAATTCTCCACTGAGAGTGGAGACGGCCCGGCTCATGGAGGTGCGAGGGGTGCTGCTCGCAGTTATACTCCTTGCCAAATCTGTAGTGGGGTTTTCCGTCCCATAGTTAACTTAGCGCATTCTAACGGGCAAAACATCTCATGTTTTTTACCCCACCGTTCTTGCCCAAGTATTGCGTACACGCGTATACTTTTATCTACTAATGTCTTAGTTACTTGACCACTCATCTCCAGTGGTACAGATTCCATTTCGGAGGGAGTTTCAACCATTCCACATTAGTGATCTTGTGCAGTTGCCAGTTCACTAAGTTCACAGAGGTACCGTTGTCTCTTAGCATCACCCGGGATGACTGCTAGCTATCACTTTACCTAAACGATTGTCTTCTCATTGAGCCTTCTATTACAGAAGTAGCGAAAGAGGTGCTCAAACTTACATAGGTAAGCGCCTAATCAAGATCTAGGTAAATCTGTGAGATTGCAATATTTATTCAATTGGTCTCCGATGATCGGCTTCCCGTTGACCCCGTAAAGGGCGTGCTCGTGGTACAAACTACCTCATTTGGTTAGAAATCATGATTGCCCGTGCCTTTCCCCTTTCCCTTATTCGAATTCTCGTCTGACCCCAGGAATTCGGATAGTGCTTACCCTTTGACTTCTTCACTTATGCTAAAACACTCGTGATAACTCCCCAGGTACCCTTTTACTGCATCCGCACACTTTGATGTTTTGATTACTGATGCTTCGAGGCTTGCATCAAGTATCCTATCAAGTGCATTGGTCCCATGTGGCTCACCCTTTCATGACGTATTGCGTAAATCATCTCACACTGCGGGGTTGGTTGTTGAAGATAGAATAAGCGCATCAATGCCTCCCCTTGGATCTCAGAGTCAGGGACTCTTTCTTCCTCAAGTCTGAAAAACTGAATGACCATACGGGTAAATAATTGAGAGAAGGTCTAGGTCTGGTTGTTTCATCGTCTCGATAAGTTAGCTCAGAACAAAGACTTCAGTATCATTCGATTCGGTGTACGGAAATAGTAAGGATCTTCGCGAATAGCAGCTCATATCTCCTGGACTTCCCGAAAGCTCTACCTTGGCAGCCAAGCTATGGCGAGTCTAAAGTCGCGCTCCGCTGCAACGATGAGAGCGGCCGTCATGTATGAGGCAGGGGGGCCTGAAGTTTTGAGGGTCGAGTCTCGCCCAATACCCACTCCGCAGAGCGGACAGGTCTTGATACGTGTCAAAGCATTTGGCCTCAATCGTTCTGAACTATTTACGCGCCAAGGCCACTCGCCAGGCGTCGAGTTCCCACGAGTTTTAGGCATCGAGGCCGTTGGAGAGGTGCAGGAGGCACCCGGTAAGGAGTTTAAGCCCGGCGAGATTGTAGCGACGGCCATGGGCGGCATGGGCCGCCAATTCGACGGCGGATATGCCGAATACACGTGTGTGCCGGCAAAGCAGATACAGGCCATTCAGACCAAAATCCCCTGGGAAATCCTAGGAGGTCTGCCGGAGATGCTGCAGACGGCGTGGGGCTCACTCTACAAGGCGCTGCAGCTGCAAAAGGGCGAACGTCTCCTTGTTCGAGGTGGGACCACGTCAGTGGGTCTCGCTGCAGCAGCCATTGCCAAAACTCATGGTGCCTATGTTGCGTCGACGACTCGGAGTGCATCGCGAGATCAGTTGCTGCGGGACTCTGGCGCTGACGAGGTCTTTGTTGATAATGGTTCAATCGCTGATCAAGTCAGGAAAAAGTACCCTGGAGGCTTTGACAAGGTGCTCGAGCTAATCGGTGTCACGACCCTCGAGGACTCTTTGAGATGCACTAGACAAGGAGGCATTGTCTGCATGACTGGCATCGTCGGCAACAAGTGGGCGTTTGACTCGTTCAACCCAATGGAGTCCATTCCACTTGCTGTCTGCTTGACGAGCTATAGCGGAGGTCCCGATGAGTTCATGGCGACCCCTCTCGAGCACCTGGCGCAACTAGTGGCTGCCGGCAGTTTACGAATACCGATTGGAAAGACTTTCCAGCTGGACCAGATTGTCGATGCCCATCGTTGCATGGAAGAGAACAAGGGTAATGGAAAAATTGTTGTATTAACTTAGCAGTCTCATTTGGCCCCTTCCAATTGCAAGGTCATCTGTGGTATATGAGCAAGACTAAGTACGCCATGCAGCCCAAAAAAAACCTAGATACCGCTAGTTGACGCACAATGAGTGCCACTTTTATCTCACACTTTCTTTACAACATGGATATTAGCGAGAAGCCTCTTCACGTCTTCGTAATCCAGTGTTGGTTGCCAATGGAGAAGCGATGACGGAGTGGATAATCTTTATCTCAGATGGCGTTATGTTATTGAACCTGTGAAGCAGACTTTGGTGTGAACGCCTTTTCGACCGCTCTACTATGTGTCTAGAACAGATGAAAGGACGGACAAGGATTGCTAAGGAAGCTACTTTGTATTGTAGCTCAGTTGGCGTAATAGTAATAAGTTTTGGGGTTTCCACCGCGATAGCTGGACTTCGTTCAAAGTGACACCAGGGTGGAATACATTTCCCGTTGTAAATGCAAAATCTTATCTTGACGTGTCCGCGAAGTCCGAAAAGAAATTAATAGAGGCTTGCCGAGCAATATGCCGAAGCGGAATACATTAGGACATGCACAAATATCTCAAGAAAAGTAGGAGTATGGAGGTAGGTTTGAAGATCGTCATGCTATTCGTCGCTACCAGTACTATTCAAAGTAAGAGGGCAGAAGATCATAATAAAAAAAAGACCTTTGAGCCCTATCTGATACAAATTTGGCATGTCCGGGACTTCTCTTGCGCTCGTTCCACCAGTCTCGAAAGACAGCAGCTAAAAAGCTCGAAACAAGTGCCTTCAGTTCCCGCCTATCAAAGATAAATGTAATCTCCCAACGCTCCGTTAGGAACCGCTTCGAAAATGGAAGGACGGCTCCTGCAAGACCTATGTGTCCTGCATCGCTGTTTTGCTCCCTTTTTAAAGGAAGAAAAAGAAAAAGAGAAAAGAGCATATGAAAATAACAAGTTTCACGGTAAAACAGACGGTCACGTATTAGACTCACTTGAGACAATGGGACACAATTTGATTGGAACCTTCCTGATAGATGAACTACTCCATCATTAACACCGGAGAACCCTGCAAGGCGAATCTGAACCGCGTGCGCCACACTGCAAAATTAATAGACATCGAACGCTAAGTCGGGAGGATAATTTTAAAAATGTCAGGCGAATGAAAAAAAAGGTTGACGACTCGCCTCGGCCAACTACTCAGGGGCAGAGACGAATAATTGGGAAATACTCTCGCCATAATGATTGCGTCGAATCGCCTCTGCCAGCAGGTTAGACAAATCAAGCACAACAAGCTTTCTCGAACTGCGAGCTAGCTCTGGAGAGATTGGGAATGAATTGGTGACAAGAATATGGTCAATGCATTCACAATCCTCCATTGTCTGAAGGGAATTGTCACCAAAGAGTCCATGCGTCGCAATACAGTAGACCCTTTTGGCACCTCCTCTCTTCACAACAGTCTCAGCTGCAGCAATCCACGAGTCGGCCTTATCAATCTGGGTCACTGTTAGCAATTCGCTTCATATGCATTGTAAAGCTGAGATCATACCATGTCGTCGACAATAAAAACTGTCCTATCCTTGACATTGCCGACAAGAGTAACAGTATGTTCTATTTCCGGATCCTTGTACGCTTCGTCTTCTTCATCGGACATGGCAGCAGCATCATACGTGCCGCCAAGCGCATGATCCGGACGCTTGGAGGAAGCAATCGAAAGGAAGGAAGCAGTCATCGGATCGGGGATATCGTCTGCATTTTTGTCACCCGACATGGTTGCCACAGAGCCAGACGCGGCCGACAGTGTGGGCGACGGATAATCATCGTCTACAATGTGGCCATGAATGAGACGACCTGTGATAACATCTCGAGCACGCTGCGACGCATGTCAGTGAACAGCAATTCAAGGAGTTGCATCATTATGAACGTACCTCATCTGTATATTCGTCTCCCTCTTCCTCAGGGGCCACTGCAGTCGAAGTCACAGCAACAGTTGCTGCCCGGGCCAGATGGAGTGGTCGCGTCGGAGGCGAACTAGATATCGAGTCGATGCGTGTAGATCTTGCCAAAGGGCTATGTCCAATACTTGGCACGCCATTGTGCATGGCTCCGGAAAATGCTGTAGGAGTCGACGATTGAGGCGCTCCGTTCACTGACAAATGATTCGGCCGAGCAGAATTGCTCCTTGGTGGTGAGGAAGTTCCATCCTCCACACCCTCAATTTGAACTTCAACAGCATTTTCGTCCAGCTCTGCTTGTGGCGGGTTATCTGAGCTATCGACGCACATGCTGTCAAGCATCATGCTGGCGCTCATCCCAGGTCGTCGACGGTCTGTTGTAACTATACCGAAGCTGAGCTTGAGGGCATCGGCGAGCGATGTCACACGCTTTGTCCCACCCGGGTTCTTGCTGACAACAACGGCTTGTTGCCAGCCCGGTACGTGGTTGCGTATCCAGCGGGCAATGAGGGGTTCTGCATACAGATTGTCCACAGGCTGATGGAAAAAGCCTTGCATTTGAGACGCCTTTAAAATGTCAGAATGCTTCATCACCTGTGCATAAGGCGAACAATGCTCACATGAAGGTCAACTGTGATGACGTGGGAGACTCCTGCGACGGACAAAAGGTTTGCCAACATTCGTGCAGTAATGGCACCTCGGTGGCTCTTCTTCTTTGATTGACGAGAGTAAGGGAAGTACGGCAGGACAGCTAAAGAAAGATCAGAAGATGCTCCAGATGATGACTTGTCCAGCAAAATAGGAAAGAATCTCTTCAACCTACCTGTGACTGATCGCGCGGACCCGCCTTTACAGGCATTGATCATGATAAGCAGTTCCATGACGCTGTCATTGATACTGGACGGTCAGCGGGCGTAAGACTATGGGATGGCTGCGCCCTACTTGTTGCTTCCGCTCTGAACAATGAAGACATCTTGGTCTCGAATTGAGGTTGCTAGAGCAGTTCAGCCAAAGCCTCGAAAAACCCCACGAGGGGTGTCAAGCTCGAGATACGAACCAATGCTGACGCTTGTCTCGCCATTGCTAAACTTTCCCAGCTCACATTTTGCCGGTTGCGTGCCCAGTCGTGTGCAGATACTCTCTACGAGCGCTGGGTGAGACGAGCCCGCAAAGATTTTCACTCGACGCATGGTCGTGATGGGTTGGAGCTGGACAGTGGGGAAAAAGGTTCTGGGTTGACAAGCGAGATGAATTATTGGACGTACGAGGGTAGGTAGCTGCAGCCGACCAGGGCCCAAGCCAAGAAAAAAAAAATATTTTGGGGTAAGGAGGAGGATAACGGGTAGAGAGCTATAGAGAAGTGTACACGCAATTCCACGAACCATACAATGACGCCGCTGTACGCTTTTAGCTTAATTTGAGGACACAAGATGCATGAGCAAGAACCTTCAGACTATGGAAATGTAAATCAGTCGGTCACACTTCGTTGTTCCGATGCTGCTGAGCGAAGCAGAGGCGATGACGACCATGACATAGAGGGTAAGCTACAAGGCACATGCAAATGCTCGTCGTAGAAGGAAGAAAAGGTACAAAGGTACTTCAATGCTCATTTTGTCTCCGCCTCTCCATATGAGGGTTGCATTTCGTTGAGATTTCCCGGTTGAGCCCTCATATTACTCCCAATTCATAATTCCTTGATTTCTTGATTGGTGACCATTCAGGTAGCTTTATTTCTCCTTTACGTTCAATCTTCTTTTGAGGTTCCTTGCTCTAACATGGCCCCAGTCATTTGTTATGCTCCTCATCGCTGGGTCGTGAAATCGCATTTAATTCGCCATTTTCGTTTCTGGTGATCATATAATACTAATGGAGAGAGCCTCCTCTTGTCTCCTTTCCCTCTGCCGATCAGCCGCGAGACGTCGTCCGGCTGCCAAGTGTGGTCCTGCATTTGCTGCGCTGAGGAAATCGGTGCCGGCTCGCGGATTCATTACACCTCCATGGGAGTCAGCCGTACAAACTATCAGTGCTTCGAGAACTCTCCCTCATCGGACAGACGACCTATACGCTCTCATTGCTGACGTCGGATCCTACTCCTCATTCCTTCCTTATTGTCAATCTTCGACTATCACACAATGGTCGCAGCCCGATACCAATGGCAAACGGTGGCCATCAAGAGCTCAGCTGAATGTGGGATGGGGAGGCGTCGAGGCTGCTTTTAGCAGCAAAATTTATTGCTTACCTGGGCGAGTGGTAGAGGCAATTGGCGGAGATGCGGAGACTACATTGGATCTCAATGACCTTCCTCACCACATTCCAGCAGGCCGCGCCTCCGACACCGCCAACGACACAATGTTCAAGTACCTGCTCACTCGCTGGGAGGTTTCACCAGCGAGACAACCCAGCGCATCCGCAGGACATGCAAATACGTTAGCAAATGAGAAGACGGAGGTGAATCTGGTTGTCGAATTCCAATTTACGAACCCTCTCTACGACATGATGAGCAAAGCAGCCACACCAAAGGTCGCCTCGATGATGATCGAAGCATTCGAACAACGTGCAGCGAAGCTCCTCACTCGATAATCACCAAAGGGGAAAGGAAGACTATTCAGGCAAATCATTGAGGGACGTATTTTAACCATCTTCCATCTGGTCTTGTTTGCAGTCCATATCTCAAGCAGCGGAATGATTGGAACTGTAGCGCCAATGTTGACTATTAATATTGCATATCCTATAGAGATAGACATAATGCCTAAGGGTATTGTCATGGAGTTCCATTTTGCTTTATTGTTTAGCCTGGACCGGGCCACTTAAGGGGACCAGCTCCAACAGCCAGAGGATCCTTTCTCATTGCGAGGGGTATCACTATGTGTATATACTTTCCGTATAAGCGTTAACTTGCAAGCCTTTCTCAGCCATTTCAGCGTCCTTAAGGAAGTCCAGAGGCATCCACACGAGATGACCCTTGATCTGATCCAAATTTCGTCGAACATCTGCGACGGGCATGTACGGATCATACAAATGGCCCTCCTTCCTATTGTTCTTAGGAAGAAAGTTCTGATAGTCGTCGAACGTTTTGACTACACAGATTTCAACAAATTGCGATTAGAATAATCTTTAGCGGGATACTTACTATTATCATCCGGGTCTGCATGGAAGATGTGTCTAAAGATCTTGGTATTCGTTGTGGCGCGCGTGGTCCACATCTCCCAAAGCTCATCACTCAAAGGATCTTCAACAAACTTGTAGTATTCGTCTTCCTGGATGTCGTTTGGACAAACATCGGGTGGCTGAGCATTTGGATCCTTGTCAGCGTCCAATTCCTGTGCCGGAAGGAGCCCCAAGTGCTCTCGCCACAGCATTCTTCGGAGAGTTGCTGCATGGTAACCCGCCTTGTGGGGCTGTCCATCCATTTTGCTGTCAATTTGGTGGTAGTCTTCCATCACAATAGACAATTCGCTATCATGGTAACCAAGTTGGGACTTGGAGGCTTATTAGCACTGCACGGTCAAATTGGTTGTTGATGGTTACTTACTCGGTCGTTGATATTGGAGCTGCCACAGATGGCAATTTGATCATCAACAATGAGGAGCTAAAAGATGTTAGTCCTGTTAGACGACGAGAACGCTCGAAATTTATATACCTTTCCGTGAATGTACAATTCTTCCTGGACGAAATTCTCCTTCTCTTCTTCTGGGTCACCCTCCCAAGGCTCTTCTGAAACATTGCCTTCGTTGAGCATCGCATCCTTGGCAATAGAATCGACACTGGGTACTCCATCTTCGAGGCCAGCCGCTTCCCGCTCAGCTTCGAATTTCCGCTTTCGGTCAACCATACGCTCTTTCTCTTCATTTCCTGCATCGTCAACGTGGCCCTCCTCTTCGTCGCTCGAATCCCCTTCAAGCCCGTGAACGCCCTGGCCCATGATTTCCTCGGCCTCGGCTCGTTGAACTTCTTGATACTTAACACCAGACTTCTCTTCCTGCCTTTTCATAGCTGGTGTTTTGTTTAATCTGTCGTAAGACCGAAGATTGAAAACAAAAATATGATCTAAAACCAAATAAGTAATGACATCGACGAATCTCCTCGACGGACTCACTATGTGGATCGATTCCTTGCGCTTTAATCTGGCCCATGATAGAATGTTCCCCGCGATTTATGGATTTATATTGATAATCCATGATCGCACTGGGAATGTCAGAGCCGTCGTTCTGATTTCCTAGAAAATGCAACTTACCGAGTGCCCATGGCAGCATCGTCTCTCAAATCCCCAGCAAAACCAGGAATGGACGGAATAAGGATAATAACTCTGAATTTACGACCTTCTTTTCCGGCACGAACGACCGCATCGACAATCGCGCGGCCAATGGTGTTATGGATGGGATATTGATGCTCTCCAGTGGCAGTAACTGATCTCGTGAGTAACAGGATTAAATGCATGAACAGAAAGGCACTTACTGAAAAACTGATTTTCAATATAAACGTAATGCTGCGCATTCTGAATGACCTCACAATAAGCATTTTGAATACTATGCTCAGTCAAGATACCACTGCTCCAGTCGGCACTGCTTCTCACAACTTGTGCATGGACAGATCCCTGCTGGCCCAATGCTTTGCCTTCTAATGGTGAAAGAGGATGCTGAATGTATTCTCCTACGGGGTGTTTCGGCCGCTGGACCGCGACAAGATCCTCATCTTCACCATCCCGGCCGGTCAGCATGAGCCAGTCAACTCTGTCATCGCGCTTATATTTATCACGCTTGATAAAGTTCCACCTCTGTTGATGGCAGATCAAAGAGTTAGCAAATAAATAAAAGAGGGACCATCCTACACATACCAGAATGAAATGCTCAGCAATGTCGTATACACAGCCACCGATAACACCCATGGCAACGTCATGCCAAGGCATACGTCCATATTCAGCCTTGCTCAATTCATTCGATTTCCTAAAAATTATCAATGTTAGTGGCTTACAACCCCAGAAAAATTGCGAGCTGCATCTTACCAATCTTCGACACTTTGGAAATCCATAATTCGATTCTAACGATGTTAGCAAAGCGGGAGACTAAAAGGCCACAAGGGAAACACTCACGTTGTTGAAGTCCTGACCCGGCCAAACCTCGTTCCGAACACCCGCAGGGTGCACATCGGCCAAGGGGTGCTGCTTTGAGTCCCAGCGTCCGAAACATAGATCCAGGCCTCCAATAAACGCGAGATTGTAATCGATTACCATGAATTTCTCGTGATGCGCCTAAGAGTATTGTTAAAATTGGACTGCGGGCAAAACAATCATTGGACATAAGCGTACCCAGTAAAACGTCATGTCCCCAGCATTCTCGAAAACATTATGATCCGGATGTCGCAGCACATGAATATTTCCGTGGCCAGGAGTCCCAGGAGGGCAAAGTGAACGCAAGGCATGCTTCGTATGGGCGCTATTGCAAGTGATTGCTTGGCTCACCTATCATACCAGAAATGTTTAGCATTCGCAATGAAAATGTTAAGTGTTGAACTGCGGCCGATACATACTTCTTTGTATACAATCACGTAAATCTGAACACCTGCTTCTGCCCTGCGCTTCAGAACCTGGTCAAGACGCCATTCTTGGTTGAAATACGGAGGCCGGCGAAGAAACTGAATACATTAGCAAAGCGACCCCCTGTTTGGGCTGAGTCTCGTACCAATTCTGGAGAAAGCCACCAATCCGCAATGTAAATTGTCTCTTTTGCGCGCTCCAAAGCAACGGAGACAGCCTGTCAGAGTATCATGAGTTGTTTATCTCAAAATGGTATCAGAGAAACGAATCTTTAACTCACCCAAAAATAATCCCTTCCGTCAACGTACCATTTGATCTTGTTTCCCTCTCGCTCTGGTGCAAAGGACGCGAAACGGTGACTCTCGGCAATGCGTGCACGCTTCTCATCTGTTCGTTTTTCATGCTCTTCATCGTGCCGATGGTTAGGGTTGATGAGGTTATGAAATTTTCCAATCTCGTGTTTTAAATGAATTGCTTTGACCTTGGCGTCGTAGAGGTGAGTCCCCTTGAGTTTCTCGCGGAGTTCAGGAAATGGGTGCTTCAATTTGTCTGCCATAGATCGGCCTCCGGACGGCGGAGCGGCATCAGGGGCTGCAGCCTGCATGATTTCGAAGTTCCCCGCAAGTAGCTGAAATATTTGAGAAATTGGGGAATTTATTTTAGGTCTGTGAAGGAATGAGTGGGGAGTGGATAGAGCGTTGAAGCTCTAGATCTTCTTCCTACAGCCTCGATGGGGTGACGTGTTTGCACCGAACATGAGTTCCCGGATGAAGCCAGGGTGCTGATGCGGAGTTCGCAGGCTTTTATCAGGTTAATTGGTTAACACAGCATACTCCGTAAGAGGAATGCCAAGATAACTTAAAGGCGAGCTTGCCCTGTTGCTATTGTGGGCTGTCGATCCCCTGCCCTGTTCTCCAATGCCGAGGGGAGAGCGGGAACTCGGACTTGGCCCCGCAATCGATCTTGTTTGGAGAAACCGATGACGTTTTCAGTCAGGGTAAAAGGTTGTTGCCAGCTATAACTAGGTAGGAAAACCAAAACTGATAGGCTGGACTCCCCTAACCCTAGGCGGCTATTTAACCAGAAACATCTCTAAATCCTGCTTCCATCACAGTCCAGATTGCAACACCATGGCTAGTGGAAAGTATCAAGTGGACCTACCCTTTTGCTGAAAAGTCATGACTACATGTAAACTAAATGGATGTGTTGATCAATCTATTGGGAAACGGGTTGGGTGTAATCTGTATCACTGAATCGCAAGCTAACACCGATCTCCGAAAGGCACTCGGTCCAAACAAACCTGAATATTGTAATTTGCGTGATAGCAATGCGAACGCAATATTCAGTTAGATGGAGTTAGCACAGTCATGAAGAAATAATAATATATTATATCACTATACATAAGTTCGCCAGGCCTATGCTTAACTTTGATTGGAGCACGAAACGGATGGAATAATATAAAATACAGCCATGTAACAATCAACTTGTACTCCAACAAGGGCGCAAAAGAAAATGTAATATGGTAAAAAGTTTCGAGATGCAACTTGACGCTGAATGGCGTCTCGCCTACACGAACCAGACGCCCGCCAAAACGACTGATGGAACCCAGGAGGCCCCGCCCTTGGTGCGACAGTAAAGGGAGCATGCAGTCCATATCGAGCCTAATCCGCAGAGATGCAGAGACGCAGAATGTTCATCTACTTGAAACAAGGATGCTGAATTTATCTTCCGCGGCTGGGCCTTCTGGAGCTGAACTGGAACCCAGGGCTAATAGGTGGTGAGCCAACGGGACCTTGAAAAGGCTCCATGCCCATCTTGACCTCGCCAACGCGGCGCAAGAGGGCCTGCAACGCAAGACGAATGTCGGTACTCATGTCCCGACTGAGCAAGCCAATGACAAGCGGATAGAATGTCTCAATATGCTTTTCAAATCCTTCTCGTGGGAAGTGTGTGTAGCCCTCCATGACGTCCACTACGACAGGCCGCCAAGCGACGATATTGCGCTGTTGCGTTTCCTCATCCAGCTGGACGTATCCATTGATGATGTCCACGCAAAGGCTAAACACTGTTAGCACCCGAACTCATCAAAACCCTTGGGCAGAAGGACTTACGGTATCAAAGCAGCTTCTGTATCGGCACGGTTCCTCTTCCGTTCCTCGCCTTCGTCGTGATACATCCGTAGAAGGATACTAACATAGGTGGCGGCACTGCCGCTCTCCTGTTTTAACAGATTCGGGGGTTGCTTCATGAATCCTTCCCTCCATAATCGCATTCGCAGCTCTTTGTTTGCATTAAACCTTTTCGCAAACTGGAAACTGGTCTTTAGGAGACCCATTAAGCGCAATAACTCAGGACTGGGTATCTGGTGATAGACTGCATCATTCGAAAATAGCTCGTTTACCGTTTCAATAATCAAGAGCTGCAGCACGCATTTTGTGATTATTTGATTGAAGAATCGCCGGCGGGCAGCAGTCACCACGACAGGCTGCTTTTGGATTGCTGTCTGAGGTTTGTAATCCTCCAGTTCCGTTGGTGGTGTATTTTGTGTCTCCACAGACGAGCCTCCACCAGCTGCACTCGGTTCATCTATCAATGTTGAGGCATTCATCTCAGAGTCGTCCCCGGTTCCATTAGCTGGAGAAACGTCCGCCTCACCGGAATCGGGAGAAGGCTCCGCAAGAGGGCCATTTATCTCATCTTCTGCCGCCTTTCTAGGCATCGGAAGGTCAGAGATACTGGAAGCATCCGACACCGGAAGCCTAGTCAATCCATTCGAACTGGAGACAGGCGCTGACGGTGACGGCCCAGAGACAGTGGCTGCTGAGAATAACTGGTGGGCAGTGGTGCGATCGAACAGTTCTACGAATGCTCCAACAGTCTGGTTCCAGTGCTCATCCGTGAATTTTGTGACGTTTTGAAGAATCAATTGCTGTAAGCAATTGCTTCCAATTCGTGCAATAGTATCATTTTCTTGACAGATACACAGAATTAATAGTTCCAGAAATCTGTCAAGCATGTACTCCAGAGACTTGAAATAGTGAGTGAATAAGGTAATCATGTTCCTGAGAGCCTGAATCATTGTCGTTGAGAGCCAAACAGAGAGTTCCTCATGGTTCAGAACTTTCGTCATTTCTGACTTTGATTTGAGGACCATGAAAATAGGATAAAGCAGTTGTCTCCAAAGGATGTCCCAGAATTCAGGAGGGAAGTCCCCGCCGTAATTTATGAGTGAGTCAAAAAGGTAATTGAGAGCGCTGGCAGCGTTAGTGTTTGGTTACAAAGCAAAGATATGACAATGCTTACCGTGATCGAGCTTCCAAATCGACACCAGTCATAAGAACGTCATGGAATGCAAAGAGAATCGGAAACCAATATTGCTCTTCTTGAGTTTGCCGGAGAGGCTGCGCTGAAGTTACAGAACCTTTCCTCTGAGCCTTATCAGAACCAGGTGTATGACGAATTGACAAAGGACATTCGGGAGTTTTCAGCATCTTCGGAATCGTTGATTTTAATGTCTCTATCGCCTGTAATGACTTTTTCTGGAATTTCGCGTTCTTTGAAAACTCAGTCAGGCAAACCATCAGATCTGCAAAAGCGCCCTGGCTAATAACGACCCCGAACTTGGAATTGTAGATCTGTGTAACATTGTCGTATGCAAGATTGACAATATTTTCTGCCCAAAGTTAGCGATGCAGAGGGTTGCTCATAGGCACAATAACTAACCATAAGGTTCACGCGCGGCGACAGTGAAGACAGCAAACATTGTTCGCCATCCAGATCTAATATTTTGTCCGCGAGCCTGTATCATTTGAATAAGACATCGCAAAACCATATCCTTTACAGCAACCACTCCACTATTTGACATAACATGCTCAAATGGTTTCAGGAAGTCCTTCTGGAATTTGAAACCTGGAAGCTCCTCAATCTCCATGAATCGCATGGACAATTGCCGAAGAGAATTGAGCGCAAAGAACACGACGTGGGTATTTGTATGGCATCCAACTTGATTGAAATGCTCTCCAAGCACCTGCCATATATTTGTCCATTCAAACCTCACACGCGTCATGTTGTAGCCGCTAATCTCAACGAGCTTCTGTAAGCTGAAGGTGCGGGGGGATTCGCTTTGACCAGAAGATTGTATCTCTTCCCAACTGACCTCCGTCAAGGCGCGAACGAAGTGAACAATAGCCTCTCCAGAGAGATTTGCTGTATTTGTAAAAATTCGATCCATTGCCTTATTCATGTCAGTTGATTGGGTCTCCTCTACGATGTCAGGCTGGAAACTAGCGCTGGTGCTGATTGATTTAGGACGAATCCTTCTTGGAGGCTGAAGGGAACGACGGGGATCTGCTTCCTGTTTTGGTTGGGTAAGAATTCGAGCCTTGAGGACGTCAGGAACTTCTCCTTCATCTACACCGGTTGCCAGGAGCTGGAAGCGATCAAGCTGACTGATGCAAGTCAAAATGTCTCTCCAGGACTCCTTCAGTAAATTGCCTTCAGTCTGCGCCACTTCCAACAATGCCTTAAGAGCTTCCATGTTCTTGGCTTTCATTTCGCTCAAGTTGTTAAGGTTGGTAAACTTTGCAAGAGCAGTCACAAAAGCGGTCCGCGGCATCTCGAGGTCGAACAGACAAGCTACGCGGATAGAAAGTTTGAACCCTTCCATACAAAGTTTGATCGTCTCGATATTCTGCGTATCATGCACTTGGCCGGACAATCCAGAAAGAAACGACATCCATGACACTTCAAACATTGGGCCAACATGCTTGAACGAAGTTGCAGGAATAAATCTAGGCAAGCCCGATCTTGCCGCGGTTTTGCGCTGTGCCCGCAACAAGCTCCGAAATAGCTTTTCAGCCTTATTTGCCATCTCCTCCGAAGCCTGAGCGTACGCCTCCCGCTGAAGGTCACGGCCGACTGTGGCCAGAGCCTGCCCGATACCTGCGGCGAGGCCGCCACTCGGCTGCGATGCGAGACCGAGTGCCGCGGCATTCTCTCTTTCGGTATCGAGGACAATTTCGTTGCTGGCTATTTCATCATATATCCCCCCCAGGTACTCGTCAGGGAGATTTGCGTTGTCGTTGATCCCACGATTATTCTTGATGAAATCTTCTTTGGTCATCCGCCGACCTTTCATCTTGGTGCTATGTTGATCAGTGTTCAGCAGTATTACTGAATAAGAGAGAACGTAAGCGGTGTCGGCGTTGGCAAAAGCGTTGGGGTTGCCGGTCATATATCGCTCGGCAAACTTGAGCATGAAGCGATCGATCTTTTGAGCTTCTCCGGGAAGACGGAAGCTCTGGAGAAACCGACGGAGTGCGTCGACGAAACGGGTCCTTGTGAAATCCATGGCATCGACAAAGGCATGCATGATAGCAATATTCTGAGGCTCGCCGTCACCGAGGTATTCTCCGAGCATCGCCTTATCCAGTCGATCGTTCTGTATGAGAAACCGAGCAATGTCCTCCGGCGAGTCGCTTCGAACGAATCCTTCCTTGATGAGATAGGATATTCCACGGCTGGGCTTATAGTTGAATTGTCTGATCCCGTTAATCAGGGCCGTTTTGCGCTGCTTAGCTTTTCCAAGCTCCTGCGGATCGTCCTCCGCCAGCGGAGTCGTGGGACCACCAGGAGTGTCAATACTGCCTATTCTAGGAGAGGCAAGCCCCACTGCGTTCCCAGCATCAACAGAATCTCTAAAGCCCTCGACAGAATTTCGGGACTCAGCTTCACCAAGGTCTGCCGTAGTGTCTGCTATACCTTGCTGAGCCCAGTTGACCAGGGAACGAAGTGTCTCCACGAGACATTCGAGCGACTGTTGCTTCAGAGAGTACTCGATGGGGAAGGTAGGCTCTTGATCATTTGTCACCTGAATGTTAGCAGTGGAAAGTGATGGTGGGAGGGTGCCACGTTGATGCCATTCAGGAGCCACGTTCGCATTTCTTTGATGAAATTCTTGGTACTGTTGCTGCTGCATTGCGGTAACCATGACAGGACTGCTCGAAATCCTCGACAGATGCTCGATCATTCTGGTACAGTCAGTAAGAGGTATGCCAAATTACTTCCAAGTAACAGACCTTTGAAAGATATTCTCTAAAGTATTTCGATCGCAGTCATAATTCAGATACAACTCGACCAGCGCCCGAGGGTCGTTACATAGCCGCTCAAACAGGCTCATCAAGTACTGCTTTTGCTGTAACGGAGCGTTCCGTCGATCGAGAATTGCCAAATAAATTTCTTTTAGGAAGACCTCGATCTCTCTCTGTTTAAAGATTCAACTGTCAGAGAATTGTGGTTGCAAATGTCGTGGACAGAGCCACTCACCTTCAGCATGACTCTCATATGCTTCAACATTAGCCAGAATATCTCACAGCCCACTTCAAAGACCCTAATAACTGAGCTACCACCGTTACGGCTCAAGCTCAGACATAGGTATTGCTTTATTGCTTGCACAAAAGACGTAGGATCGCTGGCAGCGCTGCTTCTGATTGTGGCAAGCGGTGACGTGAACACGATCACATTGTTATCGATGATAGTATGTATGAGATGCAATGAAAGAAGCTTTGAGCGCATTCCATGAGATTTTATATCGTGAACTTGCTCTGGCGGAAGAGTCTTCGTGCTCAGCTTACACATTGCACGAAATACGAGGAATGCATCCTTGATGTATATCTCGTCTTCTTCGTCTTCTTCGCTGGGTTCGTTGTCTTCCAAATTCGCTTGAGCGGTATCATTTGCGCCAGCAAATCCAGAAATGGTGCGATCTTTCTTGATGCGTGTCACCATTGTAGGCGCATTGTCATTGATGCGATCATCGTCAAAGCTCTTCCGGTTCTCAAAGCTCTGCAGCGTAATCTTCTCGTTGGGTTCCGGTTGAGACTCTGGTTGTATGGACTCAGCTTCGGGGGCGGCTACAGAAGCTGATTCGTCATCTTTGTCCGGCGGGCTTTCAACGCCGTTCTCACCTGCCTCTGGGCTCTGTCGATTTATGTCGTTGAGGTCGCCAGATCCGTTCATGTCTCGTCCTAAAGAGGCTTTCGAAGCGTTCAGGCTAGCCTCTTTCAGGGAGATTCGAGTCTTAACGCGCTCAAAGACTGTCCCAACCATTTGAGTTAGAGTACCTTGGGCAATCTGCTGATTGCCGCTTGATCTTGAGAGCAGGAAGATGTTGTAGGTCTGGCGAACTGCTTTGAGCAACCCAGCACCATGAACAACAACTTTGTCGTTTAGAACCGCGGCAAGAAGGGATTTAAGAATCTGGAGTTGAACATCACTAGCTGTAGCTTCTCCCTGAAAGCAATCGCAAATGGCATCAATTGCTCGCTCAATCAGAGCAGGCTCTTGAGGGGTGCCATCAGGAGATGCGTTTGATTCTGGAGACACCGCAAAGTATGAATAGCTGATAAGCTTTCCGATACAATCCAATGCCGTGACCACAACTTGGTTGTTTGACGCCTCAGTTGCTAGCCGCAGCGCTTCGAATACCGTCTCTGGATCGGTCAACTGAGGGTCACCTTGAGATTTGATAGCAGATAGCGCTCGCTGCGTGGCCTCTCCCAGAGGCTTTTTCTTCCGTGCATCTTTAGACGCCGCGATCGATTCCAAAGCTGTCACGACGAACACCAACGATGTGGAGGAACCGGCACGCAGGGTCGCATTTGTTGCAGCTGATGATTGCGTGCCAGATCGAGCGCGTGACTCGGTGAGACGAGGGGTTCCCGCAGCTGGTATGGATACGGATGGGATAGAACTGCTTCGAGCAGGGTGCGGCGCCGGCGACTCGTCTTGGTTTCCGGGAGGCAGTTGCTCTGGAGTCCTTGCAGAAGACGTGTCTCCTTCGCGCCCAGAAGGCAGCGGCGGACTTTCTAAAGGTTGTTCATCTGCGGCAGGAAGATCTGTCGGCGGGGCATCACTGGGAGATTTCACATCCTCCCCTTCATCGTTGCTCGTCTGGTGCTCGTTGAAGGGGGCGTCACCCTTTATCTCTGGCTGTAGCGATGGTTCTGAAGAGCCATTCATATCAATCTTCGCCCAATTCTCGCCTCGCTCCAGTTCCTTCTTATCGTTTGTAAGAGACTGTGCTGCCTCAAATCCTGCCTCATCCTCTGGAATTGGGGCATCCGTAACCTCCGGGTCGGAGACAGGCTGAGGCTCGGACATTTCCGCCATCTATGCAATGAAGCTCCAGACACCCATACGTTCTCTCAATTCGATGTAGGGCTGAGCAAAATCACATTGCTTGCCCCTGCGGGATCGCCGAGGAGAGGGCTCGAAATGGCTCCAGTGTGACTCCGGAGTAAATGCTCGTCGTTGCTAAAGAGATCTCTTATTAACACAATAAAGTGTCAAGACATGTAGCTGAAGCTCCCTCTCTCTCACTTTCTCGGTGGTCGAATGCCGGCATCCATGCAGGTAACGACTGGCGTGGAAGTAGAAGGACGCTGCGTCACCCATCAAGGTACCTTCTTTTACGCCGTAGTATAGGTGAAGCATTAGGTATCTGAGAGAACGGCTGTAGGTAGCAGTACTAGAGCCAGTAGGCAACGGTGTCAATTCCAGGCTCCCCGCCTCTTCCTTCCCTATCAGCGGATGCACAACACGAGACTCTCGCACCCCGTAGCTTTTCCGGCTATAGTTGCCGGAATGTCTTTTTTCCTCAAATCAACTCTTTTTCTCCCCACGAGGGAAATTGGTCCCTCGCCAACTCGCCTCTTCACGCCCTTTGGCTCGGGAGTTCGAAGCGAGCCAGCTTAGCTCTGCGAACTTCGAACCTCAACAGTACCTGAAGTCCCCGAGACTTGGCCCACACCCCCAACCGTCCAGATTCTCTCCGACGAGATTCAACTTCCATACATTCCCTCTCCGCGGAGTGTCAACTCACGACTCCAGCGCCTCTCTCAGTCGCGTCGTTCTCCTTCTCACCCTTAGAGGCCTCTTCGTTCCGGTGATAAGGTCGTCATGTCCGTCGCGACCCTGCTCGCTCGGGCTTCGGCCAGGACGCCTCTTCGACTTCCGGCCAGCGCTCAGGGCCGGAGAATCATCCTGTTCGTAGCCATTGTCTTCAACCAAGGTCTATTAAGGGATCTAGGAAGCTAATTGAATCCGTGATGCAGGAGAAATGGTCCCTCTCTCGCCGCTCTCGCAAGATGTTACGCCTCTAAGTGTTGGACTCCCCTCCTATTCTCCAAAGCCATTGATCACAAAATCAATGGTTTGATATCTCCAATGGCTGACTGACATTCATCTAGCGTTTCCTCCTCACACCGTTGTCAGCATGCCTGCGCTCTCTCCCACTATGACCCAGGGAAACATTGGTGCTTGGCAGAAGAAGCCGGGTGATTCCTTAGGGCCCGGTGATGTTCTGGTAGAGATTGAAACCGACAAGGCGCAAATGGACTTTGAGTTCCAAGATGAGGGTGTTTTGGCGAAGATCCTCAGAGAAACCGGTGAAAAGGACATTGCTGTTGGCACGGTGAGCGATTTCTTCAATTGGAAAACAAATGCGATGTTTTCGGTTGGCTGATACTTTATAATGATAGCCTATCGCCGTCATGGTCGAGGATACCGACTCCGTCGGTGCTTTTGACTCGTTCACGTCTGAGGATGCTGGCGGCGCAAAGGAGCCGCCCAAGGAGCAGCCCAAGGAGGCCTCCGAGGCTTCCGAACCCCCACAGACTGGTTCTGGTACCGCCCCGCCTGCGGCCGAGTCTAAGCCTACTGCTCAGGAGTCCGACTCGACCGGCGCCAGACTGGAGACCAGCTTGGAGCGTGAGGCCTACGCCACTCCTGCTGCCAAGGCCCTCGCTCTGGAGAAGGGTGTCTCTCTCAAGGCTGTCAAGGGCTCTGGTCCCGGTGGCCGTATCACCAAGGAGGACATTGAGAAGTTCAAGCCCGCTGCCTCTCCTGCCGCCGCTGCAGGTGTGCCCACCTACGAGGATATCCCCGCCAGCTCCATGCGCAAGGTCATCGCCAGCCGTCTCCAGCAGTCGATGAACCAGAACCCCCACTACTTCGTCTCTGCCTCTATCTCGGTCTCCAAGCTGTTGAAGCTGCGTGAGGCTCTCAACAGCACCTCTGGTGGCAAGTACAAGCTCTCTGTCAACGACTTCTTGGTCAAGGCTAGCGCCATCGCCTGCCTCAAGGTTCCCGCTGTCAACTCGAGCTGGCGCGAGGAGGCTGGCCAGACCTTCATCCGTCAGCACAACACTGTCGATGTTAGCGTTGCTGTTGCCACCCCCGTCGGCCTCATGACTCCCATCGTCAAGAGCGTCGAGGGTCTCGGCCTCGAGAAGATCTCCAACCAGATCAAGGAGCTCGGCAAGCGTGCCAGAGATGGCAAGCTCAAGCCCGAGGAGTACCAGGGCGGTACCTTCACCATCAGCAACATGGGCATGAACCCCGCCGTCGAGCGCTTCACCGCCGTCATCAACCCCCCGCAGGCCGCTATCCTTGCCGTCGGCACCCTGAAGAAGGTTGCCGTCCCTGTCGAGACCGAGGAGGGCACCGGTGTTGAGTGGGATGACCAGATCGTCATCACCGGCAGCTTCGACCACAAGGTCGTTGACGGTGCCGTTGGTGGTGAGTGGGTCAAGGAGTTCAAGAAGGTTCTCGAGAACCCGCTTGAGCTCTTGCTCTAGATTGTTTTTAGAAAGAGGGTCAGGTTGTTTACAATACTTGTATAATTGAATACTTTTTTTTATTATTTTCCCTTCTCCCTCCCTATGTACGTTTTTTTGTGGTGTCCCCCTTGTGGGCGCTCCATTGGTTTGAGCCACATTTTATCCCCCGTCTGACTCGAGTTACGTCCCTGTCGAACTGCATTTCTCGCTTTATCGATGCCCATCTCCTACTCCCAAACCCGGCGCTCGGGGCATCGCGTACTATCACTTGAGTCTGATGGTAGTCGATCAAATCTAAAAGCGTGATCATGATTTATCCAGCCAACTTCTGTTAATTGATTTCTCGCCTTATAGGCATGCACCTTGCACAAGTGTAGCCAACCCCGGGAAACCCCGCTTGAAAACGCCCAAAAATATGCCGAGACAAGGAATTTATGTAGCATCGCTAAATAAGCAAGAAAGGAAAAGATAAATTTGTCCAAATATCCCAACGCCACGCCCAAAACCCAAAGGCTGGGGGAAACGAAATAAAATAATCTGACAGTCAAGTAAAACACAGATACAGGAAGATAAAAAAAAAGATAAAAAGTCATTTGGACGCCGACCGCGTTCCGAATGGTGAGCTAGGAGCAGGCGACTGGGTATAGACAGCGGCAAAATCAAGCTGCGACAGCATGCCATTGATCTGGTCAATTTCATGGCTTAAATCTTCAATATTCTGCGCGAGACTCGAGACCTCGTCGAATCGGCGATGTTTGTTGGCGTCGGCGACCATTTCGGAGACGAAGAATTTCTGTTCTTCGAGCACAATCAGTCGCTCACGGAGAGACTTCTCCTCAGCCTCCATTACCGACACAGCACTGTTACTGCTCGCCTGACTGGCTGATTCAAGATCATTATACTTGATGGCTGCCAGTCCGCTAATTGACCGGCCGCCAGGAGAAGGGAAATATGGCCGAGGAGAGGCTCCGTGGGGGGAGGCATGTTTCAGCACCTTTGGAAGCGACTTGAGCGGAAGCATGTGCAGATGGATAAAATTCGTTGCCTGATGGTAGATTGCTTTTTGCAGTCTCAATTGCGTTTTAGATTTCGTCGGCATGTCCCGGATGCGGCGTGCAGCAATATCGTATTGACTGAAAGAGTCTGTGAGCCTCTTCCTGACTTTTGAAGCCTCGGCCAGTTGTGTTGGCGTTGGAGGCTTATCAGGGTCTCTGCAGGGAGCATTAGTAGGCAGAAGAAAAAAAGCGTATGGGGAGTAGAGGGAATGAAGCGTACTGCAGAGCTACTAATAGCCGTTGGAACTTTGGAAGCATGAGTCGAATTCCGCGCTCAAATTGCACGAGATTTTCATAGGCTCTTAAATCTGGGGGCCGTTGGGCAAGCTCATTGGCAAAATCACGCTTGCTAAAACAAATGGTTTTACAGTCTTTGCACATTCGAACATCTAGGCTCATCTGGCCAAGTGTTTTTTCTGAAAGATGATCCGCCACTAAAGCAAGTTAGCATAACCTGGAGAGACTGAATATTCTTGAGAGATGGCGCGTACTCGTTGCAACATTTAGGCCGACCTCACTTGAGCAGCCCGTTCTAGAGTCTCCACAAACTACTCGTCCACAGAGTCGGCAATGATGTCTCCGGAATGTATAAGAAGTAAATTCTTGCTGGCAAAATGGGCAGTGTGAAACCGCTGCATCTTCTTCCCATGTCACGACAGATTGCTCAAGCAATTTCCTTTGGTTTCTCGCTCCTGATAGCGACCAAAAAGCGCCACCGGAAGCGCTTTCTTGCTCAAGAAACTGAGGGCTAGTAAGAAGTTTTGTAAGTTTCGTGAGACGTTTTTCTAGGCGACTAATTTCAAGGTAGGATTTATCCACATTCCGTCGACGAATTTCAGCGAATTCGGAAGTACGGTCACGTTCAAGCCCTGATTCGGTCAGCTGAAAAAGGCCCTGCTGTTGGCTTTCTGTTACTTGGGGAGACTGACCATTGTGGTCGTTGTACCCTTCTCTCAGCTTATAGCACGTTTCACACACTCGGCACCAAACGCCGCGGACGGGCTCGTGTTGGGCAGACCTGGATAGTTTCATCTGATACATGGTATGTTCCTCGCAGAATAACCTCCCGCATTTCCTGCAATTGACACTTCCATTGATGGCCCCTAGGCGCCTTTCGCAAATCGGTTCTGAGCAAACCTCGTCCGGGCGCGGTCTCTGCCAGTGCTCTCTTGTTACCAATTCATCCGGATCGGCACGATGGGGTTCAGCGACGGCAGCATTGCTACTTGGTGGCACAAACGACGGCGGAGTATCGTTAGATTCAAAGACATCGAGACCTTTGAGCTTTTGATTCAACACAGCCAGCGGCTGAAATTTCTTTGCTTTGACCATCTGAGTTTTGAACCAATTCTTAACCTCGTCCTGCTCCACCTCCTCGAGGTTCTGGTGGTCATCATCAAGATGTCTATTGTCGGTGTCAACGGACAGCTTCGCCAGGACTTCAGAGTAATCTGTGCAATTACCTGTTGAGTTGCAACAATGTCACCTGTCCAATTCGTGAGCTTGGAATCTCATCTAGTTGGCTCAACAAATACTTACCATTTCTTCTTCGCAAATGGGACATATCAGCTTCGCTGTCGAAGCCGTCCGGGAAGAATCTCCATTTCCCAGCGACACCCTTGAGCCCAAGTCTTGGGGCTCAAGTGAGAGGGGCGAGTGCGACAGCTGCGAGTCGAGAGAAAGAGAGCTGGTTGAAGGTGATAAGGCGGTCTGGTTCTTAGAGTTGACGGGAATGGCGGCACTAGGGGAAAGTGTCCTTGCAGCGCTCCCCAGCACCCGCCTGTGACCTCCCGGTCTCATGGAAGCCATGGTGACCTAGCACAGGCACATCATCTGAAACGCCAAAGGAACTTGCACAAGCAATCTCGAGCACGATTTGGCAGGGGGCGGGGTTACCCAGGCTGAGTAATCCCCGCCGGAATATCTAGTGCTGAAGGAGGGTGGTTTTAAAGGAGATCTCGAAAGTGGGAGGTTTCTGTGATCACCAAATTCCTTCAACAGTATATACGGAGTAGGTAATCAAAACGGAGTCGTGGCGAAGCTGGATTGCTTCATAGCTTCATAGTACTTAACAATTGGCCTCGTCCCTGCGGAGAGCGGATGGGTAAGCTAAGAAGGGTTTAGCATGAGAGTAATAGCTCACTCATAGCCGTACGGAGTACTCCCCTCGCTCCAATGGCTCCGGAACCGCAAGAATTCCCCTTCTCTTTTATCTTATCGCCCAGCTCGCTTGTGGATAGCAATCCAAATCCATTTGTCAAAAGTCACATTTATCTTCACATGTTATGAACATCTAGATTCTAGACCATCATCTTATCCCCTCATCATGTCGGGAAAATTTCCAGAGGTTCAGGGTGGCGGTAGTCTGATACTGGCATGGCAAATAAGGAACAAGCATGTTCTTGTCATCGGTGGTGGTGAGGTGGGTGCAAAGCCTCTGTTGTTAATTGTGCCGCGGAGATTGCTAAACCGAATTGCAGGTTGCAGCAGGTCGCATTTTGAACGTCTTGAACGCCGATGCCAAAGTCACCGTTGTTTCTCCTCGAGAGGGGCTGAACGAGGAGGTCGCCTACAGAATTGAGAAGAAGCAAGTCGAGTACATAGACCGCAAGTTTGAGCCGTCGGATCTCGATGGCGCCGACATGGTATTGACGGCTGTGGACGACCCTGAGGCGTCTTCACAAATTTACAAGCTGTGTCATGAGAGACGCATTCCGGCAAACATTGCAGATGTGCCCCCTGAATGTGACTTTTACTTTGGCAGTGTCCATCGCGATGGGCCGCTTCAGGTCATGGTCAGCACAAACGGCAATGGGCCCAAGCTTGCGAATATTGTTCGGAGAAAAATTGCTGCAAGTCTGCCGGATAACACAGGGGCTGCCATACAAAAAGTCGGTGTGTTAAGAAGAAAATTGCGCAAGATCGCTCCGGCCATAGAGGAGGGTCCAAAGCGCATGCATTGGTACGCCCCGCCTTTTCTTTATTTGGGTTCTTCCACTAAAAATGTTCAAGGATGTCCAAGATTTGCGAGTCTTGGAGCCTAGAGGATCTGTGTGAAATGGATGAAAAAGATATGGATGAGCTGCTCAAGTCATATAAGAGTGGAGACGTCCCATGCCTGCATGAAGTTCGGCATGAAGGGGAACCTGTCGTTGGCTTTGAAGGTAGCTTTGGCTGGTGGTGACGATGCTGAAAAATACATGACTGCGTCTTTTTTTGAGTAAATATGGCGTTGGAACTGCAAAGCGATGGCGCAATATAGGAAGATTTCCATTCTTTTAAATACCTTTAGTTCCATGAATTGATATGTATATATTGTACAACCAAACTCGGGTGATATTGTTTCTAGTGTCTTTGGCGACGCAGCGCTTATAAAAATAGTGGCTCTATAACTAAAACATATACCGAGTTTCGCTTCGATCTGGTTACAACCAACCGGTCCGATTCCGCTTTCATGATGAACTCTACTCGAAATATTTACAACAATGATATTGATTTCAAAACATTGGCTTTGCAATATCCTTCATTTGCCAAGATGTGAGCCGACATACCTTTAATAATCTGTGCATTTCTGATGATAGTAAACCCAGACTGAAGCCAAACGGGCAGCTTGATTTTAGCAGACCCGAAGCTGTGCAGTATGACACAGGCCAGTATCTGAAAACTTATGAGAACGATCGGTCTAATTCTCTTTCCCATCAGAGAGCTTACAAAGACCCTTTTAAAGCGGGACTTTGGTTTAACCATAGAGCTGCCACCCGACCGATTATGTCCACCGGTAATTCTCCCACCCTGAATTCTGTCTAAACATGCTGACCGCTGCTCTTCCAGGTTCCGAATCGGTATGAGGGACAATCCAAGCACTGAAATATGATATGGAAGCTTACACGTGACAGTTTCAATTACATTCTTTGGCTTCAAGATCTCATTGATACTACTTCTGATTCTTTCAGCGACAAATATGAGCCTGCTCGCAAAGTGTTTGGGCTTGACATGTAAGTCATTCCAACAAGTCATAAGAATAAAGTTGACAAAGTAGTAGTGGCACAGGAGCAAGCTGTATTTATCCTCTGCTTGGGTGCACCCAACGCTCAAATTGGAATTTTGCCGGGACAGGTAACAAAACTTCTACTCGTGATTCACATCCAATACTAACAACAAAAAGATATTGATGAAGAAAGCCTCAAATATGCACGCAAAAACGTGGCGGCAAACGAGCTGGATCAGCGAATCACGCTTTTCAAATCCGATAGGAATGGACCGCTGATACCACTCGATCTACTGAAGCTAGAAAGGTAAATGCTTCCCAAACAGAATCTAAGCCAAGTCTTACTTACCGGATCTAAAAGGATCGATTTTACCATGTGTAACCCGCCCTTTTATGAGTCCAAAGATGACATGATATCTTCTGCCGAAAAAAAGCATCAAGCCCCATTTTCCGTAAGTTCAAAGGCCATCCTTGCTCTACACAATTGCTGATTCAAAAACCTCTAAGGCTTGCACTGGCGCTGAAGCTGAAATGGTCACCCCTGGCGGCGAAGTAGCTTTTGTGTCTCGTATGATTGAAGAAAGTGAACGCCTTCAAGGAAGAGTCCAATGGTATTCGACAATGTTAGGCAAGCTTAGCAGCGTCTCTGTCGTCATAGAGAAGCTCAAAGCCGTAGGTATCACCAATTGGGCGGTGACAGACTTTCTCCAAGGGAGTAAAACTCGTCGGTGGGGAGTGGCTTGGTCGTATGGAGATATACGTCCCAAAACTGTAAGTCCACTAGTCCAATGTCCAATGTCCAATGATGTGGAAATGGGGCTAATATTGTACAAAGGAGATTGCAAGAGGAACAACGAGCCTTCAGAAACATTTCCTTCCGTTCCCGTCCGAATATTCATTCAGTGTCCCTGAAGAATCATTCACTGTCATCTGCGAGAAGCTGTGTGGCGCTATGGAGTCCATTAAATTGTCCTGGAAATGGGATGCATCAACATGCACTGGCCTAGGATTCACGCGGGAGAATGTCTGGTCGAGAGCATCAAGGCGGAAGGGCAGAGTTGAGGATGAAGCTAAGCCAAGTCTACAGCCTCTCGACAGGGACGTCATCCTCGGCTTCAAGCTTCTTGTTACGCAGAAAAAGGATTCGAACGAAGTTGACGTGCACGTTCGGTGGGTAAGGGGCAACGACGTTGTACTATTTGAAAGCTTTTGCGGCATGGTCAAGCGCAAAATTACCAGCAAATAAGTAGGTATGCAAATGGGTTACAAATCTATTGATACTATATACAAATCCTCCAATCATTTTCCATGGATCTTAAGAAAACTAGCAATTTTATTTCCTATATTTCCTTGTGCTCATGCTCATGACTCTATCTCTAGTTGAGACAGCTGCTGTATGTTTTCCCCCAGCTCTGCATAAATGCATGCAAATATATAAACTTCGTCAAATCATTGAACATGCCAAATAATACATACTGCGACACATCATGCGCAGCACCTTGACAAGTTCTTTGCGTCTCTCAAGAGGGATATGAAGCAAAACAATTGCTTGTCCGGTGTACATCAAGACACCAAACAGACATCCACGCAGTACCCCCATTTCATCACGGCGGCGTCGGACCCTGAATTCCCGTCGATCCCGCCGCCAATTTGTCCAGCTTTTCTCCATCAACCCTTAATCCCACCCACTCATCATCCATTCTCTTTGCGCCAATTGCCTCGTAGAAATCCAGACTCGGCTTATTCCACTTCAGACACGCCCACTCCAGACGGGCTCCTCGCACTCTCCGCACTTCGCCCGCCAGTTCCGTCAGTAACCGCTTCCCGTATCCTTTGCCGCGGTACTCGGGCCACACGAAGAGATCCTCGAGGTATATCCCCGGCGCGGCGCGCCAGGTCGAGTAGTTGTGGAAGTAGAGCGCCATGCCGGCTACTTTTTCCTTGACCTTGGCTGCATTATCACTACTATTGGGATCCGGCACGACGGCGAGTAATGTCCGCGCGTAGCCGGGCTTTGCGTCGCTCGGGTCGTCGGCGAAAGAGAGCGTGTCGTGCAGAGATTCCTCGGTGGCTTTGACTTCGTGCGGGGCGTTCTCGTATATGGCGAGCCCGTGGATGATTTCGAGAATAGCGGGGACGTCTGTTTGGAATTAGTTTACTTTGGCATATATTGCACTTGAGGGACATTCAGCATTCAGTTGCGGGGCATTCAGATGAGGGTCAGAGGGATATGGAGGGAATGGGCAAACTGGCAAACAGTGCAGGTACACGTCTAGTAAACTTACCGCTGCGGAGGGCGCGACGGATGGTGACTTGGTCTGCCATGTTGGACGGAGGTCTGAAATTTATGTTGGAGTTTTGGATTGTTTCTTGGAATTGAATGAAATGGGTTTAGGTGCAGGCAACTCGGGGAAGTTTTATATCATCGACAAAGCTCAAGGGTTATGCGTAAGTTGTCAAAGCAAGGGCGTAGTGGAAGTGTCTAGGCAACCCCACTCAAGATTTAAGCAGTCTCTGGGTGTAAGGCAGTATTCTCGGGGTTTATCTTTAGCTGAATTGAGCCCAGAGGGGTGCCCGCACTCGGTGTTGCTCAAGGGTCGATTTAGCCCGAAAATCAGAACGCTAGTCAGGGGTTTCGGGTATACCAATAGCATTCGTAGCATGTCATTACTCTACAACTACATTGACAGATCTACAAGGTTGTACCTGCAGGTTTGCAGAACGTAATCTTTGGCATTGGGAAACGTATCCTATGAATCACATATTCCATATAGCGCTGCTGCTGGACTGGTCCTATAAAGGGGTCCGTAATGCACGGGGAAACTGTTTTGAAGTCTCTGTATACCTGGAAAGTTTAAATTAAACCCGCGTACAATGCAACAAAGGCATGGAAATCAAATTCTATTGCGCCGAGATCCTGGGTATCATAAAATGACTGTTTAACTTTTTGGACTTTTTTGTTTGATGCCTTTCTCATCGACACCCTCAAACAAGCTCAATGTTGACGGACTGGTTGCACGCTTCAATTGAATTCGCCCATCATGTACCGAGCCCCACTCTACCCTCCATTCCTTCCCCGAGAGATCTTGGCTCATGGTCGGGGTCTGCATGAAGATTCTAGCCCAGAGTCTCCGCATAAATCTACTCGTCAAAACATGCGGCTGTTCAATCATGTCCTTCTTAGGATAAAACGGGCTGGCTCCTGTCCTCCAGCTAGCTACCTTAGCCAAAGCGGATGAGTCGGAGGCATTGAGGCAGCTCCGCCTCTGTGGCATCTCGAACGGGAATATCTTTTGCTTCCCAGTAGCCAAAGCGCAGAGTCTATCCCATTCGTGCCGTGGCAAAGGCGGCTGAATCTTCTCCAGGAGCCCTGCGAACCATTTCCGTCTCATGTTCCGGGCACGACATTCTGGGAATCGTCTGCCCCATATATTTGTCTCGGGAATTTTAGGACTGAGACGTTTGATGCTAGATTTGCCTAGCTCTGCTGACGGACGTTTCTGGTGACTTTTTGCTAGCGCAAGCAGTCTAGTTGATGGAGTAAAACCAGATGCTTTGTTCTGCGCGTTATTTCGAACGGTTTCGAGAGCATTTTGATCTGCAGGAATATCGGATTGCGAGACCTCCGCGAGTAATTCACGCCGCCTTTTCCCGCTGCGACCATAGGTGTGCATCAGCACCTTCTGGAGATGTTTGAGTTCTCCATTGTTGGCACGTTGAAGCACCGAAAGGCCTCGACGAGCCGACCGGAGGAGCTGGGTAATTCGGACGCTGTCAGATGCCGCTGACTGATTTTCCTGCGTGTGTTTTCGGAAGCGTTGGAGGATATACTGATGGAAGTAGGTACGGGCAGCGGGATCAGGAAGGTAGGTGCATTCTCGGAGTAAAGAGCGAAGCAGATGTAGAGGGTGAGAGGACGCTCTCACTACCATTCTCGGGGCATCGAATTCCAATCCGGGGAGTGTTGACGATAGTTACGAGGTGATATATTCTGTATTCTCTGCAAGGCGTCTTTTGCTAGAGATATTTTTATCGTGATCAGGTTGTCACTTGATAGCTGCACGCTTTTGATTTCCTAATCCGGTAATCGAAGCGCGTGTCGTTGAGCGCACCCGACAGACGCGGTTCCTTGACAGCCAGCGGATTGACATTGAGTATGGGATGATATTATACATCATCAAAGTTGGCTTTTTTCATTTCTTTTCTGTTATTATTTTGATCTCTTTTTAATAACGATATAGCCAAGAATGAAACGTGAAAATGAAAAATATAAATCTTGTGAACGTAATCTTGGTCGGTGAGATGCAGGTACAAGAGGGGGGAAGACGCGTTCGCGAAATTGGAATTGCACGTTTAAGGTTGTAGAGGCCACCAATCATCCACCTCCATTCCAGGCAAAGTGCTGCACGAACCTCCCCTCAAACCCAAAAACCACCGCCTTCTCTTATATTTCCAATCACGCATGCCCGTTACCACTTATACTGCCGCTTCTGGATCACGCGCATCGACACGTCTCCCCGTGATCATTCGCCTTAATTTCTTCCATTGACGTCGTGCTATTGCGACGATCCATGCATTCTCGTCGGCCCTTGTAACATTGTGCTGAGGAGGACCTGTCATCCGCACGACACTTTGAGCTGAACCCTGCACGAAGCTCGGCAGTTTCAGAGTCCCTCTGCGCTTCAATTCGGCTTGCGTCGAGGTCCATGGCCTCCGCATTGCAACCTGTCGCTATCTCGTCTCATCCGTCCTCTTATCCTCATAACGTTGTCAACGCTGCAGTTGCCGGGCTGCACCTGCCTCAATCGGTCGTCGCCCGGTCCTTTGAAGGGCAGCCAACTCCTTCCCCCAATCTCCCGGTGAACTCTGCCTCATCGCGGCCCGCACCGCAGCACATGTCGTTCAATATGAATGGCCAGACCCTGCAAAATGGGATCATGGTCCCACAACAGGTCTATCGCAATTACGGTGAAATGGACGGTCATGCGCTTCCACCGCCGCAAATGCAGCCAGCCACCAGACCTCAAATCTACTCGGTACGTTCGCGAACTGCCTGCACCCTCTTTTGTTTCAGATTTTATCCTTTCTCTTTTTCCTTTGCTGTTCGTTTCATTGCTAACCTTTTCCGGGTCTCTCCAGGCTGTTTACTCAGGAGTCTCTGTTTACGAAATGGAAGTCAACAAGGTTGCTGTCATGCGCCGTCGTTCTGATTCCTGGTTGAATGCGACTCAGATTCTAAAAGTTGCGGGAATAGACAAAGGGAAACGAACAAAGGTTCTAGAAAAGGAAATCTTAACCGGCGAGCACGAGAAAGTTCAGGGTGGCTATGGTAGGTATCAAGGAACTTGGATCCGATATGAAAGGGGAGTGGAGTTTTGCCGTCAGTACGGTGTGGAGGAACTCCTGCGTCCCTTGCTAGAATACGACATGGGTCAGGACGGCAGAAGCATGCCTGGTCAGGGTGCCATGGATACTCCAACAAAGGAGCAAGCAATGGCAGCACAAAGAAAGCGACTATACAATGCTGGCGCAGAAAACCGCGTCCCTGGCCAGTCTGCCGGCGGCACGTTCTTCAAAAATATTTCAAGCACTGCTTCCAATGCAGTGGCAGCTATAGGCAAGGCGAGGTTCGATTCACCTGCTCCCAGAGGAAATGGTTCACGGCCTCCGAATGCTGCCCGCAGATCATCGTATCAACCATCGGCTAGTCAAGAGTCGGCTTTTCCGAGTGCCAGCCAGCAGAGTATGCGGAGCCTAGCATCGGAAAATTCATTTGGTGGTACTCCGCACATGGATACTGCATATGCATCACAGAATGATACCTATATGACCAGTATACCGGACTTGCCAAGAGAAGCTGAACTCATGGAACCACCGCGAAAGAGGATGCGCCCCATGTCAAGCCAGGAAACAGTCATGTCCGCCCCTGAAAGCATGTACGGCAGATCAATACGAGAAGAAACTCCCACGGAACCGAACGAATCATTCGTCTATCATCAGCATGGTCATTATTTACCCACCTTGGAAGAAGTAGAAGAGGGCGCTGTAGGCTTACAGCCATTGCCACAACCTTCGACAAGGGAAGAAGAAGAAAAGGTTCAGCTACTTACGTCCCTTTTCTTGGATCCTTCACAAACAGACTTTTCAACCCACCCTGCATTTCTACATCTTTCTGGTGAAGATTTGGATCTACCACTCGACTCTACTGCACATACAGCACTCCACTGGGCTGCGACGCTAGCTCGACTGCCTTTATTAAAGGCTTTGATATCGAAAGGTGCTAGCATATATCGGACTAATGGTGGTGGGGAGACCGCTTTGATCAGAGCCTGTGTTGTCACCAACAATCTGGACCAGGGGAGCTTTCCTGAACTGCTTGAACTATTGGGTCCAACCATTGAAATGCGAGATGGTCGTGGCCGAACTGTGCTACATCACATCGCTGTATCTTCTGCCGTCAAAGGCCGAAGTGCGGCTAGCAAATATTATCTCGAATCCTTGTTAGAATTCGTGGTACGCCATGGTGGCAGTCATCAGCCAACTTCCTTTCACGGCGAAGGTTTTCAGGGCCTACCTGATACTGGCAAGACAATTGGGTTGGCTCGGTTCATGTCCGAAATTGTAAATGCACAGGACAAGTCCGGTGATACTGCGCTGAATCTAGCAGCCAGGGTTGGCAGCAGAAACATAATACATCAGCTACTCGAGGTAAACGCAGATGCGGGCATACCGAACCGCGGTGGTCTTCGGCCAATCGACTTTGGAATCGGCAGCGAGGCTCAAATTGGAGCATCGCAGGTTTCCGTTCAGGAACCTGCTGCATCTCAAGACAGGACAACCGTCAGCAAAGTAGTCGGGGAGACGAGTCGAGACATCATGTCATGTAAGCTACCCCTCTCTTTGTCCCTCTGAAAATATTTTATCTTGGGATTTATATTAATGCACCCTCAGCCATTTCCTCGTTGCTTGCGCAAACGGAAGAGCAATTCTCCAGCGAAATGCGAGCAAAGCAAGATCAAATCAACCAGGCGCACGCCAAACTTCGAGAGTGCTCTGCTATCCTTGGCGAAGAACGCCGAAACTTCGAGCTTCTGCAGCAAAAGGCCGCTGAAAGAACAGAGATGAAGCAAAAGATTCAGAACCTACGGCGCGCTGCTGAGGAGCAGAAGCTGAAAATGGCGCAATCTGGCATCGTCAATGGCGACTCCTCGCCTCCTCTTCATCTTGTCGTCGGCCATGCTGATGAAGGGAATGTTGTCAAGCTTGAGGAGGTCCCGGCTGATATTCTCAACGTTTCCGAGATATCACAACTGGATCACCAAAGCTTGGCATACTTGTCATCTTTACCGTCAGTGGACGTTCTGCAGGGTCGATTAGCGGCATATGTGGCAAATAACGCAAATCTCAGAGAGTATTCAAAGAAGCTAAAGAGCCAAAGTGGTGAGCTTGAGGAAAGATACCGTCGAGTCGTCAGTCTCTGTACTGGTGTAGCCGAGAATAGTGTGGAATCCCTCCTAGGAGGCTTGGTGGCCGCAGTGGAAAGCGAAGGCGGAGATATCGTCGAGGTCGGGCGTGTGCGAGACTTTTTACGAAAAGTGGAAGGTGTTGAAGGATAAGCACCCAGCAAAGTAAACCTGAAGTGACGGGTAAATACGAAGTATTGCGCGCGGGGGATCTATGATACTCCTTTTTTTTTTTTTTTTCTTGGGTTGATTGAAGGGGTTGGGGGGGGGTCTTCTTTGCTTAGCGGTCGTACATGGTTCATTTCGTTCTTTTTTTATTCCCTCTATTGTATACAATATGCTTCGCTTCTGTAACTGGGTTGATACCTGGAGGCCATTACTTACGTAAACTGTACGCTCAATTTTTTTAATTTTTTTTCCCCTCTCGCAAGGTCCTTTCCTTTGAATATTTATTGGTCAATCTGCATCACTGCATATCATCATGATGATGCATCAGAGCTTTACATTTATTCTACCTTTATCTAATCTCAAAGAATTTCTAATCAACTTGATCATCTAGTGACTAGTCTCAAATCGACCAGCTGAGATTGATATCTTGACATTATTTCCCCACGGTCCTTTTTCACCATGGAACAATCTCCCCCGCGTATGCATTAATGCCTTCGTGATTTTCCCACCCAGGCACATGAATATTGTAGAATTTCCCATTGTCCTCTTTCTGGACCCTGAAAACGATATTGAGCGTCGCTTCGGCACCAGTTTCTGGCGGCAGGTCCGCAATGGAACCGCCTAGGTCGGTTTTCAACCACTATGTAGAGTCAGCATTTCCGCATGATACTTACAACGTCCTTTCTCTGTTGAAACCAGCTTGATGTGTGAAAGGAAATTTTGATCTTTGTTTTGGGGATTTTTTTTTTTTTTTTTTTTTTCTGGGGGGAAGGGGGCAGGGGAGCCGCCGTTCGCGCCGCGCCGTGCAATGGAGGTTGAGAAAGGAAGAGGGGGGGGGAAGTGTTTGCTTACACCAGGAGAGATGGCCACGACCGTGAACCCCTTCTCCGCAAAGGAGTGTGCGTATTGATACGTCAACATGTTCAGACCCGTTTTGGATATCTTGTAGCCGTGGTATGGAAGGGGCGCGTATCGCTCCGCCATGCCGAACGATCCAACTGTGCTTGAGCTGTGACACCAGACCACGAACTCGTTAGTATACTTGGGTATATGCCAGAGCTATGCCAGAGAATTATTCCACCGAGGAGGAAATGAGTCGACACTTACATGTTGATAATCTTCTTCTGCTTTCCCTTTTCCAGGAGCGGAATAAAAGCGCGTGTGACATTATGCGTTCCCCCGATGTTTACATGGAGTACGTTATCAAGGTCGTCCCTTGTTTTTGTCTCTTCAGCATTTCAGACTCTCAAACGCTTTACTTGGGGAGAAGAAAGAGCTTCTAGGCCAATTGATCGTCTCTATCGATTTGGCATTTGGCTCAGGCGTGAACTTCCGAGTCTCTTCAAACTGAAATAAACTTTGGAGGAAGGCGAAGAGTAAGGCTGAGAAGGGAAAGAGGCAAATGTTTAAATGTTAAAATGCTTACATTTCCTGGATACCGTTGGGGCTATAGCTATGGATTGCGGCATTATTGACAAGTACATCCAGCCCTTTGCCGTGCAAGATATGCTCGGCCTCGGCGGCGGCTTTCTTGGTGCTGGTTACGTCTGTGATATCGAGCGCAACAAAGACAATCCGGCCGGCAGAACCATCGACGACTTTTTTTAATGCGGGAGTCTGTTGGCGTGCCGTAGCGATGATAGTCCCGACTTGCTCAGAGGGTTTGGATGATAGATGTTTCAGCATGGCGAGGCCGAGGCCGCGGCCGCGGGAGCAGCCGGTGATTAGGTAGGTAGTCATTTTCTGCAACGAGATTATTTTATTTTATTTTATATTTTTGTGTGTGCGAGATATAGAGAGAGGATTGCTCTGATCTCAGAGAACTGATATTTTATTGTCTTCGATGAAGGGGATTCTCTATATATTTATATATAAATTGGGAGAGTGTTTACATGTGGAGGGGAGACGATGATTATCAATCCAATGTGCAGGCCGCTGAACGTTGCTTTTCTATTGGAACAAAGTGGATTGGTAAGAATAGAAGGAAGCTTAGCTGCCTCTCTCAATGCTTATACAAATGACAATATAATAACTCGGGTTTCATTTCGTTGCTTATGCCATCTCTTGCGACCTCTGCTCGTATGATGTGTCTGGAGAGTAGGAACCATGTTACTTGATATAGTTTAGCGCCCTGTCGTCCTGCGGCGTAGGGAAGCGGACGCAATCCCCGCTGGTAGAGCTTTGGCTTATGAATCCAATTTCAAGGGTCTTCGTTCGGCCAAGACGGTCAAAGTGTGAGTGATTTTAGGTAATATATATATATTGGAATGTACTGCAGTATTGAGATGGTCTGTAATGATGAACATGCATTTTATGTAGTGGGATCAAGGCTCTGAGTGGTGAGTACATTTAGAGATTCTAAAAGGACATTATACATTCGACATTCAACAGCCGTGATTTAGATAGGTTTTGAAGGTGTATAATTCAATCTGCTTGTAGACATGTCAATATATGCCTACGAATGTGTATATAGATGATTTACCAGCGGACCACACACAGTAATGTTGGAAGGTTGCAAATCTGAGGGAAATTTTATGCCAATATTATTTCTGGAATTGTTTTGCTTGATTTATTTGAATTTTCTGACATAAAAAAAAACACTGATGAATTAAAAATAAAATTAAAAATAAAAGGATGTTTCCCAATACTGAAAATATCAATATAAAAACTTAATGAAAGATAATCAAAGGGTGCAACGAGCATGTGCTTGTTGTTGACTTGGGAACGACCGGTCTGGTCTTGCTCCATCAGATAGAGTTGGCGCTACGCTCGGATGTGACGTCGGTTGACTTGGGTATCTAGAGCTTGTTTTGCGACCCCAGTTTCGACGCATACTGCATCAACTCTCCGCACAAGACACAGGTTATCCTCATCTAAATCACATCCAGTTATTTAAAGGAGAGGATCATATATCATTTAATATTTTAATTGCATGGGCAGCAATGGTTTATGGCTTATTAAACAGATTGCATTCTTGAAGGCTAGACAACTATCGAAGAAGTCCACCTACAATGGTCCGTCCTTCACCGTCTACAATCCAACTTCCTGTTCTTCAAATATAGTATCGTTGAGCTCACATTTCTTGGCACCGTAGGCTTCTATTCTTCGCCAGATCGTGGCAGGTCCGCGGGCACCACATCCAGAAGCTGGCCTTGATCTCTGTTACGTCACAGAAAGGAGTAGGTTGATGGTCCCGTCGCAGCTTTGGCTCTACTGACAGGTGCCGCGACAGTCGTTGCAACCTCGGGCCCTTCATCAACATATCCTCAGCGCGCATATAGAAATCCAACAGACTCGCTTGTCAAATTTCTCGACTACAAGCACGGTAAAGAATGGGCGATATGGGAATTCCGCGCAGAAGGGACAGGCTATCCTGATTCAGAAGTGTACAATCGAGTATGGCATTATCCGTGGCCGGACCACCACCCACCTCCGTTTGCTTTGATACCGAATATCATGGCTTCGATGCGAAATTGGCTCAAGGAGGACAAAGGCCGTGTGGTTGTGGTTCACTGCAAAGCGGGCAAGGGACGAAGCGGGACAGTCGCGTGTTCCTATCTCATAAGCGAAGAAGGGTGGGAGAAAGAAGAGGCGTTGAAGAGATTCACCGAGAGACGGATGCGCTTTGGCTTTGGTGAAGGCGTTTCCATTCCAAGCCAACTTCGATGGGTCGGTTACGTCGAGCGCTGGGCCAGACATGGAAAACACTATATTGAGCGAAAAGTCGAAGTATGCGAGCTGCATGTGTATGGGCTTAGGGAAGGGGTTAAGATTTCCGTCGAGGGCTACGTTGACGATGGCCGTACAATCAAGCAATTTCACACCTTCAACCGGGATGAGCGCCAGGTGGTCAAGGGGAAAAGCAAGAAAAGTTCAGCAATTGCTGATCTCGTCACCGAGGTTATGAGGTGGAACCAAGCAAAGAAACAACCCGAACAGACCAAATCAGCGGATGCATCAGAGTCTGATAACGAGGTTAAGGGGGTCTCCCCAGCCAATGACAACGAGACCGGCGGAGGTTGTATGGATGTCATATTCCGACCCAAAGAGCCTGTTGTGCTTCCTACCAGCGACATCAACATTGACTTTGAGCGACGCAACAAGGCCAGCTACGGTTTGACCATGGTCACTGCAGTGGCTCATGTCTGGTTCAATGCCTTTTTCGAGGGCAATGGACCAGAGAACGCCGGGAGTGCAGATGATTCCGGCATTTTTGAGATTGAGTGGGACAAGATGGATGGTATCAAGGGCAGCAGTCAAAAGGGAATTCGAGCATTCGATAAGATCTCCGTGGTCTGGAAGGCAGTGGAGAGAGGCGAAGCAGCCGGAGCTCCTGTCGAGATTAACGAGCCTGGCGAGGGAGAGGAGGTAAAGCAGATGCAAGCTGCTGATTGGAGAGGAGCAAATGAGGAGCGTTCAGGTCTTGGAAAGGAATTGGGTCTCCGCACTGCGAGCCCGGCTGTCAGTGCAGATGTCAGCAAGGCCAGTAGTATCAAGAGTGTCTCATCGACAAAGGCCCGAGAGCAGCCTGTTCGTGGCAAACAAGGCGAGAACGCGAGAATGGTGACAGATCATCGCAAGTTAGCTGGGGAACACATGTCGGATTCCCAGCCTGACCTTTCTGCGACCCCGGGAGCAAGCTGTGCGCAACAGGCCTTTGTTTCCACCGAAAGAACCGAGTCTCCATTAGCTGATGAAAGTGCGCCAGACGAACCTTCTACCAGCATCAAACCGAAAAGTAAAACGACTGATTTGGGAGATCTCGCTGAACAAGAACAACAGAGCCAGACCAAACACTAGTGTCATTAGAATCTAGGTAGCTACTCATACCCTGCAACGCACATCTCGTTTTGCAGGGCTTTTTTTGATTTTCGACAGTTTGAGATATCAGAAAATACCCTTGTATACTAGTTTTGCATAGATTCTTCAATTCTTCTATGGCTAATTTGAAATTAGGCTCCATGGGTATATTATTTTCAGTTGTGACTCAAATACAAAATCTACGCCCGTGAGGGCGCGAGCAGTAATCATCGACACTATTTTCAATCAAAATATTTGTCAAACGCGTGGGTTGTCGTTTTCTGTAGTTCGACAGTTATCACTACTCTACGGTTAAACTGTTTACTTGGGAGATTGGATGAGTGCAGTGAGAGGAGGATGGTTGAGCGAACCAATCAAGGGTAAACGAGGAGGGAACCCCTTTGTGGGAAGAAGTGCCCCTAACTAAATTAGTCCACTGTAATCTGTAGTCCTGTAGATAATGAGCTGGAGGAACCGTGGATCTAGGGGGGATGGCGAGAAGGGGAGCGAGGAGGCAATCAAGGGAAGCGAGACGAGACGAGGCGAGAACACGCGGGTAGCGGGTGAGGTACGGGGACGGGGAACAGCAGAAAAGGCAAATTACCTGGTAAGTTACTGCTAACTGTTATGGTTGGCCCGCAAAGTTACTCGCTCGCCCTGGGCCCAAGTTGGATCGGCCGGTTGGCCGTCTCATGTCTCGATCCCCTTCCCACCCACCATATCCTCCCCCCCCATGACAAAACACACTTCATTATCCACGTCGTCGGTTGTCGTCGTGGTCCCTTGAACGTCCTTCCCTCCATTCGCTCACCATCTCTTCTCTCTACAACTTCAATGTTTGCCTGTGCCATCTAATTTAATATCTCCCACCTCGCTACGGTAAGTCTCAACGTTTTTCTGCTGTTGACTCCGCGTCGGATCGTGTACCACACGGGGTACCCCGTTCTCAATCGGGTGTTTTGGGGGAAGCGTTTACCACCCCTGCAAGCTTTCGGGAGACCCCTTTTTGTGGCTCGCACCTCGCAACCTCCAACTTCAGACGCTCTGCAACACCACAATTCGTCGTTCGCTCGTTTTCTGACTCTCGTTTTCGCCTCATTTTCAAGGTCATTTCGATTTATTTTCCATTCGAATCAAATCTACCTTCATCTCTAGCGGCTTTCAAAAAATATATTTGATTTCTTCTCCTCCCCTTTTTTTTGTGAGTCGCGTCTCTCGTCTCTTATCCTACAATGTCACATTCGTGTGTGTGTCAATGAGTGTTGAGAAGGATTTCAAGGCACATCTCTGTGGCTCAATCTTTTACAACACCAGTCCCTGAAAGTACATCAGGTCTGCATCATTGGCTTGTTTTGTGGAGAAATCTGCTCGATCATCATATGCGGAAGGCATAGAGGACTAACGAATTCGTGCCTGCCTGATTCCGTGCAGATTAGGAACGGACATATTTCATAGATCGCACTTACCTCGAATTCGCAGCTTCTCGCACCGGCTCCATGGGTAAGTCAGCCCACTTCCTCCGGCACCTCGACCGCGATGGGGCAGGGGATGGGTTCGACCGGTGTTGCTCTCCGTCCAAATTGCATCACAAGCGTGAATCGCCAAAGATGCCTCCGAGTTACAAGACACGCCCGGTGCCCAATACTCCTAGCGGAAAGAGACTGAGAATCCTCGTTCCGTCAACTCCCCCCGCACGCCTCGACCTCCCTTCCGTCTCGTCTTTGCCTCCCATCAGGGTCGTCCCGCAAGACAGTTTGGCTAACATTGAGTGCGCGAGTCCAGCGACCAACGGCTTCGTCCCGCCGGGCTCCGCAGCACGAGCTTCACCTGCACCGCAGCCCCAGGCCCAACCTTCCCCCCAACCCAATGGAAAGCCCGCTTCCACCCATTCGGAGAGAGCTCCTTCGGTCTCCACTGCGCAAAGCTCCATTCCCCAGACCGTCTCCAACAAAGACCCCAAATTGGCGGCCCAGGCGGCCAGCGATATGCGCAACATTGTTCGGAGAAAGTTGACGGGATACGTGGGATTTGCCAATCTGCCCAATCAGTGGCACCGAAAGAGTGTGCGAAAAGGATTCAATTTCAACGTCATGGTCGTCGGTACGTGCTTCTCCCCGCCCCTTCTCCTCTTTTCTCTCGTTCTCCTTTGGCCACCAGCCGGTATACTGCACACCCGACTGACGCTTCCTGTGTCCAGGTGAATCCGGCCTCGGAAAGTCTACGCTCGTTAACACTTTGTTCAACACTTCGTTGTATCCGCCCAAGGAGCGCAAGGCCCCCAGTCTCGACATCATCCCCAAAACCGTCGCGATTCAGTCCATTAGCGCCGATATTGAAGAGAACGGAGTTCGTCTCCGGTTGACCGTCGTCGACACCCCTGGATTTGGTGACTTTGTAAACAATGACGAATCATGGCGCCCCATTGTTGAAAACATTGAGCAACGTTTCGATGCGTACCTTGATGCCGAAAACAAGCTGAACCGCGTCAACGTCATTGACAACCGCATTCACGCTTGCGTCTACTTTATCCAACCTACTGGCCATTCGCTCAAGCCGCTGGACATTGAGGTCATGAAGCGGCTGCACACCAAGGTCAACCTGATCCCGGTGATTGCCAAATCCGACACATTGACTGACGAGGAGATTGTCCTCTTCAAGCAAAGAGTGCGTGTCTTTCCTCCTTTTGTGCTCGTGACCCCATTTTTCCATTGTCAAATTGCTAACTTTGAATGCGGCGCAGATTCTTGCAGATATCCAGCATCATTCGATTCAAATCTTTGAGGGACCGCGCTATGAATTGGATGATGAGGAAACTATTGCGGAGAACAATGAGATTCTGTCCAAGGTTCCATTTGCTGTCGTGGGCGCCAATAGTGAGGTCACCAATGCGGATGGCCGCCGGGTCCGTGGTCGTCGATACCCGTGGGGTGTGATTGAAGTCGATAATGAGGACCATTGTGACTTTGTCAAGTTGCGTCAAATGCTCATTCGCACTCACATGGAGGAGCTCAAGGAACACACCAACAACTCCCTTTATGAGAACTACCGTTCTGACAAGCTTACTGCAATGGGTGTGGCTCAGGATCCAAGCGTCTTCAAGGAGGTCAACCCGGCGGTGAAGCACGAAGAGGAACGCTCTTTGCACGAGCAGAAACTCGCCAAGATGGAAGCCGAAATGAAGATGGTTTTCCAACAAAAGGTTGCCGAGAAGGAGAGCAAACTGAAGCAGAGCGAAGAAGAATTGTATGCCCGGCATCGCGAGATGAAGGAGCAGCTCGAAAGACAGCGTGCCGAGCTCGAAGAGAAGAAGGGTCGCATCGAGAGTGGCAGGCCTTTGGAAGAGAAGGGCAAGAGAAAGGGTTTCTCTCTGCGTTGAGCTTGCTTCGCCAGGGACCGCACGTCGTTTGTTGGGAGCAGAATTGTCGTGTATTTGGGATGTATTTATCATTGTGTCACATCTTGTCGATGCGGCCAACGGTCCTTTTGCTCCACTTTTTTTTTTTTTCTTTTACTTCCTTACCCTTTTTTTCTGTTCACTTTCAAAGTATCTCCTATTAATTATTCAGGCCTAGCATTTGCGGCGAGCGCAAGGGCGGCAGATATAATTTTGAAGGGGGACAATGGGAACGCTGGGCGAACCAACACCACGTTCAGTTAGCACGTTTGAGGACGGTAAATTGCTTCGGTCTTGTATTACGGAAACAACTTCCCCCCACGAGCGCTCCTTATCTTGATATCTCTTTTAGTTTTTGATCCGTTGCTCTATTTCACCTTGGCTCCGGCTGTTATTTTATCACGGGATGATTGCACGTACGTGGTCGTCCACACTTTAAATGCACAGATTTATTTATCTTATTTTCAAAAGGATGTCTCCGGTTCTAGACGTATCTCACGTGTCACACTGTTCACACCCCGCAGACATACAGGCATTTCAATGCCCTTCTCAGCCACTTCCAAAAATACTGGCTTGTCAAGTCCACGTCCACATGCTTGGTTCAAAATTGTGGAGCGATAGACAATTCAGGGTCATGTACGAAGGTTCTGTGTACTATTGTGTGTGTGGCTTGACAATTGCTGGCCTGGACGGCGCCAGTTGGGTGGATCAGCAATGTCGTCACTGGAACCGAGGCAGAGGCCATCATCAGCAAAAGCAGCAGTTTCCCTGTGGTAATCCTGCTACGTTATCGGTTTGGTTCCGGTTTAGCCAAGCGGGGGACTCGGGACGTGGCTGCCTGCTTTGGCTTGTGTTCTTGTTCGTTTAAGTCACTGTTGCTCATTTTTCGCTGTAAATCAAGTCGTCACTTAGGGAAGAGGTACTGGGGCTAAAAGTAACTTGGGACCCCCCAATCCGAAGGACCCCCAAAACCTGTCCTCATAAACACCCCAAAGACCCTCCTCGATCGTCATTTTTACCCTTGCGTAATAGGCACACGACGACTGGTAAGTCCGTTGCTCTTGCAGCATTCTCCTTTCTACCTCTTCTACGCCTGAGAAAGAGAAAATCTCAACTGTTCTTCCTTTTGCGCCTCTTCTTACATTGTGCTGCACTTCACTGTACGGTACTGCATACCCCTACCCTGAGCCTCGAAGCTTCCACCTGAGCTACTGTGGGCAGTCTAGCACCAAGACCCATGCTTCGCCTTAGATAATTAACGAGATCTCTCTCAGCCCCAACCACCACCTTTCCGATCCCGACTGCCAAGCTGAACGAGGCATTCTCGCCCCCTTCGATTTTCGCCGCTTTATAAGATATACCGATATCGTGAGCTTCCGCAACCTGTTCAGCACAGCTTGAGCGCCCAAAAGCTCCTCCCTACAAACAATGGCTCCTCCCCCTCCGGCCAATCTGCCTCTCCAGCAGAGGGTGATTAAACTCGCCCAGACTCTCCAGTTTGCCTGGTTCTGCGGGTAAGTCATTCGAGTTTGTTCCCTCTCCAGGCCGGTTTGTGGAGCCTTTTTCCGGCTCTGTTCAATACACTAGCTCGGCTTGAACCTCAATGGCATTGTGGTTTCGTTTGAACCTGTAATGCGCATGGAGACATCCTCTCGCCTTTCCCCCCCATTTCACGGCGAGGGCAAACTTTGCTAATTCTGTTCGTTTATCAAAGCCACCTCACCCTTTTGTTTTGCTCGCTCCGCTATGGTCTTTCCTACATCACTACCCACTGGTATTCGAAGTGGGCTAGGTTCTCCTACCGCACGGCTTTCGTTGCAGCTGCCGCAACCTATGGCATTGTAGTTTACAAGGCGTACCGTGCTCGGGCGCGGACAAACGGCAAACAGCAACCTGGCGCTCTGGCGTTGCTCAGTGATGAAAATGTTCAATATTTGGGTATGTAGGCCAATCAAATGAGGCGCATCATGTTTGCCGAGGCAGCACCATTTGCTAACTGCGCGCTCTCTCACCAGCTATGGCTTTGGTCTGGTTGTTTTTCCACCAGATCCCCTTGGCCATTCTTCCATTTGCCGTCTACTCCGTCTTCCACGTTGCGACTTATACCCGTGCCAACCTGATCCCCACCATTCAACCTCCGCAGGCGACCCCCGCAGGCGCCAAACCCGCGTCCAACAAGCTTGCTGACACCATTGGCAAGTTTGTCAAGGAGTACTATGACGCCAGCATGCACGTGGTTGCTGTGCTTGAGATCCTTTTGTTTTTCCGTCTGCTTGCCGGTGCACTCACTTTCGGCAAGGGAACCTGGATCTTGTTTGGCATCTACAGCGTTTTCTTCCGCGCAAGATATTCGCAGAGCAGCTTCGTTCAGCATGCCATTGGCAACGCCGTTGCGCATGCTGATGCCATTATTGCAAACCAGAGCACCCCTCCGGTCGTTCGTCAGGCTTGGGACAGCATCAAGGGCGTCACCCGGCAAGCTGTTGACGCAACTGAGGCTCGTCGTTACACGGGCGCTGCGGGTCCTGGCGTGAAGAAGGCTCAGTAGATGGCATTTTCTTTGGTGCAGGAATTGCGTCGACACTGACCTACTCATGTCTGGACGGCCAACCACGCAGAGAATTCAATCTTTTGCGGACAATGCAATGACCGGGAGCGCAGAGTGATGGTTCGAGCGATGACGGAAGATAGGAAATAGATGATGCGCAAGGAGGCGAACGGTGAGGAGGACATATCTGCGGGGGTGATGATGATGGAGGCAATTCAGCCAGTCAAGTGTGCAATGGTGGCTCCAGCGCTCTCAGAAACTGGAATCATTTATCATTTGCAAGAGCGCGGCGGGGAATGATGAGCCTGCGATGGACAAGGTGTATCGCTTTTTTTTTTTTTTTTTTTTTTTTTTTAATTTCTTTTAAAGACATTTTATACCTCAAGCGTCTTCTTTTTTCTTTCCTGTCGAGCTTGGATGAATCATTGCCAATAGAAACGGCGGGCTTATCCGAGCTAGTATAATTTTGAACAGTGTTGACGATTGTGAATATGATTGAGTAATAGCACTTTGGAATTGCTACGCTAGAGGTTCAAAGTGTGATGCACGTGGATTCGGTGCAGCAGCTGACTGGCACCACACGAAAACTACCCTCCTTTTTTCTTCAAAAACAAATTGGCGTGCCCAGTTGAGAATAAAATGAAATTTTTATTCATCGATAGTTGACAAAGTGAGGAATATTGTGATTCTTGGTTTTCACACCCTTCATTCCTCAGTGCAGCAAAATAATATATAAAACTACCTGGAGCGAATCTCGAAATTGCCCGTAGGGAAGAGAGGTTGCCGATGTTTGCTTGTTATCCGTAGACAAGCTATTGGTCCAGCTAAAGTCGGGGTCCCTGAGCTGAGCTTTTCCGAGTCTTTAGTTAGTCTTATCTACCCCACGAATCATCTCTACAGCAGAAAACCGAAATCTCTCGACCATACACATTGATCACAGAACAAAATTACTCGAAGACAGATGAATTAAGGGGGTGTCTTCGTTCCATCACCTTTTTTCTTTCTCTGCGCCCAGCCTGCTGAAGGCATATCCACTTTGAAGAACTAAGACCAAGGACAGAGCTGAGGGGCAATTCGGTGCCCCTCGTCACCAGCGCCATGTCGTCCAGCCAGCAAGGCTCATCTGGGAAAAGCTCTCCAGAGAACGTGTCGCGAGAGAATTCGAGAAGTCCAAGTCCTCTTGCAGCAACATCGTCTGCGCCCAGGGACTTACAGCATATGCCTGCCAAGCCTAGCAGGCTTCGTGAAGCGCACGAGCCGCCGTCATCTCCAGATGATCGTAACATTGGCGCCACGGCAGTAACGTCGATATATGATGATGATGAAACTGGCGGGGTTGAAGCAAGCGGCGAGGTTTCAGACGGTACCCCGTTTGCCCAATTGCCCAAGATTGATACGGAATTCAGACATACACCCAATTCTAGCCGCTCGTCAATTCATTCCTCGCGCTCGCCGGCTCGAGCTGAAGGACGCGCTGAGGAGCCGGCTGAAATCAGTGCAAGGACATATCTGCTTCAAAACCAGCTAGACCGTGGGTCTGGATGCGGCCTAAGCAACTGTAATCACGGAACGTTTTCACCTAGACCAGCGACACCAGTAAGCCGCACCAGTTTCGACAATTTCGCAGAGACTGGTTTTGGTGCATCCTATGGCACTGCTGGTAGCAGTGCCGATGGCGGTGACGACAACGCTTCCATTTCCTCTCGACTACTTGGTGGAATTGGAGCGAGGAAAATGAAAAAGACACAATTGTTTGCCAGACAGCATGGAATCCGTCATACGAAGACAATGTAAGAAGTTCTGGATAGAGGGGCTGTTCCATAGGCTTGCTAACCATTGCCTTTTTTTTTTCGAGATAGGTACCTTACATACTATATACCCTTCTTCAACTGGATCCGACAGTATAAATGGTCCTATTTGCGCGGAGACATTATCGCCGCGCTCACAATGGCCTCATTCTATCTACCCATGTCGCTCTCATATGCGTCTAATTTGGGCCACATTCCTCCTATAAACGGACTCTACTCCTTTGTGTTTAATCCTTTGGTCTATGCACTTCTTGGAACTTCACCGCAGATGGTTGTTGGCCCTGAAGCGGCAGGATCTCTGCTGGTTGGCACGGTGGTCACCTCGAGCGTGGAGCTTGGCCATTCAAAGGAGGAAGACGACATGCTCCATGCGCAGATCGCGGGCCTTGTCACGGGAATGGCAGGCGCCATTATCCTGGTTGCTGGCTTGACGCGACTTGGCTTTTTGGATAGCGTACTCAGCCGGCCGTTTTTGCGTGGTTTCATTAGTGCTGTTGGTTTTGTCATTCTGGTTGACCAATTGATTCCGGAAATGGGCCTATCGGCCGTTGCACGAGAGGTTGAGGGAGTCACGCACGGCAGCAGCTTATCGAAGCTTATATTCCTCTTTAAGCACGCCGGAGACGCTCACGGATTAACATGTGCTGTAGCATTTGGCAGCTTTACTATCATCATGGTGTGCAGGTAAGAAACCATTCTGCTCTTTGATCATTGTCTCGTTACAAATGAAGCTAATGGCTCATTTTCTCAACAGAGAGCTTAAGAAGCGTTTACAGCCACGGTTCCCCAGCGTAGCTTACGTGCCCGATCGTTTTCTTGTGGTTGTCCTTTCCGCCGTCTTTACGTGGAGATTCAGATGGGACAAAAAGGGCCTCTCTATTCTCGGAGATGTCAGTTCTTCCACAGGAGCTCCCTTTCCGTTTCATTGGCCATTTCAAACGCACGTCAAACACATCCAGACTGCCATGGGGACCTCATTTGTCATTGCATTGCTTGGCTTCTTTGAATCATCTGTCGCCGCCAAAAGCCTTACAGGTAGCGAAGCCAAGGCAGACGGAATCCAAGGCATGTCCATGAGCGCCAACAGAGAGCTCGTCGCTCTCGGTGTCGCAAACATTATTGGCGGACTGTTCATGGCATTGCCCGCATTTGGTGGCTACGGTCGGAGCAAAGTCAATGCTGCCACGGGCGGGCGAACCCCAATGAGCAGCATCGTACTCAGTATCCTCAGCATCATTTGTGTTCTCTTTATCGTTCCTTATTTCCATTACCTTCCCGTAAGTCCTCCCCAAGGGTACCCCTCGCCCTCTCAAAAAATTTGCACTTTTTCCCAGCGCGAAAAGAAAATAAGACTGAACACCTCTCTCACAGAAAGCCGTCCTGTCCTCGATGATCTCCGTCGTCGCCTACTCTTTAATTGAAGAAGCGCCACACGACATCCGCTTCTTCCTCGTTGTCCGCGGCTGGTCCGAGCTCTCCCTCATGGCACTTATTTTTCTTGCCACCATCTTCTACTCTCTTACCTTGGGCATCGCCGTCGGCATCGGCCTGTCCCTCGTGCGTGTCATCAAACACAGCACTCGCCCGCGCATCCAAATCCTGGGCCGCATCCCCGGCACCACCAAGTTCGAAAACGCCGAACTCGACCCCGAAAAGATTGAATTCATCGAGGGTTGTCTCATCGTCAAGATCCCCGAACCCCTGACTTTTGCCAACACGGGCGAACTCAAGACCCGGCTACGCCGACTCGAAATGTACGGCAGCACGCTTGCCCACCCGGCCTTGCCCCGCGTGCGGAACCCGGACCACAACAAGAATATCATCTTCGACGTACACGGCGTCACCTCCCTCGATGCCGCGGGCGCGCAGATCCTCGCGGAAATCGTAGACTCGTATCTGTCCCGCAACGTCCGCGTCTTTTTCTGCCGCGTGCCCCACGAGCGCAGCCCCGTCTTTCGGCTGTTTGAACGCTCCGGCATCGTGGACAAGTGCGGCAGATCCCATTTCGTCATGAGCGTCGATCAGGCGCTGAGCATGACGGAAATGGAAGAACTCGAAGACCATCTCCGACAACGCGCCGCCACTGCCGACGGGCCGTATGATATTGCATGATTATTACGGGTGCCTTTCTTTTTCTTTTTCTTTCTTTTTTTTTCTCTTCTCTCTCCCATTTTTTAAATTTTCTTTCATTTCATTTCATCTTTTAAAGCCCAGCATTCATCTCTTTCTTTCTCTTTTTTCCTCCTTTTCTTTTTATTTTACTTTTATTTCATCTTATTTTACTCTTTAGCCCAGCAGCCCAGCAGCCCAGCATTAATTTCTCTTCTTGACACAAAAATGGGTTGAACCCTCTGGAAGCCCCTTGGAAAGTCCTTTGGATATTGAATAATGGATAGTTGATACGCTGATTCCAATTCTTTCATTCATACATACCTTATATACCTTATATACCTTACCATATATACCTCACTTTCCTCGGACTGTTGAACATACCCCTCTGTTTTAAAAAGCTTTTTTAAGAAGCGCTGAGAAGCCCTTGAGCGCCACGAGCTGACGAAGCGACGAAGCGATGAAGAAATTAGGGTTAAGGGGTTTTGTTGTAATTTCCCGTACTACTGCTTCTTGCCTCTTGCCTTCTATTTGTTGTTTCTTGTTCACTATTCAGTGTACCTACCTACCTACCTACCTACCTAGGCATCTTAGGTATCTTAAGTATAGCTACCTACCTTAGTTATATACCATATACCATATACCATATACCGTATAGCTATTTCCTTTTTAACTTTTTTCTTTTTTTGACGTTTGATGGTTTAACGTTTTACGGTTTACGGTTTACGGTTCACGATTTTACCAAGTGATTCAAAGTCAAGTCCATGGTGCTAGACATGCCCCCTTTTTGATTTTCGAGTTGCGGCAGTTCAAATTAAACATTAAACAAAAAAGAAAACACTGCATAAGGTATCTAAAGTAGGTATAAATTAACGTAGGTACCCTTAGGTAGGTGGTAGGTAGATATGCCCGATGCTCCTAAATATGCGCAATGAGAATGCTTAATATTCTATGAATCCCGAAGCCGAAGCCGAAGAAGAAGAAGCCGAAGAAGAAGAAGAAGAAGAAGAAGAAGAAGAAGAAAGGAGTAAAGGGGGGAAACAGGCCAAAAAATGCCAAAGAAAGAGGGGACGGGAATTAAAAGAAAAAAAGGCAAAAAGGAAAAAGAAAAGAAAAAAGAAAAAAAAGAGAACTAGCTCCAAATGCTCCAGTTAAAGCAGACTCTCAACAACAAACAAAGGCCTTATCAAGAACCGACGCCAGTCAAACTTTCGTAGTGTCCTTTCCTCGCGACGCCAAAGTTGCACGAAGTATGCCACCTTGGCCACTGCCATTGCCATCACCCTTACTCTCGCCATCGCCAAGGCCATTGGCAGCGTACTGTATCAATGCATGTATTAGATTCCGCGTCGCGCGTGCTGCCGCCGTAGTATCCATGCCCTCGGCAGGTTCGTTAGTGTGGTCGTCGTGAGAGCCATGCAGTCGATGGCGAGCAGGCGATGAAGATAGTGGAGTTCGCCTTGTGTGCGCGAGCGAAGACGTCTGGGAGGACGGTGTAGACGGGTGTGGAGAGTTTGGCTGCTCCACGGGACCGGAACCAGAGACAGCACGACGAGAGGGACGAGAAGTGGTAGATGATGAAGGGTACTTGGAAAAAGCAGAAGACGAAGAGGGAAAAGGAGAAGACAGTTTAATCCTCCCGTCGCTGGCAAGGACGAAGCCTGAACAGGCGATTTTGTGAATGGCTATACTCGGATGCGTGAGCGGCATGGCGAGATGGGTGGCCGTGTGAGCCGAGAGGGCGGATATGAATGGGCCTTTTGTGCGCGGTTGTGTGCTGGAAGCTAGAACGGAAGAAGGAGATGGTAGTAACGATGATGATGAAGGATGAGGAGGATGAGGAGGAGTATGGTCTGGTGAGGGTCGTTTCCGTTTGCGCGTTGATCTTGTTTCGGGTGTTGTTATAGTATTCTGGGGATTTGGTGGTGGTACGGATTGCGAGGCGGAAGAATCCTGTTGTTGCCGGGCGAGTTGCCGCCGTCCCATTTGGATGAAATTCCAAATGTCGGTTTTGGATATGGTAATGTCTAGTGTTTTCAGCAGCGGCGCGACGGGCGGCGCAAAGCGGAGAGATAGTGAAAGGTCCTTGATGGAGCGAGACGCAGCTTCGTGAGAAGGAGACTCGTTGTCGCCGCCCGTGTCCTCCTCGTGGTCTTGAGAGGCGCCAAAACCCGAATCGGACAGGAATTCTTCTATCCGCTCGCAGAGTCGATTTGATGATAGCGTAAATGGCGAAGCGCGCGTGTCGAATGCTGAAGCGAGGTACTCCAGAAAAGTCCTTCTCAGGGCAGAAGGCATGCGCGTGAGGAGAAGAGGGAGATGAGTAAAGCCTTCTGGTAAGGCTGAATGAACGCCTATCCTGTTGTTGCTGGTTTGGGCTTCTTGTGGTGGTGGCGGTGGTGATGGTGCCCTTTCGTCGCCGAGGAGTATCGCTTTATATGTTGCCCGTTCATAGCGAACTTCCACCAAGATTCCATGAATGCATGTTCTGTCCCCAGAGGTATCAGTTTGGCGCGTGTCTTGCCCAGGCGCAGGATGGGCACTTGTGTCTTGATTGCCAGTGGGGTTTCCGTTGTTGGGCTCCCCGTTGGCTTCGCCCTGTTCCTGATTTCCAGCGTCTTGCCCATTCCCCTTGGAAGCGTCCCGTCTTCTCCGCGTCCGACGTTGTTCACTAGCCCACTCCTCTTCACTACCCAGCACCGACCATGAGCAGTCGAGCAATGCGCCTGCTTTGAGCAATGTGTCGTCGTTCCCTGCAGAGGAGGATAGTCCCACTTGGACCTCGCGCAGACTGTCCCCTTTCAGGACATTGCGCAAGCGACGGGCATGTTTTGTCAACACGGCACGGTCGAAAAGCCCTGGAGGTGTTGTATTTGTGGCAGAAGATGATGGCGATGCATGATCTGTTGAGCCAGGTGCCAATTGAGGACCGGCGCCGTGGTAGAGTGGAGAGAGTATATGCGCAATAAAGGTCGTTCCGTATATTGGATACGGTTGGTATTTTGAAGGTTCTCTCGGAGCCATGCCAGAATAAAGGCGGCTGTATGGGATGGTGTTGTTAGTGCGGTAGGGCGGAAGATCGGACGGCAGTATTTAATAGCTTAGGTTATAGTTGTGCGGCGGTTTGTTGAAGGGCAATCGCAATCGCACTCAAAACAAAGTGATGTCAAAAGGGTTTCGCGTTTCGTGGGGTGCTCTCGTTAGACGCGTTTCGCGGCATGTTCAACCATTACGGGAGGATCACTATGGTTTCCACTTCTAGTCTGGTTATGGGTTACTACCCGAGTTGCATGAACGTCTCACTAAAATCTAAACCACATAACACAACTTGCAACTGTTTCACGGTTGCCAACGGCGTATTTTTACTGATTATTGTGAACTGTCTTAATTTCTAATCTAAATAGCTTGCATAGAAATGCTAAGATGCAGGTATCAAAAGTATAACATGCTAGTCCTTCAAAAAGATTTCTTCAAATGTCGCTCAAACGCGGTACCAGATAATCAGCTGGTCTATTCGCAAAACCCCATGTGCCCTATATATAATGCAATCGAAAATAATTAGAAAACGCCTTTACCAATCCAGTCCGGAGCCGCCACAGCCACCAGCGAGAATGGCTTTTGCTGCTGCCTTCTCGCCCATGCCGCCCTCCAAGTGACTCTTCTCAAAGGGTTTTCTGCCTTTGGTACCCTTGAAACGGTTGTCGAGTTTGCTGAACGGGTTTTCCGCCTCGCCGTCCTTGACCTTCCATTTCTTCGTACCAAGAACGGCATCAAGCTCTTCGACCGGAGGCAACTTGAGGTAGACCCAACCATCTTCCCTCTCCTCCACTGGGAATGTAGCAATGTTGAGGCTGTCGTCATTATTACACTTTCCGGCATCGTCGCCCTTGAGTTCATAGTTCCTCTTATGGTAGGGGCATGAAACCCAGAGTTTATCAGACGTGAGATCATCACCAAGGAGACCGTCAGAAAGAGCAAATGCGCGCTTGTGAGGGCACATTTGTTGCGTGGCATAAAAGTTGCCCTTGGCTTTGAAGATAGCCAACTGCGTATCGCCCCGCTTGATAGCTTGGGAAGAACCAGCAGGCGTATCAGGAAACTTTGACGCCTCAATCATAGGCTGCCAAGTGAGTGCGCTCCATTTAGTTCCACGGAAGTCTTCCGTTGCTGACTCCTTCGCCCAATAAGCCGGTCTTTGCTGATCTCTTTCTGAGATAATCTCAACGTTCTCTGTTCGGTCCTCGGTATTGCCGAATTGCTGGAATGCCTTCCTTCGCTCCGGATCCTTGATCGCTTCAGTCCACTCGCAGAAGTAGCTTCCCACGAGCTCCTCCATTTGCTTCTCCAGCTCAGCACAGATGCCAAGTTTGTCCTCCAGAATGACTTCACGCAGATACTTGATTCCTCCAGGCAAGTTCTCAACCCATCGAGCAGTACGCTGAAGCTTGTCGGCAGTGCGAATGTAAAATGCCAGATAGCGGTCCAAAATTTGAACCACATCATCAGGAGGAACATCCTTGGCCAGCAGCTCAGAATGACGAGGTTTGGCACCACCATTTCCGGCAACAAAGACGTTGAACCCCTTCTCGGTGGCGATGAGTCCAAAGCTATAGCACAAAGACTTGTTAGATCATGTTCGTAACGTTGTGAATTTGATTTTGGCGACTTACTCCTTGTTCTGTGCCTCAGCGCATTCTCGAACGCAGCCAGAGACACCTCCTTTAATCTTGTGCGGGGCTCTGATACTCTTATATCGTTCCTCGATGCGGATTGCCATGCCAACACTATCACCGATACCAAATCTGCACCAGGTTGTTCCAACGCAGCTCTTCACCGTCCGCAAACTCTTCGCGTAGGCATGACCACTTTCCATTCCGGCATTGACGAGTTCGGTCCAAATGGCCAGTAGATCTTGCTTCTTGGCGCCAAACATATCAATTCGCTGACCTCCCGTAATCTTGCAATACAGGCCATATTTCTTGGCAACTGTTCCAATGACAATAAGCTTCTCAGCGGTAATTTCTCCACCGGAAACTCGGGGAATGACAGAGAAGGTCCCGTTTCGCTGAATATTCGCAAGGAACTTGTCATTGGTATCTTGAAGGCCGTGGAGCGGCTTATCCATAATGTGCTGATTGAACAGAGAGGAAAGGATCGATCCGATGGTAGGCTTGCAAGCCTCGCAACCAAGTGATTCGGGGTCTTTTCCGCAATCCTTCATGACATCTGCAAAGGTCCGGAGCTTTTTGACGAAAATGATATTGAAAAGATCGGCCCGCGAATAAGCAAAATGAGGGCAAACTGTAAAACGTCAGCTCCAATTCTTCGCCGGTCCAAGTTCCAAAACTTTCTTCAACTTACGATGATTGGACACTTCTGCTCCCATGGCTTTCATTTCCTTGTTGAAAATGGTCTGGACGAGAGGCATGCATCCTCCACAGCCAGTGCCAGCCTTAGTGACAGATTTAACGTCTCCGATGCTCTTGCAGCATCCGCTCTTCACAGAATTGGCGACATCGCCCTTTGTGACATTGTGACAAGAGCATATTTGGGTATCGTCAGTGCTATGCATTGTCAGGTCAGTCTTCTTTGATACAAAAAGTCGGATGGCTTACAGATCATCCGCATCATCTTCGCCTTCTTTTTGGGCTCCCAGTATGAACTGGCTCGGCGGTACCTCCAAAGGCTTCTTGTTCTTCACCATAGGTACAAGCTTGACGTAGTCCTTGGTATCTCCAATCATCATACCACCGAGCAGGTATTTGCCATCCAGTGTAAAAAGGTACTTCTTGTACACGGCAGAGAAGGGATCTTTGTAGCTCAGGGCCTGCACAGGAGGTGGAGGAGGTCCATCTGTAATGGACTTTACCCTGTCTTCGGATTTTATTGTGCCCTCCTTTCGCCCGCCTGCCCGTTTGTTTGGAAGTTCTTTGGGTCCGTCACGATCAGCGAAAAAGTCACCGAAACTGGCAACTTCGACGCCGAGCAGCTTGAGCTTCGTGCTAAGATCTGGTCGCTTGAATGTTCGCGGGGCATGAGCCTTAGCTTGCGTTAAATTGAAGGCCAAAACGTCGGCCATTTCGACGCCTGGAGCGATGAGCCCGTAGGTTTCATTTTGCCAGCTAGCGCATTCTCCAATGGCGTAGATATCGGAGTTGGAGGTCTGAAGACCCGAGTCCACAACGATCCCGCCTCTGTCTGCTATTTTCAGGCCCGTCTTCCTAGCAAGCTCATCTCTGGATTTGATACCAATCTACCAGAAATTAGACTTCTTTGATTCCAAACGCCCTGCCTATTTGATAGAAAACTTACCGCGAACAGAATGCAGCTGCAGTCCATCGTCTCGCCGTCCTCGAATGTCACTCCAGAGACGTGGTTCTTTTCATCAACGTTGATCCTGCCTACTCTCTTGCTGAGAAGGACATCTAAGCCAAGTTTTCTGATGAGCTCAACCACCATAGAGCCAGCATCGCCATCCAGTTGTCTGCTCAGCACCCATCTATTCCTTTCAATCAACTTTACGCTGCCAAACGCTTCCAAATCCATCATAGCTTTTGCGGCCTCGAGTCCCAACAGACCACCTCCAACAACTGCTCCATTCGTTCCTTTAACATTCTCGCTGAAGGCGATCAACTTTTCCAAGTCTTCGATCGTTCTATAGACAAATACACCTTTTGCATCGTGGCCAGGTGTATGCCGAGGGAGCACTGCATCTGAACCGGTAGCCAAAACGAGAACGTCGTAAGATACTTTCTCGCCGGTGGAGGTGGCGACAACTTTCTGATCAGAATAAATCTCCGTAACCATGGTGTTGAGATGATAATTTAACGAGCCCTCTGGCATGCTTGAGTACTGAATCGGAAAAATTAGTATTTTGTTGTCCTTTTTCTGACAGGGCTAGTATGCAATCCCATCATACCCAATCTGAAGGATTCAGATACATGTTTTCCACATTTCTATGTTGGAAATATGATGTCAAACCAACACGATTGTAGGCTAAGTGAGGCTCCTCTCCAATGACAACGACATCATATTCTCGTCGTTTGGCATCCAATTTGAGCAATTTTTCGCTATTTTTGGAAAGGATCTAGTCAGTCTTGCTTCCGCCTTCATTGACTGTTTGAAGATAACGAGGTGAACGCACATGAATGCAATTCCAACCATACCAAGACCAACAACTACAACTCTTTTCCGTTGAGTCCCATCAGGAGCATTCTGCATGGTTTTCGGCAGCTCAGCCGCGCCGGGCACCTGCCATTCGCTTTGAGACATCGTCGTCCGGAGATGAGGTATCACCGGGGACAAACGTGAAGCTACCTCTCGACACAGAAATATATGTCAGGTAGCAAAACAATAAGAACACACTGGGTATCTCAAAAATCAAGCGCAGGATGAAGGAGAAAGAAGGGGGGACGAAAAGATTATCAAAGAAACGAATTGAGCTTTCCAATTAGTCTAGAATCTGCGAGGATACTACTCATAACATAACAATAAATCAGATGTGAACTTGCGGCGCCTCCGACCCTTTTCCAGCCGGAGAAACCATTTGCTCCAAATTTCTCGAGCCCGGAGCAGGGCAAAACGATCCCTGCTAGTCCTTATCATCTCCACAAGCCGATATGCATAGTACATCTTAGGCATTGTTCATGGAATACCACATGTGGTGTGGCACATCGGCCCATAAAGATGGAAAAGGTTTCTCCTCGGCGGGCGAAGGAAACAAATGTTGCGAAGAATAGCATTCCGGGCCCCACGACGTACATGGTAACTCCTCGGGGCATGGGAAGTCGGTACGCTAAGCGGGAGGGATCAGGGCGGGAGGGAAAGCGAACAATTAACTTTGACTAGATCCTGATTGGACGAATGTCATCACTGATAAGCATCTTTTATCTCACTAGTCACAACTGACAGATCGACTGTGTCAGCGCTACACAAGTCCGGAGAAGGAATCCGAGGGGGAAACTTCTCTTTACACCAACACTCCCGGCTTCATTTCTGTGGCACCCAGGCATCGTATCTCAGGCGAATGTGATTCAATGGATAAGAAGTCAAAGAAGAATAATTGAGATGATGTCATCTGTTGCTCCAATCTTTTGTCCTGTGCTCGTTACGCACTGATGCAACGCGGGAAAAAGATAACACGTGAAAGCCCCAAAAAATGATACAAATCCGTATATCCAAAAAGTGATTACAACTCGTACTCAAATAGCAAAGGAATAAAGCCCTGATATCCCAAAAAGAAGAAGATGCATGGAATGAAGCAGAATACGAGAATGCCCCAGCAGAAAATGCCTAGAAAAACAACAAGTCACTGTCCTTGTAGCCCTGTGAAATGAGGTCCGCGTGAATACTCTTCTCCAAAGCCTGCGGTCCGCAGACGAGGACCAGAGTTTCAGGATCGGGAGTACAGTGCTTTTGAATCAATTCTCCCGTAACTCTTCCCTTGAGGCCAGTCCAGCCCTCACATGCCTGAGAAAGAGTAAATATCAAATTACACCTGCCTGGATTCGCAGTAGCAATCTGCTCGAGGTCGTCCCTGCAAAGGATATCCTCAACCATCCGGTTTCCGTCAAATACAGTACAGCGTGTTCCGTCTTCTGGATCTTGCATCACAGCCCGGAAGACTTGGAAGATTGGAGTCACGCCACTACCGGCGCACACCATGACGAAGGACTTCACCGTCCTGACGACGCCATTTATCGAGCATCGTCCACGACCAAGGTATTCGAATTTTCCAATGGGTCCTTTGAACTCCACGCCATGTCCTAAAGGCAGAGAATCAAGAGCCATGGTCATCCTACCACCCTTTGCTTTGGGTGTCTCAAAGTAGATCTTGACAAGCATTTCTAGCCGTCCACTTTGGTTCATTTCCGAAATAGGTGTGTAGCTTCGTATAATAGGTTCCCGGGTGACTGGATCCCGTAATCGAACCATCAAGTGTTGACCAACAGGTAGCCCAAGCGTCTGTTCATCGTGCTCAAGCTGAAACATGAAAACCCGAGTGTCCCAGGAAATTTGCTTCTTCTCGACCAGAGCAGCTGTCGTCCAAGCACGCGACTGCAGAAATGTGCTACGTTTTTCAGCGGGACCGTCCGATTGCGCCTCTCCCTGCTCGAGAATAGTTTTCGATTTCTCGTCCAAGGAGCCAATGTGGTATTTCGGCATCATCTTCTTTGCAGTTTCGCTATCTATAGTTCATTGTCAGCACGTGGCATAGAATAAAAAAGGACACTGAAACAAAGTAACGTACGAATGGCCATGAATTCGTCTGTAGCATCCATTCCAGCAGCAGAGATGATACTTTGGGCACCGCCCGGATGCGCATCCATGAACGTTGTCCCATCAAATACGTGGCCGTTAAGGACGAACCAGGCAGACTGAGCGTTATCGTGTTTGCGCAGCTCGTCCACGGAGATAATTGTATCCACATCATCTCTCGTTAACTTAATTTCAGGGGCCGCCGCCTCTGCCGGTGTTCCAGAGTCATCCCCATCGAGCTTTTCGCCCCAGAAACCGTTCGTCAAATTGCCGCCTGCTTTCTTGACCTTTTCCATCCAACCGCCGGGTTGCAAAGCTGGCTGAGTAGGATGCTCAAATCGGAGACTATCGCCTTCCTCGGTGATGGTAACACGAAACCAAGGATTGTTCATCATACCCAAAACTGACCAGTACATATCCCTGGGCTGAGCGTTCATGCTCTCATCCATGGCTCGCACGAGAATGTCCTTGGCTCCTTTCAGCTCCTCCACTGCGACGTCCAGTGACCAGAAACACCAGCAAAATGACGTATCCCGCCAAGCCAGGTCAACCTCTCCGCCAAAAAGCGTTTGCTCATACTGACGATATCGATCTTCCGGATACTCAACGTCAGCCAGGCGCCAAGTATTTCCCTTGTCGATGGAGATTTCTGCTCGCGTGATACGGCGCCCACCACCGCTGTATGCATAACCTTTCAAACGGTACATTTGTGGAGCATTCACCAGAGAAAGGAGCTCATCATGCGCAGGATAGGCTATGACTGAGTTTACATTGAGATCATAAATGGCATATCGCTCGTCTTTCCACCATTTCGGGTTATTTGCCGCCTCATCTGGCGACACCGACATGCTAGAATCATTCGTTAGGGTTGTGAATACGCTCTCGGAAAAAGGGTGATTCGTACGGAAGAACACGATTATCATACAAATGATACCAGTTGTCGCTAGGCCCTTCGGTGATAATAAGCCGCTTAAGCCATTTTACACTTCTGCCGCCTATCTGGCCTGGTATCAGGGCGCGCAAAGGCTTGCCATGATCTGGTGGTAGAATCTCCCCATTCATTTTATGAGCCAACATTATTCCTCGTTCCGGGTCCATCACCCAGCTCAGTTTCACCGAGGTACCATAATAACCGTTTGGCTAAGTAATGTAAGCTTTTGAACCAGCAAGAGACATGGACTAGCATACCAGCTTGTCTGCGCCCTCCATACACACATATTTCGCTTTCCTTTTTGGCTTAGCAACGCGCATCAGCTCGGCCATCAGCACGCCAGTAAACAATCCCGTCGAAGTTCCAGCAGCACCCCATGAGAAACCTTTGCTTTTGCGGACTTGGTTTTGTTCCTTTCGCCTGTTGCCAGCACAGACTAAAGTGACTGGGCATGTGATTTTCTGAAAGTCTAAAAGAAGCTGCTTCAGCGTCAGTGTAAATGGGTTTTCTACGAGCCTAGAAATAGAATTAGAAGCAGAAGAAGTAGCGTATTTTCATCGGAGTTCAACATACCCTTCCACACTAAATTCCCAGTCGGGAATCTCTTCATCCGTTACGTGTGGCACGGCGCCATGATTCCGCACATAGAATAATTCAGGACTTGTCAGAAAGCCCTCATCATAGAGCGCAGAAAGTGGTGCTTCAACGTTGAAAGGATGAACTCCAGTCAGCCGAATCAGACGCGGATCTCGAGGCACATGTGCGTCAGGGGTATTTTTATCGATATCCAACACCTGGGTAGCACCTTTGGTTGGCGGCGGTAATGGAATAGAGCATGAATCATTCAGAGCAGTGTCAGAAGCATCATCTTCAGTCTCTGGAGGCGTAGGAAGCGATGTAACGGGTTTTGAGGTGACCCGCTCGTCAGAAGCTTGGCCCATTCTTTCCAAAGAAAATTAAAGAAAAAAAATTTGTACAGCAGTAAGGGTATCAAGGATTCAAAGCAATAATAGAGAAATCATGGGAACAAACAATAGCAAATAAAAATATCTATGTCCAATGTAAATTTTCACAAGAATAAATGGTCCTGTCAGATATGGAAAATCGAAAGCCTATATCACCATCGATAGATCAATCAATTTGCAGCATAGTCCCCGGAAGAGCCCCGTATGTTGTCCCTATGGGTCCACCTCCCCCAGCCAGAAGGTGGCAGTATTATCTCAGAGGTTTCGCCATGGCAGCTTCGCCCGCGTCCGCGGAGAATGAGTGCCGTCATGGAGTCAAACCATAGCACGGCCATATTCGAATCACATTGCACCGATAAGGGACATGGAAGATCTTCAAATGAGTCCCAATTTAATCCAATAGGGCTTCCCGCTGGTAGGAAGTGGAAGAGTGCAGAGCACCGAACCTGGGTAGCAGGGGAGACACGGAAAACCCTAGCCAGATCAGGTTCGTCGAATGTTCCCTTGGCTGAGTGTGCCTGTCTCCACGCTCCCGCAAACCATCGGGCGCCACTATCGGCTAGATAGCGGTTGTGGGTACAGCCGCCAATCAAAATTTTAGTTGACAGTGCGAATTTGTCTGCAACACAGTACTTCCGTTTGCTGCCGCGGAGATGTACCTCACCGTTACGCAGTTTCACCGAGGCACATCCCGACTTGTGCCGACTCCGAATGCGCTCTTCTCAACTGTCCACGAGTAGCCTGTAGAGCCATGATCATATTGGCCGGCATTTGCAATTTCAAAGGCAACTAGTCGAAAGAGATCAATTAGCATCTTCTCCATGTTCAAGCCCTCAATTGCCCTGATTTAAGCTCTCTATTTGTCGATTCTTTAAACATTCATACCCTGGCGATAAATACCTTGCCTGTCCTTACTCCAATTCCACATGCCAATATCGTTTTGATAGTTACTAAAACAGTAGGAAAGATGATCCAAGACGATTAATAAAGAGCCAATGCAAGAATAACAATTTGTCTGAGTCTCGTTCGTTTCAAACCCAAAAGCTCTGTTCATATGTTCACCAAAGCTGGGCAAAGAAACGAGAATGGTCCCCCCGATAAGATATGCCAATGAGACATTGATTCGGGGTCAAAATCGCGGAGAATAGATTAGCTCAGCCTCTCTTCCCCTATATTTACGTCGACTTCTTTTTGCCAGCTTTCTTTCTACTATACTCTTCAGCCTTTTTATGGAACAGACTGCCATCAAATGCTCCGCGAACGTCCTGTTTCCGCAAGATACCATCCTTCGGCCAAACCAGCAAATAGACTGCGAGCCCTGCAGTAATTGTGTGAGCCATTTACTGTAATTCATTTGAACAACGAGGAACCAAGTGGCAGCGAGAAGACTCACATTCGAAAAAGGCGGCGCACCAACCAAACAGATCAAATGCCATCCTCTGACCTTTGAGCGCAACCAGGAGATCTCCAATTGTTAAACCGCCCTTATTATTACGGTCATATTTGGAGAAGAAATCTTCAAACCTTTGTGCATGAAATCGGCCCTCATTATCAAAGCTCATGCTGTTACTGCCATGCTTGTCCTTGTAAAGCCTAGACGTGTAAATACGGAAGAACGGATCAGGCAGGATCCCAGACCCCGTGGGGTAGCTCAAGAACCCGTTGATCAGGTAAACGCCTATCAAGCAAAGTGGGATGCTCCAACCCCATTTGCGAAGTCCGACGTATGTATCCCATGGCCATATGACGCCATCTTTATCCGTATCCCAGTACGCAGCATGCTGCGAGACAACCTGAAAAAAAGTAACCGTCAGCAGACAAGTTCGATATAACAGGCGCAAGCGGGAGTGGAGTTGGAATGAGAGCAGTTCATGGAAATATATATGACTTTATGAGTGGTCACGTACAAGGTCGTCTTCATGCTTTCCCGCCGAACCCCTCTCATCTGTGCCCGCTGGCTTTTCGCTCGATGGCGCACCGTTCGTTCCCGGAGAACCGAACTGTGACAAGGGATTACCCTTGGTAGGGACAAATGGCCTACGTTTTTCAGTGACCGGATGTTCTTCGCGAGACACATCTGTTTCTATCCCTGAATCTTCCGGTGCTGCCGTGCTCTCGTTGGCATTGCGGCTGGCACGGGCTTCCTCTTCCGGAGGATTCTCCCGGCCAGACTCATCGGTGTAATTGTCTTTGTTATTAGTGTTGTTCTCATCAAGATCATTCCCCGAAGATGGCGATGAGGCTGCGATTGCAGCGTAGCTTGGCTGAGCTTCAGCAAAGTCAGACATTCGGCCAGTAATCACTCGAGGGTGCTGAAATTGGACTAGTAGTGCAGTTGGCTCAAAGTAAAGTAAAAATGCAAAGTAGAGCCACACGTTGAATAAAACCGAAGCAGCATCTGGTCGAGGCATGTGAAGTTAAGCAATCAATGCCGGAACATTGACCTGTACCAGCTCGAAGCATTACTCAAATTGAATCAACTTAATTGGTCAGCAATGGGTCAGTGGGGTGCACGCTGAGGGGAGACAGGATCTGGGGCATGGCAGGATGATACAGCAATGGTGAAATCAAGCTTACTTCATATAGAGAACAAGCCGCCATCGCTTCAAGCCGTTGGGTTGTCCACGCATGCAAAGTACAGGGGTATGAGGATGGATCTGCACGTGCCTTTTGACTATCCCCAACAATCAGTGGTAAAATGTGGTGGTTGCGAAGGAAAGTTAATTGCCAAACACAGTCCCCGGATTAAATGAGACGCAAAAACAAAATTTATAGAGAGAAAGGATTTCAATCTTCAGGATTGGTCTGCAAAACGCTATCGCATTGCTTGAAGAGTAATCTATCTATCTGAACAGCAAAATCTCGAATGAGCAGATCATGAGCGGTAGATAAGTCTGCTATCCTGCAAATCCGTTACATCGTCGCCTAATACCGGATTCGGCTCGATATTTTCATGTGCATCAATTCATCATTTTCAACCTTGACTATTAAGCAGGCAAAAGTATGCTGATTTTCATCCACGCAGTCATTGCGAAATCCTTTTACTGCTGGGGCTCCTCAACACCCTCAGGTTTCGCAGGCTCGGCGTCCTTCATCTCTTCGTCTTTGGGCTGCTCGGCAGCCTTCTTCTGGTCCTGTTCTGTCTTCTTCTTGGCCTCAAGCTCAGCGCGCTTCGCAGCAGCGGCCTCTTCCTGTTTCTTGAGGACGGCCTGTCTTTCCTCCTCAATCTTGTCCTGGTAACGCTGGATGATGGGGCCCGCAAGGAATCGAATGTCATCGATCTTAGCAGTATAGACAGCCTTGGTGGTATCCTCACCCTCCTCGTAGAGCCAATCCTGTAGAAGATTCGATCAGTATATGTAGGCCGGTAAATGTGCCAAGTGCGCCGACTTTACCTCGCTCTTCTCAAGCTTTTCCCTCAGCTTGGCCTTCTCGTCGTCGGATGCAAACTCAGCATATTGCTCCTCAAGCTTTCCTCGCAGCTCATAGATGAAAGATTCAAGCTCGTTCTTCTTGTCCTCGGTGTCCGCAACCAGCTTGTCCTCCATCCACATGGCGTTTTCCTTTTCAGCAAGGGCAGCAATGCCAGCCTCATTCAAAGAAGCAGTGGCCGAAACCAGAGAAAGGTCACCCTTGCGAACCTGCTTCTTGACCGTCCGAGTCTTCGGCTTAGCCTCGGCGCTCCCGTTGGCTTGATCGGTCTCCATCGCCTGTGAATTTTCAGTCAGCCATTGGTGTCCAGTTAGATTCTCACACATTTGGCAGATACGGAATTAAGCGGGCACATCTCTGGGGCAAAATAATTGATGAGTACTCACATCACCCTCCTTTTCTTCGGGGATCGGCTCTTCGACCTCAACGTCCTCAACGTAGTAACCTTGCTCAACGTTCAAGGCGCCGTGCAAGTTGAGACGAGCCTTGAGTTTGCAAATCATGAAGTCGTCCTGGGAATCGGCCTTCACGCCCTTGACAGAGAAGCGGCCAATGAAAGGATTCATCTTTCCAGGCAGCAATTCGGGCTTAGCGTACCGGGCCTCAAGATCGAAAGGCTGCTTCCGGTAGAAGGTGAGGATCTTAGTCGAAGGCATGACGTTGCCCCTGTTGAAGACGGTAAGGCTGGTGTCCTCGTCGGGGATATCAGGAGACTTCTCCCAGGTGAACTCGATGGGGTAGTTGACAATGTCGTGAACGGCAAAGTCGCGGACACGGAAGATAGGAGAGAGGATAGCACAGCTGAATGCGGCACCACGGGCAATAGCCTCATCCTGGTTGTTGGTGAACGAGAGCTGCTTGCCGAAGAAGTCCTGGATGATAGCCTTGAGGGCAGGAACACGAGTGCAGCCACCGACCAACTCAATGGCGTCAATGTCCTCAACCTTCAGCTTGGCGTCGGCGAGAGCCTGCTCGAGAGGGACATGGGCACGGTCAAGGAGCGGCTTGCAGAGCTGCTCAAGCTCCTCCCGCTTCAAGAAGCTGTTCACGTCAACATCGTTCATGCACGACTCGACATTGATGGGCGCGCTGGCGTTGGCGGAGAGCACCTTCTTGAGCTTCTCGACCGCAGCAATGACACGCATGAGCGCCTTCTGGTTGCTCTTGATATCGATCTTGTACTTCTCCTTGAACTCCTCAGCGAAGTGGTCGACAAGCGCCTTGTCGAAGTTTCGGCCACCAAAGTGGCGGTCCCAGGCGGTTGAGCGAACATTGAGCTCACCCTTCTTGAACTCTACAATCGAACAAGAATAGTCACTGTGACCAATGTCGACGAATGCAACTCTTCGAGGCTTCTCCTCGGCAGTGGGAAGATCAAGCTTCGTGATACCGTAGCCCAAAGCAGTAGCGGTAGTGTCGTTGATCAATCTCAAGAGCTTCAAGCCAGCGATTTCAGAAGCATCGAGCAAGCTTCTCCGCTGGACGTCGGTAAACCACGGCGGCACGCTCATCACAATGTCGGAGACTGGTAACTTGAGCTCGGCAGAGGCTGTGGCTTTGATCTTGCTCAGGAACATGGCGATGAGCTGGGTAGCGGTGAACTTCTCCTTCTTGCCCAGGTAGGACACTTCCGCGCCCACCTGGCCATCGACCTCGACCAGCAAGGCCGAAACGAAGTCCTGCTCAAGTGCGACATCGGGGTCACTCAATGAGCGGCCAGCAAGTCGCTTCAGCGAGGCAACAGTGTTCTTAAGGTTTGAGATTTCTTGTGTCTTAGCACCCTCGCCGAGGTATCTAGCCTTGGGACCAAATGCAACCAGCGAACTATAATAAATGTTAGCTATAGATCTCATAGACGTTCGAGGAATTGGCGCTCGGGAGCATACGGTGTAGATCGATTAGAGACTTCGTTGGTAATCTACCTTAAGAGTCAGCGGACTGGCAAACCAGCGAAAACATGACAATAATGTCGAGACATACCACATCGACACCTCGGTTCCTTGCAACAGCAATGACGGTGTTCTGCGTACCAAGATCAATTCCGACGACGCTCATCTTCAACTGATACTGAATCGGATAATCAAATTATTGTCTTTGAAGGAGAGAGGTGGGGGGGAAGCGGGTATCCCGTGCGAAGAAAAAGTTGTGCGCGACGAAAAAGAAACGCTCTCTACCGCTTCGTCTCGTTATCCTCTGAAAGGTGGAGAAGTGGTATGGCTTGTGACGAGTGTTCAGAGAAGGAGTTGAATGATCTAGGCTTTGTTGGTGGGGTGGTTGATGTTGCGCGTGGCAGAACACTCGTCTAAAGACTTGCCTCGTCGCAAATTTCTGACCGAACTTTCCAGCGCACACCAGAACCAGCACCGATTTCCGTCCAAGCTTTACCATGTTAGGAAAGGCCATTTTCACCGCATCCTCTCACTTTAACTTGTACGGCAAATCTTAGCATCGGATTAACCTCGAAGCGAGCAAAAAAAAATTCCTTTCACTCGACAAGGCAAATTTATGTCCCCCGTGCCTTAACTGATACTTCGTTCACCTCAATAATTCATGGTTATGCGCCGTCAACAGCCATTTGCATCTGCGGTTAACCTTACTCATCCGTTGCCGTTGGCCCCCCTCCCTTTGGACCACCCGTCGTGCCGCAGCCCACTTTTTCAGTGCCCCTGTAACGTCATTTCACGTATTGATGCAATCGAACTTTAGGGCTAGTTTTCCTACGAGTACATTCAGAATAATAGCTTCAGTGCGTCAAAGGAATATCAGTCACTTGATGCAATAGATGATTTGAATTTTTAAATTTGAAGACAAGACCTTCATAATTTCATTAGGCGTTCAATACTACATATCCTGACGTTTCAGGAGCCAAATACAGCCGCAGTAATTAAGAGACGCCTGTGGAAGATAGTAAAGGTCAATCAGAAAGAAAGAAATTCCTGTGCCATTATGGATGCTTGCTGAAGAAGATCGCTTTTCCTGCCTTCATATACGACAAAGCTCAACACATTTCGTGCGCGTGCAGTTCCTTGCTATTGATTAAGACGCGAATGGTTTGTTCCCATTAGATGTGAAGTTGTCCTGGCGATAATCCTTCCCTTGCATCTCCATCAGCTCTTAAATCCCGGCAGGCCCGGATTTCGATAGGCGGCGACCTCTGGGCTGCGTGTCTTCAGAAGAATCTGGGACGCCACTTGACATCGTCGATCTACCAAAGGCGGGCTGACTGTGAGTTTGAGATTCAATGTCGATTCTGTCGGTGGACGCAATCCTCATAAAGCCCAAACGAGTCAGGCGGCTGAGTCTGCTTGCATGTCGTCCAGTAACTGGGACTCCCTCAGAAAGACCGTGCGCTGGAGTGGACAGCATTTCTGACAAAGTTTGTGCATTGTTCCCGGTTCTCATGCCTGCGGTAGCATTGTAGACGGCTCCATTATCTGCTTCGCCCTGCACTGGAGTAGAAATGAGCTCGGGATCGAGTGCTCGATGCTTAGTGGTTTCCATTTCATCCGAGTCAGAGACTTGGCCGGCCATGTCCTTGGTATGAGAGAGGTCAGAGTGCTCTTCCTTTTCATTCAGATCTGCTTTTGCCAAGAGGTTCTCCCTCGCGTTCATCAGACCAACGATGCTCTCCACGCGTCGCGGCAAGGAGATTGGGACATCGTCTGAATCTACACTCATCTCCGAAGGAGCTGATACGTTCTCCGGATGCATTGGAAGTTGTGACACATTTGAGTGTTCATTATCCCACTCGTGAAGGCTGAGACCATCCCCGCCATCCTCCTGGTAATCGGGCTCAGAGGGAGACTCCGTTGAGGTAAATCTGCCATTGATCGAATCAGGAGGTTGCAGCGGGAGTTTTCCGGATCGTTTCCTCAAGACGGTTGGCGCGCTGAAGCTTTCGGGAACAATGTTTAGGTCGTTGCCGCTGGCTTCCGCATGCTCGATGGCTTGCTGTGGTGTAGTGTTTTCGTCGGCCGTTGCTGCATCAGCGCGGGGACCACCCCAAGTCCGCTGACCCGCAGTACAGATCCCATAAACCATGTAGATCCAATTGAAGATTGGGTTGAGGAGGAACATGAGAGGATAAAGCCACACTTTGTAACGGCCCAGCATCCCTCCAAAGTAGATCATCAAGAGCCAGTTGAGCCCGAGGGAGATTGCAATAAAACCAACCGGGACATTTGAGATCTTGTTCGAGGTAGTGGCAAGAGAAATTACCATTAGGAAGAATAACAACGCAGTGGTACGAATCGTATTCTGCATGAGTCTCACAAGAATAAGAGCAGGGTATCGCTTGAAGATACGTATGTCGGTCATCATGCAAGCCTCATTCGTGATGAAGCCGAGAAACCATCTGCGGCGTTGCTTGATCAAGCTCTTAAACGTCTGAACTGCTTCGGTCTTACAGAACGCTCCCGGGCACATTTTGATCTGATGGCTTCGCTGTGCTCCGACCATGAGAAGATGCGTTAGCCATCTGTCCTCTCCGAGGTGTGTCTTGCCAAAATCGAAAATGTCCTTGCAGTTTTCAACATGGTCCGAGAAATATTCCTTGGAAAGTTTTCGAAGTGCTGAGAATCGTATGCAAGTGAGCGCGCCGGGCAGACAAGTAACTGAGCCGCAGCAGGATTCTACACATCTCTCAAATAGCTGCCCATGGATATATTCCATATCTTGAAGTAGCGTAATTAGAGAGTTCTTTCCCGTGGTAGAAGTAATGACGCCGGTCATTGCCAGCAGCTTTTTCTTGCCGCCAGGCTTTAATTCCTTTTGTCCCAAAATATTAGTTTCCCTCTTGCTACACAAGAAATCCTGGTAACCTCCTTACCATTTCATACATGAAATTCTGAATACAGACATCGTTAAGTATGCAATCTGAATCGATAAATAACACAAATAAGTCATCGCGTTGTGCCGCGTATTCGCCGTACATCTTCTCCGCAAGCTGAAACGTGAGCTTCTGACAATGCCGTTTGCCTCCATGAGGAAACTTGGAGACGGTGATTCTCACACCATTGCGAACAATGTCAATGGCTCCCGGGTATTTGCTAATAGAAGCTGGTATGTCAAGCCTTTCGAGCGTTTTGGCGTAGGAATCTTTTTCTTGTTCGCCATCAAAGGAAAGAAAGATGTGAAGACAAGGTGTGGGATAATCGCACTCAACAATAGAGTCGATTGCCGTAAGAAGAACATCAAGTTGTTCATTGTAACAAGGCATGAAAATGATGACTTTGGGTGCAGTGTGTTCATTTAACACGATATTTGCCAACTTCTTTCGGCCTAAGGAGTGTATGACATGGGAGTAAACGGCTAGCATCCAGGGGAGCATCAACAAAGCTGCAAAGGTCCAAAAGGCGAACCACTGGAAAAACCAAACCATTCTTTCGGGAAAGTATTGTACAATCCGAGAAGGCAACGGCAGGGTAACCAGCATGACGGGCAGGAACGCCAATCTGGAGATGGTTAATTAAGCACGCCTCGAGGAGAAGACAACGCGTACCTGAGAATAGAAAAAGAGCAAATGTTTACAACTGCAAGGAGCTGCGTTGACGCGCATTCCGCTTTCTTATACACCTGGTACAGGCAATAAACAAATGCAGCCAGCCACATAAACCATTCTGCGAAAGCACACAACAGTAAGACTCCCATGAATGCGACATTCAGGATCTGCAGTTATCACACATTAGGCGGGAGGTCGTTCAATTATCAGAGAGGAGCTTCACACTTACATCGGCAACCGGCCAAGGGGCGGTGATGGGCGGTATCCCATCATCGTTTCTACCCATCGTAGCTCAGGCCTGACGTCCAGGCTGAAGCCTCGACGATTTGCGGTGAGTTCAGATGCGGCGAGAAGAGCATAGGTTTTGTTTGTAAAGATAAGAGGTCTAATCAACTCCAATAAAGCTCCGGTGTGCAGCAATGCTGCTTGCCGGCCACGCCGGTTGAAAGGTTGAGTTGGGACGCGCAGAAGAGTAAGAATCTCCTAGCCTCAGGATGAAGGATGGAGCGCCTGAATGAGAAGGCTTTCTGGGATAAAAGGAAGCTTTGTGGGATCAAAGTAGGCGAGGATGAATTCGAGAAAAAAAAAACAAGAGTAAAAAAGAGTGATGATGCGTGATTCATTCCACTAAAAGTCTCGGCATCAATTGCGGGAATACATCCCGTTAGTTGGTGAGCTCTTGCATCTTAACGGCCGCCTTCTTCAGCAGTACCCTTCTTTCGTGCGTAGTGATTCTCTTTCAGCGCGGTTCTGTCATCTTAGGAGAACTCGGATTTCGATCTGTGATCGCAATTGAAGAAGTATAAATGAACGTAATTCTTGTAAGGGATTTCATAATGAGGGATATGGGATTACAAGGGATCGGATAGGCACAAGGAAAGCTGCATTATGCAGTCCGATGCTGTGCAACATGACGGATTGAGCTGGTAACTGGGAGATATTATACCAGGCAGAAATTGCTGAGGGGCACCTGCCTGTTGGCATTGCATACGCTTGGGAGAAGGCCATATCCCTGCGGTGATTCATAGCAAATCTACCAAAGCAAATGCATCAGGGAGCGAGCGCCTTCCTGGAAGGCAATCAAAAGATTCAACTTCCCTTCTGCTTGGAATTTGCATATTTCCCCGCCACAGCCAGCTCATCACAAGTCCGGTCATTTCAACGCTTATTCCGGAAGCTAAAAGTCAAAAAGCGGTAGACGGAGAATAACTAACGCGATAAGGTAGATGTTAATATGAATGACTTGACAGATGATAGTCAGTTTTGAATGTGTAACCACTGGACGAGTTGTGAAATTAATTATGTAATTGAAGTTCCACAGCATTGATTGGCGCTCTCAGAGGTCCGAGCGGTAGAGGTCGTGCTTTTCTTGAATGTGTATATATAGAATGAGCTTCTGCATGGCCAGCAGATGCATTGGCAGTAAGGGTTGCCACAAAAGCCGGAAGGCTGGCCGATTGGTCAGCATTTGCCATCGTTCCGCTCGTGATATGGCTGATTGGTGTGGTCCACGCTTTATATGCCAGTGGACAAGGGGTATAACGATCGAACTTGCATTCCACACAACGAATATTCGTGAGCGGTCAATCCAATGATCGCGCACAATCAAAGAGTCCGGACAAGTAGGAGCACGTGGGACTTCCTCGCATAAGCGACGTTTCAAACCGACGTACTGGAATAGCAGCACAAAAATGGTGGAGAAGTCAACAGCGCTTTGTTCCATCACTTGCATGTAACATAGAGACACTTTGGCCAATTTAAGTCTGAAACACGTAGAACAAGAGAGCAACCAAATGCAAAGCTCAATTTTCCGAGTTACACGATGATTGAAGATTTAGAGATTGTTCATATGCAAAGCCATCTCCGTGGACTTAAAAAGGTTTGAAAATTTTCCGCAAATACGGATATGCTCGTCTTTGAGGAATTATTCCCTACAATCTCTGCCATCTGTTTCCTGTTCGGCTTGTCATTACAATGCCGCCATCGGACGAAATTGCGGACAGGAATAATTGGTCGCCATTTGCGTGGGGCCCCTGCGCTTGTCCCTTATGTTTCTGATCGAGGATTATGCAGATAACCTCATCAATTCCGGGCGCAAAGATTCGTAAACACCCTTCTGTGATCATCCTCTGAAGCTGAGAGCTAGGACGACGTCTGCCGGATGGCTGCGGAATTGCTACCATCAAAGTAACAAAAGTCGCAATCTTTTCAGGTCATATTCAGTGAGAGTGCCTTCCAAGTCCGTTATGATTCAACAGCTAGGCAAACGGAGGGGCGATCAAGTCCTAATGATCACTTTGTCAGAAAGAAAGCATACGCTTCAAATTACAGAGCTCATACCAGTCGACGTCGCTCAGCTGAAGCTTTCTGGCGCGCTGAGTCGATCGATTATTGCTTGCTTTGTCAAATCGATACTGAGACGGACTGAAAGTGTTGATTTTCTCTACATATCACTCAGCATCTTCATGGCGCCATAGTAAAGCAAAAAAAAAAAAAAAGGGGGGGGGATACGAACCGTCACCGTCATTGTCCTCACCAAGGTCGTAATTGAGGACTAGATTCTTGATCCTCTGCTGTTCCTCGCGCTCTGCTTGCTGTTGAGTCTTCATAGCCACCGCGAAGTGAGAGTCGGAAGGAAGCTCCACAGTTTTTGTCTGGAACGAGTGGTCAGCATAAATCGGCCAAGCGTTTATACAAGATCAATATACCTGCTGACGATTACCCTTCTTGGTTAAAAGGGCAAAAGCCATTGTATTTGGCGGCGTATCTCTGCCTGTGGTGGAGCTGTCATCCGCACTGCCAGGCTCGCGAATTTGACGGCGCATAGGTAAGGGAACATCAAAAACTTGCTTTCGGTCAAACTTTCGGGAATCCAGACTTTCAGACATCATCTTCGCAAGTTCTCTATCAAACTCAGCTTCCGCCTCAGGGTCTCGTTCTCCATCTTGACGGGTGACAACAATATCTTCATCGTCCGAGCCGGTGTCGGGAATTTCAATTTCAGCATCCGCCGACCGCTGGGAAACGAAGTCAGCATTCTGGTCGTATAGCAAAATCTTCCAAAGTGACGAACCTCCATCTCTTCGCCAGAAGAGGGCCCTTCCTCATTTTCTGCCATTCGATCTTCGTCTTCATCGAATCCGTCATCGGAAGAGGAAGAATCATCGGGTTCTTCCGGCTCGAGTGGCTTCTCGGTGTCCTGCAATTTGTAGTTCTGTGCAACGGCCTCAGCGAACAGGCGCCCAGCTTCCTCTAAATTCGTGACCAACTTCCATTGTGGCCGCGTCAAAGCAAAAGTATCCTGAACAATGAATTCAACATCCATAGGTAGAGGATCTTTCGTGTACAAATAATACTTCAGGGCGTTAGCTGAAACTCAGTAGCATAGAAGCCATATCAAACAGACCTGGAAGAATTTCAAAAAGAAATCTAACTTCTTCCTAGCGGTGCTACGATCAAAACAAACACCGCAAGTATCGAGGATGGTACAGACAAGCCGGATTCTAAAAAAATCATCGGGCATGTCTAGCGCGCAGAATCGTCCCGGGACGGGGGTTCCTCCTTCTGCAGGAAAACATCAGCTGCGCGTCTGAGAAATCGGCCTTGTAACTTACCATGACCAAAAGTCACAATTCTGTACAAGGTGTCGAAAATTACTGGTGAATCGATCACCTTGTAATTGTACAGCTCCCCGAGATACTTGACCTCTGCGATTCGGCGCTGGTTGTACTTGAACTCGTTTTGTTCAAGCCCAATGGTAATGCTCTCGAGTAAATCATCCACTGCAGTGATTACAAATTCCTGATGGTATCTATACAGTGCGCCAACGAGAATAGCTAGAAGATGAATGTTGCTGTATTTGACCTTTCCGGGTCTGGAGAATATCTTGCTGAGCATCCCGACAACCTGAAAAAGCGATTAGTCAGTTGGCGCACAGCCAGGAGCATGAGATGGTCAATTACCTCTTCTTCCTCCCAATGCAATTTTCGAATCTGCTTGAGGACTTTAGTGTAGTTGCGTTTATTCATATCCAGGTAGATAATCTTCCTGACAAAGAGCTCCAGCGGAGTCCTTTCCTTTTGCTGAATGGCTGCTCTTTCAGGTGGGTTGACGTAATAGATTGCATTCTCTAGAAGCATCCTCTCTTGTTGCCCGAGATGCTGAGCCGCTTTCTTTCGTTGAAGTGTTTCCAAAAAGGAGCTCATCCTTGGCGAGGTTTCAGGATTACGAAGGAGATAGCGGCCACAATTCTCCAGCAAGTTACCAATGATTTCCAGATTCATCCTGGAGAAGTCGTCGAGGCTGACTTTGAAGCAGTGGAAGATGACATGCTCAGGTACGACGCCAAATTTGGTCAATTCGGCAAGATATCGCACGTTGTTCATGCGCACTTGGCCTAAGAAGTCTTTCTGTTTCCGACGCTGTAAGCTGCGATACTCTTCGTCCAGGTAAGAGACCAGTCCCTGAGATACATCTGGCATGTATTTACCGAGCGTCGCGACGAGCCTGGAATAGAGCGGCAGAAGATCCATGCGTCCTTTGGGTAATTCTTGAACAGCCTTAACCAGACGATTTCTAGAAGCTTTGGAGTTGAGAAAACAAAAATCAATAGCGGTTTCATCCACGGCATCTTTCCCAGTTAGTTCGGGAAGACGTGCCAATAAAGCATCCACTTGAGCCCCGACGGTCTTATTTGCAATGGATGTAGACTGGTCGTCGATCTCGGGCGTCTTTGTCTCTGCTTCTTGTGACCCGGCACCATTAGTGGTTTTCTCTTGGTTGTCCACAGAATCACCTGCGATCGCTCCAGCATCATTTTTACGGCCGACTTGCTCATTTCCGTCAGGCTTCTTCTTTTTGCTGTCTTCCAAAAGGATCCCAGGAACTCGATCCTTCAGGTCTATCAAATTCTCGTAAAAGCGACGTTCTTCTTCATCTTCCCAAATTCCTGCTCCTTCGCTTTGTCCGCGGAGATATTCGCCTGTTTTGACGAGCCCTATGCCACTGGTTGACCCGGTATCGAGATTTTCATTCTCCCGCAACAGTGGCATGTCCGCTCCAAGGGCATCGCAAAGGATCTGAGCATTCGATACAAGCTTTTCAAAGGCTTTAGACTGCTTATCGAAGTTGCTTTGCCGATCTTCAAAGACTTCGCCGGATTTGACATAAGCTTCAGCATTACGACGCCCCTGAGCGGAAAGAGAATTTTGTTCTCGAATCAAGTGAGCCTTGACGTCGTCAAAGTATCTGATAAGAATATTTTTGAAGCGTTGACGCATCTCGGGAGATGCAAGGGGCGAATCGTCATCATTTGCAGCCTCAGTATTCGTTGCATTATCTGCAACTGCACTTTCATTGAGGTCCGCAACTGGACCAGACGTTGCGCCGTCCTCTTCCACAGACTTTCTCCCATCGGCGGCGGTTGACCTGATGCCAAGGATGTCCCATCCAAAATTCTTTACAAATAATACCACGAGTGGTAAATTTGCATGCTCTCTGTCATGCCCAAGCAGATCTTTAAGTACCTCAAGTGGGAAGGGTTCGGCTTCCGTTCCAGCAGAGCGCGGTCCCGTCTGCGTGGATTTGCTCCGCCCAGAACCATCGGCAGTTTTGCTAGATGCAGCGGCATCTTTCGGTCGCCCTGCCTCGTCAGGCCGAGTCACATCGTCTAAGCTTTTCAAGACCCCAAGTAGCCAAAGTTCCGTAACGACCCTTAAGAGTACTCTTTGTCTCCCCAATCTGTCCTTTTCCTCCTTCTCTCGGGCTTCTTGGCCAAGGGCTTTGAGCTGGGCCTTATCTGGGGTGCTTAAACCCCTTCCAAGAAACCATCCTAAATAGCTCGTAAAATCTTTAGGCCCGAATCGTTGGTGCAATGCGCTGACGATTTCGACGCCTGCTGCAACCTCGCCGGGGGATTTGAGCTTGCACAGCCCTTCATAACAGGCGGATATGATTTCGGAGAGATATTTGTGCAGGGAGAGGGTTCGAATCTCTTGAAGGAAAGTAGGAAGCGTAGGCGCAGAGATCGCTGTCCTGAGCCGCTTTATGAATGCCGTATTTTTCTTGAGCGAAGAGTCAAGAGATCCGCTGACCGGGAAGACATCTGAACAAAATTAAGTATTTTCAATCATATAATCCTGATCTGGTAATTTCAGACCTTGTTCACCAGCCCACGCTTTTACATTCAGATTGCGCAGCTCGCCTATATGCAGAAACTTAGATGAGTGAAATGAACATGGCAATTAAAGAGTAGCATGCACATACGCTTTCTCTGGCGGTCCATCCAAGTTGATTAATTGAGATCTGAAGAAGTCGAGGATGGACGGCAACAGTCCACAAATTAGGGTCCTTTAATATGAAAAGGTTTCTCGCACTGTTTAACATGAGAACAGCGCCACATCTGTGCTGAGACGGTTAAAGGACGAACTTCTGCTCTCAATTGGGGACCTTGAAGGGATGTAAGAGCAGCCAGTGAATCGCGGCATCCTCCGTTTCAGTGAGGTTTGATCTAATTGTATGGTTTTGGCTCGCTTGTGGCGCTTGGACTGATCGGGTAACTTTTAAACATGGTCATTGATATACGACCTTTCTGCGCCTCCGTACCGCCATATCCCCCCGACTTCCACGTAACAGCTTTGGTATGCAAGGGGAGAGAAAGTTTGAACCACATGGTTTTGCTCTCTTGAGCCTCTAATTGGATCATAAATGATGGCATTCGTTACATAAGTATCTGGTCTTTTTGCAACTTACGTGGAGATCCATTGTCGTTCATCGCTAACGGCTCATACATACCTCATCCGCCTCCGCCATTTTGGCCAATTACCAATTCCTTGGCTGTTTCCTACCAACTTTATCTCATGTGATTGCTTTGGTCATAAATAACATGTCACTTCTGCCAGCGATATTGCTGTCAATCCTGCGCCAGTTGGCAGTAACGCCCTTCAGATAGCGAATGCAACATTGAACCGGAGATGGGTCAAAAGACACGTTCAGATAGAACTGCTCAATATGCTTAATATTAGAAGGCGGTGGCTTTATTGAAGCATCTGTGTCAACTTGATAGCAATACAATTGTTTATAGCCTTCAACATAAACAGTACACACTGAATCTGATGAACGGACGATGCAACCGGCTCATGCCAAGCGAAACAATTATCCCCGACCGCGACTGGACATTTAACTCATAATTGATATGGATAAGAAGCCGTCTAGGTTTCATTTGATAGTGACGAATTGTGACGGATTGTAAAGGATTGTAAAGGATTGTCAGAACTTGTGCGTCCGTATTATGTCGGTGCTCAATTGGGTTGTTGATCTCCCGCATGTTCGACTTGCAAGCCCGGTGGTGAATATCTTGCGAGTGAAGTGTGCAGCAACACTCTTCTTTCGAGAAAAGAGCGATGAAGAAGGGCAAAATGTAGTTCCCAAGTTGGTAGTAATCGAAATAATGTGAGAAATAATGTGAGGAAGCAAAACGCAAGCAGAAAGACGTAAAGGCGTAAAGGCAGTTAGTCATGCAAAGACTAGTTAATACCTGCTTGGCATAGTTTCTCCCGTTTCCGAGAAGCCTGCTTCCTTTTCTCCTCCCATCAAGCGTCCCTGCATCTGATGTTTAAACTCCTGCTCACTCCAGCTCTGTTGTCTTACGGACAAAGGCTTTGGCCAGGTCTCGGCGTCAGACGAGGCTACGTCGACGTTTCCCGACGTGGCTGGGCCTTGTCCCGAGCGAGCTGCGGCCTCAGCCTGCACATAGTTGAAGCTAGTTCGTTTGAGTAGATTTGGACGAAACGCTTCTGGCGAATTCTGTGTGGCGGACATTGACAAGTCGGCATCATGTTTATTTGCTGATTGTGTCTGGGACGGGGAATTGCTGAAACCCTCATCCAATATCATTGCCTCAGATGCTCTCGAGGATGCAGGCCGATAGGCGTAATGTGTTTGAATCTGAGGCTTAGACTCCGCCATGTTCTCTGATTGAAATAGGTAATGCTGATAGTATAAGTCTCGGTTTCAAGAGATGCTGTGTAATGATAATAGAGATATGCAGACTGCAAATGATGGTGGTTCCTTCAAAGATTCGGCTTCAGGGAACTAATATATATTCCAGTGCTCGGGTCAGGTGCAATAGCGAGCTTGTGGTGTTAAAAATGGGGTGATTGTTGTGTGCTTTAATCCAGTATGGGCGCCCTCCCCCACACATTCTGGAGTTGTGGGGTATGTGCCAGGGGAGACAACAGCGAAAGCTTCGGCTACAAGTCGATCCGGGAACTTGTCCGGATGCGGTAAGTAGGTAAAAACAGTTGCATTCTCACGAATTTGCTATCATTCAACAGTACGGTACCAAAAGCCCAAAGACATGGTGCGAATTGGTTCTACAGTATAAATCTTATGAAAGGCTTTTCTTCAGAAAACTGTGCCATTACATCTAGAAAATTTTAAGAATCGTGCAAACTCGAGGCTCCGACTGCTAATATCTTGCAAAGCGTATATATTCGCAAATTTTATGAGCTGATTTCCAAAGGCCGTAAATGCTCATTTTATTTCCAATAGATGAGAAAAATGGGATAAAACATATCATTAATGCGGTGGTTAGAATATGTTTTGAGCCCTATAAATGAGGAAATTTGGACAAATAGACGAATAAGCACCAAATTTTTTTTTCAACCAAAAAAGTCATTTGTTAACATGTTATGATTGCTCATATTGATAGCATCCAACATAATATACTCCACTCCAAAATAGATCCATTACGCTTCTGATAGTCGTGGCACGTTTGATCGCACGGCATCCCGCAAAGAAAGTTGAGGAAGCAATTTCCTTCCCTCACCCATTCTAAAACATCGCATTAGCACAGCCAGCCGGCAAAACTCACCACGTGATTTCGCGATTAGCGTGTTTCATCCGACGTCACAGGTCAACTGTCACATAACAATGAGATTCAACTTCACTACTAAACTGATTTTATTTGTGAATCTAGCAAAAGACGCTATGAGGGAAACCAACGGAAGGTCAAATGAAATCCAATACACATCTTAAATGCATCTAAATAAGGAAACTTGATGCGCCTATAAAATGCAGAATAAAGGGAAATACCACTTGCACCGTACACCCGTCTCAGATAGAAGTAGATCATCTTCTGCGCCACTAGAAACGAGGCGGGAAGGACATCAGTGAAATGCAGACGAAGAAAAAACATCCGAGCACCGCGCGCGATATCTGTCAATGTTCTTACTGATGAGTGACACGGGCAACTGCACAACACCAATGTCTTGACCCAGCGTTTATCCGACGCATTCCTTCTTGTACGCGTTCAGTAATACGTTGATCATTGCACCATATCCACAAAATGCGATTGGAAGATCATTTCGGCTTTCTCCAAAAGTATTGCTGTGGTATTTTGTGAGCAATTGGTCCCAAGCATGCAACTTGCGTTGAGTAGAAGAGTATAGATTACTCACCTTATGTTGCTTCCGGCAATTTCGCAAGAGTGGCTTCCTCAAACTGTTCACTACAGCCTCTCTTCGTTTTTCGTCCGCGTCAAGCTCTGGAATGTAATAATATTCGCTTTCTAGCGGTTTACCAGCCGCGTCTTTGCCTTCCCGCGTAACTTCTCCAATGCAACTTGTACCTTCAAGGATTTTCCTCAGGCAATCTTTCGATAAAGTTCCAGTAGCACCAGAACTGTCACCCTTGAGCGTGGACGGTAAATTGCGCACTATAGCGGACAAGGGAGTAGAGGCCAGGCGAGAAAAGGCGAGTTGATTGATGGCGTGATTGGAGATAGCGTCTGTGTCTTCCTTTTCATATTTCTTGCCTTCTTGGGTTTCAGATTCCTTCAGAGGTGAAGCAGCACGATTGGATTCAGTGGCCGAACGCCGAGGCGAGTCTCCAGTTGTAAATGATGCCATACGTGGGAGGAGGTTATCTCCAAACGGACCGAATGAGTGAACGATTGGATCATTCTCCTCATCTCTGTCAGAGAAGTCGTGCAGATCGTTAAAGCTGCTCGATCGACTTTCCGCTCCGATGCTCTGGAAAGAATCCACAATCTCGCCGCTTGGCCTATGCTGGTCGTCATTTGACTGTGCCTTGTCATTGCCCTCGTCAGATGAATGCACATCTTCATACACTTCGACAGTATTATGTACGGGTGGATCTGAAGGTATAAACGTAGACGAGGATGGAAATTGGGCACGACTTGCTGGCGTTGGGGAGATTGGAGAGCGTAAACGCTGGTTGCTCCGCACGAGACTGGATCCGTCATAGCCAGGAATAGCAGTTAGTGGTCTTTGAAAGAAACTTTCATCCTCCCAAGTAGAGTCAGAATCCAGCGAGCCTTTTCTTTCCGTTCGAGGCCAGGCTATCAAGACGCGGGCATCCTGAACGTCTAGCATGATCTCCGCACCATGAGTTGAAGAAGTGAACGTATCACCTTTCGACAGATCCCAAGTCCGACCCTGACAATGGACTTTCACTCCATTCCAACCCACACATTGAATTACAACCTTGTTCTGCTCCTGGGGAGATCTTGCTGCAACATAAGTTGCACGGACGTGGACGCGTGATATCAGTCGATTGGCCGAAAGTTGGAATGTTGAAGAATTGCTGGACCTTCCCAGTAGAATTGTTTCCTCAGTTTCCGGTAAAGGAATAGTTGTAACGGCTCGTAAAGGAGACCTCTCAGAGAAGCTCGAGGTCGTCCGCTGTATATCCGGGTGCTTCGGTAACGCAGGTGGAGAGGATGGAATATTGCCTAGAGACGAACTAGGAAGAGGAGTTGGATATTTGCTAAGTCCTGCATCTTGCTTTGAACCCGAGACGCGAGAAACGCGTTTCGCTGGGCGAACACACGGAGGAGACGAAGACAGCAGCTCGAATGCAGGCAAAAGAGACGGAGTCGACGCAGGTCGTTTGACACCGAGGATTGAAGTAGACTTCTTTTTTCCTTCATTCGAGAGACTCTCCATGACGTGACACGCAGGATCTTCTGGCTTGAAATTGAGTCCTCCTTCGTGTTAGTTCATGGGAGCCGTGGTCCCTCTACCATTGATAATGGTAAACAATGATACAAGAAGAACAAAAGACAAAGCACGACTAGATAAGCAAACGTCAAGTGCAAGTAAATGAGTGACGAGGGTAATTTACAGAGGAATTTGCAGAAGAGGGTGAATTGGAAAGGAGTGGTCGGACAGCCGGCAAAAAGAAGGTCATCGATGGGGTCGTCACGTCCAATGCGCGGGTACATGCCTTGTAGGCCAGGTACAAAAGTTTAGACGCGTGCCTACGTGCCCAGAGCGCGCGGTCTACAAGTTTTGCGCTAAGAGGTTGACTCGCCAAGCTCCGCCCTCTGCCTCGTGGAACGTCATCCTGAAAGCGCACCGAGACACCTACGAGATCACCTCCAGATCTCCTGGGTCCCATTAATTGCTGTCTTTCCAAACAATGACAGCATTTGCTTATTCTATTACACAACATTTGCAAACACGGCTGCAAAATGGACTAAATCCTCTCAAGGATATCGTGCTTGCAAACAGCAATAATTAGATACCTCTGGGGACCTAAGCGAAGATTTTCGGGTAAAGAATCTACCTATAACCCCCGAACTATTATACTTAGTTCCTTCAACTGATAGTTAAGTATAGGCTTTTGGTTATGGCTCCCTCCTTCCAAAATCATACCTGCTCTGATCCCAACCCTCCGTGTGGCAATCTAAACCTACGTGCAATGATTGGACACGCTCAAATTATTAAATTTTGGAGTAAAAAGTTTAAGCTGTGAGAAGGAGCATTTTCAAATCTGCCGGATATGTTAGCACGATTTTATTTGTAGTGGGTAGGAGGTTTATTGCTTCCGGTATTGTGCTACATTGTCATCTACAGAGGGTGCTTCCCAGACGTCAAATCGTTTCCATGTTCTTATGATTTCAATTTCCATCTCCTCATATGATAACGTTTTTGTTGCACATGATAGCCCCTCCTTTCTTGCCCAGCGTCCCATTCAGGTAGGCCGGTCCCACTGACGCGCTAACCAGGTGCGCGAGTACGCGCCAGATAATGTGCCTTTGCCCAAATTCATGAAATTGTGTGCAGATTGGATGCCTTTATATGACTTCATTTCTTCTTTATTTTTGAAAAGATCCCTGCTACGGAAAATCGCAAAGGAATTTTTCAAGGCCATTGTCAAAAGTTGCATCTGGATAAAAGGACAAAATAAGGATTGGGTAAGCGCACATGGTGTTTGGCGAGTTATGCATAACTAAGGTAGCTAGTCGCGCATCTCGAAGCACAATTATACCATTTTGGTTTTTGCCGAACGCCGTCTATTGCGGACATGGTAAGTTTGGCCAGGAGTATAATTTTTTAACCGAAAGACCTTGTAGGAAAAGTTGCAAAGGGTCCGAGGCCACCCCGGACGATCGGCCAAAAATTGTGTTCCCTCGCCCTTGTCGGACTTTCTCGCCTCGCCCACATGAAGTCTTGGCATCCAAAATATTTCGACCATCGCTTTGTTTCGGGGACGGAATAATTTGTTCTGCATCAGTTGCATAGCAAACACCAAAAAAATCATGGCACCCACCTCGACCTCTTTGACCTCAAAGGTCGCATCTGGTTCGCCATACCAGCTGGATCGCAGCCAAGTAAGATTTCAATTTTCCCTGATTGCGCTTTTCCTTCTCTGGTCTTCTTCGTTCTGACATGGCTTTTGGAATAGACCAAAAAGGCTTCGAGTGCTCTACTCAAGCACATCAAATCGGAAGAGAAGCGCACTGAATCGGAATCTACAAAAAAGAATCTTCTCGCCAATGACGACGATAGTTCAGATGAGGTTGATGACAGCGAGGATACTCCGATATGGCTTGTCTTGACCACGAAAAAGCACATTGTTGACAAGAAGAGGCTAAAGCCGGGAAAAATGTAGGCTGCTTCTGCTATACAAGAATACGAGACCTTGCAAGCTAATATATGAATCGTCGTACAGTTCAATGCCGCATTCCCTCAATACTTCACCAAATTCGACAATTTGCTTAATCACTGCCGATCCCCAACGGTCGTTCAAGGACGTTGTCGCACATGATTCCTTCCCGAAGCCGCTTGCTTCTCGCATTGGCCGCGTCATTGGAATTTCAAAACTGAAAGCGAAATACAAGAGTTATGAGAGTCGGCGCCAACTGCTGAGCGAGTACGATATCTTCCTTGCCGATGACCGGATCGTCACACTTCTGCCGAACCTTCTCGGAAAGATCTTCTTCAAGGGTGGCTCGAAGCGGCCAGTCCCCGTAAATCTTTCGGCACCGAAGAAGGCCCAAGACAAGAGTACCCCGAAGAACGGTGACGAAGGCAAATCCATCGCAAGCCCCAAAGCTATGGCAGAAGAAATTGAACGCGCTCTTTCTGCGGCCCTAGTTCATCTTAGCCCGTCTGTCACCACCTCTGTTCGCGTTGGCAAGGCCAGTTGGGGCCCCGAGAAGGTTGCGGCGAACGTGGAAGCGGTCGTCAATGGTCTTACCGAGAAATTCGTTACCAAGGGCTGGCGCAACGTCCGGAGTGTGCACATCAAGGGCCCAAATACCATGGCGCTGCCAATCTGGCTCGCCGACGAATTATGGGTTGACGAAGGCGATGTTCTCGAGGATGCGCCTGCCGAGAATGAAGCACTCGAAGGGAAGGATGAGGTCAAGAAGATCGCCGATGCTCCAGCAGAAGCGGCCAGCAGCAAGAGAAAGGCTAGAGAGGGCGAAGAAGAGCAGCGACCTAAGAAGGCGAAGAAAGCAGACAAAGCCGAGGGCGATGACCTGGCCAAGGAAATCGCTCTGCGCAAGGAAAAGCTGAAGAAACAGAAGGCCCAAGCCGCTGCCGAGACTGAAGGCGACAGCGTTGTCAGCAAGGTTTCCAAGGAAGTGCCACTTGCAGATGGCGGAAAGGCCAAGATCAAGGCCAAGAAGACCAAGACCGTCAAGTCTGCTTAAATGCTACAGCTCTTACAGCATCTCAAAACGTTTGTATAGGCTTTCGGGGTTCGGAGTCGGTGGATCATGCTTTTGTCATTGTATGTCTCCAGATTGGGAAAACTGGACTAGACTCTGTACGAGGACATCTTCAAAAGTTCTTTTCTCCATGTGCTCAAATATATAGGATTAATAGCCGCGGATGCTGATATCATTGATCTCCACAATGTGAATCGAGTTCTGATTTATGCTAGTAAATAAATTATGCGAGTAATTTGATAGGCGCAAAAAAAAAGTCACAATTCCATCTGTACTTGGTCACCTGAATTTTCCGTCTTGTCCTTCCTTTGAGGACCAAAGTATTTGGAAAAGGCCTCGCCGAGGACCTTATCATCGAGCTCCATATGAGCGCCGTCGACTGTCAAGAATTTCAAGGCACCATTCTGATCAAGCAATTTCAAGCCAAGCCAATCCTCCTGATAGATGGCTCTGTCTTTTAGAGGCGTGACGTCGCCTGTGGTGGAGTTGACCTCTGCGAACCAAGACGTTTCCTTAGGAATGACAGTGGTGTCTTCCGTAAACATGTACATGATGAAATTCTCGAGGCTCTGGAGGTTTTTCTTGTACGAATCGCTTTTATTGGCGCGTTCATTGTTGATATCTGCGAGGTAATTGGAATACTCTAGATAGCTGGGCATGTCTTCTGCGTCCCGGTAGTACTGGGCTGGTACGACACGGGCTTGAACGTAGTGGCTCCAAGAATTGCTGCGGAGCAGGCCAATAGCGGCTTTGCAAAGCCAGTCGGTGGGACCACAAGTTTGGAAGTCACTGATCCCGTTATGTTGACTGCCAAAGGTCACCAAGGATCGGACTGGAGGAGCGTTGCAACGCTCGATGTAACCGCGGAGAAACTGGCCGCCTTGTGAGAAGCCGAGCGCGTCAATGGCGGGAGCGGTCGACAAGATTGGATGTGATCCAATGTCGGCGCAGACTTTGGTGAGCTGCTCCGTCAAGTTTCCAAAGAAAGTGGCGCGTCGGTCTGAACTAGGATCGTCATTGATGCGAATGTTGTACACGAAGGTTCCAGGGTGGATCCGTTCTGCTAATTCACCGACTGAAAGAATACCGTCTGCATTGTATGTGTCGCCAAGGCCATGCCAGATGACGAGAGGAAGGGGAAGAGAAGCTTCCGACGAAGAGTAATGGGTTTGAGGAACTAAAAGGGAGTAACCTTGGATGATAAGCGTAAAGGCTGAGAGAAGGAACACAGGTAAATATGAAGCCATTTGCAAGCACACGTGGAGGACCCGCGGACTAGAAGTATGATTCGACTTGATTGAGTTGCACCCTGCAAGATCGCTTCAAAAGAATTCAAGCTCTGACGCTCTGGCAAAGCTTCCTTCCTTTCATTGCCGACCAGCAGGAGCCGTCCCTGATATTGGTGACTGGAGGCGAACGTTATATTTGGGATGTTTGAAGGTGAGCTGCACTGGAACAGTGACGACGAGTATTGCGCTAGACCGTTTACAGGAAGGTGGCCGCGGTAAAGTCGATATCCTCGACTTGTCGTTCTATCGAATCCGTCCAAGTCTGAGAGTCACCTCGTATGTGCAGCGGGGCATTTCGGGGTCCAAAACTGTTTCAAACGAATTAAAATGATATGAGTTATGATTTTATCGAAAGAAGGAATTCAATTACTAGATGAAAAGGGGAGAAGAAGTCTTTACCCTTTTTTTGACGTCGGTGCCGATTACGGATGCCTGCCAATATCGTCAAGCATCCAATCATGATCCCGGCAAGACCGAAAGCGATGTTGATAATGTTATCACTGGTCATTTCTCGATTAAGTTCATCCGCTGATGCTTGAAAGATGAGAAGTCATGCGAAATTTTGCTTTTGACCTGAAATGGAGAGTTGCGTCTAATTCTCACACTGAGCCTTCAAGCTGGACTCTTGAGCGAGGTATTGCAGTTTTTATATCGACTCTTGGATGAATCTGAAGTGCAGACATATACTCCGTAACTGACATATTTGGCAGAGTTTGGGAAAAGGCGTAGGTAGGCAAACTTTAGTGCAGTCTCACCGCCTTCTAAACATCCAGATCTTTGACGATGCAGACTCCAACGGACAAGGAATTCGGTACTTGTATCAACTCATACGCGCCAATAAAAAGGAGCACGGTTCCTCTCACCGCAAAAATACGCATGACACTGTAACACAATGCGCTGCAGTTGCTCCCTCAGTCGTATGGTCTCCACTGATATCGAGGATTTGCATCAGAGGTGAAGCTGTTGATTGTGACTAGTCTGGGAATTATGCAAAACAATCTAGATCTCTCGTTTCAAACAAGATTGTCGTTGCATATCCTTTCCTTGCGAGATGATGCCGGTTAGGACGAGCCACTGCACCCGCCAATGAAAGACCATGGCTCTATGCACCTGCGCATCGGGGAAGTTCGGAAGTGCAAGTGAAAGAGAGACATGTTTTTTTAAGAAAAGCTTGAATAAGAATCCCCGAGCTCTTTTTCCTCAAGGGTCGCGGATCCTTTTGTCCCCTGCCCAATGCTCAATTGTAAATAATGAGATGCATAGACCAGCCTGAGCTGTGGCGCTTCTTAGCGCGGGTTAACGCTACGTCGGGAATCGGCTCCCGAACTGACCGGCAGCGTTAGTTAAGGTCGAAAAGACAACCGGGGAATGCGGGTACCTTTGGCACAGACAGATTTCCGAACATCAGAATTGCGACAGGATTTCCGGCCGCTGCTTTTCTAATTTGCTCAAAGCTGTCGGTACGTGGCGCAATGGCACCATCCATGCCGCTTGTGCATAATGATGAGGCTGTGATACCTCGACCTGGCCCTCACCCTTCTTTCATCCAGGTTGCCAAGCCGTACATGTTCGAGCAAGAAATCGAAGGATGCATGAGAGCTACCGGAGTGAACGAAGCCAAGGAAGACACCCTCCGTTTGCAAGGAGTCGCCTGGATCGACAGCGTGCGAAAAACGCTTCAACTGTAGGGGCTTGTTGTCTGGATAATATTTGACGATTGCTGAAAACTAGTTCTAGGCCGGTCCGCACCTTTAATACCGCTGTCGTCTACTACCACAAGTTTCGCCTGGTCCATGCCGATAACGAGTACAGCTTCGTCGTATGCATTTGATCTTCCTTGAATAAATCTCCTTGAATGCTGAAATAGACTTCGCAGGATGCCGCTGCCGCCGCTCTCTTCACAGCATGCAAGATTGAAGATACCCTCAAGAAATCCAAAGAAATTCTCTGCGGAGCCTACAATATGAAGCTAAGCCCCGCAGAGCGGCTGAGCCCTGATGACCCGGTAGGACCCTTACAGAGATCACAACAAGTGAGAAGATATATTCTAACTGCTGGTACAGCTCTTTGAGAACCCCTCAAAGCTCATCATCGGCCTGGAGCGACTTATGCTGGAGGCATCCAGCTTCGACTACCGAAATCGATACCCCCAGAAACTACTTTTGAAGCTGGTAAAACTCTACGGTTTTGACAAGGAGACTGTTGGAAAGATGGCATACAATATGTCGCTAGATCTATATCGGACATTTGCACCTCTAAAGCAGTCAACCTCCACTCTCGCCCTCGCCTGCATAGAATTGTCCGCTCGTATCCTTGATGTGCCACTAGGAAAGCTTGAAGATGCCGAAATATATGGAAACTGGAGCACATCTCGAGAACAAGTGATGGGTAAGATTTTACCTCCATATTTCCCGATCCGCGACCGTCGAGATGGCATGCTGATTCTCGACATTATCAACTACAGAAACACTTCTTGATCTACTTGAACTGTACACACATCACCGCGGCTCGACAGTCGTTGGGCCAGAATATTCCATCGAAACGTTCATCACGATACGTATTACGCTCAACCAGGAATCAGCCTCACACCATTACCCTCGCTTTACGGAATGGAATTCTCACAAGCCAGAAACAAATGGCGCCGAGGCTGACGTACGGAACGGCACAAAAGAATCTCGAGATGGCCGCGACACGACGAACAGTCAGCACGGCTCGCCACCAGCTATGGGACCGGTCTCGGCCCTCGGCACTCGCGGCCGAGTCGGTGAGCGCAGTCGCGATGGCACTGTCCGCTTCATGCTTGATGCTGAACGCGCGCGCGAGGAACAAGTTCAAGTCGCAGAATACTTTAAAGTGGAAGAGGAGGAATACGAGGTCGAAGTGGAAATAGACCGTGGACGTGGTCGCGAACGAGAACGGGAACGAGACCGAGATCGAGACCGAGACAATGGTCGCGAGAGACGAAGGATTTAATTAACTTCTCTGGTCTGGGACGAGTCGCTTGTTTTGGGAAGAATGCCTTTTTTTTCCCTTTCCCTTTTCACCTTTCAGTATACGCTCTGCGCTCCCCACCACGCAGAGCGATACCAGCTGACATAAAATGGCCATTTACATCTGCCATATACCTAATTACTGGATATGCTTGGATTTGTTTATTTTCCCTTTCATCAGAGTCCATTGGTACTTTCTCAAAGTCTCTAAGATTCTTATGCTGGTGCATATTTTCAGTTCTATACCTTGTCATTTCCCCCCCCCCCCCCCATTTTCTTTCGATTTCGGATAATTTCGTACCTTTTTCCTTTCTGTCGCCTTTTGCATCCTCGAGAACTCTGTCCTCTATATATTTCAGATAGTAGTCTTTTCGGTATATGGCGTTCTGCAGGGATGGTCGGGGGTTTTTCTCACCACTAGGCATTTTCTCAAAATCTGGATAGTTTACAACTTTGGAGCTAGAAACATTTGAAATCAAAAAGAGAAATAATTCAATACGCCACGTGCTATATGAGCGCATTACTTCCTTACCAATGGTAATTATTTTATGCTTGTTCTTTGTGGTCTCTTACGCTTGAATTGGATGTCTTTGCCATTATGTGGACCCGCGATTCTAATTTAGTATTGCCCCAGGAAAGAAAATCTTTAAGAATTACGGTAGATTAAGCCACTGTGATCGGAGCCAACAAATTTACTCTCGCTATCGCTTGCCGACTTTTGCTCTGGAGAATAAAAAGAGGTGAGGAAGGGGAGGTTTCCCGTCATCGCAGAAGACAACAGAACAAGAAATGGCTATCCTCGGTAACGCGAACCCAGAAGATCGGGTAGAGCAAAGGGAAAAAAAAAGAAGGGAAAGCCTAAGATGAAGAAAGAAGATATGTGGGAGAGGGTGGAATTATTTACACAAGGTGTTGAACGTGTATTAGGGGATCAAGAAAAGAATTAGTTGAAGAAAGGAAATGGCTAGGGATTATTGAAGAAACTAGCTTTATGGAGAAGAATGCGAAGAATGTGAAGATTTGAGACTCGAGATTCAAGATTCGAGATTCGAGACTTGAGATTTGGGGATTCCGAGTTTTCCACCTCACAGTGAAAATTTGTTGTGGTTGAAAGAGGCAATGCTTGACCGTCAACAGAGTGATGCTATCATCTTTTGCCGAACTGAGATTCAAGGCATTTGAGAGTCTAGAAGCAAATTGATTAAGTTAGTTTGACAGCCAAGGAAATATATTTGCGGACTCATTGGTAAGGCAACTTACAGTCTCTTTGACTGCACCTTGGTTGAAGAGATATTTGGTCAGGCCCTTGACAACCTCCATCTGTTCCTCAGGCGTAAGGCCATTGATAGCGGTTTCGATGACACCACCGACCGAAGTCTTGTAGACGGCAATGAAGCTCTGATAGTAAACGAATGCGAAGAAACCCATAATGAATTGGCAGTCCATGCGGTCCGTGATGCCTCCATGACCGGGAATCGACTCGCCAAAGTCCTTAATCTTGAATGTCCGCTTGAGACCAGACGCGAAGAAACCGCCAAAGGGAGCAATAAGAGAGGCAAAAGTGGCGAAGACGAGGATGTGAAACTGGATAGGTGCAATGTCGAAGGTGCGGTTGACGTGCGTCCAGTAAGGCAATTTCCAGGCTTCGGGAATAAAGACGGGATTCGGAGTGCACTCCAGTCCAGTGAAGATATTTGCACCCAGGTCCTGTGGGGAGTATTAGCACACAAAACAACGCAGGGATCTGAAGACTTGCTCTGGCGCATTGACTTACGTTGACTGGGCAGATAAAGTACTTGTAGCGCATGAGAGCATTCGTTAAACCAACACCGAAAATGATAGTGAAGATCCAAGCTCCAACGAATCCTTCAACGGTTTTCTTTGGAGACAGCTTGATGAGCTGGGTGCGACCAAAGGCGATTCCACAGATATAGGCGAAAATATCGTTGGTGATAACCAAAGACACGGGCAGGAAGAACCAAATCATTCCTTCGAAAATGTTGTTCATGATAAAATGCGCTTGAACTACAATCAAGTAAAGCGCCATGTGTGTCCAGGCGAACTGTGTGAATTGGAATCTGTAGTGTCCCTTTTGCAAGGAGCTCACGAAGAAGACGAAACCTGCAGGCTTGTCAATGGCCGCGATGGTAGGATGGAGTACTTCTTTGTATAAGAGGCTTACCAATGACATAGAGCATGAAGCTGATAAAGCGGTGGTGAGTAGCCAAAGGAGAGAGCATTTTGTCTACCAAAACAATGTGCTTAAAGTAGTAAATAACACTCTCTCCGTAAAGGAAGTACATGGTGGTTGCGAGGAAGTACCAGTTCAGTGACTTGGTGAAACGGATTCTTCGTGCATGGCTGGGAACATTGGCAATGGCAATGACCTCCTTGAAAGAGATGATCTGCACAGAGGTGATGATAGCGATAATGTAGATATGCCCAGCGAACATGGCTCCGAAAAAGCCTGCAATCATAATAAAAGTCCATATTGTTCGGGTGATGAAGGTTTGCTTTTTCTTCTCGTATTCTGACGGCGTTGGCTGCTCAGCCTGCAGGAATGGTCACTGGTTAGCACAAATCCACAAAGTTTGGCACTCTGCCAATTGTTTCCTATGAAATTGAAATCATCTGCTTAAGGGGTTCCAACTCACTGCTCCTTTAGCAACTGCACTGTTTCTTGCCTGGCCCGAGACCTCAGAAGTCGCGTCGCTCACTTCAGAAACACTGTGTCTTCTCCCTTCTGAGGCATCACTGCCTCGATGTTGAAACTTGACATTGCGCCTGGACCTAGGCATGATGCCCTTCACGCTTTAGTGATTCTGAAAACGTTTGTTCACCTCAGCCCAATGCTTTTCTTTGTGCGGAGAGAGAAACAAGCGCAGATTAAGGCGATAATCCCCGATTTGCGATGCTGGATGGTGGATTGTCTTAGATGTTTAGAGGGAAGCTGGGTGGGGTCCTTTAAGGCGTTAAACACTGCCACCCGAAACAAATCTCCCCAAAATTTCCGGCTGACGACGGAGCCTTGTGATGCAGCGAAAGCAACGAAAACCTTGCCTATCGCTCGCTCTTAAATTGGCCGAAATAAATAAATCCCAATATGGGTTCGACCAATGCGACTTGATATAAAAAAAAAATGAAACGTTTCAGTAACTGGATTGATCAGGACAATGCTTGAGCTGTAAGACGTCGCGCCGAAAGCAGGCTGCTGTCTCGCTACGTCAGCCGCCGCGGTTGCTTCAATTATTTCACCAAGATTTAACTAAGCGGCTGCAGTTTTCCAGTAAGCTCCTCGCCTGAGCAATTCCACGAAAAGTACTTGATTGCCTTCCACGAATCAGCGAACGAATAAGTACCGATACCCCTTGTAAGTTTAAAACACACGCGCTACGAAGCTCTTTTTTATGTGGTTGCTCCGGTCACCCAGATAGGCCTGACACGCTCTCAATATCAATTTGTTATGGGATTCTATAGCGACCTCTTCGCCATTGTGTCGACCATAACCTTTGTCAATTGACCTAAACAACTCTACACCACTGTAGCTGGGAATTGACTCGTGAAATATTAAAAAACATTTTAGCTGTCCTCATGGCATGGCAGGCTCAGAAGACGAGTTCTTTTCTGACGATGGCTTGGACGCCCTACCGCCAGATACACTTCGTGACTTAGAGCACAGTGCTCTGCTGTCGACGCAGCATCAAAGCGCACGAGCAGCATCAGTCCATGCAACGCAGCCTTGGAATGCAGAGAAGGGGCTACCTGCAAATGGGCGGTTGAAGCGTCAAGAACTTTTAGAATCAAATAGGCGAGCTAATGCTAGCTATTCTGCACAATATGATTCGCACCATCCATCATCCGATTACGGATTTGATAATGAGGTTATTGATACCGAAATCTTAGGGTCAACGGAGGCTGTTGAGGAGGTGCCTGACGTGCAAAGACAAAATATTTCGACAGCACAGATGGGCCATGTTGGTGCTCTACATCAGGGCGCCCTTCCCCAGGTGTGGGCTGAGGACAGTGTCTACCATGATGCACCCGTTGATGCTCATTCCCGGATGCATTCAGATGAGGATCAAGATGATTCCTTAGAGGGCGGAAGAGATGATGGAAATGGAATAACCATTCAGAAAAAGCTCCAGCAGGTCCGGACCCCATCCCATTTCCTTCTGATTGTGATCTCATAAACTCTGACTGAACTAGCTCTTGCACGACAAAGAGGAGTTGGAAAGATCACTCCGTGAGGCATCTGATTCAGCTCTAACACGGGCCGGAGAAATTGCCATTCTTCGCGCAAACAAAGAGAAGGCAGACAAGGAGCATGAGAGAAAATCGAGAGCGCTTGAGAAGATTCATCAAGACGAACTCATTAAGCACCAACGAAATTATGACCTTGAAAGAAAAGAAAATGAAAGAATTGCCACAGAAATTCGATTTCTGCAACAGGATCTTGCCGAGGAGACCGGAAAAGTTAAAAGCATGAAGAGGTCATTACGGACTGGCGACGGTCAAGCCAATATGCCCGCTCAAAGCCCCAGTCCCCTGACAACACCCAGGAAGGGAAAGTCTCGATCTTACGGTGATGGATTTGATGATGATGAAATGGTACTTATCTCCCCTGGGAAGTCCAGAGCCAAATCCAAACCGAGCACACCACGGGCCGGATCGAAACGAAAGAGAAGAGCAACGGAGAACAGCCCCAGCCTTCCCTTACAATTTAGCCAACCTAGGGCAAGTTTTACTTCCGAGGCCAAGGGAGACCAAAGCCAAAATCAAATCATCGATGCATCTTTGCTACGGCGATTCGATAAAGATGATCATCGATTTGAGGTGAATTGTCCTGCCTCAACACCTCTCAAGCTGCGACTGACACTCGAATACAGTTCCTTCAGGAGATCCTCAATCATCGTGCTCACGGGGAAGGAGATAGAACATTTGCAAGGCTTTCTGCATATACATTCCCCTCCTCAGACGCTACATTTTCCTCGATTTTTCTGGACAAGTTGCAGCTTCTCACGTACGATAGTGAGATTGAAAACTTCCCAGCAGCTGTGTGCGATATTATTTTATCTCTCTGGTCTGGTTGCTTGGAAGAGAAACTGGTAAAACCCCAACAATGGAAAACATTTTCTTTAGACGTGAAAAACGAAGAAATTGACTGGTATCTAGTATTCTCCAATCTCCTTATTCGTCGAATTTCTGCTGTTCATTCTTACGCTTGACACAATTTCGACCGCCCCATTTATCATTGATGAAGTCGTTCGACTAACTCAAGCTACGGCTGACCTTCATATCATGCCTCGCCATACACGTGAGCCGATCTCGCAGTTGAATCCAGAGATCGATGTGGACGCCTGTCTATCTCTTCTTTTCGTTACATCACTTGGCTGCAATCACAGCGAAGAGCATATTACTCGTTTTTGGAAGTGTATGAGATTCGACTTTGTCTTCATGGCCCTTGGTATCAACCAAAAACTCAAGCATATCCTCGCAATGCTTGACATTCTAAGCACCGGTGCACTGAAAGAGGGGCTTGGCCCCGTCCTGAGCTCGCCTCAAAACGTAAGAGATGAGCATGCTAATCATCTCATTGATTCCATGACGAGATTTCTCTTTCAGGCACCTCTTGAAGACAAGAATGAGGAACCATATAGTAGCACGGATATCAAAGCTCTGAGGCTCAAAGTCGTCGATATACTCCGCGCCTTATCGTTGAGCGACCATGGCGGGCGACTCATTGCTTCTCACCGCACTGCCATTGGACGATTAGTCAACTCGATCAGCGACAGTGTCAACGACTTGTATGATTTCTTCTCTGATTATGAGTGCAGTGCGCAAATCGTCAATACCGCTGTCCGTTTGCTCTTCTACCTCCGCGTCTCGCAAACGTCACTCATCAACATGAGAACCAAGCTGGATGCCCTGCCATCGGGCGGCGGCACCCACAATTACATTGTCAGCCTTACTCGGATCGCTTTCAGCGATGGCTTTGTACTAGAGGCCGGGATTGACGATGATGTAGTCGACTATGCGCATCAAATGCTGGAGGATTTCATCACCCCCGATGAAGGAGAGGCTTTACTTGCGGCTTTCGGATCGCTAAGCGTTTCAAGAGAAAACACTTCCAAAGCTGAAACTACGACTTTGGCTTGATTGGAATGCGGTGCTATTCAAGGCGGGACTGTCATAATGATTAGCGCACTATCCCTTTCGGTGGGTTTGTGTTGCGCTTTTGGTTGCCACTGGATGATTGGAGTTTAGCCAAGAATGTTTTTCACTGGCGTCTGCATTTGGAGCCTGAATGTTTTTGATACCGATGGGATAGACCAATACTGTACACCCAAATTTAGGGAAAATTTTATTTATATTATAATATATGAGCTCTTATGAGTTTGACAACTGGAAGATAGGCCATTGATTGTGAATTTACCAAGCGTTTCCCCCACCAACAGAGAAATATGACAAAGGGGTACTATAATTGTTCATTGATGAAGAGACCCGCCATTCCCATACCTGTACCGACACACATACTCGTTAATAAGACCTTCTTATGAGTTCTCCGTAATTCGCTCAGTCCCGTGCAGATCTGCCTGGCACCAGTGCAGCCGAGCGGATGCCCCAAAGCAATAGCGCCGCCGCGGGGATTCACCTTGGCGTGATCAAGGCCCAAGACATCCAAACAATATACTGCCATTGAAGCAAAGGCTTCATTAAGTTCAATTATGTCGATATCTGAGAGACTCAATTGGAGCTTTCCAAGAAGTTTAGGGATAGCAATGGATGGTCCAATGCCCATGATACGAGGCGCGACACCCGCAACAGTAGCACCGCAGTATTTGGCCAAGATTGGCAGGTGAAGAGCTTCGGCTTTAGACCGCTTCATGAGAAGTATTGCCGCGGCTATGAGAAAAAAAGATCTTAGTAAGTTGCCTCAGAATCAAGGAGCAGAAAACAGGAATAGTTAAAAGGCAACATGAGAAATGGAAAGAGTCACTCACCTCCATCGGTCATTTGACTACTATTTCCAGCCGTACTTTTGTCACCAAAAGCCGAAAAAGCTGGCCGAAGCTTGTTCAAACTCTCAAAAGTGGTGCCCCATCGCGGTCCTTCATCTTTAGTGAGAGTGACTGTCTTCTGCTCGCCGGATTTCGGATCCTTGACCGTGGTAGTGATGGGGGTAATTTCATCATCGAACCAGCCTTCCTTTTGTGCACGCTCTGCTCGATGATAGGATTCCGCCGCATATCGATCTTGCGTTTCCCTTAGAATATCAAAATCCTTGCCCACATTCTCCGATGTCTGACCCATTGGCTGCAAGCAGTCAGCAGCCTCTGGCTTCTCCATGACTTCAGCGTCAAAGGAACTGAGCCGCTCTCCGCTAGCCGACATGATTTCTGCCCCCATTGCAAGACCACATTCGATGTTCCCAGCACTAATCTGATTGGCAATATCTTGAACAGCTTTTAGTCCAGAGGAGCAGAATCTATTCGCCGTAGAAGCTCCGGTTGTATTTGGAAATCCGGCTGCTAGTGCAGCTGCGCGGACATAATATGCTGCTTTACCATCGTTGACCTAACGACCAGTGAGCAATCTGAACAGGATGTACGCAGGTTCACAGAATTACAAACATTTCCCAAACAAATGTCCTCGATCAATTGTGGATCCAAGCCCGACTTTTCATTTACGGCTTTGAGAAGTTTGCAGAGCAATGCGTCGAGAGATGTGTCTTTGAGACCGCCCTTGAAGGCTTTGCATAGAGGCGTTCGTATCGCCAGGGTGATGACTACATCGTCTGGGTTCTTCTGAGAGCTAGATTGAATCTCGTATGAGCATGTAAACCTATAGAAAAAACAATAGGGAAGCTATTGCCGTGCAAAACTTACAGGGCAGCCAGCCCAGATTTGGCAGGGCTGAGGTGGTTTAGGATCGAACTTAGTCTTTCCGTAGCCATGATTATTTTGCAATCATATATTAGTGATGATTTTGTAAGGAGAACCAGTCTCTGGTAAGCTCATAATATTATTCTGAAAACAGAGACCTCTTCATTTAAGCTATCTTATTCGAGCTCAAAAATGTGGGGAAGTTTACAGACCGCGGGGATAAGCCTCGGTAATACCGTCATCCCTTTGGTTTAGCCACAGCAGTTGACCTCGGCATCTTTTTAACGAGTCGTAGTTAAGACTCTCCACTACGAGCACTCTGCCTAAGTAAGGTAGTCACTGCCAACCTAAGGCAGCAAAGTACAGGTCTAGTCTTCACAGGACATCAAAGAATCTTTGATCAACAAGCCACTCCTGTAGATGCATGTCAAGCAGGGGACTCATAAAAAACGATGTTATATCATTCTGTCTATATGACTTTGTTCTGTCTGTAACCCGGCGCAATCCACAAGAAATCTCCCCCTCCGATACGTGTCTTCCGGTCAAGGTCCAACAGCGAGCTACTACTATGCGGCGTTTTTGACTTGACCCCCCAGAGAGCAGCATCGATTATTACCTATGAAGAAGATTCAGCACTTTTATATCGATACAATTCAATGCAATCACTTTGGGTCTGACATGTCTCCTCCGTAATGCTGGCAAAAGCTCTACATTATCACCATTGTTGTTATCCACGAGTGGTGAGGTTAGTGCGTGGTTAGAAGCGGAAAAATAGCCGAAACGCGAATGGATTGCTGTCCGGAAAGGAAACTCGAGCGCAATTGCTGACAAAATTCCCGAGAGGCCGGTCCTCTGGACATGAAGTAATTGAAGACAGTCTGCCAACAGGGAACGTTTCCCCATCGCAATTGCTCTATTTTCGTCTCACAAAGCTTGGACCAAACAGCACAGTGCTACTTCAGCACATATTTCGTGCAATTGAGGTCTGTCCATCATGTTTAGAGCTACGACGCGCTCTGGCCTTGTACGGTCACTACCGTCACCTTCTTATCGTGCCTCCGCCGCGCGGCGTTTTCTAAGCACTGCTCCCCCTGCGCAGAAGTCGCGGAGTTGGAAGAGCAGCGCGGTTCGATGGGGATTGGCTATTGGTGGAATTTACTATTACAATACCAACACTGCCTTCGCTGAGGAGCTTCTCCGTAAGTCAATCATGACCACGACCAATTCCGGGACGTCTCAAATATCTAAACAATTCGCACAGCTTCTTCTTCACCCCAAGTTCCCGTGAACAACGAGACTGCCGAACCGGCTCTGACACTGGAGTCAATTGCGGCGTCGCGGAAAAAGCAAGCCCAAGCTACACCGGCTCCGACAGAAACTGCGCCCGAACCTGCGCCCGAGAGCCCGGAACCCTCCAAGAGTCCGCAAGAATACGAAGAGGAAGCTGCACAACAGGGCGCTTTCAATGAAGAGACTGGCGAGATCAACTGGGACTGCCCTTGCCTAGGTGGCATGGCTCATGGCCCTTGTGGAGAGGAGTTCAAGGAGGCTTTCAGCTGTTTCGTTTTCTCCCAGGAGGAGCCCAAGGGAATGGACTGCATAGAGAAGTTCAAGTAAGTGACTCAATTCCTATATTTGCATCGGTTTTACGATGGCGAGCAGCAGTGCATTTATACTACCTTGAAGTTGCTGAGAAATGACCAAAGTCTTCACTTCAATATATCACTGAACTAACGATTTCACAAATTAGGGGCATGCAAGACTGCTTCCGCAAGTATCCCGAAGTTTACAGCGCTGAGCTTGAGGATGACGAGGAAGCACCGGCTCCTGCGCAAGAGGAGATTGACGCCAATGCTGGAGCCGTTGAATCTGGCGCTCTGCCAAATATCCCCCCGCCTTCTGCTGCGCCGCGTCTCGATGGTGTGCCCCCTCACCCTGAGGGTCGAGCTGAGAAGCTTGCCCATCTCGCTACCGGCTCCCAGCACGAGGTTACCCCTGACGAATTAAAGGAAGCAAGACGGGAGCGGTCGAAACATGCCGCTGAGCAGGTCAAGCGGGATCACGACGAGGCCATCGCGGAGCGCGGTGCCATCCCCACGGAGTGGCACGACATGCGATCCAGTAACGAGGGCAAATAATCTAGCCACTTTCGAATCGTGGTGAAAAGCTTTTCACTATATGGGCGTCCAAAGACAACACGAATCAGACGAAAACAGCATTGGTCACTCATGTATTATATGGTGTGCGGTATGTGTATGTTCTGCATAGATATACACTGAATCTCACATCTGGCGCAAGCCAATATAATGTATACTTATGTAGGGGCTCGGAGTGGAACACGTCGTTAACTCAAGCATTTGCAAGCGTACATAGTCGACAAAAGAAACCAGTAAATAATAAAACGCAACTCTCCAAAACGAACAATGCTCGCAAATATCAGCGATCTCGTTATCGATTCAAGAAGAATCGGCTTGGACGTCAGGCCATTGTCTCTTTTCGTTCTCGTGCTGCATCTGGGACGGGGGCGCTGTGGTATGGTGGAGCAACCCAGTACGTGAAGGCTTGTAAAAAGGAACCCCCAATCGGTCCAACCCACCATACCCATTGATCTATATCATGTGTCAGTAAAGGCCGCTTGAAAGAATCCTCTGAAAGCCAGACATGCAACGACGCTCGTTGCAGTATTTAATCGCTGGAAGACCAGACAGAATGCAAGAGTAAGAGATGAATTGGGCAGTGAAGGTGAATCATACTTGAAAAGTTTCCCCTCGCAATTGCAAAGGCAAAGCATCGGCCAGGGAACATGGACGCACCAGTGTATCCTGGAACGATGCCAGCACTAGCAAATGTTACAAGGCCTAGGACGCATCCGACGGCTAAGGGTCCGATATATGCTCCGTATAGACGGGCTTGCCTGGGGTCAAGACCCACACCAAACGAAAGAAAGCTAAGTAAAGCATTGATCAGCTGAAGGTCCAGTATCTGGATAAACCAGCAAAAGGATGTCTAGCAGCCACCGGAGAAGGTGATTGATGCATACAGCAGGGTAAAACTGGAAACGACTTCTATAAGAAGCGCTTGCCCGGAGGAGACAGTATTTGGGTCAATAAAGCACCCACCGCCATGGTATCTGATGACTTGTCAGAAGTAAAATTCTGTATTTTCCTTTGCTTTTAGTCGCAGTTTACTTCTCAATGCGAGCCTTTCCGTACGCCCCACGAAGCACACCACCGGCCAATGCAGCACCTGCAGTTTGCGCAGTCATATATAGTATAGCTATTCCCTTGCATTTAGCAATGTTCTCTGGAATATTCAAAGTCGGATGGAGTGACTCTAACCTCGAGAAAAGCCTGTGAAGCCGGTAAGAAGCGTTGCAAACGTAATGGTCTGATTGATATGGCCTCCAGAACCGGGGCCAGCTGCCATGATGAATAAGGCAAGGAGAAAGATATTAGAGATGCCAACAAATGGGGCAATTATCACAGTGTCAAAATTCGTCAATGTGGTATCGATCAACCCAGAAAGATAGATCAACAGTGTAGCGGCAATAAATTCTATAAACTGTTTTAATGTTAGCATTTTGAAAGTCCAGGGGCACGGTCGAGTCCAATCATACTGCGCCTTTCCATAATCCTGGACAGTCCCATCCGTCGAGTAAATAGGCATTCCATTGTGCAACTTGTCCTTTATTTGCTGGAACAATTTTTGGTTCATGCTGCGCGCCGAGTCCATTTCGAACAAACGAGCCTTTGAAGTTGGCGATATCACTTGGCACATCTACTTGGCCGTGGTCTGAGACATGTGAGTCTTCCGTGACTGCGTTTTTTTGCTCCATTGCAGATATATGCTTCTCTTTTTGCATTTCATGGGTCTTGTAACTAGGTTCATGTTCTTACAAAAATGTACATTTTTTTTTGGGATTATAGATATGAGGTGTTGAGAGCAGCTTATGAAGCTTGACATAATATGGTGGCTTGAAGCTAATGCCGTTCATGGTAAGGGGTACGGAATCAGTAATCATCTCCAAACAGAGCGTACTATTCGCCTTAGAGAGAAAGATAGTATCTGTCAAATTGCTTTGAACATGGACGCAATAGAAAACCTGTGTTGGGCATTGCATAGTGGTAAATCGTAGATGGCCATTTTTATTGAGTGGTCCATCACAGGCAAGCTTGAGGGAGTCTGGGATGATAAGGGGGAGGTTTGTGATTTCTCTCTTTCCGGTTGATATTGCAGCCCAAAAAATACCGTTACACACCAAAGTCAATGATCGCCATCGGATTTTTAAATTTTATGACAATTTCAATGGATTTATTTGGGATGATTTCGAGATTCCCATGGCCGAAAGTTGCCCTGACAGCGACGATCGTCATGGGCCCCCACTTTAGCGGTAACAGCTCTTTGGTATGACGTACCTGGTTTCGCGCAAAAACGGGGAATCCTAGCCGTCTAGGTTGCCGTAGCTCCAACCTCGGGCAATTTGCCCAGTTTCTCCCAAGACATATACCAAAGCCACTGCGCCCGTGATCTTTGACTTCTTCCATCCCATCGACCTCCCATCCCATCTTATTGCCAATTTCAAGCCCTTAGCTGAGGTGAGTCTCATAATTTAATTCCCGTTTGATTAGAACGCATTACTAAAGCCACTTAGCTATTTCCCCTCGTCTTCAGCCCAACTTCAAAAGATGTCTTACGCCGAAGCTGCTGCTCGTGGACCCAAGCAGTCCCCCGAAGAGGTACGTTGCTCTAGATCTGGAGGATATCTCCATTATCCTTGTGAGACTTATAAGGGTCATAAGCTAATAAGATATCCCAGGCGTAAGTTACCTTGGACATACTGCGTCCCTTCCAGCTGCGGGCACTCTCTTGTTGATGCCCGGAGTGGATTGATGCGCAGATTCTTTTTTTGGCATGTGAAAAGCTGACATCGTTTCAGACGCGCTCCCGCTCCTCCGCAGGTTGTGCACGATGAGGGCAGCGTGAGCTCTTTGATCGACGTCGACAGCCCGCACGTCTCGAGTGTGCCTTCGGACTATGAATCGCAGTCGGTGAAGACCGATACCCAGGCCCTGCGCATTGAGCACGAAGAGGAGGATAAGCAGCGTGAGGAGGAGCGCAAGAAGGCTGCTGCCAAAGCCAAGGCCCACAAGGGTGGTAAGAAGATCAAGGAAAACGTCGACAACCCCGTCGTCCTCGGCAACGCAGTCGCAGTTGTTGGTTTGGGAAGCGTGCTCGGTTGGGGCGCATACCGGAAATACATTGCTGGAGAGCTTTCGTGGAAGGTTGTCGGTGCTTGGGCTGGCATCGTTGGCCTCTTCGCTGCAGGCGACTACTACCTTAGCAAGTAAGTTTTTATTCCGCTTATCAAACATCTTTACGCTCTTGCTCACAGTCCTTGCAGGTATCTCTTCAGAAAGTACCCCACGAAATAAATTTGAGGGCTAGGATGGACTGTGTGGGTGCAGTGGGGTATTGACTCTCGGAGGCATCTTAAATTGGGTTATTTTTGTGAGCGTCAAAGCGCTCTGACTCTTGCACGCTTTTTCTTCTTGTGTGCTCTTGCTTTTGGTCTCTTCACTCTGAACGGCATAATACTCTCCAATCTCCTTTGTTTTATTTCAGCATCCGGTGTATTTTTGAGAAACAATGATACCATTTTCTTGTTCTATCCATTAGACCTTTTTCGCAAAGACGTGAAGTGTATACTGGAACAAAGCGTAGGCTATTCTATTCTCGATACATCTGCAATAGCGAGCTCATTCTCTCGTCTTGCTCATCTCTTGCTCTGATACATTGCTATTGTCCTAGATTGCAATAGTTGGAAGATACGTCTCAAAGAATACATAAAGCTTACCAAACCCCCTAGAGAATATTCATGCATGCTCAAGTTAAGTGCATTGTGATAGGGAAAGAAAAAACACTAGTATTAAGTAAAATACCTTGTATAGTACTAAGCCGAATACAAAAAAAGAAAAATTAAATAAATCTCACCTCTTATATATGACTTACTATATATTTTTTATAGCGACGAGTGACGTCTTTTCTCCATTTATTAAATACGCGGGACAAAGGAACAGGCAAACTTACATTCCTAATTCCTATAAAGAGCCCCTACTCCTCAAGCGCAGCAGTAATTTCTTTCTTGTCAGCAGATCCCATCATTATTAATCGTTTACCTTGATGCGGGACACGCAAGACACCATTGCCCCTGCGCGAATCGAGCTGGAACTCACCTGGCCCCGTCCAGCGTCCGCCCTGAGCATCGTAGAACTTCTCAAGATTGCCATTGTGGTTCTTGGCCTTGTCATTGGCATACGCATAACCCCAAATGTCAAAGATATTCAAATCCTTGGGTGGCTTTGACTTGACCGCCTGGACTTTACCCTTGTACTTGTCAGTCTTTTCGTAGATCTTTTCCTCTTCTTTCCTAAAGCACTCCTCGCACAGGGACGGCTTGTCGATCTTCACAACCCTAAAGTCTCCTTTGAAGAACCTGCAGAAGTTGTCAGTGCCGGCACGTTTGGAACATTGATGTTTGATGATAATGTCGCGCTGGTGGTTGCATTTAGCAAAAACTTGTTGTTCGCCTTTACACATCTTGATAGAGATTGGTTTATTAGCTTTTTGTATAACTATTGGGAAGAGGATTACCTGGTTTGGTTTATTTTGGCTATGTCTGGGTTGGAAACTGAAGGTGAGTTGTAGAGAGTAAGATGGGTTGAATAACGTGGAGTATCTTGAGCTTGGTTGATGTATGAGAAAATGGTGATGATGATCCGGTGTGGAATGGTGTATTTCTGGGGGAAAGATATGAAGCTTATATAGATGGAAATGTTTGATTTGTTCATTACGTATTTGCAGTATGTGTATGGATATGTTCAAAGAGATTAAAACAGGGAGACGTGTTGAACAAAAGAGGACAAGGATAAAGACAAAGACACAAAGGGGATGATATAGAACTGTTTGTTTGAAGTGTAGCAACAAAGTAGAAACAAAGACAAAACAATGGTGGATAGTATTGAAATGGTAAGAGAAACACCTGTTTATTGCTGATTTGCATTTTGAAGCTTAAATGCCATGGTGACAAAGAAAAAATAAAATGTTCCGCTCATTGTTGAATTTGAGTTCCTGTTAGACTCACTGTGAACGATACAACAACATTGTTACATTATTTCCAAGTTGCAATTTTTTGTTCATATCATAAAAAAAATGAAGAAAAGCAATAAAGACACATTGCAAAAAAATAAACAGTCACAGAAATTCAGAAGTTGCAGAGAGATCAGCATCCCGTATTACTTGATTCTCGGTGGCCGGAAAACACGAAGGCGGTGAGGAGTGGCCCCCTCTGACGTCCTTGAGGTCCCCTACTCCTAGCTGCGATCCCCTACCGAGAAACTAGTTAACGTTGGGCACAAGCCACAACAACTACAACAGCGCAACTGTGAGCCTAGCAGTGCAACCAGCCACGTGTAGTCAAGCTCCCTGGACAGAACAGAGCTTACTACGCCGCCAAATCAATCATATTCCGTTCCAGCAGTCTCCTGGGTATCCGGCACACGAACCAATTGAGTTGGATATATAACCATCAGCTGCTGTGTGCAGAGGAGGAGAACTAAGATTATCCCTTAAGACAAGCAACACTTGTTGTCGATATGGTGCGTTGAAATGCTCCATATTACAGCTGATACGAACGTTACTAACTAGTGTATGATATCAAATAGAATGCCCTATTTAACTCCGCGCTCAAACAGTCCTCTGCTGTGCGGAGAGACCTCGACGCCTTCGCTGAGGCGCAAGCTATCAACCCGGCATTGCAAGGCCAGATATCCGCATCCCTGACGTCGTTTTCCCGTACAGTAGATGATTATGCGTCCATGGCACAGGGGGAGCATGTCGAGGCAAAGAAAGAAAAGGCCGCAGAGCGAATAAAGAATTTCAGGTCGGAGGTGGCAGAGTACCGGACGCAATTTGATCGGCTGAAAGCGGAAAAGACAGAAATGGTACGCACGGAACCTTACACATGCCCCCTCTTTCATAACAGAAAAGAGACTTGCACGAAATCCTTGATAGTCTCCTGAGATTGTCCGTTTTCTAGCTGATGGAAAATGACTGACATGTAATCTGTAGCAAACGAGCATAAATCGCCAGGAATTACTCGGGCGACGTCCACACCAGGCTGCAACACCAGAGAACCCGTATGCCAATGTAAATCATCAAGCGTCTGCATTTCAACCATCATCCTCGTCGCCATATGCCGCCGGTTCTCCGTACGGTCTCTCCTCACCTGCGTATGCCACTCGCGAAGACCATGCGTTCCGAGAGCAGTCGTTCATGAGCAATACACATGCGCAGCTGGATGAATTTCTTGAACGAGGGCGCGCTGTCCTTGGCGATCTCGGCCAGCAAAGAGAGATGCTCAAGGGCACGCAGCGGAAATTGTACAGTGTAGCGAATACTCTCGGTCTGAGCGGAGACACTATCCGGATGGTAGAGCGACGGGCAAAACAAGACAAATGGATTTTCTGGCTGGGGGTTGTCATCTTCTTCCTCTTTTGCTACTTTGTGCTCAAATGGCTACGGTAGATGTCATATTTCGCTACTTGGGGCTGGTGTTTTCTTGACTGGACAGGGGCGTTTGGTGTTTAGGAATGGGTATTGTCCAACTGATTAAAGCATTTGGGAAAGATCTTCTTGTATTCATTATATCTGTTCTTGCATGCGCAATTATAGCAGCTAGCTAGTTCCAACTTAACGCGTATCAAATCATTATCAACCAATAATCACATATCCCTGCACGATTCTTTTCTTTATTTGGCGTAGATAGGACACTTCTACAGTCAATCTACTGCTTTTGCTTTTGAATTTCTTGCACATTTAGTTTCGCCCATTCTTCATAGGACGTGGCCTTCCGGCCAATGAGCCATTCCAGGACATTAGGATTGCCAGCCAACCGGTGTTCGTTGTAGTAGAGCAGCATCCTCTCCGTAGTATCACGCGTAATATAATCAACTGGGGCATTGCCAAAAAGGAGCTTAAGGAAGCTCTCAACCGATTCTTCGAAAGATGCCGTTCGAGCGATTTTGACCTCTTTGCCAATGACTTTGCTCAAGATCTTGCCGACTTCGGTGTACGACAATGGTGCCGTCGAGACGATTGGATATTGTGCGAGAAAATGCTTCTCCCGTTCGTCCAAAACTCGAACAACGGCTTCCGCGAGGTCCCGCAAAGCTATAAAGGAAAAAGTTGTTTCTGGGTTCCAATGGCACGTGTAAATCGGAGACTCTTGCGAAAGAAGCAGAGGCAGTGGCATCAGATCCATGAAATGGGTAGGCTGAAGGAACGTATAATCGATGCCGGACTCGATCAGGCGCTCTTCAATGTACCGCTTGCAGTCATGGTTCATCATCTTGCGGATCTGCGTGTTCAAAACAGATGTAAACACGAAATGCTTGAGAGTGCCCTCCTTGTAATACTTGGTTGCGCTGTCAATCATGTTATAGCCCATTTCCGTCTCTCGCGGATGGAATGGCGGCCCGACGTGAAACACAGCGGCAGCGCCATTGAGGATCTTGTCCGTCTCCGTGTAGAGAGCTAGATCGGCTCGCACAACCTCAGCATCGGGATAAGCCTTCTTCAGCCGTGACTGGGAGGATTCAGAGTTGACCACTAGACGAAGGCGTTTCCATCTTCCGGCAACCAAAGGCAGAACATGTGATGCCTGACGCCCGCTGGCGCAGGTGATGACAAGAAGATCATTCTGATAATCGACAGGCATGGCGGTTAGCAAGGTGATGGGAATGAGTTCAAAAGTCAAGGAAATTTGCTTGGTTGAATGAGGTGTCTAGAGACCAATTCAGACAGAGTGCTTAATATATTTGAGAATGTGTTACAGAGACATTAGGATTCTGTCTGGTATATTCAGGATATTTCTCGGAGATAGGTTGAAGTCCGGAGTTAAATACTAACGTCATAGAGCTCGGGCTCCGGAAGACGCGGATGCTGCAGTTGAAATCCTTCAAGGGATATTAGTGCAATGTACCGCGGTATCAGAATACAGTGTCAGTTTGCAAGAAGGGTACTTGATCTAAGTGGGCTCATACTGGCATGATCAGAGGAGCTGCCCAACCATCTGATGAATACTGAGATTTTGTGGCAGCATCTTTGGCAGTTTCGTGGCTAGGGCTTACTACTCCGCATGTTTATATTCAGGGACCCCAGGATCTATTAATTACCTGCCTACTTCGCACTTAGTATAACTAACTAGGGCGGGATTTCAAGTTACGTAACCCCTTTCAGTTAAAGTCGCGGGTAGAGATTATAACCAACCAATGCAAGCACAGTGATGGTCAGATGCAAAAGGGAAAAGCTACCGGAGTACGTACCGAATGGGGTGTGGAGAAGCTGTGACGGGGGAAATTTCGCTTAAAGGCCCACTACCGTTTGTAGCGGTGACGTACTACCCTCGTACGTTTGACTTGGTCGGAGCTCCGGCAGACAGACGTCGTGTTTGTCCTCTCTCATTGCCCGTATTGCTTCCTTTTCTCATTTGTGGGCGACCGTAGTTTCCCGTATCGGAAAGAGCTCGGTACGAAAGTGTTGGTCCGTTGCTGGGACGAAAGACCTTCCTCTCCTCCGACGTTGAAGCTTTCTTCCCATCTCTGATCAACCTCATCACATCGCATTGCATCTTGCGTTGCATTCCATTTAATTCCCCCATCACACCTCCTCTCCACTCCCGTCTTTTCTCTGCAATTGCCATCATGTTCGCCCCTCGTCAGGTGTTCGGCACTTTCCAGCGCCGGGGCTTCTCGGCTTCCGCCCGCCAGGTAAGATTAATCCAATTCGGCGGCAATTGGCCGACGCCTTCTTTGCCTCCAGAGGCCCAATTGGCTTCGGCTTCATGCTGCCAATGAAAGAGATATGCGCTGACAAGTGTTGTATAGGCCTCCAAGGTTGCCGTTCTCGGTGCCGCTGGTGGTATCGGCCAGCCGCTCTCTCTTCTGCTGAAGTTGAACCCCCGTGTCACTCAGCTCGCCCTTTACGATATCCGTGGTGGCCCTGGTATGACGAAAATATATTGTTTCCAATTGATTGAATGATTGCGATTCTCATTTTGGATATCCTTCAGGTGTCGCTGCTGATATCAGCCACGTCAACACCAAGAGCACGGTATGAGACAGCGCCAAATCGCTCCTGGACAAGGGAACAAACAAGGCTGATTTGGTCCAGGTTTCCGGCTATGACCCCACCCCCTCGGGCCTGAGAGAGGCTCTCAAGGGCTCTGAGCTTGTCCTCATTCCTGCCGGTGTCCCCCGCAAGCCTGGCATGACTCGTGATGGTTTGACACCCTCATCCACTCCCAGCGCCACAGCCGCTTCGGAGAACGTACCCAGGCGTTAATCATAATTCCAGACCTTTTCAACACCAACGCCTCGATTGTCCGCGACTTGGCCAAGGCTGCCGCTGAGGCTTCCCCTGATGCCAACATCCTCATCATTTCCAACCCCGTAGGTCGCCGGTTGTTCAGAAAATCCAACTGGACCGCCATCCCGTTAACGCTCCATTTATAGGTGAACTCGACTGTTCCCATCACCGCCGAGGTTTTCAAGGCCGCCGGTGTCTACAACCCCCGCAGACTCTTCGGTGTCACCACCCTTGACGTTGTCCGTGCTTCCCGTTTCCTCTCCCAGGTCAAGAACACCGACCCCGCCAACGAGAACGTTCCCGTCGTCGGTGGCCACTCTGGTGTCACCATTGTCCCTCTTCTCTCCCAGTCGAATGGTGCCGACCTCTCTGGTCAGACCTACGAGGACTACGTCAAGCGCGTGCAATTCGGTGGTGACGAGGTCGTCAAGGCCAAGGATGGCGCTGGATCCGCCACCCTCTCCATGGCCATGGCTGGTGCCCGTTTCGCCGAGAGCTTGCTGAAGGCTTCCCAGGGTGTCAAGGGTGTCATTGAGCCCACCTTTGTTGATAGCCCTCTGTACAAGGACCAGGGTGTGGACTACTTCGCCTCCAACGTTGAGCTCGGCCCCAACGGTGTTGAGAAGATCTACCCCGTCGGCAAGGTCACTGAGCACGAGCAGAAGCTCATTGACACCTGCTTGGTCGACTTGAAGAAGAACATCCAGAAGGGTAAGCAGAGTTCTATCTCCTATCAATCTGTCTTCTTGTGTACTAATTCTTTTTTCCCCCTTTAGGTGTCGACTTCGTCAAGCAGAACCCTTAAATGTATACCCCTCTGGAGCAGACGGAGAGGATAGGAATATAAGTAAATTGACCTTAGAGCAATGTGATGATCATAAGTCTATCTAGTAACGTGTAAACTTGATTGTGAAGAGCATCGTCATGTCGTGATCACAAAACACGTGGATGCGAGTGACCTGGAGATGAATTTTACCATTTAAAGCACTCCAATGACTTGTCTTTCTCCCTGAATTCTCAATGCGCGTCATGCAGCATGCCCACGTATTAGCGTAATATGACCGCTCTTTATCCGGTTGTCCCCCAATATTGTATAAATAAAAACTTTACTCGACGCCCAAGAGGTCACACATCATACCAGTACCAACATCAGCATCAATTGAATGCGTCAATCCCATGACTCGTCTTCAACCAAGGCAGTTGACTCCCGCCATGACTTTTGCCTCATGGATCATGGATCATGGATCCTGTCTATTCTGATCCGTTCTGTTCTTGATTCCGTTCTGTTTCTGTCGGGCAATCTCTGGCTCTACGTCATTAGATAGAACTCCCCCCCCCCCCCCCCCTTTTTCTTTTATTATTTTTATTTTTATTTTCATTTTCATTTCTTTTTTTGGGAGGAGGGAGGGGAAAAGGGGATATACAGCACATATGATCTGCATTACATATGCCGATATGCCGCCGTCAGGGCTATTGCTCTGAGCAAGGTACTTACAGCTGCTCATTTGTGTACGTCAGGAATAGACGACCAGAAGACCAGAGGACCAGAGGACCAGAGGACCAGAGGCGAGGAAGAGAGGAGGGAAGGCATGACCCAACACGGTGCTTTTAAGAATTGAGTGCATACACTTATGTTTGAACATGTTCGTGAGAAAGAATAGTTGTACATTTAATTATGAGAATTCCGGAACTACGAGAAGAGAGAAAGAAAAAATAAAATTAAATAAATAAATAAAATAAAATTTAAAATAAAGACAAAAGACCAAATATGTCACTCCGGTGATCATAGCGGTGGGAAAGTTAGTATCGCTGGTCGTCTGGTCGTCTGGGACTAGCTGGTAAAGCCAGATTTGGTAGGTACTCTTCACGGCATGCACATGTGCACACATATACCAAAAACAGAGAGAAAAAAAAAAAAGAAAGGGGAAAAGGAAGGGAGAAAAGAAAAAAGGTTGGCGTCAAGAGAGAGGTGCCTTTCCAATGGGGTAAAATGGGGTTCAGTCTATCGTACCTGCCGTTGAGAGTTGAAAAAATCAGATGTTTCGCGGCTTGCCCGATTTGGCGTTTCGCCTGTGCTCCTTCCGTATACTGAATTTGTCTGTTGCCAGATTGCCAATAATCTTGTTTTGGTCAAATGCGGTCTAGCTTGAAACTGCGTCGAAGGGGACCAGACTTTGATGAGCATTAAATGAAATGGTTTAGAGAGGAAGAAAATCGTGTAATAACAGGGAAAGAAAAGGGAAAAGAAAAGGGAAAAGGAAAAAAGACAGAGTTGCCCAATTCAGCGTGGTGTTGAGACCACATGACATACCAAAAAGCCAGTCAGTATGATGTGTAAAAGACTTTGCACTCACCACGTATTTTGGCGGTTTGGAAGTTCTGTTGGAAAAAGGTCTAGTAGATTATATCTCCAATGAAGACGAGGCTTACCAGACCGGATGTGTATATCTTCATCCAGAATAATGGCGGAATGGGACAGAAGAGGAGTAGAAAACGCCTTTTGCCTTCGTGATGCCACGTTGTGGACGCAAAGCCGCATATTGAGAGACTTACAACTATAAATATGACAACCTGCTCCCGTCCATCCCTTTCTCTTACTTTTTTATCAGAGAGTATTTAAAAAAGTGAACAATTTTAGTGGGTTTTTGTGGCTAAAGCGGCTTCAAGGATACAATTTAGATCAAAGGTTCCGGAGAGCATATTGTGCCAATGTCGTACTCCAAGATAAACAAGAAAGGATGTGGAATGTCGAGATTATTCAGGCAGACTCCACCGGCTGACCAAGACGAAGATGAACGTTTATTAGCGGATGATCTTGAGATGCTGCCAACATGGGAGGAATTAAACATCCAAAGATTGCAAACAAATAGACCAACCTTGGTACCCGCGCGAAGAAATGCCGCTTCCGCTATTGCACAACGACCGCAATCCGCTGAGGTTCGGCAAGCGTCAGATGTGGGAAGATGGACAAACGTATCATCATCATCTGCCGCTGCGGAAGAAGAATACTTCTTGGAAGAATTAGATGAAATAGATCTTTTGCCGACGTATGAGGAAGCGTGCTTTTCGAAGAAAGGAGAGAAGAAAGTAAACGTGACAGAGGTTCAGTCACAACGGTTGGGAGAGCATGAAGAGGGACCAGCCAAGTCCACAACCAGTTTCCCTATGGCCAGCCGTCGTAGTAACAACGGCATGGGGAACGTCGGCTCCTTGGACGGCCAAATAGATAGATACCGATCCACGGAACCACCCCGCTCCGGTGAGAATGATATCTGCCTGGAAATGATAACAGATACTGACTCTATTAGGATCCACGGAGAGACCGGCGCCGACTTCTGCCTCTCGACCAAACGGCGCCGGCGGCCGCGGTACTCCTGAGAGCTTGAGCGGGAACAGGGGACCTCTCACTGATCCTTACATGGATGAGTTGAGTTTGGAAGCGTATCTGGACCCGGGTCGCCACCCAAAAGACCTCCAGAATTTAGAGGCTCATTTTCGCTGGCTAAAGAGGGAACTCGAAAATTTTCTGGAGAAGAAATAATCGAAAAGTTACCCGGAAGTTGTATTGGACAATAGGAAGCAGATCTTTGAACATTGGGAATGTATGGCTCATTGGAATTGAAACAATATGCGATAAAAGAAAATCTGTACGAAAATGATATTGATTTTGGCTTCATGCGTTGTTCAGTGCTGTCGAGTGAGTGCTATTGTGCCGCGCAATACACGCTTTAGCAAAAGGGATATGCCTGCTCTTTCGAAATTGATTGGATGTGGTTCTCTGATACATGATCGCGTCAATCAGCGACCAATGTGCGTGAATGCTATACTGCACCTTGTCAGCTAGGATTGTTTCCTGAAAGTTTTCCCAGAGAGTTTCGTTCCCAGAAGTCCAGAGATCCTGGTTCGTTCAACCCCGCGACGAGGATCTTTGACCGATGCATTGTGCTGTACAAGAGCTTGCATTTTTGTTTGAGATAAATGCCGCTCTCGATAACCGCGGGTGTGAATCCTACTAGATGATTTGTCGACCATACCATTGGGCCTTTAAGCTCAAGATGCTGCATGTTGCAGCACTGTTCGGCGTTGAGCTCCGCTACTCCGACATAACGCGTCCAGTTGAGCGAATAGGAACCAATAACGTAAGAGCACTTAAACTTGACTCCTCCTTTCTCTGAAAGTCTATCGACCCTGAACCAAGCAGCCATCTACGTACGTAAGTAGGTAGGGATCTCCTAGATTGAAAGTGGCCGCATAGGAGTGACCTTGGCTCCCGGCTACGCCGCAGCCGCGCAGCGAGTAGGCCAAGCGGAGCTGCAGAGCTAAGCAAAAGCGCAACAAGCACGAGCACCAGACAAGTAGATCAGCGGGCGCTATCATACCATCAGTAATAGAGCAGAACGCTATAGCTAACGTAAGTCAGTTTTAAGTTTCTTTTGAGGCCGCTCGCACAGACAAGAGTCCCTGAACTAAACCCAGCCCATACGGAACTTGCTGCTTGATGCTCTTTAGGGTGTCCATGTTTTCATGCCGGACATGCCGAAAGGCACAATGATGAATAGCAAATATACTTTGAGGCAAGACGATTTTGACCGAATGATAAAATAAAATGGTAAGAGAACAGAGCGCAGTCGTAATTAAGCGACGTTATTAGTTGCTCACCACTGACTGCATTTGCCGGATGTAAAAGGATCGATCCTTGTCTGCTTACCTAGGTGTTTGTTCAAAGGCAGACCCAATTTTCAATTGTCAATTCTCGTAATTGACAAATATATAGGCGCCTTATCTAGCTCAGCAGCTTATGATACTATTATCATAGCATTTCAAGTGAATGATTACGCCGTAAGAACGTACAGCTGTGAAGAGGCTGGGTAGGAGATGTTGATCCCAAGGTTCTAAAGGTGGTGTCATGGTTTGCTAGGAAGGAGAAAAGATTATTGATTGCCGTAGAATAAATTAGAGGATGATGTTTCATTCGATGACAAGAGTCATGCTGGAACCTCGGCTTTCTCACCGAACCTCGACTGAGTCAAGCTTCTCTTTCCCACAATCAAGCAGCAATCAATTCAGTGGGGCCGTATTGCAGATGCCACGGCTGATCCCGACGCTCACTGGTCCTTGTCAGTGGTAGACAAAGCAAAAGGCAACAGCTCCCAGCATAGGGGCAAAGTTTGTCCTGACCCTGTCCAGGCCGTGCCCCTCTTCAGTATTTCTTTTTCTCCACGAGGCTTGCGGCGAAGATCAAGTTACATAGCGGGGAAAGGAAACAATTTCCCTCTGAAGCGAAGTAAAATTCGTGCTTTCCGGGAGTATCACGCGTATATTGTAAGGCACAGGGTACAGTCATTGGAACGGGCTTCTCCACATGTTGATATGCCAGGTCACTGGACGCCTGGCATAAGAAGGATGAGGAGGAGTACGAGGGAAGACGTGATCAAGGTATTGTGTCCAGAAGAGCGCCATCTGTGGGCGGCACATATACCTGAACAAGCGAGGCCAGATCGGAGATCGAGAGATTGATCGAGGCCTTTGCCAAAGTTTTCAAGAAGTATGCGATTGGGAAGGGAAGGGGGGGGAAACAGCATCAAGGATACATGTAGTGGAGCCGAGAATACAGGGACGAGTATTCTGCAATAGGAAATCGCGCATCTCGAGAACGGAGGATGAGGGGAAACAAAGGGCGTAGTAGGGTTTTGAGAGATACCCCAGCGCGGTCCAAATTGGTCGAAGAGGACCTAGTTGACACTGAACAAAAGACATTGTTCTCCGCGGCATGGCTCTCAAAGGGGCCGAAGAGAAGTTGAGTAAGTTTTGCCCGACATGAACCCCGGCCGGGAGAGAAAGGAGGATGGAAAGAAGAGGTTGGTCAGATGTCGTGTGGCTGAATGATTTCCTGGGGAGGGAAGATTCCATCTTGCGATTGGAGTTGAATTGAGCAACGATGTTCCAGGAAGGGGAGCCCGGAGGATGAACGAATTAAAAGCACAGAAAATCAACCGAAACAAAACCATGTATATTGTTGACTCAAGGGTGGGAACCACAATCAATGTCCTTATGAATTGTGGTTTAGGGCCCAGCACACCGGAATTTGGCAGTATCAAGTGACCACAGAACCATGGGCAGATGAGTGCGTGTCCTTGACCCAGTTGACCTGCCTAATCGGCGTGACTGCGCGCTTTGGTCCATCTACCGCACTATAACCTTTCGTCGTGCCCTGGACAGGCGGCTTGACCCCGACTCCTTTCCTGGACAGGCTTCACTTGACCAGGGGAAGTATTGAGCACATGCTGCTCCGATATGTGTCTCCCTTTGCGTGATGGTAGCGTCCAAGACCCGACAAGCAATATATTCTTCCCATAAAACGATTCCTAGACTGCCTAGGTTCGTATAAACGAAGAAAGAAGACTGGCGGATAGGCGTTACCATGCAGGGCGGATGTGCAGAAGCGCGAGAGTGAGAGACAGTCCAGTCTCCACTATCTTGTCCGTCGAGCGAATGATGATGAGCCTTAATCCTGCAGAACGCACCTTTGCACTAGTTGTGGTGATGGTTGAACTGGAGCAAGTCAATTGACGTGGGGCCCCAGTTAAGCTTTAGTGTCTCGGTCGCTACAGCACTCTTTCTGTCTTGGCACTGCGCTTCTTGAAAGGCCCCACCGCTCGTTGGCAGTCCCCTTTGGTATGACCAGTCAGTGAAAATAAATTGCCTGCATAAAATTATCTAATACACACTGTAAAAATTGCAGCAGCATGATTTTCACTGTAATGCTTCGTTTTCATAGTGCTGGATCCCTGCAGATCCTGATACACTACGTGTTGCTGTATATCCCGTTGTGTTCACTATAACTATTCCCCGAACGGGAGGGAGAGCGCCGAGATGGTTCAGGGACCAAAACAAGCCACCGACGCGGCAATGCGGCAAAGACGCATCTTCTCACGAATCAACGCAGCGGTATAAGGCACTCAGTGTATATCGCACATATTTTGTTTCGCCATAAAATCGCACGCATCCGGGTCGATTATACACAGTAAGCATAGCGTACACGGTGCATGTACGTACCATATATATTGCGGCTTTCGCTCCGGGGATACGTTTAGAGAACCCGTTCGGCCGACCCATTTTGCGGCCAACGAACAAGGAATAAATGGGAAAAGGAAAAGGGAAACGAAAAGGCAGCAGGCATAGCCGACAATGTCATTGGCACTGTACGTAATTGCACATGTACTGGGCGCTTCACGAGGCCAGTTTCAATCTCCAATCTCTGCCGTCCCCGCTCCCGACGCTCCATATCCCTGCTTTCGTACCGTGGTAGAGATGGATGACAAGTTCAACTCCCAGGCGGCCAGTTTCTCGGCCGTGTTTGCTCACCGAATCCCCCTCCTTCCCCTGCTCAATAAGCCCTGCAAACCTGCTCTCTTTTCGCAGTCTCCGAACATGTGGTCCCGCCGTTCCTTGTTGAGCTGGATCCAATAAGATATGGAGAATTGTGTCAAATTGTGAAAGTGGTCTTATGGAGCTGGGGGTGAACCGCCAAGCGCTGCCGGCCGCAACAACGAATGCTGCCTGCCCAGCTGGATGACGAGAGAAAGAGTATTATGCCGCTGCACAAAAATGGTCAGGATCAGCGATGCAGCCTGGTCTACGCTAGCCGCTGTTTACCTTGGTCCTCGCTCCGTTTTGGGTTGCAGTGTTTTGCTGCACAATCCATGGCATATTCCTCATGTGCATGTGTACAATGGTTCGATGGGCGCGACAAAGTTGATTGCTGCGTCTCAACGCTCGTTTTGAAAGGTGAACTAGGCGCTGCATCTTTCCATCGGCAAATTGAAAGGTATGGTGCTCTGCATTTGGGCTTTCGCCACGAAGCCACACAGATCAGGCTCTGAAGCTCGGGACAAGAAGTATGAGCAGAACAAGGGCCAGGACCAGGGGCATCAGAGCGAACAAGCTTCACAAAGAACCATGTTCTCCGATAAGCACCGCAGACCGTTGCGGCGTGGCGATTAAATCCTCCGGATGGGGGGTCGAGTATTTGCAGCCAGGCAGCCAACAGGCTGCGATGCAAGAGGGTACTTGTCGATGCCGTGTTACCAATCCCATCCGCCACGCTGCGCCAATGAGCTTTCCAAATTGCCGGCCGTTTGGTATTCATTCTGCATCCGCGCAGGCCTGCAGGCCTGACCTGATCACTATCAATGAGGTCCCGAAGGATATGAAGCCTGTCTCTCCTCATTCAACTGCCTGTTTCTGACACGCACTGCCTTCTGCCTCGAGAACGACTGCTAGACTTGAAAAGCCTCACAATACTGTCCTGCACTTGTTCTTTTCTAAACAAGCGTTTGTCATCATCTTTTGCACATTTCCAAAAATTGGCAGTCTTTCAATTACCTTTCTTCAATCGTTGACGACTGAAATCTTCACCGAAGAAGATAATCCCAATTCAACTTCTTTCATATCTCCTACACGATTTCCCACGGGACGCCCTTCTTCTATCGCTAGATAGGAAAACAACAAAGTCATGGCCAACGTGCAGTGTGCGACTCGGGACCAAGTACCGGGGGTGGAAAAGTCCGCTGTCTCAACGGCCTCGACAGTCACTAAATCTCCATCTCAGCGGAGCTCCAGCAATGGTAGCAAGAAGATTGTCAACTTTATTCGCGGCATCGGGAGAAGTTCATCAAAAGCTTCAAACAAGGATAAACACCCGGCCGAAGTGTCACCAACATTGACAGAAGCTTCCATGAACAGCTCAAGCACCGATAGCAACTCCACCAGTGGCAGCAACAAAAAGCTGCGTCGAAGCCGCGTTCTCAATGGGCCAGCCATAGTCGGTCGATCAGGCAGCTTTCAGTCGGCAAAGACGATAACCCACCCTTTGGATATAGTGCCGGCCAGTCAGACCGTCACACCTGAGCAGAGGCAGTATGCCACCTTTGCACAGTTTCCGCGCCGTCGACATGACGAGTCCGAAGAAGACAGCGAAGACGACTGGTACGAACGCAATCCCCGTGAGAGGGCGTGGATGGAAATGTGACGCCCCAATGATCCGCACGCAACGGTGTATGAGCAACGCATTATTCCCCCCTAAGGCCTTAATCCCTTTAGCTTCCAACGCACCTTTTCCCAAGTTATTCGGAACGTTCTGAATGAGCTTCCAAGTTAGTCGTTTTCGAACACAGTTGCAAACTTTCATGGTAGAGGCGTTAGGGTTTGCACTTGAACACGACTAGCTGAATCAGGTCCTGCTCCATGATGCCTACGCTTCCATAGGTAGACACTTATTCCTCGCTCAAAGTTTGAGACAAGAGCTGGCCGATGGAGGTACCTTGCCTCGAACGAGTTGATACCAAGCACCAATGATGGCTGGTTTGATTACTTTATATCCCTGGTCACGCAGACTTGGGTGAGCCAGGACGTATCAGCAACCCAACCTCTACTCCGCCATCAAAAGCTGCGATGTAATCGTTGCTTTCGGACCTCTAGCACGCTCGAATTGCGCTATCAGCTGTCACGCTACCTGTTATAAATTAGTATCAAGCCATCGTCATCAAGGAGACATCTGCTGCGGGTTACCTACTTCTTCGCTTTTTGCTTCTTTCCTTTTCTTCATTGCTCCATTTTAAATCATTCTGGCGGTTCCTTGTGTTATACCATTTTGTTTAATAGATTCCATCTGGGTAGGCAAATAAAAAAGATGTGCCTTCAACTCTCAAGCCCGCCCACCATATCAACACTTTCATCGTGTTTGTCAGTAGATGGCTTTCTTAAAGTGCTTTGAGGTGTTGCAAGATGCCGCGAGGTGTAAAAGCTGTCGAAGTTGTCCAAGGTTTCGCCCACGCCCAAAGTGCCGAAAAAAGTTAAAAGTATTGATCGTGATGGCCGTATGTTGTATGTTGTATGCTGTATGCTGTATGCTGTATTAAATGAGCAACCAACAGTACGAAACCAAGCCCGAAACCGACACTTTCATCCATCAATGTGATATTCTCAGGGCGGCACAACTAGGCGTTATTATATATTGCTATGCCAACCCACATCTACACCATCTACACAATCTACACAATCTACGCCATACACATACACATGTACATGCAAATTACCACGAGTAGAGCTGCAAGCCACCAGCCACCGTCCAAATGCACAAATGGACGTTGGACTTATGGTCTCATTGATGCCAAGCGTATCGTATTTTACATAAGGCATACAAGACCAAAAAGCAGGCTGGACTTCATATTACAATGATGCTGTTTTGACAGAGAGAGAGAGAGAGAGAGAGAGAGAGAGAGAGAGAGAGAGAGAGGAGTAGAGGAAGTGGTACCAACAGACCGTTGATGCAATGCTCGGATTAAAAGAAGAAGAAGACAAAGGAAGATAAATAAGCAGCACTGTAGTAAAAAATACTTTTATGTTGTTGTTTGTGCGTCACTTTCAGTAACCGCCAATGATAAGGTAGGTAGGTAATGAGCTTGCACAATGAGCATAATAGTATTGTACATTGTGCGAATGACCTGCATACATACGGTATATTACATACATGAGACATTGTGTGAGAAGATAAGAGACTTATGATGATGCATGAATCAATAAGGGGGAAAGCGTCCTCCCCCTGGCCCCACCAAAAAAATATAATGAAATGAGATAGAATAGAATAGGATAGAATCAATAAGATAAATAGAAAAAAATAGAAATAGTAATGACAGACAAGAGATAGAAAAATAGCTATAATATTGTATTTCGAGACAAATAACACACATATCACACCTTTCGATACGATAATACGATACGATACAATACAATACATTGTGAGCCTAATCGCGAATTAAGATACCGACATCGATCAAGCTCGCTGCTCGCTGGTTGCCGCTTTGCCGCGCGTCGCGAGTTCATAAAACGATAAATTGGCCGCAAGCCCAGAAGTCAAAGAGGAGAAATCAAACGTCACGCCATAAAAGAAACATTAGGGCATATAAAGAGGAAAGGAGAAAAAGAATGAGGACAGAAAAGGGAAAAGGGATGAGAATCAAATGACAAAAAAACGCCGAGCGCTATGCTACCGTATAGGCCCAAGCCAAGCTCCGAGGGTAAAAACGACCCATTCAGCCAAGTCTAAGGGGAGTATTACCCCCTGAGATACGATAGATCGACAGAAACGATAATGCAAAGAGGATGAAATTAGAAAGCCAAAAAGACCGTGACACAAAACACCAGAGTAGCCCGTTACCGTATACAGGATTTCCAAGAACCAGAAAAACCCTGGGAAGAATGGGAGACTAAAATACTTGAGATATATAATCGTCACAAGATCTAACGGAATTGGGGGGCCTGAGGGATAAAGCAGAGATGCAAATGACCATATGGGGAGTGAGAAAAATCAAGGAAGGAGCCCCCGGTAATGTCAGCCATGAGGAAGCGATGCCGTGTAAAAAGTATCCTCCGAAAAGTTTAATGGAAAATAATAAAGTGGTGGTGTCAGAGACTGCGTTGTGTAGCTGTCGTGTAGCTGTCGTGCCTGCTGTCGGGCTCGGGTCGTGTAACCAAGGGCATCAAAACGAGCCGAAAGCACCGATCCATGGGTTGATGGGCAGAAAAGGAAAGCTAGAGAGATACCTGGAGAAAGTAGTGTGGAGGGCTATGTCGCGCCTTTCCCAAAAAGGAGTTAGCGCGGGGGCGTGTCGCGCATGACCTTACCCCCGTCTTCCTGTCATTCCTTTCCAAATCCGTAAGATGTTGTGCTCAATCAAGAGCAAACGACCCTTGTGTGTGGAATTTTTCATGGCCGCGGTGCGCGATGATAACTCTCACCGCCACCAAGATCGGAAGACGACGCTCCCACTGCTGTGGCAATGTTCCCAGGCTGCTGGAAGCTGACAGCATGAGCAGTCGTGTCGGCTTCTGGAGGAGCTGCCACGGGATGGTTATTGTCAATATATGTCGCAAAGTCCCAGGAACCCCTGCCGCTGCCCGCGACACTCGGTAGTCCGGATGTAGGTTGCCGATGTGTGAGCTGCACGTGTGATGGCTGCTGTGGCTGCCAATGATGTTGTGGTTGATGTGGTTGATGGTGATGATGATGCTGAGGATCTTGAGTTGACCCTAATGTGGGAATAGACAATCGAAGTTCCGATGGTCCTGGAGGTGACCGAAGACCTCCAACCGCTGCCATTCGTAAATTGGGCGAACGTACAGTTGATGTCATGCCGGTAGTGTAAACTGACGAGGTGATCGACTCAGTAGTGGAACGGGGCGATGCTGTCGCATGGTGTTCAGTACCTGTCTCGGACGGCACCCCGCTAGCATATCCCGTAGAGCTCACAGGAGTCAGAAGAGCGCCAGCGGTCGAGGAATAGCTTGCCGACTGTGTACAAACTCAATCAGAGATTGTTCTCTGGCTGCGGAGGGAAAAGATGAAAAAGGAGATGGCGGACTTACATATTTGCCAATAATTTTCTTCAAGGCATGAGACAAGATTTTCCATGGAAAGACCTTTACATCCTTCTCAATATTCCTTGGTTTCGGGTTTGGAAATCCCATAATGACTTTGAAAAATTCTTCGCTGTCGGGCTTGGCTTTGGAGACTGTCAGTGGCCGGAACCCTTCCAAGTTTCTGCGAATCCTGTTCTTCTCCTCCACAGTAAAGCGAACAGCAACCAAGGACTCTAGCAAATAGATGGTATCGACACTGGTAACAAAGCATTCCTGCTTCTCCTCCCACCAAATGCAGCTTATGCAGATGCTGTTAGGCGTTCGATCTTCAAGCGTTACAGGCTGAAACGACGTCTGAATGGTTGAGCCAGTTTGTTTGCGTGTAAATTGAACTAGTCGCCTCTTCGCATCCCATTCGGTGCGACTCCATCCCTCGGCCATGGCATCAAGATCGCCTTCAATCTTCAAAACGGCCTTGTGAGGATAAATCGCATAAGGGTTGAATGCTTGACTCCCTTGGCTTACACCAGCTGGCGTAGTCGCAGGGCTAGGAGAATGTTGAATGGTTGAGGTCCGAATCAGAGGTGGGTTGGCCATGCTTGAAGGAGACGAGATCCGCTGCAACCGACTTGCGTTTGAGTCGGGTATTTGCCTTGGACTTCGGCTCAACGCGCTGTAAGCCGAGTAGGGACTCCAGGCGGGGGAGTTTGGTGCAGCTACTTTGGTCGTCGGGTTTACATTTGGTCCAGAAGCATACTGATACTGGTATTGTCGCGGAGATATTTGTGGTTGATAGTTTGAGGGCCCCAGCGACCTGTCGTAGCCGGTAGAGTAGGAGTAGGCGGTACTAGCGACAGGAGGTTGAAGATATGGCGAATACGGCGATCCAGTTGGTTGCATATAAGAATAGCTACCGAAATCGTCGCCGACTTTGTTGCGCAGCTGCTGACCGGAGGATCGCTTGGCCGGTGTTCGCGCAGCGTCCACTGAACCAACAGAGCCTTTTCTCTTCCGCGAACTCTCTTGAGGCGAGTTGTACGCGGCTTGATAAGTTCCGTCAGTATATGTAAAATTTCCGACTTCCACAACGCCTACGTCTTGGCTGGAACCGTCCTCGACCCTCAAGGAGACACCAACCAGCGGTTCAAGCCAACCAGTGGAGGAAAGCGGCGGAACTGTAGCGGTCAATGTGTAGAATCCGTACTGACTGCGAGGATCAGCCTGATCCATCGGCGTTACCATAGCTGCACATTGCTTGGAACCAAACATCAGTGACAAAGACAAATGCGATTCAGACGTGATATCATAGACTGTTCGAATATACACGTAAATTTTCGCTCCTGCTGAGCCCTTGGATGGACTGTAAGAGGTCACCTCGGGGAGCGGCCGTGCAGATAGGTCAAGCAGTGACTGGGAGGGCTCGCCATAAGCAGCTGGGGCATGATATTGTGATGTAGTCACGAGCGATAACGGTCCTGGGTTGCTACCATGTGGTAGTCCGGCCTGCGGACCAGCATACTGAGAAGGAAAGGGAGGCTGAGTAGAGGCATAAACATGCTCCTGAAGTGCGCGAGGCGCGTTGTATTCTGAAGGGAGCCTGTTAGCCTAGCGATCGCCTCACGTGTGCGCTACCGGGTGTGGCTGGTGGGAGGGTAGCAGTTGCAAAGTAGGTCAGATGAACGTAACTTACCGTACAGATGAGGTGCGGACTTCTCGTAATTCGACATTGACAGAAGTGCGGCCGGAAAATCTCCCCTGGCCAATAGGCCCTCTTCTTCCTGACCTTGGTAGTGTAGAGTTTCTGCGAGTTCACTGTGTTCGTCCAGAATTAAAGGGATCCCGGGGTCTTCGTTCGGCTGCGCCATGCGAATGATCCGCTATCAGTAGGCTGGTCGAGAAAACCTAGCTCAGGAGAAAACAGCGGAGGGACGGGAAGAATAGCGATTTCTCCCAGAGGAGAATAAACAGACGAACGGCTGAGGGGCGAGGGGCGAGAGACGGAGCCAGGTTGGAAAAATGATGACGAACAGGAGTACTCGCGATGCTCAACGCAATGCGCTTGAATGACCGGAAACCAAATGGTAGCTAAGTATTTTGCGAAGAATGATCCCTGGGCGTGACGATTCTTTCCCAGCAGACTCACAATGGTGCCCAGCGATGGCTACATCCAGTGTCGTATTGCTTGCAGCGAAAGACGCAAAGAGTTTCGGCGCAAGAGCAATAGAGGTAAAATAAAAAAAATAATAATAATCCAAAAGTGATGTAGGTAGCTATGAAATGATATACCTAAAATATCCCGCCGAGTCTGCGAATGACCAAATAGTCGAAACTGGCGAAGGCTTAAAAACACGAGCCAGGGTCCTCTGAAGAGGACTACAGAGATCCTAGGAATGCCACTAACGGTAAAGCTGCCGCAGCCTAATTGGGTCGAGTCTCGGGAACCGGACGCACCCAAAACGACGGCGATCCAGGGTAGTTCTATTGGAAAGCCTGGCGCCTCAATGAGTATCACGGCCACAGGGCGATGGTGCCGCCTGCATGCATGAGCATGAACTGGGAAACTAGCATACCTGGGACAAAGAGAGATATAACAGAATTCGGGACGGTGGCTTCTCCGCTGCAGCACACGCCGAGAAGGGGAGCACGATGATCCGGGCTAAATGCCTAAGGAACCTAGAACAGAGGCCTGGTGGGTTAACGTAGGTTCGCATGATATGATGACGATGAAGCAAATAGTTCTAGTGGTACACCACGACGACTTTTGGGTCTTCGACGCAAGGGATGCAAGGGGTACTTCAAAGATGGTGGGGCCACAGACCTCCTGCTGACCTTGGGGTCAGTAAGCTGAAGGGCTCCAAAGACGTGGTAAAGTAGTTACTGCAAATCGAAAGTGATGGTCAAACCTCCAGCAAAGCCCCCTAAATGCTGCGGACAGTCATCACTGACTTGCAGTGACCGTGGGCGGAACAGGCCCGCGAGGGCTCTATGATCGACGCTGGAAAAGCCGATGCGAGACCTTGATACCCGGGTCGGCAGTTCAGGTTTATCAGGCTTGGCGTCGATACGCTGGTAAAGTGAAAAGAAGACCTCAACCCTGCGCTCTTCTACTTGCAGTGGTCAAGGAGTGGACGGGTGCTTGGACGAGTTCAAGCAGCCACACTCTATCTACCCGTCAACGCCAACTTACCAGGCCACAGGCTGACCGGGATGAGTAGACTAACAAATGAAATCCAAGTAAAGGACAAGCCCAATTTTGGCTTCAACCAAGTTCGGCTATGCGCAAAGAGAAAATAACCGGAAAAAGAGAGGATGAAATAATGGAGGGAGAGCTCGGAGTGGGATAATAATCAATGATCAACCAGACCCGTGGGTCAAGTCTATGGGATAAATGGAATGGTACATGATCGAAAAAGGCAGAGCACCCAAAAAATTCAGATTATATCTGAATCGTCATAATGTATGTAATCCGACCCTCGGTCGGATTTAATTCGCATACAGTAGAATCTGGAGCAGGAGGCCATTTGGCCCGCTGTGAAGCGATCATGGCCCAGTCATTATGCGCAGGCGATGCTTCATGATGTGACTGGTGCAAAAAAAGCTGTAATGGGCTGCCTGCTGCTCAGCCCCGGCCCGTCCGTCGGCGCGGCGGCGGCGGCAGGAGCAGCTGTAGCATGAGCATGAGGAATAACTTTTCTGGAGAAGGAGCGGAAGTAGCGGGCAAAGCTTGCACCTAGCAAGCAGGCATAGGGGCTTTTCCACCGATCTAGTGATGAAAGATGGTTGCTGATCCGGTCATGAGCTCCCCGGTGCACGACGTAAAACCGCTGTTTGGGAGAGCCCGGCACTACCCTAAATTTAGGAAATCGCGCATGCAATCCCCAGCACCCTTGCACTCGGACCCCCCGGTCGAGACGAACTTTAACTTGGTTAAATGCTGAGCTTCTAGTTTGAACTGAGCGCAACCATCTTCGTCACCTCTCTCCCGAAATTCAGCAGTAGTATCGGAGTATGGACAAAGGACGAAAGTAAAGGTGAGACTCATAGCTCATGCAAATCTTCAGCATCCGCTCGTGCACTTCTGTTCAGGATGCATACCCTTTGCTGCCTATGTTGCGTTTGCGCGGGTAGTCCACCTGTCCGTTGCAGGGCTGCGTAATTTGTGTCTTAACATTTGTTTGTTTCTCTGACTGCACGCGTAGTTTTGCGTCCTTCTTCACGTTGAAATGATGACGGTGTCCGGACCATGTACAGTATTCGTCGGATCCTCTCGGGCACCATATCTTCTCAACGGCAAACGGAGGCCGCGCAATTAATGCATTGATAAATGGATGATCCAAGGCCAGAATGGCCGGCTATTCGCCCATCTTACCCATCGAGGCTTCGGCAGTGACTGCCTGCTCGGGTTCCAGGAAGCTGCGTTTGTCGACGTCGGCTTTGCCACGACCCGGGTCCACGGCACCTGTCGAGGAAGCTAATTGACAGTTTCCCCACAAGAACGGCAGATTTCGACCAAAGTCGGATAGGGAGAGTAGTGGTTTTGGGCCCTTACTTCTCTGTGCGGCCATCGCAAAAAAAAAAAAGAAGTAGGGCCCGACAAATAAAAATAATCAGGTAAGTGATTCGAATCCGACATACTTTTTATTCTTTCGACTGCGGCGTCCCCGCGCTCGTGGTCTTCGCAGTCGCCGGGCGCTTTCTGTCTCCTGCCTGCTGCTTCTGCGAGCGCTCTCGAGTTGGGATTAGTCGGCAGCTTATCCTGTCCCCAGAAGGGACAATGTGAGGCTGTGTTCACGTCCAGGAGAGCATGCATGCTTGCTTGCTTTTTGTTTTGGCTACCTACAAACAGTATAGCTCTCTGCCTAGTCGTTAGCTGTGACATCTTGCCATCAAAACACTTCTGGAGACGACAGCAAATGAGCTGGGGAAAGCCTTTCGCTTCCCTCTCGGATCGTGACGCCACCGGGACATTTGTTCTTTTCGGGGTCCCAGTAATGAGGACCCTGCCAGATGCCGATAGGTTCATAACATATGCAAATTTGGTGCCTTGCACTTTCGACCAGTTAACCCGTCATACAATCTCGCCTGTTTCTTCTCTCGTTTTTCTTAAAACTCCCCCTTCCCGTAATAATGCCTTAATGCCGCGTATTTGCTCGTCGAGACTCGAACGGTTGTGTCATGTTTTGTTTGTTCACTTCGGCTTTGCAGATCAAGCGCTGTTATTGTCCTTTGCAGTACTTTCGACAAGCCGCTGCATATCAGGTCACGGGTCGTTCATTTTGTTATTATTATCATTACTACTGTAAGCCCTCGATGCAGCAAGCGGCTGATTGCTGCAAGCTAAAATACAAGTATAACTAATAAAGGCCCCCCCACGCGGATGTGTCGTTTGCACGCGCATCTCTCCGAGCAGTCGGTATACGAGAGGCATAATTTGATAAAGTTTGCATGTTAGAAGATCTGCTGATTCGAGAACGCGCTCTTACCTCGCGACAGATCAATTTCCCAGGAGAAGCCCCTCACTGTGCCTGTGCAACAGTTGGGCAGGATGGAATTGCATGAGCCCAGCTTAGCTCATCGTGTTGGGCTACCTTATCGCCCAATTCAAGCAAATCATATCAAAATTTACTGGTGTGCGACAGAGCCGTAAAGGAATATGCTTAACGAATGCGTGGGCTTCCTCTTTTTTGCCCTTGTTGGCTTCGGCAAGTCCTCTCACTATCCCCAATGCGCGGAATTGCTACCCTTTGATCTCGAGCCTACAAAGCACGCTCGGGTTTCAGTACGGTGAAATTAGCTCCATGCTCAACGCTTCCTTTACGTTTAGGATTTGCAGAGCTAGTGGCCAGTCAAAACAGCCACTCTGTATGTGGCCGGTCATCAGATCGACGGCCTTCCCGTTCTGATGTCGTTCGCAGGAACTGTTGGTCTGTGGTCTAGATTATCCTCATTCAGCAAATTTTCTGCCATGTTGGGAAAGAGTGATCTGCCGCAGGCATGATAGAACTGATCCCTTACTTGCGAATGAGGCCCAATTACGGCAGTCATCAACGGTGAGACCTGCTTTCACTTTGCGACGCACTATCGCGAACACTGTCTGAGACTCCCCAGTGGTTCGTCCCATCCTGGAGTTCTTTGTTTGAAAAACATCTGAAGTAGTAGTCAGCAATCGTTTCTTCATTTGGCGCGCTACCTCCAACCAAAGGTGGGTCTTCGATCGTCCTGGTAACCTATGGTCTTTTCGGGAAAAGGACAGCCCCTATTTTTGATCTCAGTTCATCAGACTGTAGCATATTTGATAGAACAGCTTGACCGCACAGTTGTAAGCTGCTCAATTGATGAATAATTTTCTTCAATGCAAGACCACTGCAGTTAGCCATAAGGAAGAGCCTGTGGGAAGACTATACCCTATACAGTATCTAGGCATCGGACACGGTCGAATTCTCGTTGACGAGCAGAAGGACGTTACTCAAAAAATCACGATGTCTGAGACCAGCTCAGTTTCCGCCTGAAGATCTAGCGATCTCCGTTCCCACGCAAAGGTCTATTTGCCACGTTCAGTTCGCAGAAGAGTTGATTCACCTGCACTGTAGGTTTTCGCCACGATTACCATCCCTTCTCTTTGTAAGGAAAAAAAGCAGCCACTCTCATCACTGGATCACAAAAGCCTGGACGGTTGTAAAGACATGTATCTGCATTCTTCTCTCGCAATAGACAGCATCCCAGAAATTTCTTTTGGTATTATAGATGTGATATATGCACGTAAGATCAGATTCTGTGTCGCCGAATATCATCTCCTTTCGTATTCCAATTAGTACTGAACAAGTAAAAGCGTGTCAGGTGTTGCACTCACAGTCGACTGCCCTTCTCAGGAAATGCTTCTGGGTTTATATCGACCACTAGCTTTCCGAATTGAGCACCAGTCTTCATTTCGTCGAAAAGCCCCTCGATCTGCTCAATATTAAGCCCTTTTACAGTGCGAGAGATAACGGGAACGATTTGCTTTGCCTTGATAAAGGATATCATATCTCGAAATTCGCTGCGAGAGCCCATGGTTGATCCACGAATCTCAATGTTTTTCAGAACTGCTTGCATCGGAAAAGAAACCTTGGGGCCAAGCGTCATTCCATAGCTCACGATAATCCCTCCGGACTGTACACAAATTCTCGTAAGTATTCCGAAGTCTCGCATTTTGCTAAAATCTTTTGGAATACACAGACCTTTAAAAATTTGGCACCTTTTTCGACTATGTCACCGCCTGCTCCGTCGATGATGGCATCAATCCATTTTCTCTCGCCAGGCAGCTGATCTAATAGCATTTTATTCCAATCCTCGTTTTTGTAGATTACGCCTCCTTTGGCCCCTAGGTGCTTCGCTTTGCTTAACTTTTCTTCACTGCCGCTCGTCACAAAAACATTGCAGCCGGCCGCTGTCGCAAATAACAAGGCCATTAGAGCAACACCACCTCCAATGCCAGTGACAAGGATATTCCGTCCTGGTTTGGCATTTTCACTCTTCGTGAACACAGCTCGCCATGCTGTTAATCCAGTTAAGGGTAATGCTGCGCTTTGTATCGCGCTTAGATGCTGAGGTGCTTCCTCAATTTCCCGATGATCAATACACAGAAATTGCTGAAGAGTACCTAGTGGTGTCGCCTTGGTTCCTCCAAGGATCTTGTAACCTGTTGGACTTTCTGGCCCTTCAGGCGCACTTTCCCATCCAAGTCCGGGATTGACTACAATACACTTGTGAAGCCATCTCTGAGCTTCTGCGGAGCTACCTGCGCGAATCACCTCTCCGCACCCATCTGAAAATAATGGGACTTCAAAAGTTGTCCCAGGGTACAAGTGTTGACGGATGAAAAGGTCCCGATGATTCAGTGCGGCCGCACTTAATTGAACAACAACCTCTGTCGCATTTGGCTCGACTTCAGGGACTTCAGTAAGTTGCAGGCTGCAGATATTCGACTAGTTAGTAATCTCGGAAACTAGGGAACCCTTGCACGGATAGCATGGAACTTTGAAAGCCTTACGGGTAATAGACTTGCCCAGGCTTTCCTGGGATTTGCTTGATGGTCACGGCTTGCGGCATGATAATGTAATGTTTCTCTTGATGAATTGGAATTTAGTCCTCGATTGTGATGCTCGGGAAGAGGGGCGACTAAGGGCAATTTAGCTTACTCGTAGTAATCAACTAGATAGAGATAAAGTCAGGGTTCGGGGGCATGCCCACTACCTTAGTCTCCACAGCCGAACCCCGCGCGATGCCACCAGCAGGTATACCGAGCAGCGGGCCGCACCGACCAGAATTGCGCAGTTCACTACCAGCTTTCTCCAGCAATAATGTGTCAACTTGACTTTTTCCGCATTAAACATTTTTTCGGCATGTTTGCCTGGCTATAAAAATTTAAACACTAATCGCTACTGTAGAACGAATTGCAAAATCAGAAATACTTTTATGAAGGGTATCTTTTCCAAACTTTGATGCAGATTCTCGCAAGAATGATAATGTCCAATCCATCATATACTAGAAAAATCGTTGTAATATACTTTCTCAATACCATGTGCAAGATCATTGAATTCGTTCCAATGCCTCTTCTATGACCCTTTTCCAGTTCATTTCACGTATGTATAGGTACTCAACGATAACCATGCTTAAAAGGGAAGGTTAGTCAATCGGGTTCCTGCAGAAAGCGGAGGGGCGCTCTTACAATGCATAAGCAACGGAAAATCCAAGCCACAAGCCTTGAAGATTCAAATTTGAACCAAATCCCAAGCCAAAAGCAATAGGCAAGCAAATCTGATAAAGCATTTTTAGCCTTTTTCTGGTCCAGAATCGTCAAATATACACCGGAACACGCGTAACTAACCATATAATATGCAATCAGAGTTAGAATACCGCTCACATGCTGCCTTCCCGCTGCACGCATCACCCCATTGCACGTGGTGACAAATGCATCTCCGATCATGTTGATGCCGCAAATCGGAAGTATATTGGCCGCCAGCTGAATAACCGTTTCATCATCGGTAAGCATCCGAGGTATCTGACGACGAAATATTGTGACTAAGAGACAGATAATCGTTCCTGCAACAAGGGAAGCTACAAGAGCAACTTTGCTCGCCAACTTCGCACTTTCAGGCAACCCGGAGCCGACAAGATTCGCTGTTCTTGTCGTTCCCACGATAGCAAGGCAGAAGGCGCCCTGAAAACAGATCGAGTATGCCGTGCTGACAATAGATTGCGCAGCAAGATGGTCTGGAGAAAATCGACTTGATAACAATGTGACGAAGAGATAGACAAACCATTCGCCAAGCATCGTTACAAGTCCTGGAAGACTAAGCTTGACCATTGGGCCCCACTTGTGAAAGGCAGAACGGTCAAACCCACCCCAGCACTCTCGTCCTTTAATAAAAATCACATAAAGGAGCAGGCATAATGGAAGCATAGTTTGAGTGGCGACAATCGCGAGAGGTGCTCCAAGAAAGCCCCATTTGAATTTCTGCAGTCATATTTACCGTTAGTATAGTCAATAATATCTTGCAAGATGAGAGGGAAAAGTGGCCTTACCCACACAAATAACCAGCTTAACATGCCATTTAGCGGAGCACAGATGACAAGAACATAGAACATTGCCGAGAATAAGCCCTGCGCCTGGAGAAATCTTTTTCCCGCTTCAAAGAGGGCAAAAAAAGGTGCGCCAATGGCCAGGATTCTGAGATATTTGTTGGTGAGTTGTACCTGTTCTGGATCAGGCACGATTGTGGCAAGGAAAGGCGAACTAAAGGTCCAGAGGGCGACGATTGGAATAGTGGCCAGTAACAAGAAACATATCATACGCTGCATGTGCAGGCCAACGATCGTCTTTCGACCTGATCCGTACGCTTGAGAGCAGAGAGTGTCCAGTCCCGTGGCTAGGCCCTGATAAACGACATATCCTGTAACAGTTGCCACACTATTTCCTAAACTCGCAGCTCCCAGCTCTAATGTCCCCAGCCGGCTGACAGTAAATAGGCTGGATGCCATGAGCGAAAATTGTAGTAGCCCGGTGAGAATTAGAGGTCTCGCGTGCATGGCCAGAAATTGAGCCTCAATCCTCCATGTCGTTGATGTCGTCCCTGCCACAATTTCTGCCTCGACTGGATTTTCTGCGTGGGTTATTTTCACACTTCCGTATGACACGGAAGGAACTTTTATCAGTGAGGAGTCTTCGAATTTGTTTTCTGCTTCGGAAATTGGCATAAGATCTTCAATTCTCAAGTTGTCGGACGTATTATTTCCCCGCTTAGGATTACGGTCGTCGTACATCAGTATAGACCGGTCTGATCGCATATGAGCAACATCATCGGTATTCCCATCATTCTTTGCTGTTTGAAATTGCGGAAACTTATTGAATACCGAATCCGAGACTGGTGGGCTTGCCATTCCAAACCCAAACGCGTGGGACTGATAAGAACTTGCAAAGAAAACATCGACATTGCGACTTGCATTCTCTGCAGCATCCAGAGCCTTGGGACTATAGCCATAGTCGGCCATAGCACTCGTATCTAATTCAGCTTCGACATCGCGGACCGCATCATTGTGGACGTTTGTTGATTGCGCATCCATTGAAGCGGAGAAGACAAAGTTAATTCCAGATAAAGATTCAACGAACACAAGACGAGTAGAGCAGAATTGTTGCACAATTTGATAGAGCAGTATCTCAGGATTTATAAAGTCCGGGTGGACAGAAGAATGGAAGACTCATTTGCAGCGCAGTCATATGTAGCCATCGTGACTGATAAGCCATGCAGCAGGGGTAAAAATATCAGAACACCACGACACCAAGTGTTCCATTTTTCTTCTCACCCGCCGGGCCCTAAATTTGGGTGGTTCGGCATGGGACCAACATGCAACGACCATGTTTCTAGGACTGATCTTACGATAAGTCAGATAAATCCAGAAAATTTGCAGAGATAATGCGCTCTAGTGGTAAGTAGGCCTGTGCGGGTTGGGGGAAGAGCGGCCGAGGGCGGTCTCGCTACAGAAATCCCGGTAGAGGTTCCCGTTTGACAGGAACAAACGGAAGGTGTCCCCCGGCCCGGGGAAGCGAGCAAACCGCCAGATTCTGCCCATGGATCTTTTGGCTCGAAAGCCACACCTCGATCTCTATGTGAACACTTCTCGCATTCTACAACGCCGTCGTCACAAGCCAACAGTATAACAATTTAAGTGATGCGTGCCCCTTGATGAGAGTATGTTAATAATCATATATACTCACAACGGAGCGCAAATGTTCTATTTGAGGACGCTCGGCCCATGTAATTTGACCTCTCTTTAGTGCACCGTAAACATTCACATTTGGCGTAACAAGCATCTCTGTAAGCACGTGAATATTGAATATCGAATATCGAGTATTGGTTAATGTTCAGAATTGTTCGCAAAGGATGGATTGGTATCAAGCGATTAGTGATATTTGACACAGACATGAGACCGCAAAGCATATTACCCCGAGCTTGAGTATTGATAATCCTTTTAGTCTCAAATTTGGCATCCCTCAAGACAGGCAGTTCCCAAGTTGTCACCATTGTCAGACGCCCTGCCGCAAGGATTTCCCTTGAGGACTCGATTTATCTTATTCAAATTTCTCTGACTTTCCGCCTCTGTTCTCTCTGAGTACCCAGCTAGCAGGGCAAACTGTGAGACAGGAAAGACGTCAATATTTATTCCTGATACAGACAGCACCATCTGACACTCCTACAAGAAGCTGTGGACGTTAAAACTTCAGCAAAAGCTTCTCTGCTATAGTCCCAACTCTCACTGTTGAAACGCTTGAAACAAGTCACAGCTTCATTAACATCACCCAGCATCGTCGAACGAGGGGCTGTCCAATTTTCGGTCCAATCTCATCGAAGACTTCGCAATGGACGATGGGCGCCTTCCCCGGAGGTATGTGCTATACTCATGAATTTAGTAGACCTCTTGCTGAGTTCCGACTAGCAAGAAGACCGATGCCTCGAGAACCGGAGGCTGGGGGTCCGCCTTCAGAAAGAAGGAGAAAAAGAGAGATCCATTCGATCCCTTGGGACTCTTGAGCTCAGAGGAGAGCTTCAGGAAGGACCAGCCTCTCACGAATGTAGCGTCCACCTGGGCCACATACGATTTGGACAATCGGCACAGGACGTGGTCCCAGCCCCACAATCATGCCACCGGTGACTCAACTGGAGGGACGGCACTGCATGCATCACGAAAGATGGACGCTAGAAATTCTGGCGAGCAGCGCGACGCGGAAGCAGATTTTCTCGCCATCCCGGCGTTGCTCCAAGGCCGACGCGGTCCTCGCTCCGCTTTCGAAAGGCGCAATCCCTCGATCGCGCGGGTAGATGAATCGGGGCCGGTCAAGGTCGTCATCGGTGCAGAATCCAAAACCGTGTTTCAACGGCCGGATACACGCGCCGAGCAAATGGATGAGGAGGGAAAGTATGTGGACGGGGTGAACAGAGGGAAGATGAGAAAAGGCCTTGAAGAAGAGAGAGGGGCTCTGATCCGGCGAAGAAGAGAGGCAATGTCCGCAGCCAAAGCTGCAAAGAGGGCATGGGATGCTCTAAGCCCAGAAGGCAAAGAAAGAGAAGGCCTCAAAAAGCAACGCTCCGAGCAAAACTTTGCGTTGTACAGTGCCGGCCTGACAATTGATGTCCGGCTATATACGGCGCTCCCAGAGAGAGTACCAGAGAAAGACTAGCTTCAGGAACGTTCGCAGCTGGAAAAATTTGATGAGGTAAGAGGAATTTGCCTCCCTTTAGTTCTTTTAATGACCAGAAACAGCCAGTCTTCAGCTGCCAGAAATCTGAAAGATGCCAAATCAGAAGTTCTGCAATGCCCAGAGATCTTTCATGTCGATGACACGTTGGAAACAGTGGTACTCAATGCAGAGAAGCTAGAGATTGCAAGCAGAGCAAAAGAACTTTGTGAGCAACGCGGTCGTTTGGTGACGGTCATTCTGGGCAAACTTGTTCAATATACTCGGGAAGCAATCTCTAGGCGTCTTTTTGGGGGTCTTGTTCAAGAAATACGCTTCTTTCCTGAAGATATGCTGGCCATAGTCGTGTTCGCATTGCCAACGGACGCCGAAGGTTTCATACGGCACATCAAATTTGTGAAAGACAACGATCCTAGTGCATACCGTGCCCTGCAGATCAATGCTGAATGGTACAAAGGGGTCGAGCTCCAGGCTATGTGGCCATCTCAGCCTTCCTTGGTGCAATGGATCCTCACGGGGGCCACCAGATGCCTTCAGTTGTTCGGCATAGACATAGGGCAGAAGCCCGATGATTTCGCAGAGGCCGTTACATGCGGTCTAGGAATTCGACCTATCAAAGTCGCGATTATCCATCAGAAGAAGCGCCAAGTGAAGACAGCCCAACTAGGAAATTCAGGGATTATTGAATTCTCCTCTATCAAAGACGCCGTGGAATCCAGACAAAAAATCCTCGAAAAGCGGGCGCCTGGTCTAAACAATTGCCGAGTTGAATTTCTTGGGGATCCTGCAGATAATGCACCAGTACGCAGGGAATATTGTGCTTGCCAAACCTGCAACGAGCTCCAAGACACCTAGGAAGTTCGCTCGAGAGATCTCTGGAAATGGAAGTGTCTTCCCCACATGATACAGGGTTACTTCTGAATCCCATTGGGAAAGAAAAGTCAAATAAACCTCTTCAAAAGGTGGCTCGGAAGTGATAGCACCATAGAGGCACGGCTGGAGATTAATACATGCGTGTTGTCACTTCCCGCTTAGGGCAACCCCCAGCAAATTGGGGCAAACAAATTGTATCTCTCAAATGCACCTCGAAAACTAGTAGATTTCTTGGTGTACGAATCAGACATCGTGCTTTGTTTGGTTCTTTTCAAGGATTGCATAGAGCAGTCGTAGTCTTCTCAGACCTTGAAGCTAGCAGTCCTAACAACCGCGACAGTTCAACCTGGTATAAAATGTACAAGCAGCGTAATCCGTCGGCCGAAAATGCACCGTCATAGGGTGCTTTGCTTGGGAAAATGAAAGGATTACCCAGGACAAAATCTTGGCCCCAAAACTACGCGCGACAGAAACAGCCCTGAGAACGCGTTTGCCCACGCGCCTTCCCCATATAGTCGGTAGTTTCTCCAAGTACGAAGACATGATTGGATGACGCAGGGGCCAAAACCCTTTTCATCTTGGGCCTTTCCTTGCCTTACACGTCCTGGGGCGAGGGTTGGTGCTACTGCGACTTTATGCTTGTACACTCTTCGTCTAAGCCGAATGTCCAATGTGTGTGAGCTTCCTAGCCTCTTAACCTCGTCCGTAAAAATAATACTTTCGAGCCCGTTTGCCTGCCCTCAATAGGCTTTTACCTCCGCGCATCGCCCACCTACTCAGCATTTACGACAGCATATTTCACTCCATCGAGGTCTTCATTCTTTCGCAATCCACGCGAAAAGTGCTTCCTCTGTTTTTCTCAAGCGAGCAGTTCCGGCATCATCTCTCTGACGAGACTTTTTGCATCAAATCTACCAAACTTTAGCAAATTGTCGTGATCATTCGTGGTTTTTTGACGACGATCCGACCATGCCTTCTCCTTTTACATCAAGTTTTGCATCGGCTGCGGCCATCAACAGTAACGCAGATGGGAGCTCCACGCGAGCGTCCCTGAGGGGCGATGGTCCCGGTGGCGGGGACTGGTAAGTCACAAAGGGTTCTCATCACTGTAATTAACTCTGGTATCCATTTGTTGGCGGGGCCAGTGATGTGAAAGCGTTCTTCCGCAGCCAATTTTGGCTGCTTGAATGTTGTGGGCATTTACTGTTGCTGTTGTCCGAAACGTCAACGTTTGAGTGTCGGGATTTGATTTCATTCGGCAGCCAAAGAATATTGTAACATCAAACTGACACCTATATTTATCGAACTAGGCCCCGATCTCGTGTCAATGGAGCTACGCATACTTTTCGTCGTCCTTCCGTTGCGACTAACGCGTCTTCTTCGTCTCAACGCGATTCTGCACAGCATCAATCATCTAACACGACTTCAAACCCCGGCATCTATGTCCCTCCGCACATTGCATCTGGAACCTCCACCAGCGTGAATCGTACTGGTAATGTTAGCGACAGTCGGTATTCAAAGGAACAGCTTTTAGATCTCTTCAAGGTCCAACGCGACGTTGGCGATATTTCCAAAAACTTGTCGAGCCTCTTCATCGGAGGATGGGAGCCGGGGGCCTCTGCGGCGGCGACTCATACTGCTTGGAACAGGCGTGACGAGCGCAACAAGGACTCAACGATTGGGCCGGAAGTTTGTTGGGACCAAAACGGCAGCGTGGAACCCATGGGGCTATCCAACATGACTGGAGAAGAGAAGGAGGTCTGTCTTGATGCGAATCTAGCAGTTGCTACGAAAAGGTCGTTTGCTAATTGCGTACTTTAGCTCTTCTCAACCTCTGTCAACTCGCCTTTGAAACCCCCGCCTCAAAATGCGAATAAAGAGAATATTCCTGGTACCACCGGTGCAAACCGAAAGACTTCCTTATCGCAAAATGCAATGGGCACTTTCAACGCCGCCTCACCCGGCAACGCTCGTCCGAGCAACCGTCGTCGCGAGACATCGGACTCCCTCAACCAATCTACTCCAGGTGGATCCGGTCGGGCTCTGCGCGAAGAGTCTGGTGCCCCCACCCCACCCCCTTCGCTTTTGAGGAGAAGGACGGATTTGAAGGACATTGGTAATTCGACCGGCTCCGACGAGCGAGACAAAAGTGGCCCTGGACGAGACAACACTGTTGATTCACCCAATCCATTTGGCACACTTAAACGCAGTACCACGGGTCCGTTCAATGCCGGCCTGAATGCCCCGGCTTCTCCCTGGTCTTCGGCTGCTTCTCAAAACGCCACGTTTTCTCCCATGGGAGCCTTTGGAAATTTTTCTTTAGCCGCCCCAGCTGGTCAGCCGCCTACACCGAGCGAGAAGCGGCCTGGCCTAGGCAGCCTGAGAGGCGAAAGCCGATTCAAAGGTCTGATGGGAGGAGAAAGTAGCGAAGACCTGACTTCGCGCGTAAAGGAAAGGGCAGCTGGTTCTGGGTCGGAGAAGCGCAATGACACTGAAGCTGACTCTGCATCTCGTCGGTGGGGGGATGCGAGGTCAGCCAGGCCTTTGAGCAGCGATACAGACCCCTTCGCGGAGGGCGAAGAGCGATCTGGAAGTGCTGCTCTCGGGGGCGGTCAGGACGTTAGTCCACCCCCTGAAAGCCGCGTCCCTGACCTCAGCGCGCCGAATAGACAGATATCGTCGGATGATTTGGGCTTCGCGCCGTTTAGCATGTCATCCGAGCTTCCTAGGATCCATGATCTACTCCGTCAAAGTGGTCGAGATTTGCCCCAGGATGGTAGCTCCGGGAGCGAACCGTTATCTGGACGCGAGCCCATGAGTCCGACAAACACAAATCCTTACCAAAGCCCCGAGGTGGAGACAGCTGACGCTGATGACATTGACACTGATGGTTCGGACATTCAGAACACTCATCTGCCCGGATTGAGTGCCTTAGCCAGCGATCCTACTATGGGAATTTTTGGTCCCCAACCTACCAGAGCCGTGTCTGGATTTGAGGGTCCCGCAAGTGACCGCAGCCAGACGTCGAGTGTCGGACCCAATCGTGGCTTTCCGTCTCTCGGTGGCCTGGGAGGCCTGGGGGGCCTTGGTAGCACGACTGGTTGGCCAGCTGGTCCCGGTTCAGTGGGCACTCCGAGCCGGGAGAGGGCCGGGTTTACTGGAGCTTTTGGTGATCCAATTTTTGGGGGAATTGGTGATTTGCAGTCACCCAGTCTTGCCAGTCATAATGCCAGTGGCCTATTCGGGCCGGGCACTCCTTCAGCCATCGGGAGTGGTGGCTCCGTAGGCCGTGGGAGCAAGTTGGGCTCTCTCTTTCCCGCATCAATGCAAGAGCAGATGCGAGCTGAAAGCGCGCGGCAGGAGGAAGGACCTCTGGATGGTAGTGATCGACAACCTGTTGGCACCTTGCCGGGTCGTCCAGGCTTTCCCGGTGGCTCCGGTGCGTTTGGACCGATAAGCAGAGACACTGGTAGTCCTATGCGTGCTGGACGAGGAATCTTTGATGATCTTTTGGGCAATCTTGACCCTAGCCGGGGCGTACGTGATGCGGAGTCGTCTTTTTCAGCAAACGATACTCTGCCAGGTTCTTTTGGCCATGCGCAATCCGCCGGATCTATTCAGCCTCCGCTCCCGGGTGGCTCTAATTCTGCACTGTTGTCGCAAACGCTTGCTCAAGCGCAAGGAAATGCCGCGAGAGCTGGGCAAGTCAAGATTCCTAGCACTGGGAGCGCGGGCTCTCAGATTCCTGCAACCCAGCAGCGGACAATGGTTATGCCAGACAGAATGCGATGGATCTACAAGGATCCGCAGGGCAACACCCAAGGCCCTTGGTCTGGATTGGAAATGCACGATTGGTATAAGGCTGGTTTCTTCTCCCCTGAGCTCTTGGTGAAGAAATACGAGGACCCGGACTACGAGCCTCTTGCTCAGCTCATACGACGAATTGGGAACTCTCGTGAACCTTTTCTCGTGCCTCAGATTGGCATCCCTCACGGACCCCCTAGCGCCCCTCCCAGTAGCCAATGGACCGGCGCCGGCCCTCCGCCCGCAACGGGAGTGTCGGGTACTGTTGCAGGGGCTCAGCCGCCTTTTGCCAGCAGTTTCCCAAGCTTTGGTACTACGCTGACAGCCGAGCAGCAGAATGCTCTTGAAAGGAGAAAGCAAGAGGAGCAGTATCTCATGGCACGACAAAAGGAGCATCTTGCTCAGCAGCAGGTCATGATGAAGCAGATGCACCAGATTCAGGGCCCAATACATCCCCAACAGCTGCACCATCATTCAAGTGCCCATAGCCTTCACAGTCAGCCCAGTTTTGGCAGTATCACGTCACCGCCCGCCTATCCTCCGGTCTCTACCCAACCTTCCTTGCAAGCTCCACAAGGATTTCCTGGCGTTCTCGAGGCATCGCTGAGACAACATGTGAATGCTCCGTATGGGAGTCCTGGTCCAATCCCAGACCAGCTTGCCGGTGTCCGTGATGATGACCTGCCAGCCCTTTTTGAACGTTTGAATGCCGGCCGCGGTACACACCCTCCTTTCGGTGTCATACCTGGTGCTTTTTCCCAGCAGCAACAAGATGCCATCCATGCTCAGCAGGTCGCGGCGATGCTTAATGATAGAGCTCGTTTACAGCGAGAGCAGGCGCAGCATGATCTTGCTCAGCAAACGAATGACGAGCAACGCGGTCATTCGGACCGTCTGCAGCAGTTCCATGAGCTGCGGACCCAGCATGATGAAGCACAGGCCGCTGCTGGGCCTGAAGCTTCAAGTGGCAAACCATCCGACTTGGCGGCATTGGAAGGTCAGGATGAAATCTCCCATCAGTCAGAGCAGGATCAATCTTTTGCAGAAAGTCAGGAGGAGCAACACTTGGGGCAACACCAGCAGCAGGAGCCCCGTCATGCTAGTCCCGCTCCTAGAGACGCATCTCAGGAAATCGAGGCCACCATTATTGACAGCATTTCTTCCCCCACTGCGGAGCCAAGAGTGCTTACGCTGACGGAGCAAGTACAAAAGGCGGCCTCTGCAAAGCAGACACCTACGGCGCAGGCTCAGTCTCCATGGGGCAAAGTCGATACCGGTATGCCGTATCCTTTCCCGCCGCCACAATCTGTGTCTCCCCTTCCAGCCCCTGCGGCGCAGAGGAGCAGGCAAAATGTTGCTGAAGCCTTGACGGCAAGCTCCCGATCTCGATCTCAGACCCCAGTCGAGACACCCACTTCAATCGCACCATGGGCGAAGGAGCCAGCAGAGCTTCCCAAGGGACCGTCTCTGAAAGAAATTCAGGAAGCTGAGGCTCGCAAAGCGGCCGAGCAAGAGGAGATTGCCTCGGCTGCACGTCGGGCTCTAGCTCAGCAAGAGCGCATGAACCAACCGCCGGCCCCAGCCCCAGGCTTGCCCTCAACTTCGACTTGGGCAAGCTCATCTTCGCCCAGCGCTCCAGCACCTGCTTCCTCGTGGGCGAAGACAACGACGGGAAAGACTGCTCCAGGAGCTGCTAGCACTGGTGCTAAAAAGACATTGCAGCAAATTCAAAAGGAAGAGGAGGCTCGTAAGCAGAAGGCGGCAGCGGTTGCCAGCGCCGCCAGTGCGGCAAATGCGGCTGGGACTCAGTCAAGTGCTGCCGCCGGGAAACGCTACGCGGATCTTGCCAGCAAAGTCGCTGCGCCCCAGGCCTCTGCTAGCGCTGGCGGAGCTTGGACTACCGTTGGAGCAAACGGTAAAGTCAAGTCTGCTCCTGCCCCTCCAGCTACAGGCTCAACAGGGGGTGTGAAAATCAGTAGCACTGCCCAAACACCTACTCTCAACACGGCCGTGAGATCGAAGCTCGTCTCCACCCCTTCTAAGAGCGGTGTCGCTGTTCCCACTACCAGTACTGTCAATGCCGCTGAAGAATTCACCAAATGGGCCAAGGCTGCACTTGCCAAGGGCCTCCATTCCAATATCAATGGTAAAAAGCAACATGACCCTAGTTTATCTCGCACTACCTGAGCTAACCATCTTATAGTGGACGACTTTGTTCAGCAACTTTTGACATTCCCCTTGGAGGCAGAAATCATTTCTGAATGCGTCTACGCCAACTCATCCACCATGGACGGGAACCGCTTCGCTGATGAGTATATCCGTCGTCGCAAGCTTGCTGAGAAAGGCATCGTTGATACAAGCGGAAGTTTTTCGCCCGTGGGCTCTGATAGCAAAGCGTCTGGAGGCTGGAGCGAAGTGGCAAAGAAGAACCCTGTGAATGGGAGCAAGGATGAATCTACTGCTGCCTTCAAAGTTGTCGCTCCGAAGAAGAAGGGTAGTAAGAGGTAAAGTGGCAGGGTGACAAGGGTGCCGAAGATGCTCTAGAGATGCTGTCTACCATGAATTTTCTGGTTCGCGATACAATGCTTCTTGCCTTCCAGACCTTGTCTGGCTGCACTTATAGCGAGTTTGCTGATAAATCAAGACCGAGGTATATGTGCGGATATCAAAAGTGCCTATTACTGTACAAATCACTGGAAATATTCCACTTCACGACAAGTAGACAGCTGGTTGTTGGCGTACTCTGAGCGAGCTTGGCATTGTATTTAGTTCTATAGCCTCATAAAAGCAATTGTATCTATAACAGATACTCCAACACCGTTGATCCTTTACTATGTCGAATCAGTGGTCATTCTTTGCGACGTCATTCACATGAACTTGCTTAACACAATTGGAGTGGTCAACCCGACTGTTTGAAGATTGTGATATACAGAGTACCCGGTTGTAAATTCTCTGCATGGGCTTGATAGCTCTTATCATTTCGGGCCCCTTGTGTGTCCCGAGTGGGGCCAAAATAAATGACTCCAAAGACCCCTCAAGCGATTGACCAATAATAGCACACAATCCTGACTCAATCTTATCTCACCTATATCATGTTCAGAGTATTGTAATTTTGAGGCTTCAAAGCAGTGCATAGGAGTTTGACTGTGAAGCCAAGACTATTTCTTAGCCAACCTGATATCCCCGTTGGCAGAACGAGGGGTTGCTTGTCTACCGAAGGGCGCGTGGGGCATTGATACTCCGTAATGTATTGCTGGGAGTCAGCAATCTTACACCTTATCCACAAGCTACCTCTCACGGTTGACACGGGCCACCTCTAGATAGAGTCATCAATTTCGACCACGTTCATATTTGCATTCTCTATAAAGATTGACTTTTTCTCTTTTCCCGTTTTTATATATTTTCTTTTTGTTTTATACCGGTGCAAGCCTTTTCTTTTTTACCTTTTTTTTTTCTCGTCTCATATCATAACCGTTGAAAGACTTGATCTTCACAACCTCCAGCCATGGTATCCGCAAAAGCTCCCGTGCCTTTTGGCCGCGAGATGCGTAAACAATTCCTCATGGATGACAACTATGTAAATTTGAATCACGGTATGTATCTACCTTGAAACGCAACCATCAGATGTGCCCATTATCTTTGCTACACTTTCTTTAAACGTCCCCACGTATTTTCACATGATGCATGATAATAGACAAACACCAATTCTTAGAAAAGAAGATAAAAGAAGACAGAAAAAGATAGTTCTGTACTTGACATCAACATTATTTCTTGCTAACCTAAAATACAGGCTCATTTGGCACATTTCCTGCTGCCATCCGCAACGTTGCGCGCCAATATCAAGACGAGCAGGAGAGCCGGCCAGATCCATTCATCAGATATGCCTGGCCGAAACGACTTGATGAGTGCCGGGCCGCCATGGCCCAATATCTAAATGTGCCTGTAGAAACAGTCGTCTTTGTGCCGAATGCAACCACTGGCGTCAACACCGTGCTGCGCAGCTTGGTGTTCCAGCCCGGCGACAAGATTGCCTACTTCTCCACCATTTACGGCGCGTGCGAGAAGACAGTGCAGTACATTACTGAGACCACGCCCGCTGAGGCGGTCAAGATCCAATACACGTATCCCGTCAGTGACGACGAGTTGGTCGCGAAGCTGCGCGACGCCATCAAGCAGGAGAAAGAAGCAGGGAATCGTATCAAGGTCGCCATTTTCGACACCATTGTCAGCTTGCCGGGCGTGCGCATGCCGTTTGAACGGCTCACCGATGTGTGTCGAGAGAATGGCGTCCTCAGTCTGATTGACGGCGCGCATTGCGTTGGTCAGATTCCCATCGACCTGGGTGCTCTCCAGCCAGATTTTTTTGTCAGCAACTGCCACAAGTAAGAACAGACCTACCTCCCCCTTTCCATTGTTCAGGCCTAGCATTCTACGCAGAATAATCCACCACATCTATATCCAAACAGAAATCTAACGGACACACCTCTAATTAAGATGGCTCTACGTCCCCCGCGGCTGCGCCGTCTTCTATGTGCCCGTCGCAAACCAGCCTCTTATCCGAAGCACGCTTCCCACCTCTCACGGCTTCACGGCATTACCCCGCGCCGGCACCACGCCCGTCAACAATCCTCTCCCGCCGAGCAGCAAATCCGCATACGTCACGGCGTTTGAATTCGTCGGCACCATCGACTCGACCAACTGGCTCACTGTCCCCGCGGCACTCGAGTTTCGGGACTCCACGTGCGGCGGCGAAACGGCCATTATGCAATACTGCATCGATCTTGCTCGCGAGGGAGGTAACCTCGTCGCCAGATGTCTGCATCGCATCAGCGACGACGTGGATATCGAGAAACTCGGCCTCGTCATGGAAAATCCAGAGAAGACGCTCCGTCGATGCGCCTTTGCTAATGTTAGATTGCCGCTGGAGGTTGGCGGGCCCAGTAGCGGAGCCAAAACCCAAGACGCAAAAGACGCAAAAGAAGAAGAAGAAGAAGAAGACCTAGGCGTCAAGAACCTAACGCTCAAAAGCACGAGCGGCGACGGCCACAGAGTCCGCGCAGAAAACGTCCCCCTCGTGACAAACTACATCGCGTCGCGCACGGTCGAGGACCACGATACCTTTGTGGCCATCATCTTCTACGGCGGCGCGTGGTGGGCGCGGCTCTCGGCGCAGATTTATCTCGACTTGGACGATTTCCGGTTCGCTGCCAAAGTCCTTGATGAGATTTGTGACCGAGTGAAGAGGGGGGAGTATTTGGATGTGCAGAAGGCGTAGTTCTGAAGATGGTTTTGGCTTTTTTTTTGGTTCTCTTTTTTTTTCACCTCCATTTTCTCCCATCTCCCAGTTTGGTTTCTTTGGTAAAAAGAAAAATTTAGTTATTTATTGAGTAGCTTGCTCTGCCTGGAAAGAGCATTTTGGGGACCAAACGATGTCATAAGAAAGAGATATACACATAGAGACACGAAAAAAACAAAAGAAAAGAAACAATCTGGATGTCAAATATGATAATATATCCTAGAAGGATACCGATATAGCAGGTCCAAGTGAATAAATGACATGATTGCAGGTATATTAGTGGCAATAGCACCGTACGTGTTCCACAGTTGCTTTTGAATGAAGGTTAACGATACTGACACCATGTGATTTTAAGAGTTTGGGGACGTTAATCAAACAGTAAAGAAATAATTATTAACTAGGCGGGCCTCTACATGGAAGTAGAGGCAATTATTAATATAAACTCTATGAGTATTACTTCCTCAATCGTGGAAGAACCGGTTTGGCCATCCCTTGTAACCAGTCAATTCCCTCCGTTTCATCCATTACCGTAAGCCACACCACCACATTAGAGCATATCTTTGACCGCTAACGGGAACAAATTACACAAAAGCCAGCAAACTGCAGTGCGCCTCGTCAATAAGAGCATAGGGATCTATAAAACGACCGCATAAAGGACCGTCTTTTCCCTCTATGACACGCTAAAGAACTTGACTTTGAGTAACAGTGATGAATGGCTAGGGCAAGAAATCGCTTTTGGCATGACTTGACTTTTGACAAGTACTAGAAGTCCGAAGAGGAACCTGGGCAATAAGCTACCAAGGGCGAACTTCGAGATTTTTTTCTTTTTTTGACAAATAAACCCTACAGCGGTGAGGCTTAAGGGCGCTTAGAGAAAACCAAGGGGCAATCATCCTAGAAAGGTGAGGGAATTAGCCCTTGACGACGAAAAATGTGAAGAAGACGCATTTGCTCGATTTACATACCTGGGGGAAGATTGTGGCAAAGACCTTGATCTTCTCGGAAAGCGGGGTGATTTGGTGCTGCCAGTCCAACTCGATACTAGCCTTTCCAATCATGGCCATCAGGTTCAACTGAGCGTAGGTCTGTCCAAGGCAGTAGTGGGGTCCAGTGCCAAAGACCAGCCAATTCTTGGCCTGCTTCTCGGCGTCGCCGGTAATCCAACGTTCGGGGTCAAACGTATCAGGCTCGGGATAAACCTCGGGGTCATGGAGCGCAGGGTAGACAGAAGGAATGACCATTGAGCCTGTTTCATGGTTAGTCATTGGACTGAGTCCTAGAAAATTAAAACTAGTAGGGGCCAATCGAACCTTTGGGAACGGTGTAGTTTTCGGTGACGGGGAAGTCCTGCTTGGCAATGTAGGGGACCATGATCACAGGAGGACGGTATCGCAAAATCTCCTTGACGACAGCACGAGTGTATGCCATTCTGTCAAGCATGTCCATGTCAAAACGCTTGCTTCGGTCGCCATTTCGGACGGCCAAATTCTCCTCGCGCACCTTGTCGAGAACCTCGGGGCGGTCAGCCATGACTTGGAAGAGCCAGGTGCAGGCACTGCTGGTAGCATCTTGGGAGGCGAAAAGGAAGGTGAACAGCGTCTGAGAGATTTCAAAGTCGGTAAAGTCACGGAGAACCATCGACGGCTTTTCCTCGCTAGGCACCTCAATTCCCTTTTCGACCTTTTCGCGGTAAATCTTAGATTCAATCATCGACTTGACCCAGCCGTCCAAAATGCAAGTGACATCACCGCCTGCAGCCATTCGAACTTTACTCTTGGCAGCGCACTTGGCAAATTCATCCAGAACCATGTCGGCCGCCTTTTTGCCGTACCAGGGCTTGGTGAAGGGCAGAATCACGGGGAAGTTGACGAGCTCGAGAGCGGCAGTGATCATATAGTAGTCGTCGGCAACCTTCTTGATCGCTTCATCGGGCATGTAGTGGCCTACAAAAGTACGGCACGAGACGGCGCACATGGCCTCGCGGAATTCAGCCATGAAAGGCGCGGGCTTACCGGCGTTCTCGCGAGAAAGTTCAACGAAACGGGCAAAATATTGATCGTAGACCTCCTCTTGGCCGGGGAGGTACAGCTCCAGAGCCTTGCGAGTGAACAGACCGTTCAATCCCTTGCGATATTCGACGTGAGCCTTGCCATCCATGAAGACCCAATTGGTCGGTCGCAAAAGCTTGTGCGCAATGTCGACGACGCAGGGCTTGACGAAGCTCGGCGAGTTAAAGACTTTGCGGGCCATGTCGCGAGTGGATGCAATGACGACGAATCTAGCCCATGTTCGTGTCAGTATCCAACATTCAAGCTCCTCTGCTGTAGTTTAGTGGCGGTGGGATGATCGTACTTGTGGAAGACAGAAACGCAACTGAGCGCACCACTGTTCCATTTCGCAATGTACTCTTCCATTTTCGGGTTTACGGACTGCAGGAACGGGCCCATGAAAGGAATCTTGAAAGATGGTCCAGCAATAGTGCCTTTGTTATAGATGTACTTGACTGCATCAATAAAGTCAGTTTTTGCCTGGCTTCAATGTCTTGGTGTAAGGCTTGACGATGTGAAACTGACGTTGATCATAAATAACAAGCATCGCAAACAGCGTGATGGCAATGGTCCATCCGTTCATTCCCTCCAAGATTGTTCCGACAATGCCGGACGAGTTGGTTACTGAGCTCCCCATGTCTGCATTCGCAGCCGGGGAGGTGAAACTGGCATCTACCGCAGCAGCCATGGCGTCGGAGCGGGCTTGGTACAAGCCAGAAGATAAACGCAATAATTTAATTGCCAATTCAGAAGCTTAAATCACAGAAGACAAAAGGAGGGAACTCGGTGCAGCCCACTTTCGAACGAAGTTCAGTGAACCTGGCTTCGTTAGTAGGTTTGCAATCCACCAACAAAAGTCCAATGGCAATCCGAGACCGCGAGACAGAGCCTGAGCCTGAGCCTAGCTTGTGCAGTAGCAGAGGCAAAGGGTCAACCTCTGCGGAACAGCCACTACAGAATAAAGGAGCGCACGGAAACGATATCGGTGATATCTTTTCCTTTTGAATGAAGGAGTGAGCGAAAGAGAGAGGGAGAGCGAGGGTCCTTCCGGGATTATTAACTAAGACACGAGCAAGCAATTTCTTGGGGAAACCGACAAGATTGAGATTATTACAGTCTCCCATTCTCGCATTCTGATTGGCCCGTTGGGCATCTGAGCTTTTTCCTCTCTGACGGATCCTCCGCTTGGCATACCCGAATAAGTTTAGCGAGATATCCAGGGTCAGAACACTTCCACCGCTCCCGGCAACCAACGTTCCGGCACAACCACTAAATCAACGAGTCCAAAGGTGAAAGTGCAGAACCCTTATTGCTGATAGGATACTTGCACGTGATCAATAAGCAGCCTGTCAAATGGCGAAAAAGACATTTAACGTTATGCTGGCTAAGAAAAATTCAACTACCTTGTTATTATACTGTACTCCGTACAGTCGTTGCCATCGAACCATCTGTTCCCTCATGCGATTGTTAGCGAATTCCCCCCCCCCCCCCACTCGCCCAAGTTGCCAGGAACCAGGGGCACCCGTATCAAGGGCCGGGGACCGAGCGAACCCTCGGAAGCTGTTCGCATGTGGCTTATCTAGTTGACACAACTGACATCCTCCTGATGGGTAACGATGCTTCGATTTTCTTCGCTAAGGAAAGTATACTGGAAGTCCCGTGCAGAGGTACTTTACGCTGAAAACACAGTACGTGGTACCAGCTTTATCACGTTTTTTTTGTGCTGCTTGGATTTGACGAGCATGTGACGATGTTATTGACGGAATTGCTCATCGTCATCAAACACTCCACCATCACGTGGTTGTGCGTCACTCTACTCTTATGCCATTCGGTAGGACCCTGATTAGTTTTGACAGGGTCAGAAGCGTCGTCGTAATAGACGTAGTCCTACTACAGACCAAGCTCTAATTTCCTAGTTCAGATATCCAAACAAGTTGAACGGATGCAACAGCCAGTATTGTCAATGAAGCAACCTTGAGCAATTGCGCTCTCCGGCTGCAAAACACCTTAAATCTATAACAAAGCGAATAACCGCGCGCTTAAACGATGCATTGGACTACGAATCAATATAAAGACCTACTGGGAAGGGGACCCTGGCTCGGGCGTGGGAATCTCGTCAGTGTCACTGCTAGTGCTCTCATCGCAGCTTCGCTGAAGAACGTGACTGTCGGAAGACGACACAGACTGGGAGTTGACCGGTTTCTTGCCAAGGCTTTTACAATAGTCGTCCCATAGTTTCTCGACTGGCTTTTTGAAGAGGGTTTTCCACATCTCTTCACCATAGCGATGATCGTACAACCACCCATTGATTACCATAACGCTGCCCTCACCATATACGTCTTCGAGATAATCGAGAAAGTACCCAGTATGCTGGTACCCGGCATCCCACCGGTCGCTGCTGCCTCTGCTCCAATGTGGAGGCACGAAACCAGATCGAAGACGCACCCAGTCCGCAATGCCTTCTACTAATCCGCCAGGAGCCGAACCGTGGCCGTTCCACTGCCAGCAATGTACCACTTCGTGTCGAATGACTCCCAGTATCTCTTCGCGACATCTATCCTTTGCAATATGTTGAATGTAATCTGTGGAGAAATGAATTTCTTTATGATCATTATCCAGACTACTGCCAGTCGTATATGCGACGCCAGGCATCGATCGAAGAATCAAGGTGATCGATCGGGTACCAGGTATTTCCGAATCTGGGGTATACAGAAGTTCCTGAACGCCACGAACTGCATCCTCTAACACGGTGGCGGCATTAACAGCTGAAAGGAAAACTTGCGAGCCGATGCTTGATAAATCCTCAATCTGAAGGCGAAGCTTGGCAGAGCGGAAAGACGATTTCTTTTTTGGGCGAAGAGGAAGTGTTTCCGAAGACTTCTGCGCAGAGTCTAGACGCAGCGGAAGAGGAGAGGGCGTAGGTTGGGAAGTGCTAGAAGCTGTGGACATTTCTAGTAGAAGGGATGAATGTGCGTGATAATTAAACACCAAATGAAATCACAAGGGAGGAGCAAAACATGCATAGAAAATTTCAAAAATAACCCAAAAGAGTAAAAGCAAGCAGCATCAGCTACTATGTAGTAACTCAAAAGTACGTTTGCAGGTGGTTCGGGAGTCTCGCTATATAAAAGATAAAAGGGAGGAACGTCAGAGGATGAGGTTGATGAGGTCGGCTGAGCTTAGCTGGGCGGTTGCTGGGGCCTGAGAATCGACTTTTCCTGATAGGGAATGAGCGACACATTGGAATTGCCCTGTTCGCTTGATCCCACGCCAACGCGGACCCAAAGTTCGCGATCGACTTCATCTAAGCGGGTAAACTCATAACAACACTACTGCCTTGTGTTGACATTCTCATCACGGCAACAACGAACCTCAGGTAAGTCCTGCGCAATGTGGAAGTTCGTGATATGTGCTCCTGAGTTACTCTGTCGCGTGCTTGAAATGCATCAACATCTTTGTTCATCGCAACCTCTTACGCCCTTTGCATCTTTGTTTTCCCATTTTGGACGCACCCGTTTCTATCCGTTGTGCTTTGGCTAACATTTGGAAAAATGGCAGCTGCCATTCAAAAAAGCACTCATACTATCTTTGCCATCTTATTTTCCGTGCTCGCGCTTGACGCCGTCGCCGAGCTCTTTTTCCCGATCCTGTCCGTGTTCCTGATTGTTGGCGCGATCCTTCTGCCAACAGCACAGAGAGAAAGCTCCTCCGTTGCGGGGGAAGTCAAAGCTGTCTACTTTCTGAGTTACCAATCTCCCGAAGAAGACTGCGCCAGCATGGCGATGGTGACTGACAAGGATGTCCTCTTCGTCAAAAACACTCAAAACCTCGAAGCCGTCAGCGACTTCATTACCCACATCAAAGCAGACGTAAAACATAAGCAGCTCCCAGAGGATTCTATAATTCCGCTCTTTCAGATCGTTCGCATTTCGATATCATCACCGCACTCTACTGTGAGCAGTGCCGGATTCAGTCTGTTAGTACACCTGCTCAAGCGATTAAATCTACAAGGCCAGGCAAAGGCCATTGCCGCAAACGAAAAGCTTTTGCTACCCTATCTTCTCGATCGATTGGGAGATCAGAAAGATAGATACCGCACATTTGCTACTCTATGTCTCACGGAGCTTTGGCTCGTATGCCCACAAGATGTGGAACGGGCCATCAAGGAAACGGCTCTGACAGGAAAGAACTCTAAATCGAAAGAAGCCGGCATGTCTTGGATATGCAAGGTCAGATCTCTTTCATGCCTTCTAGACTGTGGCATTACTGATGTGAAGCGTAGATGAACAAAGAGCACGGTCTCGCTTTCCGTAGCTACGTGCCACGTCTAATGGAATGTTTGGAGGACGCCGATGGTTTCGTTCGAGAGCGCGCAAAGAGTGCTATCGTTGATCTGTTCAGGTAAGCCAAGAAAATCAATATCCTATTGTCCTTCGGAGAAAAAGTGCTGAATGTATAAGCAGAACGGCTCCTGAACATGCCAAATCTGATCTGAAAAGGCAACTTCACGAGCATAATATCCGAAAATCTATTGCGGCATTCATTTTGGAGAGCCTTGATCTGGCTGGCTCGGTTAGCGCAGAGCAGAAGACGCCAGACCTGCCGCCTGTAGCTGAGAAAAGTGCTCCGAATGCGAGCAGTAGCTTGGCATCCTCTACAGGATTCGCCCCAGAGTTTTCTAGAGCTCGCTCGTTGGGCCCAGAGAGCGACAAGCTTGAATCTGCTATTGTTAATACGCAACGGGAGCTTGACGAAATTTTCAAGTCCATGTACCAGCATTTTGAAGGAAAGGAAACGGAGCAGAACTGGATGCTGCGCGACAAGAGCATTTTGAAACTTCGTCAGCTGACCAAGGGTAATGCGCCAATCGATTTTCCCGGTGCCTTTGCCGCTGGTATAAAATTCCTCATGGATGGCATTTTGAAGGTGGTGAACTCACTACGGACGACGCTGTCAACAAGTGGTTGTCTTCTAATCCAAGAGGTGGCTAAAGCGATGGGACCCGGAATTGATCACATCGTTGAATGGATGCTGCATGTTTTGATCAAGCTTTGTGGTCATACCAAAAAAATCAGCGCCCAGAACGGTAACGCCACAGTGGAGGCTATTTTGGGTCACGTTTCGTACAATGTTCGACTTGTCCAGTTTATCTATGACGCAAGTCAAGAAAAGAATGCACAGCCGCGAGCTTTTGCTGCGGGATGGCTGAAGACCATAATCACTCGGGAGGGTGTTAATAAATATCAGAAACAGCACTTTGAGAGTTCCGGTGGCTTCGCACTTGCTGAAAAGTGCATTCGCAAGGGGCTGACGGACGCTAATCCTGCAGTGAAGGAGGGAATGCGTGCTGCGTATTGGGTATTGGCAAAAGTGTGGCCAGCGACTGCTGATAGGTATGTACAAGCTCGCCCCGGATATTTGGCAAATTTTCTGACTTGAATCAAGCATAATGTCTTCTCTGGATGCGAATTCGCAAAAGCTGCTCCAGAAAGCCTCTGGTGGTGCCGCTGTAATGGCGGGTACCTCCAGCGCGACTGCCACTAGTCAGAATGCTCCCCAGGCCCCTCGGCCGAGTCTTCGCGATGCTATTGCGGCTCAGAAACGGGCGAAGAAGGCGGCTCAAGGTCTCCCTGAGCGCCCAGAATCGGCCCAATCTAGCTTTGCATCCACGACCACCCCACAACCCATCTCGAGACCTAACACTCTGTCTAGTTCAACTAGCTCAGTTGGAGGCGGTTTGATGTCTGCTCCGGTTCGCCCTATGCGGCCTGGTCGCCGAGCAGAAATTGCGCGACCTGCTACTGCAGAACCATTTGTGAACCGCAGACCTGTAAAGCCCCAGAATGTATCTACAGGGTCTGGTCCCACGCCAATCAAAAGCGGTCCCCGGCAGACACCAGTGCAGGATGTGAAGGTTACTAAGGACTCCACCCCAGCAGTTGCCCCAGCGGATAGCGAGAAGACTGCCGCTAAACCTCCAAATAGCACAGAGTCTGTTCAAACCCCATCAAGAAATGAAATCCGCAACATGGATGTGGAAGAACGTCGGAAAATCCATGAGCAGCGATATGCCCACCTCCCCCCGCATTTGAGAAGGGTATTTCGGCCTGGTGTGCCTGGCGCCGATCCCGGAGCAGAGCCAGACCCGAGCTATGAAGAATTCATCCGTGTGGCTTCTGCTCCTTACGAGCGGAATAGATCAACATCACACAGGTTCTCCACTCAAGCAGAACCAATTATAGAGCCTGCGGCTCAGCCTGATGACAGCCTCCAGGTTGCTGCAAAGACTGTCCTTCCGCGCTCACGAGAGAGTTCTCCAAAGCGAGAGGTAGCGAAGAACGAAAACCGGGCGAAGACGTCGAAGCCTCTCAAGGTGTACGAGGATCCTATCTCGAGAACACCATCCCCGGTTTCTTCGCACCCCCCTGCACAAACAAAGGCTCTTGAAGAGCTGACATTGAATGAGCCAGCCAATGTCCCAGTTGCTTCGTTTTCTGGTTCAAACGAAGAAGTGAAACCAAGCGCGGCACTTGTCAAGCGCGAAGAGCCCAAAGACAATGTCGAGGTCGTTTCTGAAGAGACTCTACCTACTTTTGTTATTCCCCAAGTTCGGGCCCGGACATTTGACATGGAAGGGTTTGCCAGCTTGCGAAGATTGATTTTGGGAAGCGACCCTGGGTTTGATGATGAAGTGTCGCGAGAATTGCTTGCTGCTCTTGTTGACTATGTTCGCTCGACTGAAGAGGAACTCAACCTTGACCGACTAGAATCGGACCGGCGCAAAACTTTGGCGTTGCCAACAGTGATGAATCTACTTCAAAAGAAGCAAGATCGTCTGGATGTACTAGGCATGTGGTATCCTTATGCACTGGCTGGCATGCTGGAAACACGAAGTCTTTGCGTTGAATTCTGCCGCGTTGCTGCCCTTGCAAACGACGTGACACGATTCCTCGTCGAGTCTGGAGAGCGGCCTCGTGCTGATCTCATCGATCCCCTACTCGCATTCATCGAAAAGGCGCAACCGAGCGAGGGCGATGATATGCCTCTGTTGCTTGGCATTCAAGTATTGCGCAGAATGTTCACTCGGATGAAAATATTCGCCATGCCCTTGTCAGAGGAAGCTGAGCAGAAATTTGTTCACCTAGCAGAGCGTTTCTTGAGCTATCCCGATGCGCGGATTCGACGCAAGATGGTTGAATGCTGCGTCGTCTTTCAATATCTCGCCAATCGATACGAAGACACCGACAGATTCTGGAGCTTGATGATGCCCGGACTCAGTCTCGCTCATCGTGATCTCATTACCTATTACCAAGAAAGATGGCAACCACAGGACATTCCGTTCACGTCTGTCTAAGTAGGCTTTTTTGTGTATCCCCTTTTCCTTTTCTTCTTTGTCTTCTTCTTCTTCTTCTTTTTCTTTTTCTGTTTCCTTTACTTCTTCTTTTGCTTCTGTAATTTTCTGTGGTAAAAGTCCAATCGGCGACTTTCTTGTATTCTCTTGATTCATTTCTTTAATGGTTGCCCGGAGGAGTATATATTAGCGCAGGAGTACAATGGGGACATGGCGGTAAATTGGATCATTCAACTTTGTCACCAAGGAACGTGGGACGTAATTCCGTTTCTGTGGTACGCCTTATGAAATTAATTGTATGAATTACTTTTTCCACCCACTTTATGTGTTTCCAACGATGATGATGATGATGATGATTATGATATGGTTTGCTGGGACGGAATATATCTATTTCCAAAAAAAAAAAAAAAAAAAAAACACGGAGGGACGAGGAGCTCTTATTTAAAATGACACCGCCCGGTCTCGAAGTCGTATTGAGTAGGCCGGATCTAGAGCTCTCGGGAGCTGTGTTAAGTATTCTTCCTCTCTCTCTAAAAGGGATATTAGGCCTTAATTCAAGGAGTTTGCCGTCATATCGATTTCACACGTGTTTGTACGGAGTAGTGGAACGTATGTGGCAAGTGGTACAATAGTACAATACTAATTTCTATACTCTCTGACAGACGTTCTCTTCAGTCAGCAATGGATGAAAGATCAGCCATACTGCTTTGATGTATCGGAGTAAGTAATAAATACAAGATAACAAACTTGTCATACTCCAGTTTCACCTGAGTTTTCCTTTCCTCCAGGAGCAATCTCCTTCCCTAAATTACTCCATGACCCGAAAAGACTACCGTGACGCGTAATGCAATACAATCAAACATAACAAGGGAGAGCAGAAAAATGGATAGGCTGGAGGATACACGCGCGGATCGTGCCGTAAATTGCCTTGTCAGAAAAGAGATATATTGATACTCAAAAACACAAGGAGAATAGAGGCATAACGGTAGAGCAGAACAGGATGAGCAGAAAACAAAAAAAGGAAAAAAGGTCAAAAGGTTCAAAAGGTTATTCTAGAGCATGGCTTGCGAATATGCCATGTACTGTTTATCCACCAATGGGACTTGTTGATCACGCCAATGTTGATTTGAAGTCTCTTGCGCTTTTCCGTAACAGTTCCATTCGTTGGTGGCCGAAACCGGCCGCAAAATAACGGTGATCGTGGGTCTTGCTAAACATTCGTTCGGGTTTTGCGAGGAAATGTAGCATGGGTTGGCCACTGGGCGTTACAAGAAACTCCAGTCGATTTGATTGGTGTTGCGGTAGCATTTTTGCTTTTGCTGGCTGGGAGGTATGTTAGCATTTCTCCGATCGTAGGTAGGTAGGTACAGTAGCAGAAGGCATTTGACATACCCTGCATCCATCTTCTGGAGGCGATCAAAGCCTCTTCTCATTTCTTGTCTAAGAGGGGTCGCTTTACTGCAGAATTCGAGGCGTACAGCGTCTATTTCGCCGCGAAGAGCGCCGACTTCTGCTCGTAGAGCAGTAACCTCACGCAAGAGGCTTGTCATTTCCCTAGCAACTCTAATAAGGTCAGAAGAAGTAGCCTTTCTTCTTCTTCTTATCCTTCTTCTACCACCACCAACAGCTTGTAAATTGGTGTATAATCCGGATCTCTCAAGAGCAGTGCACAATGCCTTGCAAATCTGATTGAAATTAGGTTGAGGCGCTGAAGTACGTTGGCGGGAAACATTGGAGGACTTCGTCGGGATCTTCCCAGCATTTTTGGCAGCTATCCTAAGCCCGAGCGCGTCATGATCATCCTCCGTCGAATCAGCGAGTGCCTCTTTCTCAGAAAGACATCGAGAAGTGGTCGAATAGCAGCTTCAAGTTTCTGTTCCAGCCGATCAAAACCCTCGCTCCCGTCTCTCCTGAGCGTGTCCACCTCATTGTGCAACACATAGCACAGTTTGCCGATGTCGGCGCGCAGTGCGCCTACTTCGTTGCATAGAGCGGCAAATTTATTGACAAGCTTGATAGTTGCCCTAGCGATTCCACCCTTACTTGTAGGAATGGATTTTCCTCCGGCAACTGCAGGTGAATTGCTAGATAGCCTGAGATTATCCGCAACGGAACAAAGGGCTTGACTCATCTCAATGAAGTTAGACAGAGGCGCTGCAGATCTTGCATTTGCTGTTGTGTAGCTGGATAAGTGTTGCAATGATTACTGAAGGAACTTTTCGAAAAGCAAATTGTTTTAGTTGCTTGCGTTATGGTGGCTTGCAGAAATAATGATCTGGTCATTTTGATGAACTGGCAGCAGCAGCTGGTCTTTAAATATGAAAATTGTTGTTTTTATTATAACATAAAGTAAGTGTTGACCCGAGGAAAATAAATAGATTTGCAGTGTTCAAACCATGAAGTTTCAATTATTGTGCGGCACGGCGGCCCTGGCGGCACTGCGGCGGCTGCAGGGGTTGCCAAAAACACATTGTCGAATCGGGTAAATTCATGAGTTTCGCGTTGCGCGCGCCACGACCACACGTGACTTGAGAGACGCGATGAATATGGGAAGCATTAATTTGTAGAAGATGTTAAACTTTTATACGGCAGCGGGTGGGCATTTCTGGTAGTGATGGTAGCCCATTAACATGGTGATTTTTGCGCGTAATCATCTGGTTCAATAATTATAAGTGGTGATGCTCTCTGTATGAATATATCTATCGAGGGGTTTGGTAGGTCGGGCTACGGGTTGTGATTGACTTGAACGAATTCACCCCAGGAATAAATTAATACTAGGGCTCCATTTCCATGCGGAATCATACACCATCGCACTTGAATACTTGCCCCGCTATGGACTAAAATTTTCTTGTCAGGGCCTGGTCCAGACTAATCGGAGTCGTCGTCAGGTCATATTGTCCACTCGGTGGAACCTTTGATGATACACGCGTTCCTACAGAGTAAACGTTGGACATGTCAGACGTTTGAGGCTGTCTGACAGCCGGTACAGATCCAGTGGGGGATGTGTCACCGCCTGAATGGGCAACGAATGGCGGCGTTGGAAAGAACTGGGGCATGTTTCAGATGATATTATACGTCGCATCGTGGTTTATGCTACAAAGTACATACATTATCCACATCAAGCTTATGGGTATACCTTCACCGCAACTGCCTCGGACTTTTACACGGAAACAATTTGTTCTTGATAGCACTGAATAGTATCTGAGAAGGTCTGAAATGCTTGATGCAGATACCAGTCTCGTCATCATTGTTGATCAACCTTATACTGTGTCGATCAAAGTGGACGAGATCTGAGCAATTCATGGCTGCAAGTAATTTGGGGGGGAGGAGGTTATGATGGAGGGTTATAACCAGTGCAAGGGAGGGACTAGCCTGAAACCGTTCACTTGAGACGGAACGAAGAGCGAGGGGATTTGAGACCAATAAAATTGAATTACCACCGTAGATTGGCGAGACTATAACTGTACTCTCGGTAGATGGTGTCTTTGGGCCCGTGGTCCATCAAGTACCGGTACGGGCGGACAACGGTGGCTGAGTGTGTTACGGCAGGAGTCCAGCCCACGCGAGCGGATAAAAGGGTCCAGAAAGAGAAAGAGGCAAGAACAGCAGAAGATCTGTGTGGGGTTTTTCTTGAGGGAGCGCCATCCCTTGTGTTCTACGCCGCAAAGAAAGGGAGAGTACTGGTACTTTGGCTCCAACCTTGGCTCGTATCGTCAAGTCCACGGATACATTTCCTTTGGATATATCTTCGTATGTCTCCTTGATGCAGCTTACCCGTACACACCAAACATGGCCCAAGCGTAGACCCGATCCACTTCACAGGTCAATTAGTTCCGTCCTCCATACGAGAGGGAGAGACACCGTAAGATGGTGTGGTCCGTTCATGTTCCTGCTTCAGGGTACGAAACAACGGTCATAAAATAATAATGCAAAGCTGCCAAATGTCAGCGATAAGAGACCCACTCCCTCGCCGCACACGAGCTTACATGTACAGTATATGTCTGTCTGTATTGATCATGTTCCCCAATGGCGTCCAGGCGTCCATGCAAAGTATATATTCAAGATATCAAACTCCTCGTGCTGGGCTCTTTGACGTTTCAGTTTTGGTCAGCAAGCCACTCTGCAGTCAATTTCAAATACGCTGCACTTTAGATGATCCTGAATAATGGAAGGGAGAAGGAACGGGTGCGCACAGGCAGCCAATACAGTCGAACTTTCGATTCATAGTAGAAGATGCATATACTTCTTGAAACGATAGAAATCTATTAGGGACGTGCAAGAATTAATCATCCCAGCATACGAATCTCAATCTTGCAATTGTAGCATGTAGTCTCTTGGAGAGATTTCGGAAAATTATAGTGGCGCCTTCCCGGTTCATGCCACGCCTGGCTTTCGAGACGCCTTTTTTCTCCCCAACCAGACCGAAACTGGCCCCCGCGAACATCAGCCTGATCCGACCATTTCAAATTTCCCACGGCTTTTCCCCTTCGAATTGTGAGCTGGCATATTCTGCTTCTGAATTTCAGCAGCTTCAATCCCTTCTATGAGCGGTTGCACTGTTCGCTTCATTTACCCCCCGTTCTTTAAGGGTCTTCGCAGTTAGGTAAGTGAATTAAACTTTAAATCCACCTTACCAGTCTGGGCTCTGCCACTCTCGCTCCGCATCCAACCCTCCGTCCTATCCACGCTTGTCCAACAACCTCCGTTGCTATCAAGCTTCAACCCATACACTCACCCATGCTTGCCTTATGTCCTATGGGCAGCGTGGCACAAGAAGGATCTTCTGGAGAGCAACATTCACTGACCTTCAAAGTGCAATCGCTCGGGCTGGCCACAGATACATGTTGATCTTCGCTCGCAGCACCATCTCAAGCCAGCTCCGGCCCCTGCGGTGACGATCATCTCTCGTGCCTGCGCAAACATTCCAACATCGTCCACTTTCGTTGTTTGCTACTTCCGTCTCTCCCTCGATCTCTTGCTCCCTCGTCTGATTTTGTTCACACACGGGTGCTGTTTGGCACACCCACCTTCAAGGATCTGTGGTGTGCACTTCGCTCGCCCAGGGGACACTGTCTTTCCTGATTGCTCAGCAACCCCTACTCAATCGACAATCCGGCACCCATAACAATCAACAAGGTCACACTTGGTAGCTACTGGACGAATTCGAGTTTCCATTGGTCCTAAAAGGCACGGTTCATATTCATTTTCGCTGTGCCTGAAGCTGGACCGTCATAATGGAGTCTCCAGCGGCCTTTCCAGACACCCCAGTGGAACATGACGATGTGATTTTCCACTGCAAAGGATGTGGCGATGTAAGCTTTTCAATTCGGACCCAGCCAATGGCTTTTCGCAATTTGAGTTTCGTTAGATGGGGATTGCTCAATAGCTAATCTTGCACTGGAATATAGATCCTGGAGGAAGGAAAAGCATTCGAATTAGGTGAGCACAAATTCACATTGGTGCAAACGCTGTCGTACCTACTCTAACACAACTCTACAGCTGGTAACCGATGGCATATCGATTGTTTTCGTTGCAACACTTGCGATTCCGCCCTAGATTCCGATGCGAACCTGTTGATGCTGGGAGACGGTTCCTTGATTTGCAACAATTGTACCTATAGCTGCTGTGCCTGTGGCAACAAGATTGAGGATCTGGCCATTCTCACGGGCGACCAAGCATTCTGTGGAAATTGCTTTCGATGCCGCAACTGCAAACGCAAAATTGAAAATCTGCGATATGCCCGCACTTCACAGGGTATATTCTGCATGAATTGTCATGAATCTTTGATGGCGAGGCGGCGCAAAAAGGCGAAGATGGCCAAACAGAATACGGCAAGCTCCCTTGCCAATTCTCCCATGTTACTCGACAAGTCCCTGCCTTCTCTTCCGCCAAGTGCCATTCCGCCAAACGCATTTACGCCAGACCCAAGCTTGTTAGAAAGCCCCCCAGAACGCCGTGATCGCTCACCCCAGCCGAGGCGATCATCGGCCACTGGCTCAGAGCGCCGGGAGATACAACGCGATCGCTCCCCAGCAACGATCCGTGAGGCTTCAAAAGGTAAGGGCATACTGATGATCTCGCCCCTCATCATTTCTTGACACTGACAACGTCGATCATTCTCAGAAACACTTACCCTGCCGCCCACGACTTACAAGGAAGAACGGCGTTCGAGGGCTTCACCCCAAGCGGAATCGCCCACTGGTGACGACGGCTTCTTTATCCCCTTGGCGTTGGATGAGTCCGTTGCTTCTCCATCATCCGCAGTCTCAAAACCCAAGACAGGCGTCCCTGTTTCTCCGGATCAGCTTGATGCTAGGCTATCGGATGCCAAGTCGCTTGGTCGTGATATATACCCTCAGAGCCGGAGTTCTTCTCTGGGTTCGCAGCAGCCCCAGCAGCCCCAGCCCCAGCAGCAGCAGCAGCAGCAGCAGCAGCAGCAGCCGCAGGATAGCAGGCCGGTATCTTCCAGGTCCCTGTCCGTGCCAAAGGAGAGACAAAACCGGGCATCATCGTACACGGGGGCCAGCCCGCACATAGCTTTTCAGGGCAAGGATCGCCAACCGTCTAACGAACTCGTGGAGACAATGCGAAAGCGCAAGGAGATATTACCGGCACCTACCCCCAACGCAACCAACCAGTCTCCCGTCGCTGGCGGCAGCGACAAACTCTCCCAAACACAATCTGCAACAAGCTCTAGTCCGCACACCGCAGCAAGTAATCTTCAGCTTCCCGAAAGCATTTCTAGCCGTGTCTCTAGCCGTGCTTCGAGTCCAGCACACAGTGAAAGGTTCAAGTTGCAGGACGTTCCTCAATCGAAGAAGGCGGGCGGTTCTGCAAGAGCGGTGGACACCTCACGGTCGCCCTCCATCATCGACCGTGCCAGCTCCGAAAGTGCACAAAAGAAGATGGAAGAGCCACCCCGCAGGCGGGAGCCCCCACGGTCGGCATACGGACATGATGGAGCCGAGACTCCCCGAACATCGGAAGAGACCAAGAAGAAGCATGACACGCCGTCACTTAGTGGGCATAGCAGTCCGTTTATGAGACCCTCTGAAGAATCTCCAAGACCACCTCGGGAAGAGTCGATGGGTGCTGTTCCCCAGAGACATTCTATTTCGAGGAAGGAGGTTCCCGACAGAGGCGCTTTTAAACCATCCGTATCTTCAACTCCTGATCATCACCGACCATCCACACCACCGCAAGCCCCGCCGCCGCCGCCGCCAGGCTTCATGGGCTCACCAAACAACCTGGTTCAGCTCAATGGAGGTAGGACGATATCTGCGCCTATGGAATCTCCTGATGCGCGAAGCATGCACGACCCTTCGTTGCCTGCACGTGTCGAAGTTCGTCCATCGTCAGCGCGACCCTCACAATCAGACACGTTTACGATGCCAAGATCCCCTCCGCGACCTCCAACTTCGCGGCACAAGACACGCAATTCGTCCATTAGCACCGCGCAAAGTGAATCTTCCCGAAATGGCGATGTGCCGGTTGGCTTGCCCCGCTACAGTGGTCACGGCGAGTTTTCCATGGATGAAGACATGGCTCGGATTTGGGGAGCAGACGAGCAAGAGAACCCTACTTCAATGTTGCGCAGGATTTCAAAGACCGTTCGACACGGTCGCAGCTTCAGCGACAAGGGCTTGCGCTTATCCAACTCCCCAAAGTGGCCCAAATCCCCTCTCAATTCAATCGCTGCTGGCCATCCACATGATATTGGCAGTCCTTCGTCTGCTTCGCCAGATGCAAGGGACGAGAATGTATGGTTGAGGGGTGAACTCCGTCAGGCGCAACAGCGAATTGCTGAATTAGAGGCCGAATCAAACGTGCTCAAGATTCAAGTGAATGGCACGGCAGACATTAATCAAGTGAATACGGAACTTCGAGAGAAGCGATCAACCGTAGCAATCCTTGACACTCAAAAAGAAGTTATCGTTAGAGAACTCGAGGTCATGGCTGACCATATTGCCAAGGCTAAGCATAGCGACCGACCATTTGATGTGGGCGAATTGAAATCGGGCGTGCTCCAAGATTTGGCCCTTTCTATGCGAAAGCTCAAGGAGACATTTACGTCAGACATTGAAGAACTGGTGCAGAGGAAGCACCAACTAACGGACGAGATTACGAATCTGACCTCGGCAAAGGAAAAGAGTATTCAGGAATTCGAGCAACTCACTTTGAAAAACGCTCAGCTGGCTGAGCTCAACAATCAACTCGTTCATAACATTCAAGGCCTGTACAAGGCGAATCGTGATCCGTCGGCTGACAACCTTCGACCCTCCAACGGGCTTGGAATCTATACACACCATCACAAGGAGAAGTCCGAGACCTCAATGGATCTGCGCCCGTCTACAGCGGACAACAGTCTCACTGCGTCCCAGACGACCTTGCAGCCTGAGCACGATGTTGAACCGGCCACAGTGCTTTCCACGCCTCAAGTAGTCAACATTCGGAAAGGGCAGCCCAAGAAGTTCAACTGGAAGCGTGGTGGGCACACCGTTGCTAAAGGTGTCTCGAAAGGTTTCAAGGGCGCCTTCCTGTCCAGCAGCCAGCAGCAACAGCAAATGCAGCGAGAAGGCCATCTCACCGAAGGTCTTCCATATGGCATGCTCACGCCTGGTGCTGAGCCAACCATAGGTGGAACTCGCTCACAGGCCGACACCGGCCGTCAACCCTTTGGATTCTTTGGCAATCAGAAACAGGGGACAAACAAGGCTGGTCAATGGAAAGGGACAAACAATGGCAGTGGAAACTTTTCCACAACGCCTTCTGATGATGGATCAAGTGAGTTACTCTTTATGGATTGATCTGATACCACTGCTGACATTGGAACTAGATCTCTTTGGGACGGAGCTGGAACTTCGAACCCAGTTTGAGAAGAGAGAGATACCAAGTATCGTGATCCGTTGTATTGAAGAGGTTGAATTACGAGGTAAGCACATCCCCGGTCGGGATTTTTAGCAGTCGGACCATTTGCTTATCCTTTTCCAGGCATGGACGTCGAAGGAATCTACCGCAAGAGCGGTGGAGCCGGACAGGTCAAGCTCGTTGTTGAAGGTTTCGAGAAGTCAGAAGATTTCGACCTTTCAGATCCGGATCTCGACATACACGCCGTCACATCTGCGCTCAAGCAGTATTTCCATAAGCTTCCCACTCCACTAATTACCTACGACGTATATGATCTGTTGCTCGATTCAAACCGTAAGTGACTCCGTTTCCGGATCCGTTTTCTATTACTCGAATATTATTTCTAACCTCGCAACGTCAGGGATCTCGGACGTCGAGAAACGAATGATCGCCATGAGGTCAGCCCTCGATGAACTTCCGCGCAGCCACGGTGACACTCTTGAGTTTCTTATATTCCATCTAGCTCGGGTTCTAGACCGAGTTGATGAAAACAAGGTTCGTTAGAGCATAACATTTTGCAGTGCCTGAATTTCATTGGATTTCTTTGCTAAATATTTGACCCCCTCAATTTCTAGATGCCACCTCTTAATTTGGCCGTCGTCTTTGCTCCGACCATCATGAGACCTCTCTCTATCGAGCGTGAGATGACCGATATCCAAGCCAAGCAGGATGCTGTCCGATTCCTGATTGAGCACAACAAAGCCATTTTCATGCATGATCAACTGGACATTTAATTTGCCATGTCGTGGTCAAAACGCATTTCATCCCAAAAGTCTCATTTTCATCTTTAGATTCTTACTTCACATTTTTTTACATTCATTTTCTCCGCTTTACCTCCATTGACCTACTCGCAACGTTTTAACGACAATCAAATCACCCGAGAAGGTCGTTTTTGGCGGGACAAACTAAGCTGGCGATCGAGACATTTTTTACAATAACATCTTTTAATAATCTAGGGTAGGAGATGGCGCTACCGATTTGCAGGGGCCAGATTAATTTCAAGCTTTGATATCTCTGTATGGGCGCAGTGGCAGGGTCAATTTTTCTCTTCTTCAAGCGTTCCCGGTCTTCCCTCTGGAGTTTCCGGGGTTCTTTTCTTTCCTTTTTACCCCTCTCCCAAGCCTTGAGTTTTGTATGGCCTGCTTTGATCGGTGTTCATCTCGATGTTTACAGCCTACCTTTCTTCATTTGCCCTGGGGCAAGATGCCCGAAAGCATTCTTCTCAAGGGGATTCTTCGATTTCTCTTTGTTTTCTAGCTGCACCTCTGACTTTCGACCTTTGACCTTGACGATTTGACTTCTTACTCGACGAGCAGAAACAAGAGGTTGATCGGTCATTTTTTTATGCAATTTTCAACCAAAAACGGAGCGAAAAGGCGACGGGCATGGCGTCCTTGGTCTGTTTGATCGGTGCCTTGATATTCCCATTTTTCTTTTCTTTTCTTTTTTCTTTATTTCTTTTTTCACCGACTTTGACTTTGACTTTGTCTTTCACAAATACCATTGTAATTCTCGATCTTCAATTGATTTTCACTTTTCAGATTCAATTTTTTAATATCAATATTTCTCGATCGATCGATCCTTTTAGCCGTGATATCTCGACATCACTTCTGATTGAAATCATTGCTTGAAAAAAAATCATAAGAATGTACAGATGAAATTGCGAGACTTGAAACCTGGGATAAGAATTGATCATGTGGACCTATGCATGAGAAAGGAATTTGACACATATTTGAAAGTAGGATGTATATTTTGCATTTGGCACAGTACTATGTCTGTTGGTTATTTTAGAAGCTATCGTCCAGATCCATATTCCGCCGCACGACAGACGGGCTGTCTTCCCCTTCATCTCCTTCGAGATCGTCAGTAATGTTGCCTCCTGCAGTGAGGAGCAAGTCCTCGACGATGCGTTTGCTGGCTTCGCGAGCTATATATGGGGTTAGTCACGATTGGTCTGAGCACGTTGGGTGTTCAAAACAAATGTGGAAATCAAAGAAGAAAAAAGAAAGAAAGAGGAAGAGGATCCTAGAGGACATGAATAGACATGACATAATCAACATACCTGGGGTCTGAAGGAGCTTATTCTGTGGAACATGGAACTGCATAGTCTTTGGCGGGCTGAAGCCCAGATCGATATCGTCGTCGGAAGAATCGCTGTCCCATAGTCCACGAGTGACATCGCGCTTATTCGTCGTCGTATTATTATATCTCTGCGTTTGGGGCGTTTCGATATCCATTCTCCCCGATGGGTCGCCACCGCCGCCACCGCCGCCGCTAACGGGTCGAGCTGTTTTTCGGACGCTCAGCGGCGTTTGTACGCTGACTCCGGGTGTGCGACGCGCAGAACGCTGCATTGCTGGGGACGAGAAGATTTCAGAGTGCAGCTCCGGAGCGGCAATGGGCGGCGAAGACATGGGCGAGGAGTCATCTCGCCAGCGGGGCTGCGCGGCGGGGGGAGGATAGTGTCTGGTTGCTGTTCCGGGGGTTGTTGCCGAGCGCGGACGACGCTGCTGCGAATGAGGCGTTGCTTGTATGCGGTAATTCTTATCGAGAACTCTATGCAGCAGTGGGTCTGCGTTGCTTCGTTGTTGTTGGTGTTGCTGGTGTTGGTGGTGGTTGTGCTGCTTATGGCCCGAGCGTGGATCGAGCGGGAGCGGTGACGATCCAGGACTTTGGAACAGTGCTTGTGGAAATGTCTGTTTGCCTGGCGTGCTGGGTAGATCGGAGCTCTCGCCGTGGATTTCCCGTTTCAAGGCTTCGTATGGCGAGGAGTATTCTGCAAATGAGGCGGGCGGGCGGTCGGCGCGAGTCTTGGATGTTGCGCGGGGGGTGCTTCCCGTTAGAGAGGGCGAGCTGAGAAGTGTATGCTCCTCTTGATGACCGGTTGGCTGATAAGCTTCGTAGCGGTCTTGCTCATGGATGGACTCATCGTGCGCGTGGGCTGTATCGTCGTATCCCGAGGGTTCAGTTGTTGCGGTGGTGTCCTCTTGGCCGGTTGTAGCGGTCTCGTCGACAGTAGCTTCTTCATAGCCGGATAGTGATACGTTGGCGCTGGCCTCGAAGAATTGTTTCCAAAACTGTTAAAAAGGAAAGAGTCCTGGTCGTTAGCAGGGAAGGAAAGACGGATGTTGCGGTTGTGGAGTAATGAAGTGGGACGGGTTGTTTTCGCACCTTGGAGGATTCCCAGACGGATTTGGAGTGTTCTGCATATTGCTCTACAATAGGCAAGATGCTTGCTGTGACAATATGATGCGCGCGGCTAAAATTGTGGTCGATCTCTGAGGTTTTCAATCATCAGCTCAGATTGTTTACGATTTGCACTTTTAGACCCAGAAGGCTTCGGACGCAAGGAGCAGGTATACATGCCTTGTAGTGTCAGTGTGATTGATTGCTCTAGTTTCTCCAACTCCTCGGTGAGAGTAAGATTCCGCGGTGGTATAATGCTTTGCCTTGACATGGCTGTTGTGGTGGTAGTTCTTTAAAGATCCACAAGTCCTTTCCCAATTATTTACAAGCTGTCCCAAATTGGTCGATAAGTTGGAGGTGGAACGCGAACAATAATGGCGCTGCTACGGTACAGTGCGCGTACCAAACAAACCCATTTGATAGCGTTGGGATGACTAAGTGCCGGGTTGCCTTCACATGCTGTTTCTGTTTGCTCTACTCCGTAGTTCGTGTACCTCACGTAGAATGCTTTTAAAAAGAGAACCGTCTGCTGTCTGGCAAAAGAATCTGCAAACTTTTTGAAGCAAACGATAAACCCTCTGATGAACCTATCACAGTTTAAATCCAGGAAACATGAATACTCTGCTTTGAGTAATTATTCTCTTTTGCCTTCAGTAACCGATTAGACTATGTCTCAAATATCAGATGAGTTATATGCGGGTATCATTGTTTATCAATGTCGTCTTGTGCTGTAATAATTATTCATATCTAGCCGGAGCACCAAGTGCCCAATAGTGTTTCCCCCATCCTCGCTCTTGTCCTCTATGCCGAACAAATCGTCTTCATTATCCAGGCTTGCCTTCCTTTCCCCGTACCCCCTACGCTCACTTAGCCCTCTGCAAACCGTTATAAAGAGAGAAGCTCGTTTCTGGAAGTCCAAATATAGAGCTTGCACTTCTTTCTTCCTTGATGGTGTACCTTCGTTCCTAGGTGTCACACTATTTTGGAGGGCTGCGAAGCGGAGAATCGTGCTAAATATGCTCGTTAGGAGATCCATAACCTCTTGCTGACGCTTCCGAAGAAACAGAGAGAACATGATTCGGTTAAGTGTTCGCTCGTGATATTGCCGTAGCTTATGGATGCCGCCTGTAATGTATGAGTCTTCTTGGTCAATGACGCGCTCGATTTCCTCCAGTTTAGCCTCGAACCTCCGCCACGTGCTATCGATTGCTATCTCGAGAAAGTAGGCGAAGACGTTGGTGACGAAATGATGAGCTTCGATGCTGAAACGTTGCTCAAGTGCACCGAATTTGCGATTCGAAGCGCAAATGATCATTTCTCGTCGATGCTGGTTAACGGAGTATACCAATCTCAGGACACGCAAAAGAAGCTTGAATATGCAATCGTATTTGTCCAGGCTGACATCATCGATGACGGGTTGAAGAGCCAAAGGGGGTTGATAGTATAGTCGAAGAAAATCTAGCGCTTCAACGCCGTCCCGGTTCATGATTTTCTCAAGGCCGTCAGCGGGGACCGCTCGCACAGCAAAGCTTAGGCCGCCTGGTAGGTCATTCGTACGGCCCAGATAACCAGCTCCCGAAGAATCTGTAGCCTGGTCGCCAACATGATAGGTTTCAGAAAGTATTCCCATCAATGCAAGGCGAAGCTCCGAGCTTGCAGGAGGCCAGCTCTCCCGACTCCCCAGCTGGAGCCCCATCAAGCCACCAGAAAATGAGACCCCGCGCCTTCTCTCAGTTGACTCCAAATTAGGGTCGAAAAGAGCTTGAGTAAGTCGCGAAGAGAATAAACCATCTCCGAAAAGTTGATAACGGCGCTGTAGGGATAAATGGAGCTTCAGATCATACTCCTTAAAAATCATGCGAAGACAGCATGTGTTTATCAAACGTGATTGTGCTAATATGATAGGATAGAAAGATAGCAGTGGGCCCGCTGATATAGGAGGGTGCAAAGGATAAGAATCATCTTCAGCTTCGGTGTGTGACTCGAGATCTCTCAGTAAAGCTTCCCCCAAGCCTCCGTCGGCTCCTCTCTGAATGGATAGCAGGGGGCGCTCAAAAAGCCCATTGGAGACCGTTATCTGAGCTTGTATATCTTCCTGGCTCCGGCCAAAAATCTCGAACACGGAATGAGGGCCATTTGAAGCTGTGATATTCACTCCTGCATTGGGATCATCGGCCGCTAATTCCGCGGAATACTTTCGAATTTCTTTCATCAGATTCTGCTCGTATTCTTTCGCTCTCGCTTCAACACTGCCTTCTGTCAGTAGCGACACCCAACTTGATTGTGATTATACCGGCGGTAGGTTACCTTTCAATATCCCACGATATTTTCCAGCGCAAGCAGGGGGGCTCAACGGTCGAACTCAGCTCAACTTTTGCGAGTGGATGGTCCGGATGATGATTCAATAGATGTCTCAGTCCTCTTCCGGTCTCGAAAATTATTTCTGCCTCCTCTGCGTGTACAAAACTCGGCATTAATTTTCTGTCTAGATGCTGAAAGATTGATAAGTATAGAAACGTAAGGACAAAAATCAGACCTCGGAATAAATGAGCTCACATAGTCCGTGTATTTGTAGGATCCGGCCAACTCAGCAGCGCGAATATCGGAACCACGCTTGACAAAGGTGTTCTCCATTTCAAGTGCAAAGTCGACCAAACCTTCAGATCGATGAAGTCCAATCCATGACTCGACAAATTCCAGCCAAGGCTGGAAGACACGTGTAAAAATTTCGATGACGGTGCCTCGGAGCCAGGCATGTTTGGATTCAATCTTCTGAATGGCTATATAAAGACTTTCTAAAACAGCCGAGTCGGTCTCGAGGCCGGAGACTGCAGAAACGAGTTCATCCATACAACTAAGCATAAGTTTCGGACGTTGGAAGAATCGATGCAATTCAACAATGGTGTTGATATTTGTCGCGTCAACACTCATTTGCATTTGTAATGTGGAAACCGCGATGGATATCGCATCCGCCAGTGCCATGCCAGTTGCCAAGCCCCTTTAACATGAACGCATAAGCACCATTTTTTTTGATGAGATAATTTATGCTTACCTGAAGAATCCGGTGCCTGCCAGGCCCCTTAGGCGCCTCATCTGGTTTCCGCATCGAAGAAGTTCTCCTATAAGGCTGAAATTATCAGATGGTGAAAGAGAAGCCGCTCGGTCAAAGGTACCTTGTGAAGCTGGTGCTGCTGTATCCAGCCGGATGGGCACCCGGAATTTTGGGGTAAAAGGATTGAGCATATTCGTCGAAAGAAAATAGCAGGGAATTTTGGCCGAGGCCCAAATAAGTCAGGCACTGGAATATACACATTAGTAGAGCTCATCCTCTTCCTCACGAATGAGCCAGTTTTCTCACTTTGATGAATATTTCGATTTCCACAATTTTTCCAGACTCAGAAGTTTCTTTTGTCGAAAGTAATAATGCATCGAAAGCACCAGCTCCAGCTTCAGTGATATATGGCGTCCCTGGGTATTCGAACGCCTCGGATAATGAGGCTTCCCAACAATGATATCTCCGACATGCAGCCCTTGAGGTAATGACGTCTGATTCTCTCCATATATCTTCTCCTTTGCAGTATTCTTCCTCCGTTGACTTGTCTTCAGCAGCTACGGCAAAATCTTCGGGATCAGTCCGGGGAGAGCTTCGATCGCCTGAAAGTCCATATTTGAAGTCATCTAATTTTGGCAGCAAGAGATTAAGAGACTCGGAGGGTCTCAGGACCAGCTGATTGCTTTCTTTTATCGCCGAATTAGCTATATACAGTTGTCAAGCTTGAGCATAACTTACTTTCATCAGCTATGGGGAAAAGTCGACTAGATGAAGGTGTGTCGAGCTCTGTAAATACTGACGGACGCCATAGATCATGAAGGGCAAATGGGTCGGAATCATGCTCATCAAGTAATATTCCATTGAATCTGTCCATTGTATCACATCGTGGAGTGTTTCGAGGTCCAGCACCTATTGTGGTGACGCGCTCCAAGTCGCGTATTGTGCTCCAGCCACACCCATACAGGACCTGTCGGCAGAGCTAAAGTAGTTGCATGTCGGTGGTTTGCCCAAAGAAGCGCCGACATCGAGCTCATTTCAACCCACTAAATTGCAACAGAGATTCATCATCGAAGACCGCTACGCTGTTCAAGTCAAGAGAGCCTGCGACATATCTGTATCATGCCGCCAAAAAAAAAGGCACGGGGTCCATCTCGCTCGCGAGAAAGTCAATCTGTGGCCGCTACTCCTGGGAGAAGCGAATTAAGCACTGCCGACGTGGTTTCGGACTTATGGACGGACGAACAAGAGACGTCGCTGTTCAAGGGCATGGTGCGTTGGAAACCCGTAGGTGAGTTTTACAGTACATCATTATTCATTTTCAACTTCTCGGTTTCCTTCGAATTTCCGGCTTTAACAATCGGTTTATAGGCATGCATAAGCACTTCCGCATGATCGCCATCTCACAGCAATTACGAAACCATGGTTATACATCACCAGCCGACGGGCACACGCGCATACCAGGCATATGGAAGAAACTTGAGTCGCTTTATAATATGGAGGCTCTTGATGAACGGGTGAGACCTGTCACTTATTCTTACATGTTCCAGCATATTAATTGGGGCACCAATGTCTTAGGAGAATTCCTTCATAGATGAGGATGCCGAAGAGACTGATCCAGTCACGGAAAGGTTTTACGAGTTCAAATTACCAGAAGATGAATACGGCGAGCTTCAGTTCGAACGACGGCTTGCGGAAGAGCCATCATCGTCCCCGCCCATGCTTAATTATCTTCAGCCAAGCGCTCCAAAACGAGGGGCACGATCAGCTACACGGGGACGGGCAAGTACATTGGACGAGACTGAGGAAGGTAAGGGACAAGTGAATGGGGGCCTCATTCGAGGCCTAGCTCAGCAATATTGTCGCAAACATTTGCTGATCTCGTCGCTGATAGAGCCGATGTCGTCGCCTGCACCCTCGCGGCAACGGAAAGGTACTCGGCCCGTTCGAGGAAGTCGAGTTGGCACGCGGTCTCGAGCGCATGCTGAAGAGAAACCAAGCACGAAAAGAAAGTCAGGGCGGATAGCATCCACGGTAGAAGAGGATGAAGCAGAAGGCAGCGCGGAGGAAGAGGAAGAAGAAAGCGAGGAGGAGTCGGAGAAGGAAGAAAGCGCAGAAGAAAGTGCGGCAGAGTCACCAACACCTACACCAAGAACACCGGCTAAAGCAGCTCGAGGAAGCCGATCTCGAAAAAGCCAGGGTGGTACGCGACGGAGCACACGCAAGAAATAGTGCGCTGTCACGAGATGAAGCAATTTCATTCCTCTCAATTGTCGTCATCCTCCAGGAAGCACAGCAATTCAAGGCCTGCGACTCTGTGGGAGACGATAATTACCCGATGGGCGCCAACTACTCTGCGAGCTCAAAGAGATAATGTGTGCCATCAAAAGATAGGAGAATATGGCAAGGTGCACCAGAGGAAAATTTCTCTAAACCTAGAAACAGCTGTATGGGTTTGAAAAAGCGCCCATCCGCTGCAAGTCAAGTCAAGGGAAGCTGCGCCTGAGCTTGCTCTTCCCTACATGAGAAGCCCTATCGTCCCCTCGGGCTCGAAGTACTCAGTATGAAGGGACAAGCTTCGGTGCTCGTTGTGCGGAAAAGCTGCTTATCGTTGTTGCAACTTTTGCCCCAAACCTGCGTCTCGTACATAGTCTCTTCTCAACCAAAAGAGAAGTCGTCCTTGAGTCAAGGGAGCCACGGAAACGTGGGAAATGGCTGTAGAGGTCAATGAGTGATTCACAATGGCGTTGGTGTTTACCATAAGTCCCTGGAGTGTTTACACTAATTTCAAATCGAAAATAAAAGGCCTCGGATATATAAACTCCAAGCATGAGCTCAAGAAGGGACAGCATGGACTACCTGCTCCCTCTTTCAAGTCTCAGAACCAACTTCGTCAGACCAGAGAAACTGACTTCCTTCTTATCTGTTAATTCTTACTCATATAGCGTCCTTGTATCGGGGCCCCTTTTAATTTTCCGCTATTTTGTTTTTCATAGATTTTTGGAAATGATTACCGCTGAAAAAATCAACATTACTTTTCGAATTACCGATCTCGGCTTGCCAAAGTTTGGAGCTCAGGCTTGGAGAACATCTTCATTAGTCGACATGACGCTAAATTCTTGGCCGTCCCACGCGCCATCCTCAGCTCAATTAGTGAAAAGAGCTAAGAGATTTACAATGCAGTACAAGTACTGAGGCTTTACCTCGTCCAAATTCGAAAGGATTCATGAAAAAGTGGAGAGTCATAACGGTACCTGACAGACGCTCATCGCGCCTAAGGTAGGTAAGGTATTCAGTAGCTGTCTCCCTCATGGAGGCGTTGGAGATTCACTTTTGCGAACCCATAGAGACAACCAATGATGATCATTAATGATCTCGTCTACATCCCAGAATATTCGCTGCTAGCACGTATACTGTGACAGGATGCCTCAACTGAATAGTGACTTGCGTCTCCGAGAAATGTCCGTCTTCTAGGGAAAAATATTCTTTCGCCTTGGGACCAACGGGCAAACCATGAGTGGATCACGCGTGATCTGAGACACAGAGAGGCTTGGCACAAATACCCCCTGTATAGCCAATTTAGAATGCGAGGCTTGTTACCCATAAGTTCACTTATCATTCTGCGCGCTCCTTTCCCTTTCCCGCCCAAGTAGGCGAGAGCGGCTGAAGGGACCCCAGATGCATTGGCTTGCTCCTCGGCAGAAATTTCAGTTGGCCAGGGTACAATTGATGGCTGAGATATCGGTAACACCGGCTGCAGAAAGCTTCGCCTTCTTTATCTTCTCTCATATCTGGCTTACCTTCGCACGGGATTTCTCGTGCCCAGAACTCATTGACCCCCACACTGGATAATTCCTATGGGTTCTTTAGCACGGGAAATAGTAAGGTCACTTGTCGATGAAACTACTTCTAGGTCAGGGTTTCCTGTGTCATCAGACGGTCAGACCTATTGCCTGGAGCTATGATCATCGACGAAACTACTTGTAAATGAGTTGGCTTTCTTTTTCGCCATGATGTTGTCTTCGAACGAGCCGAGATACTGGATCACATTGACAGGAGATCGAGGCACAGCCAATAGCCTCCGTAGGCACCGCCGTGTGAAACGGAAATAACCCACATCAGGCCAGTGATCAAAGCTCGAATTGCAAAGGATGCAGCGAAGGTGGACCACGTGTTTGATTCGTTTCCCCAACTCCTGGACACAGGAATTCCACAGCCGCAGTCTGCGACCTGCCAAGAAAAAGATGGGAATGCAAACCAAGTTTGATGGCTGAGGCTGAATCTACCTTTCTTTTTTTTTTTTTTTTTGGTCCGACTACGGAGCCGTGTCCGTACTACAGGAGGGAGAATTAAGGATAAAAATGTTACAGATTCACTTACTCCGTATGATCCATTCTTAGCGCCTCGAAAATGAGTGATGGCCGATGTGGAGCACAGCACAACAATGGCGCAAACAAAAGGTTCAGGGCGCAGGCATCAGGGCCTCAGGAACTGCCCCCCCACCCAAACTCACTGGACGGGTGGCCTAAAAGGGGGGCTAAGTGAACAAATCTCAAACCAACGGAAGAGCTATGATTGAGGTAAAATCCCCAGACCGAGGAGACCCTCCGGTAAGCGATCCCCTTTACTGTAGCGAGTTAGCGGGTGAAGAGTTATTGTGGTAGGGGCCAATGCCTCACTACTTTGCTTCCAAGGTTCAGCCCCCAAAACCCGCTCTCGGCCAGGCAGTGCTCTACTGGAGTATAGAGCTCTATTGCCTAGCAAGTCACCGCTTCCAAGGGCGCGTCTGTGATTGGAGCCGTGTTAATCCTTTTCGAGCCCCCCTTCCTTTGATTGGGTTTAACATAGCACACATGTTTCTCTGGCCCGAGTACTCCGATGGCTTGGGCGCATGCTTGAGGGCTGCAGATCTTGTTAACGCTCTCCTTTTGGCAAGGTTTGTCGAGAAACGATTGATTTAGAAGTTGGCTCATCTTAAGCTGTCCGCCAGAAAGCGCCACGGTGCCACTTAATTACCTGGGAACATTCAGCTCCGCACGATCATGGACCTATCGGAGTCTAAGGAGGAGGCGGGTAGCAAGTCTGTCCCTATGCGTATGGGCAGAGAGTAATGCTGCCCTAAACAACATGGGGAGCTTTCCCCTAAGCCTCAAGGCTGCGCAGGGGCTCGCGCTCCAAGAGCCCGTGGAAAGTGGAGACATTTCTGAAGGCTGCCTTTGAGCCGGCCGTGGGAGCCTTACCGTGTATGACAGATCTGCGTCCTTGCGGCTGCTATATGAACTTGGTCGCGGCGCCTTTGGAACAATCTAGCATCGCTTCCAGCTTACAATCCATCAATTCTCCTACGAGAAGCTATTCACCCTCGTCAATTCTGTGAGCCGGGATAATTCTTTCTCCTTACCTACATACTCCAGAAGAAGTCTATAATTTAAGCGGTATCAGAGGAAAATGTCTGCTCCATACGAGAAAGCAACTGGTCGGTTTCTCCTATCTTTGACAAGCCAAAGCCTCTTCAACGTCGACTGATCAAGTGTCTGAATTACCAGTGCAAGAAAACGCCGTACCCGTCCAGCACGTTCAGGCGTATCCCCAGTCTCCAGAAATGGCACAGCCGCCTCAGTAGTATGGCAAATTACTCCCCAGGCTTTCTTTCGAGAAGGACTAACATGTTTTCCAGTGCGGCTCCTGGTGTGCAGCCGCAGCAGCCTTATTATGGCACTCCTCCAGCGGTTGCCGGCTCTCCGCCCCCTCAGCACATGGGTATGCAACAACCATACGGTAGCCCTATGCAACCACAGCAGCCTGGTTACTTTACACAAGTAGCCCCAGGACAGCCTCAGTCCCCGCCACTTCAACAGCAGTATACACAATCTCCTGTCGGTGCAATCTCGCCGGCGCCACAGCAGCAGCAGCAACAGCAACAACAGCAAAACTCAAATGAAAAAACGTACAAAAACGCTACTCCCCTCGCTGTTCTTGGCCGTAGCGCAGCTCCCGTCGACTGCCCTGCGTGTGGAAATCGTTGCATGACCAGAATCACATACAAGACCGGCAACACCACACACGCTTGGGCTTTTGCTCTCTGCTGTCTCACTGGCCTCTTCTGCTTCGTCCCATATCTGATGAATGGATTCAAGGATGTTGACCATCACTGTGGTAGTTGTGGTGTCTTGCTTGCCACCTGGCATAAGAGCGGCACCGTAGACGTTCATCAGTATTCTTAATCCCCGTGTCTTAAAAAAAATTTTGGGTGGGGGCTAGTATGGCTGAGACCCTCACTTGGGGATAGGTTACGATGATGACGGTGATGATGAAGATTTTGATTTATTGCAGATACTCCCTTTCGTGTTGTGGTAGGCTGTGTTCAGTTTCGTCCTTTGTCTGGCGCTGGGTAATTTATTGTTCTGAAGAGCTGATTTCTCTATCCAATCATCCAATTTACTGTTTCGTCAATCTATGCTGCCAATTGCACCATAATTTCGTCTCAATGTTGGTTGGATGCATCCTTGCGTATCTTTGAGTTTGGAATCATGATGCATTGTTCAATGGAAATTTGAGATGTCAAACTGAATTGGTCTCCTTTTTTAATTTGTCTTCCTTTGCCAATAAATATATTCTTTAATTTGACTGCCAACTCGTATATTTGCAGGTGTGATAATTAACATCTGGAAGCATTCGGTCTCGCCGTTGAAGAGGATATTCAATTGCTATTGTTTTGGCTAACCTCCTTTGACGTTTCCTCGTCTCTTATCTGCAAGCTTAATAAAACTGATCATGATCATTTTTGGAGCTCAAACCAATGACAATGCCTTCATTTCTAACCGTCTGGTGAATTGTTCTGAGCAATAATTATCTGGTTACGGTTGTTCCGCCTTCAGCAGGTATCATCACGTGTAAATGTCCTAAAAGGGTAGCTTAATTGATACACGCTCTCAGCCAATCACTTTGCAGGATGGAAGTACTTAACGCGTCTCGTCGGAAAGAGACGCGTTCCTCACGCGATCATTGGCTCGAAGGGAAAGAGCGAGCCTTCGCGTCTTGTTTCTCTACTTCCTCCTCTAACTTTATCCGCAATCGCCGTTGTTGAGCATCTGCAGCCTTCATTTTTGACAATTTTCAACTACTTCTACGTACCATAACATTTCTACTCTACGAATCGGTTTCTCTGCTCAACTACTGTCAATCGTGTCACTTGGATAAATTGTCTCTGCTCGCCGCTCATTTTATCCGGGCCTCCTTGGGCCTTTTCTCCGCAACACCCTGAACGATTGGTCCGGACTCGAAATAATATTTCGCAATGGATGGAATACAGCTCCGCGATGAGACAGTTCGCGATCGGATTCGAGCTGCGGAAGAGTTTCTCGACCCTAGTATGTATCCTAGCTTCCTGTTTCGATCGGCGCCGATGCAGTAAGGACCGCTTGGCTAACCTGCTTCACATAGATGATCCCCGCGCGCGAAGGTCCGTATTCCAAACTACGACTCACAAAATATGATGTGCTTTTCCTCTTAGCGTATAAGAGCTGACCGTTACTCATAGCTACCGGGCCGATATCATTCTCATGCTAAATCGTGGTCTCAGACGACTTCCTGTACGCTCCTACGGTTATCCGCCAATCCCAGAAACTATTCTAACATAAGACAGGTCAGCCTCGACGACATAAGAAACCACAGTCGAGAGATGGCGGAAGGGTAGGTGGAACAATGTACTTTCTTTTACCGCGCAGAGTCTCATATGTCTACAGTCTCCTCAATAGCCCTTTCGACTTCACGGGAGCATTCGATCAAGCGCTCAGAAATATCGTCACCACAATACCTAACCGCCCAGCGAAGGAAACAGCAGATGATGTCGTAAGTTGTTTTGATAATGTGCATCGAATTTTTCCACGCTAACCTTTCTACTAGGTTTATTACTGCGCTTATACTGGAAGCTTTGGAGATTTCGCTTGCAACCCCCGTACGCTAAGTTCTATGCATTTGAACCGTATGGTGTCTCTAGAGGGTATTGTTACAAGATGCTCGCTGGTTAGACCTAAAGTCATGAAGAGTGTGCATTACAATGAAGAGAAAAACACCTTCCATTTCCGAGAATATAGAGACCAGACTATGACGGCAAGTGGAGTCACTAGCACTGGTATTTATCCTCAGCAGGATGACGAGGGTAATTTGGTATGGTTTTGCGTCCCAAGTTCTTATTATTATGCGACTAACCCCGGTGCAGCTCGAAACCGAGTACGGCTATAGCAACTACCGCGACCATCAGACCATTTCCGTCCAGGAAATGCCAGAACGTGCTCCAGCCGGGCAGCTGCCTCGAGGAGTGGATGTGATTATGGACGATGATCTCGTAGACCGAGTGAAGCCGGGAGATCGTATTCAGCTCGTCGGCATCTATCGGTCTCTGGGCAATCGAAACGCCAACACCAGCAGCGGCACCTTCCGCACACTCCTCGTTGCGAATAACGTGGTTATGCTCTCCTCCAAGTCTGGCGGTGGCCTTGCGGAGGCCACGCTCACTGATACCGACATTCGGAATATCAACAAGATCGCCAAGAAAAAGAATGTGTTCGACCTCCTGTCTCAATCGTTGGCGCCCAGTATCTATGGGCATGACCATGTGAAGAAGGCAATCTTGCTGATGCTCTTGGGCGGTATGGAGAAGAACCTCGACAATGGAACCCACTTGAGAGGTGACATCAACATTCTCATGGTCGGTGACCCTTCAACCGCCAAATCTCAACTTCTGCGATTCGTCCTAAATACTGCGCCATTGGCTATTGCGACGACTGGTCGCGGATCTTCCGGTGTTGGTTTGACAGCGGCTGTCACTTCAGACAAGGAGACTGGCGAGCGTCGATTGGAAGCTGGTGCCATGGTTCTTGGTGACCGTGGTGTTGTCTGTATTGATGAATTTGACAAGATGAGTGAGATTGACAGAGTGGCCATCCACGAAGTCATGGAACAGCAAACGGTCACCATCGCCAAGGCGGGAATTCACACATCATTGAACGCCCGATGTAGTGTGATTGCGGCTGCCAACCCAATCTACGGTCAATACGATCCTCACAAGGAGCCGCAAAAGAACATTGCACTTCCCGACTCTCTTCTGTCACGTTTCGATCTGTTGTTCGTCGTGACAGATGATGTAGACGACTTTCGGGACCGTCAAATCTCTGAACACGTCCTTCGCATGCACCGATACCGCCAACCGGGGACCGAGGAAGGTGCTCCCATTCGTGAGCAACAGAACCAATCCCTTGGTGTTGGTGTAGAGCAAGAGCAAGACGCAAATCGGCCTACCGAGGTCTACGAGAAGTTCAACATTATGCTTCATGCTGGTGTGACTGTTACCACTGGACGGGGGTCTGGCCGAAGGGTTGAAGTGCTCAGCATCCCCTTTATCAAGAAGTATATCCAATATGCCAAAGTCAGGGTCAAGCCGGTCTTAACAAAGGGTGCGGCCGATCACATTGTATCCACATACTCTGCTCTCCGCAATGACGAATTAGAGAGTAATCAAAGGAGGACCTCACCCATGACAGCTCGTACCCTCGAAACCCTGATTCGTCTTGCTACCGCTCACGCCAAGGCTCGGCTTTCGAATCGTGTTGAAGAGCGCGACGCACTCGCTGCCGAATCGATACTTCGATTTGCACTCTTCAAGGAGGTCGTGGAGGTCGAGCGCCGGAAGCGTAGAAAGGTCAACCGAGGCGCAGAGGAAGAGGAGGAATCGAGTGAAGAGGAAGATGAGGATTCTGAAGAAGAAGAAAATGCACCTACATCTGGTCGCACTGGCACCACACCGCGAACGCCCCGCCGTGGTGGGCCACGGACCAGAAGAAGCGGACCGGCTGGGGACGATAGTGAGGACGGAGACGATAATGACGGAGATGGCAGTGGGCTTTACGGAGTCAGCCCCCGCACCCAGCGCACTCAGGCTACCCGGACAACCACCCGCTCTTCTGCTGCCGCTGCCGCTGCCTCCTCCTCCAGCGCCGCACCACGAGGAAGCCAGTCTGAGTCGCAGTTCTCAATGGCCAGTTCGCAGCCAGCGTCGCAGTTGTTGCCCACGCAAACGGACGAGGATTCTCAGCAAAATGCTGCAGCTGCAGCTGCTTCTTCTTCCTCGGCCGCTGCACCAGCTCCACCTTCGGCTGCCCGTGTGCAAGCTTTATCTGCCGCACTTGGTCGATTGATTAATGGGCCACTGTTCAGAGACGATGCCGCTGATGTTGCGCCTCTCGTGGATGCTGTCAATGCACGCCTCGGCCGCGGTCAGGAGCCGTTTGAGCTTGACGAAGCTGAGGCCGTGCTGGAAATCATGAATGACCAGAATAAGATTATGTAAGTCTTGACCTCCTATATTTTTTTTTTTTTTTCCATCTCCACCTCTTCAACAGTATTCGCTGACTTGTTTGTTTTATAGGTACTCTGGCGGCGTTGTCTACAAGATATGATTTCGTCATTTGAAGGAACAGAGTCCAGTGAAGACTTTGTTGGGTTCTTCGGGTAATGGTGTACTGGCGCTCACTTGAGATTGCATGGAGTTATGGTTGAGTCTATCGTCCAGTTCAATTGACTGTGGTGGATGTTCTACTTTTCTCATTTCGTCATATTCCCTTGAAATTTATATTTCACATGCTCATCTGCGTCTCGTATATTACATTGGGCATGGATATGGTACTTTTCTTTCTCTGGGTATTGCAGGGGGGTTAATGGAGGTTAGCAATCAGATTTATCAGCATGTTGTTAAATAGTAATGAAATGAGTTATATTTTATTTTCCCCCAAGATGCTTTAAATTTTGATTATACAAGATGAGAAAAGGAAAAAGATGAACAGTGTAAAGTGGGAGAGCTTGTGGCGGTTCAAGGGAAAAGATATAGAAATAAAGGGAAAAAGGAAAAGGACACTTTGAGAAGAGATAAAAATTTTTGAGAAGAAGTATGGTCATCATACTCAAAAATCAAATAAATTCTATCCCATATTCTGGCTTGCATGTTGTTGTTGTTGTCGACGGCGGCGGCAGCGGCGGCGGTGGACCGTGGAGAGTTGGAGCAGGTAAGGTAAAGGGTGAAGCTCCAAAGAAGCCGATTTGATCTAAAATAACCACCACATGGAATGAAAAAAAAAAAGGAAAAAAAAAAGAAAATTGCCTATACACGATGACCTGGTTCAAAAAGACAAACGACACTTTAAACCACAACCTCGCCTCCGTCAACATACACGGGCTTCCAGGAAACAGAAGCGCCATCTTGGCCCTCGACATCACTGGGCACGCGGGTGTCCATGGGACTGTACAAATACCAGCCCTTGAGCGAGGAGATGGCAGCGCGGATACGGGCCTCGTCGAGACTGCCGCCGATGCCTTCGCCGAGCTTGTCCTTGCCGGAGTAGACGCCGACCACGAAGACCGGGTGGCGACTGTGGCGACCGGTCTCGCTGAGCAGGCGAGCAATGAGGGGCTCGAAGCCCTCACGGGCACACAAGCGGCTGAGGTCGCGGGTCGGTTGGTTGAACTGGAACAAGGCGGCAATGTCGAGCTGGCGGCTCAGGAAATGGTCGTGGAAGAACTTCTTGGCGGCAGGGCGGCCAGCGTGGAGGTAGAGGCCGCCGAAAATGGCGCGGACGCAGTTGGCGCCGGCGTGCTCGGCGGTCTCGCCGCGCTTGTCCTCGACCGTGACGCCCGGTGCGAGTTCGGGTCGCTCAGAGGCTTCCATCTCCGTCTTGGGCTCGCCGTACATGTTGTCGTACACGACGCGGGAGCTCATGCCCCGTCGCCAGCCCATCTCTTCGTTGGGGCGTCCGCTGGTGCCCTCGGCGGGGGTCTCGCCGGGAGTCAGACGGGCGAATTGGAGAAGGCCGGGGTCGACTTCGCCGCCGGGCTCGGCGGCCAGCTCGATACCCCATTCGTGCCGCACTTGTGAGAGCGCCTTGGGCCCAATGTATGCGTACACGGCTTGGAAAAGTACCGTCAGGGGTAACCGTGGATACTTGCACACCAGGTGCTCGGCGGCATAGTAGCCCAGGAGATTGTTTCCGAGGGTTCGCAGCGAGCCGTTGTTGAATCGTGGAGCGGGATCCGCGCTCGGGTCGACGAGCGCGCGTGCCAGCGTCTCCAGCGGGAAGCGTTCGGGGAGCCCGAGTCGAGCGTGCAGCGCGGCGAGCTTGGCCGAGGAGCGTGCGAGTTCGGGTGGAGGAGACGGATATTGCGTAAGTGTCTCGTAGTCGTATACGATGTCTTGCTCGGCGGACGATGGTGGTAAGGATGAGATGGGTTCGGATGAAGGCGAGGGCGAGGAGAATGAAGAGGAAGAAGAAGTTGCAGGCTCTGCAGGAGATGTTGCGGAGGGTTGGGATGATGAGAGCGAAGGTGCTGCAGTAGCAGCAGCAGTAGCAGCGGCAGCGGCAGCTGTGGCGGCTGGTGCAGACGGTGCTTCAGATGATGAAGCGTCTGTTGCAGCGGAATTGGATTGATATCTAACGTTCAGGCTGCGAGCAGCACATGGGCGTGAGATGGAGAGATGAGCGTGACAGGCCCGTGTCGGCCGTGCGGACAGCACCTGGCCGCACCATCTCTCAAGCCGTAATCGATTCATCTTGTCTCCAGTATTATGCTCCTCCGCATTCAATCCCAACCGGCTCGAGCAATTGGCTTCGTGGCGAGGGCCAGCACCAAGCGGTCTCTTGGGTGCTTTGTCGTTGTCGAGACGGTAGATTCGGGAGTCTTGTGTCTTTGAAAAATTCCCAAAGTAGTCTGATGGAGCCAAAGTCGCGAGACAAGAGAAGTACCAAAGTACCAAAGTAGCTTTGAACGGGAGTGGATTATGTAATCACCTCCCAGCTTGGTCTAGTCACCAGGGCCCCGTAGTTCACCCACTTGTCTCCCCCAACTTGGCACCATCTCCACATTAACGATTAACTAGCTTAGGCGCACTGGTTCCCTTTGGTCTATACGGCTCATTCAATCAAACAATAATCATACAAATCTTGCTTTATCATGGATCACAAAATTGAAAAGGACACGCTGAAAGGCGAATTGGTGAAAGGTGCTGCAACGGCTCAAGGTCATTCTGGCGGAAAGATTCCGTGAGTCTCTAGACGCTGGTCCCATCTTACCAACCCCAACCGTCAACATTACCGAAGCCCATAGCAAAATGACGCGCAAGAAGATGATTCAATATGCCAAAAGCAAGATTATTGATGCCTATCTAATGAGCATATTTATATAGATATCCCAAGCATGTCTGGTCTCCGGCAGGTGGTTGGTATTCGCAACCTGCCAATTGGCGGGCCAATACCGCCGCCGTCGCTGCCGTCATCATTGGTCTCTCCGCGATAGCATTCAGTATTAGCAGTGACCGTGAGACACGGTCAAAATTCCCCGAGCCGGGCAGGTTCTTTCCGAGTCGATGGTATGCTTTGACGAACATTGGTCCAAATTGGATCATATCATATCACTAACTTTGAATTTCTTCCCAGGTGGAGCAGACAGATTAGAGAACATGAGCGTGGGGCCGCGAAAGAGACTCAGTAGGAGGACCCTGATGCATTTATCATGAATTACGCGCATATTATGGTATACCTTTGATTTGGCCAAAGACATACTCGGGCATCATTTCTGTTATGTGGTGGTATGGGGTTACATATCAGGGCTGTACATACGTCTCCAGCCTCTTTTTGAATTCGTCAAGGCGTTCCTGCACTTGGACACCATTCCATGTCTCCGTGCCATTTTCATCATAAGCAAGCGTGGGCATACCAATCTGCTCAATGGCAAAACTGGCTGCCACTGAACCCCATATGGCCGCTTCTTCGACGTTTTGCAGCCGTACTAAGCCCACTGAGAGAGCCCCTAAGAAGGAGTTACCACCCCCGGTAGGATCAACAACCCGCGAATTTGAACCCGTGACTGGGTCTGGTTGATGATAAGAAGGCAACCATCGCCGTCTCCCTCTATGGGCGACATAGCACCCATCTTTTCCCGCTCTTACAACGACACTGCCATTCTTTTTAGGACCAATTCCTGCCTCTAGCAGAACACTGCATTGATAGTCGAGTTGCTGCTGGTCGATGTCTTGTACTTGAGCATGCTCACTGAAAATATTGCCGTGCCAGAAACCATTAATCTCTTCCAGATTCGAGCTGATACAGTCAACTAATGCAATCGCTTTGAGGCAGTTTGGCAATTCTTCTGGTGAACACAGGTCGGACACCGGCTCCCAAATGAACAGCGGCCGTTCAGCTGCTTCCGGGGAGGCAATCTGCTTGCGTCTAGCAAGAATACCTGTCACGAGGTCGATGCATCGCAAAGGGGAGCACACGAGGTGAAAAGACTTGGATAGGAGGTGCGACGGTGGGAGAGATTCGTGAGTCAGCCGGAGCTTGGGGGTCAGATACTTGAAGCCTAATATCCAGCGCTTTTCAGGAAGCTGTTCATTCTCAGTCATTCGGGAACGAATACATACCTCTTTTCTCGCCCTCACCATAGCCGTTCCATCCTCTTGTAGTCAGTCGCTCTGGTGTCTCACGGAAGACACATGCCGTATCCCATCGTTGTATAAGCTCATAGACTTCGTCCGGGAAGTCGGAGCCAGCGTCCACAATCCATCCGACCGTTTTTGACTGTGGTGAAGGTGAGAGAAGACGAGCACCGATAGCAGCGAATGAGCCAGCACCTCCTGGAATGTTGTATACTGAGGGTATCGGAGGTTGAAAGTGTATCTCATCTGAGAGAAATGAGTAAAGCTGGATCCATCAGTCATAAACGGTTACTAGTTTCGCACCTATAATGAACATGCCAAGACTGCAAAAGTCAATAGTTGACTTGGCAGTGGTCTGAGATGCCATCATGATATGTGTATTAGCATAAGAAATCAAATAAACGAGGCTCTATGGGTGAATGCATTGTACGTTTCTGTGTACGATACCCGCAGTCATTTCCTTATCTCCGTCACTTCGATTATCGCTACCGAAATGATCTCCGGCTAATTGCGCCGGGTAAGCAATGGTTAAAAAGTAAGGGTTACGCATCCACCCCCAAGGATCATTCGGGGGAGCTTACCCGTATCGCCTGCAACAACTGCTAACTACCTATCTCCTATACATTACACACTTAACACCTTTAGCGTTTCATTATTTTCTCTCAATCTTACAACTTGTTCCATAGGTTTCAAGTTGGAGCTATTCCCATAGATCTCTGCAGGTCTTGGTTCACCCTTAACGAGTCTCGGGCTCTGTGTTACCTCGTACTACAAGGGGATTCCTCAGAAATTGGGGTCTTACCCCCTTAGTGCAGCTACTTGCCCATCATGGCACCGAGCGGCATGCATAACTTAACTACCCTAATCAAGCGGTATGTCCTCCAGCTAGCATATGAATGATAAAACTGCTCTATCTTTTCTCCATGCCATTTTCAATGAATGTGCACGCGCTTGACCTGGTCAATTCCATCAAATCGTCATGCCACACAACGCGCTGACTAGACTTCTTCTCAGGCTTGAGGCCGCCACCTCGAGGTTGGAGGACATGGCGCAAGCCACCTTTGAGAATCAAGAGACGCAGACAAAGCAGACGTCGCAAGAGCAGACTCCCACTGTCAGCGGCCCTGATTCTTCCGCACCAGCTCCGGAAACAACGGAGAACAAGCCATCGCCATCCAAGCCGGTGCAGGAACCCCTTTCGCCGGCGATTGAGGCTTTTGATGAACTGATCAAGGGTGATGTTGCGGCATACGTGAAGAAAAGCGAGGATTTGGGTGGCCTCGTGGCTGAACAAGTAAGTTCTAATGAGCATATGCTTGATCGACAGGAATTGTTCTTACTAAGATCCAATCATTAGGCCATTGGCGTCCAACGCGCATTCGAAGCACAGCGCCAATTCCTTGTCCTCACCACCAAGGCTAAAAAGCCGGATATTCAATCGCCAGTTTACATGGAGACCCTCACTGGGCTCCAGTCCACCATGGGCGCTGTGAGCGACATCCGTGAAGCGAACCGAGCTTCTCCCCTCTCCAACCATCTTACCATGGTCTCCGAGGGTATCACAGCCCTTGGCTGGGTTACTATCGATCCAAAGCCGGCCGACTTTTTGGGTGAGATCTTCGGCAGTGCCCAGTTTTATGGAAACAGGGTTCTGGCGGAATACAAGGAAAAGTACGATTAGCTATGATCCAAGCTCAAGACAACCATCAGCTAATACAGTCTAGGGATAAATCGCATGTTGAATGGGTTCAGTCTTTCTACCGGATCTTCAGAACTCTCATCAGCTACGTCAAGGATCATTATGCAATGGGTGTGACGTGGAACAACAAAGACGGAGTTGACGCCAAGCAGGCGATGCAGGAGCTTTCATCAGGTAAAACCTCAACTCAGGCGACTCCTACCCCGACCTCTGCCGCTGGGGGTGCTCCCCCACCGCCCCCTCCGCCTCCGCCTCCGCCGCCGCCACCGCCAGTGCCTCAAATGGACAGCCCACTTCCGCCTCCTGCTGCCAAGAATGTGCCTACTCCCGACATGGGTGCGGTGTTCCAGGAGCTAAACAAGGGAGAGGCCGTCACCTCTGGCCTGCGCAAGGTCGACAAGAGTGAGATGACACACAAGAATCCTTCGTTACGTACTACATCATCTGTGCCGCAGAGGAGCGACAGTAGCTCCTCTATTGGGCGCGCGAAATCACCAGCTCCGCCCGGCACGAAGCCGAAGCCGGAGAGCATGAGGACGAAGAAGCCGCCCAAAAAGGAACTTGATGGAAGTAAATGGTTCATCGTAAGTCTTTCTCCATTTACATTATTTCCTTTCTCCAGCAATATCGGTGGGAGTCGGTGCCATTAGATCTTCAATGCTGAAAGCTTGATTTTTAGGAAAACTTTGAGAATGAGCAGTCTCCTATCGAGATCCAAGCCTCCATTCAGCATTCGATTCTTATTACTAAATGCAAAAACACAACCATCCGCATCATCGGCAAAGCGAATGCCATCTCTATCGACAATTGCACGCGAACATCTCTCATTATCGATTCGCTCGTCTCGGCCGTTGACGCGATCAAATGCCCCAACTTTGCCATTCAAGTTCTGGGTACCTTGCCAACTATGATGCTCGATCAGGTCGACGGCGCTGCCATCTACCTCAGCACCGAGAGCTTGAACACCGAGGTCTTCACCAGCAAGTGCACGAGCATTAACGTCAATGTGCCCCCTAGCTCCGAGGAAGAGGACTACCGGGAGTGTCCACTTCCTGAGCAGCTCAAGAGCTACATCAAGGATGGTAAGATTGTGACAGAGATTGTCGAGCACGCCGGTTAAGCATTTGATGCTTCTCTGTGACCTTTAAGGATCTTGGAGGCACATTAGAGCACATGCCATACCTGCAACCATATGAAATCCACTTATCTTAGAAATATTCTTTTTGGATGAGTTGCACTTGAGCAAATTGCATAGGTTGTACATTAGATTGTATTGCACCAATAAGCACATAAGCCAAAATAAAATTTCAAGAATATTAATATTGTCAAACTTTTTTTATTCCCGGAAAGTGAAATAGTATGCCCATGCCTAGAGTCAAACTGACTTAGTTGTACAAATATCTGAGTTGCATCCGTCATGATGCCGGCATAACTGAAGAATATCCACCAGACCCTTTTAGGAAATAGAAGATCGTTATGAGGTGTGCGGAAAATTTGCGTGGTAGATGATGAGTCGAAATAAAACCACAAGAGCGCCGAACCCTAGTAAGAAAGTCAAGCAAGCAAGTCAAAAAAGTGTCATCAAACGCGCAAGGCACAGGGCACAGGGCGCTTAAGCCTCCTTGGTGTCTTGCTTCTTGCTCTGGCTGTCACCGGCGCCACCATCGACTTCGTCGTGGCCGCGCTTCTTGCTGGCGGCGGCATCAGCGGACTCAGCAGCCGGGGCGGCAGCGGGAGCACTGGAAAAGCAAAGTAGAGATTAGCATCGGAGCGAGACTTAAGCTAAACAATGAATTGATAGAGAAAGAGGGGAGAGGAAGAGATAAAAGGGCGGGCTATAACAATGCAGATGTAAAACGTACCTCTCGTCCTTGGGCTGCTGGGCACGGTTGTCGTGTCTGCCACCACGGGCACCGCCGCGACCACCACGGCCACCACGACCACCGCGTCCTCCTCGACCTCCACGGCCTCCCCGGCCTCCGCGGTTATCTCTGAAACCACCCCTGCGCTGGTCATCGCCTTTCTGGTTGGCTCCGCGCCATTTGTCAGTGTTTGGCTTGATCCTGCCAGCAGCAATCTCGGCGGCCTTGCCCTCAACGTAGTCCTTCTTGCTCTTGATCAAGAGATCCTCGCCGTTCCACTTGGGCTTGGGGTCGAGGGCAAGGAAAGCCTGCTGGGTCTCGGGCTTGTCGAACTCAACGAACACACTGCCCTTGAAAAGCTTAGTGTAGGTGCGTCGTAGACGGACAGCGTTGGTAGGGCCATAGGGCGCAAAGAAGGCCTCGATATCGAACTGCGTGCTGGGAGTCTCCTCGCCGAAACCCTTGGCATAGATGCTCCGGTCAAGAGCCTTGTCTTCAAAGACCTTGACGCCCTCGCCAGCGTTGGCGTTTTGAGCTTCCTCGCCAAGGGGCACCTTGCGCTTGACGCCCTCGTCCTCGGTCACATCAAGAACTGTGCTCTCCTTGAGAGCATCCAGAACGGCAGAGTACGGCTGGAAGTGACGCATGCGCTTGAAGCTGTGCAGAACTTTGATGGGCACAGCGCGGTTCTTGCTGCCACCCACGCGGTCCAGGAGGAAAGCATCGAAGGGGAGGTTAGAGTCGGAGAAGTAGAACTCGACCTGTGCAATGTTAGTTGGTGATAGTTGTGACTACATATGCATGGAGAGGTGAGCTTGCCTGCTTCCGAATCTCATCTGGGTCACTGGATTCCTTTTGCGCGGTGAAGTCCGACTTAACATTCCGACGGTGCTTAGGGTTCGTTGAGTAACGAGGGGCCGGAGCCGTCTTTTCCTCCTCCTCCTTTTGAGGCTCTTCAGCCTTTTCCTCGGCCGGCTGAGCAGCTTCTTCTGTGGTCTTGGGCTCGTGGGCCTGCGTCTCGTTCACAGTCTGGTCATTGGGAATAGAAGTAGCCGCGGGATCGGGCTCAGGTGCCACAATTTTCTGATCAGCCATGGCGATGAAGGTGTTGATTTATGTTGTCCAGTGGGTATTATGCGATGTCTGGTGTCAGATATGTTCACTCTAAATCACACACAGCTCAATTCCAAGCGTGGGCGCGTGTAGAGCAATCGCGGGATAACCACACAAATAAATTCGTCTTTGACTCGGAAAAAGTTCAGAACGCGGATAGACAAATGGTACTTGCAGCGTTCCGTAATCGGTGAATTTTGTTCCGTGGGCCAGCGAGCAGCAACCAGTGAACCTCGCAACAAGACAAACAAATCACAGATGGGCATAGCGACCAGAGACGCTACTTGCGATCTCTGTGCTTAGTCATCCGTCTTTTCCATCGTGGATGCCGAGCAGGAGGACGGAGAGAAGAGAGTGCTTGGTTTAGCAGTCGACATTTCGCACTTCCACGACAAGCCTTGAGGCGTACACATCTGCCCATCATGCGGAAGAAGTTTCACGGTCTCAAGAAGATTGTAAGCATTCTTTCCCCCCTTCAAAATTGAACCAATTACCGCAGCTTCTAACACTTCTATGTAATAGAAAATCCGGCAGTCATGGAATAAGATCAACCTGTACAACATTGCGAGATCAAGGCCGCTGAGCACAGGACATTTGACGTTTTTCCAGCAAAAATGGGCTGCGAAGGCTGCTGCACGCGCTTACCACGGTGAACAAATTCGGGAAAAGCAATGGCAGCGCATGTTCAGCCGACGCCTTGCCTCAGTCGTCCCCATGGACCACCGATATCTGGCAAGATTTGATGGATCAGAGCAGGCAGCAGGAAGGGGTTCTGGGTTGGATCCAAAACCTGATGAACGGGTTCGTCCCGTCGCCCGGACGCCGTACATGAATATGACTTTTGCTCCGATTGAGCGAAGATTAGACACGGCCATATTCAGAGCACTGTTTGCGAGCAGTACCCGCCAGGCACGGCAAATGGTTGTGCACGGATTCGTCAAGGTCAATGGCAAGAAGGTTCGCATTCTCTCATTCCCTTGCGCTTTTTCCCGGGAAGAAGCATGGCAGTTGAATTCCCCTGGCTGACTTAATCTCCGCACTAGATGATATATCCCGGCTACTTGCTTAACCCGGGCGACATGTTCCAGGTTGACCCGGAGCGCGTGATGTTCGCCACTGGCGCAGAAAAGGACAAGACGGAACGTCGAGAGAGCCGAATGCTCAAGCGATCAAAGAATAGCGAAGCTGGCGAGGGCGAGGAGGCTGGAGAGGCTGCTGCCGAGTCTGCAACCCCCGAACAGCAGAAACCCAGCGAACAAACACCCAAAGAGGCCAAAAAGATGATCAATGACCTGATGAGCCAAGCCAAGGCGCTGCTCTCCGGCTCCAAGGACCAGAAGGTCTCCGCGAAGCGCAAGCAAGATATCCGTGCTTTCCAGCGCACTCTTAAGCGCACCCTCTCCCAGTCATCCAGTTCGGTTCCGACAGGCCTTACCGACAGTCTCGATGCCCAGCTTATGGAGCTCACGTCTAAGCTCTCAATATCTTCAGATGCCGAACAACCCCAAACCCCCGAAGGATCTGCCTCGTCGGAAGGAATATTCACGCCCGAAGACAAGGCTGCCTTGAGAGAAGCCATGAGAGAGATGCGCGAGAACCCAATTGATCCCACCAAGCCATATGCGACGCCCTGGCGGCCTCGCCCCTTCATGTCTGCATTTGCTTTTATCCCGCCTTTCCTTGAGGTCAACCAGAACATTTGCTCCGCTGTCTACTTGCGACACCCCGTCGCTCGGCCAGGCTTCGCCGAGGTGCCTACTCCTTTCAGTTACGAGATGAGCCAGCTTGCTTTCAACTGGTACCTTCGCCGAAGGTGAGCCGGGCATGGCACTTTCAACCTCTCCTCTTTCTTTGAGTTTGGCTCGGTGGAAAAATGGTATTTGGCCGATCACTTTCTTCCATGTGTCGGCATGGGATTTCTTTGCTCATGGTCCCAAGGCATTCCGGGATTGTAGAATATGTACATTATTTGTAGCGACTTAGATGGCGAAAATTAGATGCTTTAATTCGTTCATGCAAGATACGTTACGTCTGCTAAAGACAGTGCGCGACAAGCTGCGAAAACGTGTTTACATCTCTCATTATTGGGTTGATATATCACTCATGTGCATGACCGAGTGATCTTTATTGCTCTGAACTACCGCCACGCACCCGAAAGCAGCACAGAGAGGTTGACTAATTTATCAATTGATTTCAGTCATTAATCAAAGAATCTTGGATAGTTAAGTTTCAGTTAATCAACGCCGTACATCCTTAAGTGCCGCCTTTAAAGTAAGGTGAGAGATGGATCCCAGATACCCACGCAGTACTAATTAAAAATCTGAGGAACATCTGATGGTATATGAAAGAGATAAAGAAAGATCAAGTCCCGCGTTAGAAGAAATAATTTGACAATCATAGTCCTGACAATACGGCTGACAGCGCCATTTTATCATAGCGAACATATTTGCCGCGGCCGCGATCAAGCTCGTGGTATCGATCCCAGAAACGAGCATAGAGCGGCTCAATATAGCGTTGCACCTCTCTGATCAAAAGAGGTTTAATGTCGCGATCTATCGCGAGGGTCTTGTGACGGGTGAGGAGCTCGTCAAAAGTGCTATTGAAGTTGCGGAATTTGTCCTTGATAGCATCCTTGTCTTTGCTATTAAGTGCCTTGACTACGGCAGCGGAATCGACACCACCGCTGCCCGAAGTTGGCCGGCCTGCGCGACTCGTGTATTGAACGTCCAGCAGGTACAGGGAGACTTCCTTCCAGGCATCGAGGTATAGGTTGGTCCCCTTCTTCTGCCAAGCTTCCATGCGGGCGCTGGAAGTTGAGAGGAGGGAGTGGAGATCAGATGATCGGATCATCCGCTCGATGACAGCTAGGTTGTTCGAGACAAATACTCCCTGGAGCACTCTGCCCTTGAGCAGCGCCTTTGCTCTCTCTTCAAGACTGGCCAATAAGGTGTCTACAGTATCTAGGACGTAGTGCGCGAGGAGCTGTCGCCCATCGGCCCCAACATCGAGTGTACTGATAGGAACTCCCTTGGCAGCGGATGAGGATGGGGGCGACGTCCAATTACCGTCGCCCAGGGCCGTGAGAATTGATGAAAGCGCCGGTAGATAGGCCGTCATGGTTTGTAGTCTCGTCATGACTTCTGTTGTGGTGGGCAGCGCAGAGCCGTCCGGAGGAAGAGCACCATGGTTTTGGATACGGCGGCGGGTGTCATTGAGCAATTCGTATAGCGACGCTTTCGCCGTTTCGCGAATGTGCTTCAACGCATCTGACAGCGGACCTTTCAATTCTCCGGTGGAATGGTCGAGTCGAAAAGCAAGCTTTGTGACGATGTCAATAATCTCATATGCGAGAAAACAGTCAGTCGTCAAATTGTTCCTTATATGGGAGTTTAATTCTTGCAAAGTGCGCGAGAACTCGGCCAGTGAGTCGCGGCAGGTGAGATTGAGTACTCGGCCCCATTCCTCGCGAGAAAAGACAGGTGTGATAATCTCATACTCGGCAAGATACATTGCTTCCAAGGATTCGGCATAGGTTCCAATGCCACTAGTACCTTGCTGGTAGATGGCATCGTGCGCGCGCTTCCGTGCGGTGTTGACCGAGGCTGCCGCAAGATTCTGAAGGCTGGAATTAAGGTAAGGGCCCCGTATATCGGCAAATATCTGTGCAGTGGGGACAGCTGTTCCGTGGGACTGTGCGGACGTCTCGACATAGGAATTTATCAGAGCTAGCCGCGAGATCTTGTCCTGTTCAAAGACGGGAAAAGGGAGCTCTGTAGAGTAAAAATCAGAGAGTGATACACATATTTAATCTCGAATTGCCTTACTCTTGGTGAGATAATGCAGCGGCTCCACTGGACGGGCATCTTCGTTCACCAGATCTCGGAACAAAGACTCAAGCTGTTGGCTCCCTGATTTCAATAGGCTATTCAATTCTGAGATGGCCTGTTGGTTGGCCCGAAGATTCGTGGACTTGAGTTCAGACAATGCAGTAGTAATGCGTTTTAGAGAGCCTAGGAACTCCGATAATCCAACCTTGCCAATCCTGCTAAAGTGTTAGAATACGAGCTATTAAAACCCAGGTATTTTCACGCACCCCGCATGGATAATTCGGTCTTCTCGAGCTTTAAGGTCTAGTGGTTGGCGAATATGCGCAATTGCTGAATGCACTCGATCTATATCTGTGATAAATGTTAATATCCTGTTCCAGCCCGCTGCTGGGACACATACTGGTATTTACAGTCTGCAATCGTTGAGTGCTGCCGTATATGGGTCCAATAGCTTCCTGCACGTTTCGTCCGCTAACTTCAAGCCGAGTCATAGAAGCTTGGATCTTCTTTGTTAACCCCTTGAGCTTCTCCATATTTGCGAAGAGCACCTCCACCTCCGCGCTCTCCTCCGCATACGCCGCACTCCGTGGTCCAACCATGATGGCAATGGGTGAATGCGACGGATATGGTCAGGATACACAATTGCGCCGGACAAGAATAGAGGAGAGACTTTAAATATGCATCATCTGAGTTAGGAAAGAGAATGGAATGTAATCCTTTTACGGATTGGATTCGAAAAGTAAATGGAGTTATGAGAGACAGGTTCCCATATGAGCTTGGTTTCCCTTGGTAGCTCACTACCCTAAGTTCGGACCCCGCATTATCATTATTCCGCATTAGCGCAAATCTTCGGCAAGGAACCGCTGCCGCTAGTCCTGAAGTGGAGAGGGTTGACGTGCCCATGATTCTTCACATTCAACCTGTTGGGCGTTTCATGTGCCAAACAGGTTTCCCTACTCAAACTACTCTTGTCTCCTGGCTCCGGTTGATAAGACTTCAGCAGCATTGATTTTGGGCATCATGTGCCATCTATGTGCACCAGCCTGCCATGCATTACATTCATCAATTTCCCCGCCATACGTTTCGATTATCGCGAAACGCGCCACGACCTTATAAATTAACAACTCTCGCTCCTGCAGGTACTCGAAGTTTTGCAGTCTTTCGGCCATCGCGCAGACGTAAAATACTACGGCCCTTCATTTTCACTCTGATTGCTGGAGGAACGTTGATTCCATTGGTTGCTCTCAATCTTCCTCCTCTTCACAATGAAAGCAGCTCGAGTGGGAGACCATCGCACACGAGAGATTTGGTCAGCGAGCATGCCCGCAAGGAATCAGTCACCGATCGCGAGCACGCGATTCAAAGGAAGGAACGAGACATAGTCATTGCAACTTCGCAGGAATCATACGCTGGGAAAGGAGGTCAGGAGCTTCAGTCGGAAAGTCAACTCGAGAGTGCAGATACTTCAGCCTGGGGAGTCTTTTCGGCCAAGGTTGCATCCGTCAAGACCTCAGTCGCATCGGTTGACTGGGGATCCGTTGGAAATTCGGTTGCCAACTTCATCGTTCCAGACTGGGCCAAGATTCTGTCCGGTTATATTCTGAAACTTCAGCAGGAGCTTTCCATGTCAGATGGTTCGCTCGCATTTGAAATCTGGGAAGAAGCGCACGACCCAAGCATTAATCCGGAAATTCTTTGGAAAAGCTCGGTTCGCGTATCTGGGGAACTCTGTGATGAGGAAACGGATTACTTGGTTGCCAGAGGGAAACACACCAAGAAGGCTCTCGCCAAGTATCTTGACTTGCCGGAGAATGATATTCACCCTGACGACGTTCCGCGTATAGCAATTTGCGGGTCTGGTGGCGGACTGAGAGCCTTAGTGGCTGGGACCGGGTCGTTTCTCTCGGCCCAAGACAGTGGTCTGTTCGACTGCGTCACTTACACTGCCGGGGTCAGCGGTAGCTGTTGGTTACAGACTCTTTACTTTTCGTCACTCGGAAAGCGCGACCACGCAAAACTTATCAATCATCTCAAAGCCCGTCTAGGAGTACATATTGCTTTTCCACCAGCGGCCTTGGACTTGCTGACATCTGCACCAACGAATAAATTTCTCCTGACTGGGTTGATTGAGAAGCTTCGAAGCAATCCAGAAGCAGATTTCGGGCTCGTTGACATATATGGCCTTTTGCTTGCAGCAAGGTTGCTGGTTCCTCGGGGGGAATTAGATGTGCAGTCTGGAGACTTGAAAATCTCCAACCAGCGCGGGTTCTTGTCGGATGGCGCTAACCCAATGCCTATTTATTCCGCCGTGCGTCACGAAATTCCCATCGAAGAGGAGATCGACAAAGGCAGGGAAGATCATGTTTCAACCGAATCATCCCGGGAGCAGGCAAGGGAGATAGCGAAGCGAGAGTCCTGGTTCCAGTGGTTTGAATTCACACCATACGAGCTGTGGTGTGAAGAACTTGGCGCCGGCATTCCGACCTGGGCTATTGGCAGGAGGTATCGCAACGGCGAGGAGATTCCGCGAGAGACGGGAACTGCTATACCAGAGATCAAAGTCCCTCAATTAATGGGCATCTGGGGTAGTGCATTCTGCGCCTCGCTTGCCCATTACTACAAGGAAATACGACCCGTCGTGGCTGGTCTAGCGGGGTTTGGTGGAATCGACCAGTTGATCGAGGGGAGAAATGAGGACTTGATCAAGGTCCATCCGATTGACCCTGCAATGATCCCTAACTACGGTCTGGGGATGAAAATGCAGCTTCCATCCACCTGTCCAGAGAGCATTTTCACGTCTGACTATCTGCAGCTGATGGACGCGGGCATGTCCAACAACCTGCCGATTTACCCCCTTCTACGGCCCGGTCGCAATGTTGATATCATCATCGCTTTTGATGCGTCCGCCGATATCAAGACGGACAATTGGCTCAGTGAGGTGGACGGTTATGCTCGCCAACGTGGAATCAAAGGATGGCCGCTTGGGACTGGATGGCCCAAATCAGGTGCGAAGCCATCTCTTACCGTTGAGGAACTCGAGGCAGCACAATCTGTGTCTGCGGAAGAAGCATCAAAAAGGGTTGCCGAAGAACGAGAAAAGCATGGTGGGGGCGGAACCCCAGATTCAAGCGTTGCTAAGCAAGAGAAGGCCGAGAGTGAACTCGGCTACTGCACCGTTTGGGTTGGTACGACTGAAGAGCGCCAATTTCCCGAAGAACCACCGCCTTCAAAGCGCGTTGAAGAGGACTGGGAACTCATGAAGCCGGATGCTGGCATCGCAGTCATCTATTTTCCTCTCCTGCCTAACGAAAAGGTCCCAGGTGTGGACCCGCAACTGTCCGACTTTATGTCTACGTGGAACTTCATCTACACTCCTGAACAGGTAGACAAGGTCGTCTCCCTAGCCCGGGCGAACTATGAAGAAGGACAGGAGCAGACGAAGCGCACAATACGTGCCATCTATGAGCGAAAGAAGGCCAAACGGCTAGAGCGAGAGCGGATTGAAGAGATGCGGCGGTTTCAGGAGAGAGTTCGAGCGGGATACACGGCGTCCGAGGGGAACTCGGATCACGGTGATCATTTTAGTTGAGTGAGCGGCTCAACGCCGAGTCGGTATTTTATTGCGTGTGGATTTTTGGAATTAGACAGGATATAGAAAGTACATAATACCCTCATCATATTTGATGCTTTGAATACACTTTTTTTTAATTCAACTATCCATTTCATCAATATTCATATGCATGGCATCAAAGAAGGCTTTAATCGAAGCTGCTTTTTATCTAAGATGAATTCTGTGGTACGCCATTAATCCCACCCTGAGACAGCAGACAGCCGAGAAACCCTACCCTACCACTACCCTCAGATGTAAGGATATACAAAGTACCTAGGATGCAGTCTCCTTTCAGAGCCGGAAACGCATTAAACTTTTCAAATGTCGAGTCTTAAGACGTGCTTTGAGAGGTAAGGGGGAACAGCACAGCATATGATGTGTGATCTTACCGTTCTATTATGTCATATAGGCCCTGTTCGACGCCTCAAGGGTCCACGAGAGATTCTAGGTTTCACAATTTAGTGTTTACAGAGTAAGACTTTTTCCTGCGAACGGGAAAGTAAACGATTCGATTGATGTCGCGGGCGGAATTGGCATTCGGTGGGTTGCGTCTCCTGCTCACCAAGATCGCTTTAGTATCGGGAGGAAGGGCGCTATGAATTCGGCTAGATTATAGGCAGCTTCATACCCCGCGGGTGCTCGGACTCGTACTGGGCTGGTGGGGGGAACCGAGGTCGGAAGCTTATTAAAGAAAGCGGCACGAGGGCATAAAGTTAGGTCTTTTAGTGAGATTTGAAAGGCTTAGCCGATTCGTGCGTGTCGCCCACTTCGAAGGGGTCCTGGTCTGGGTTCAGTTTTATCCAACGTCGGCCCTATTATTTTTTTTTGTCCATTCTTCCCTGCCCACACAGCTCAGTTGTTGTAATAAATTACTCAATATCGTGTTAGTGCTCTTCTTTCGTCGGGCCTTTCCAAGCTACAAGGGCAGCTCCGAAACGCTCTGTCCGGGGACTCCGATGTGGCACGGATCCAGCATAGTTGCGAGAAACGTCCCACTACAAGCCCATCCCTACGTAGAAGAGCCCCGTCAGGATGACCTGACCTCATTTGTCCACTATTAATCATCATCTGTCTTGTCCATGTCTTAATCTTCTACTTGCCCCTCGCCACCATGGGAACTGGCTCGACGTATGCTCGTTCTTTAGACCCTTCCATACCAACTATGTGATATTGTGGTGCAAAAGGACTGCGATTTACACGCCTGCCTATTCGCTCTCGAGAATTTTTGAGACACGTTACAGTAATGGCCGAATTACCTATCACCGCAGACCCTGCTGTCGAGGGTTTTATGGAGCCTGATGTATGTTACCCTAGTCCTGCCAGTCTCGTCCTCCAGGAAAGCAGCAGAACTAATCCACCAAAGTTGAGTGATGAAGGATACGCAGAATCTTCGTAAGCTTGTCAAAGTCTTGAGAGTGGTAGCCACCATACTAATTAAATGAAAAAGCGCCTCCACATATGTGACATCGATTGCATCGGACATTCGCCGAGGAGTTGAAGAAAATGGAAGGACGTATCCTGTCTATGGCAAGAATGGTGACGCTTCCCCGCCATAATCACCTGAATCATGAAGTTAACATGGGCAATAGAATACGGTATGCCTGTTGATGATAAGGAGCAGGATCGGCTTGATCTTCAGCATTGCAAATACACGCTGTTGCTAGAAAATAAGCTTTTCTTATCACCCATCCCTGAAAAACCTCAGAAGATTTTGGATTTGGGTACAGGAACTGGTTGGTATTCCTATCTTTTGACTCGTCACGTTTCTTGCTGACCGTAGACAAGGCATCTGGGCCATTGACGTGGCTGATACATACCCCTCTGCTCAGGTATGTGAATTTTGTGCCATTTTTGGTATTTCCATTTGCTCTCTGCTCACCCGTTATAGGTGATTGGCACCGATCTAGCCCCTGTCCAACCGACTTGGTATATAAGCTCTCGCTTGCTTGGGGAAATAGAAAGGACTTACTTTTCTGACATTCTTTAGGGTTCCGACAAACTGTCAATTCGAAATAGATGATGCCGAAGATGATTGGGTGTACGCTAAAGACAATTTCGACTTGATTCACGGTCGAGATTTTACATTTGCCATCAGGAACTGGACCAAATTGATACACCAGTCTTACGAGTATGCATGTCCACTCTGTGGTGCGCCAATGGATCAAAATGATACACTGTTGCTGACTGGAATACAGACATCTAAAGCCAGGGGGATATCTAGAATTGTCCTGTGTTTATCCTGTACCAAAGTGCGACGATGGCACGCTTCCACCTGATTCCGCTTACGTCGAAGTCTCCCGCACATATAACGAAATGGCCAAATTGGCAGGTTGTCCCGCCGATTCTCCGCTACATTACAAAGAATGGATGGAAAAAGAGGGCTTCGAGGACGTCAAAGAAGTTATATATAGAATGCCGACAAGCCCTTGGCCCAAAGACAAGAGACTTAAGAAGATTGGGGGTTTCGAAAAATTAAACCTCTTGGAAGGCGCACAGGGTTTCCTGGTTCGAGGCTTCACCGGTGTCTTGGGCCGCACTAGAGAAGAATTGGAGCTCTTGTTGGCAAGATTACGGGAGGAGTTGAGAACTCCCAAATTTCACAGCTACGTGCCTTTGTGAGTGATCCTGTTTTGACCCATCCTTGTCATGTTTCTTTACTTATTGTTTCCAGCTATGTTGTCTACGGAAGAAAGCCAGGAGCTAGTTCGGCTGCCTAGTGCAATAATCCCAGAAGCATGGTTTTCGAACTACCTCCTGGCTTCGTTTTATGCTTTCATTGATGTTTGTCCCGAGATGAAACGGTCATGGGTGGTCGTGCTCCATTCAAATTGTCTATGGACTTGGAGTGACGGAAGAGATAACGAAGCATCATTTTCTGAGGCCAATGCAGTATCTTTTATGACTCGAGGAGCATGTGAAAGTCGAAAAGGTCTTTGTCAAAAATATATAGACAGATTACTCAATATTTTTCTCGATCATCTTGTACCATGTGGACCCTACCTTCATTTTGCAGGTTAGGTCCATGTTGAAGAACGCTTCATAAAATCCGGTATGAGATAGTCTTGTATGCTTTAGCCCAGGTGCGATATCCGACAAATTTTGACAACTACACTTGAAGCTATTTTCCTAACAAATTGCCGGCAAATATACATTTTATAAAAAATTTCTCCTTCGCTGGTGCCATTTTTGATCCTGGAGAAGCACTGTTATGTGTATACGATGCCTAAGATTTATTGTTTACCAATTCAAAAAAAAAAAAAGAAACTCAGATATCCTTCAAAAATTCTCGAAAAGCACCAAACAATCGAAAATAAAAATAGATTCTCATCACAAACAATGAACTTAGATCTAGCTACATAATATCCAATACAAGAAGAATGTGACCTGATTATATCAGAAATAAAATCCGGGTCTGGTTCTATGCGAAAATTCGGCCCGGAACGATTGGCGAATATAATCTACACTAAAGCCTAGATCCTAAAAAGCGGCCGGATGGTGTAGTTGGTCATCACGTATCGTTAACATGAGCCCTCTTAGGAAGGCCTTGGCACCGATAAGGTCCCCGGTTCGAACCCGGGTCTGGTCATTCTTTTTGCCTCTGCACCTTCTATGTTCAATTTCTTTCTTTTTACATAGCTTTTATTCTCTTGGATCTAAGTTTTATCATCTTTTCTTTACTCTTGATATTATGCAAGCGAGTATAATCCATTCTTTTTTGACTGGGTTTTACAGAAGCAGTGCGGTCATTGAAACAGACTGCACAAACCATGTTAAGATCCTTGTTCCTTGGAGTTCCGTGCGAGGGTGCTTACTACGGTACCCTTGTCGGCCACCCTGCCGCATATCGGAGTAGACGATTCGGCAGATTCTGCCGACGGCACCTTCCGGCTTTGGCCTCGGCCTGGTTGTCACTATAACTGGTAACCGAAGGCCTAACCGGAAGCTGCCTGGGCTAAAAACGAAAAACGACTTTTTCAAGCACAACGGTTTTCCCGCTATCGTGTAACATAAACCCTCATAGCAGGCCAGCCCTTCAACAATTGGCCGGTTGGTGTAGTTGGTTATCACGTATCGTTAACAAGTGACCATTTGGTTGTTTGGATTCCGATAAGGTCCTGAGTTCGAGTCTCAGATTGGTCATTTCTTTTTGTCTCGTGTGGACTCACCAATTTATTTTTTGGTTGGTGAGGGAAAATAATGGATGGTGGGTGCTCTCAAAAGTTTTGTGATGGATAAAGATCATCAATGGGTAGAGGTTGATATGGAGTTTCAAATTACGATTTTGGGTTTTGAAGCAGAAAAGTGAAGTTGTATGGAATTTGTTCATACGCTATGTAGAGCTGTACTAGAAGAGAAGTAAAGTATTTCTTGAATGCCCTGTGTTTCCCTGCAAACACGTGGGGAAACAGCGACAATAAAATATATCAAGGACTACAGAACAAGCCCTTCTATCTTGTATATTAGCAACGCAATACGTTACACTATTTGCGGCACAGTCAATACAAACTCACCTGGTCCTCATCATCCGAGTCTTCAATCTTAATATACTCAATCTTTTCCGAGCGAGCAGCAGAGGCCTGACGAGCAGAGGGTGGAGCAGGAGCTGTATCCCTGGCACGCGTAGTGGCGCGATCAACGCATTCCATCAAATGTTCCAGAAACTCTATTGCGCATTATTGCGCATAATTAGCATGTTCAACTAAGATACTCTGTACTCTGAATGGTAATATTTTTTAAGGAAAATTTGTATTCCTTACGTTCGACCTCAATGATGTCTGCCCGAGCCGGCGCGCCGGCTTTGAGTTTGGGAAGGCGCAGCTATATCAAATGTCAAGCGTCAGCATAACGAATAATTCCCAATCGTGTACGAAAACAAACAAAAAAAAATTATTTAATTTTCTCGATTGGTTTTTTCTTGAACAGGGCAGAGGTACTTCGTACCTCGTGAACGGCTTTTAAGTGGACCCTTAGATTACCCGTGTGGCTGAACTTGGACTGTGGATTAATGTATTAATTAATGTATTAGCGCGAAGTCTAATGCACTGCAGTTAAACGGGGCCCGAAACTATGGGGAGGAACTCACTTCGGTCCGGCACATCCTGGGCGGCTGCCCCACGTTTGCTTCGTTCGCGCGGCAAAATACTTCGACCGTGTATACTTTGACTTCGCCATTCTGTTTTATTAATCCCGGGAACGTTTCAGCGATAAACTGTACGGATAAATTGGAGGATTAGGATGGGGGGCAAACGGGGTCGGGCGCGCACTTCGTTGGTGGTAGCGAATGGAAGACCATCGGGACGGTTTTTAAAGCTGAGGTATCTCTATTGATTGGTCAGTGGTCTGATAGAACTTGCAGTAGGTATATTAAGATGAGAGTTGGAACGCATGTCTCACCTCTTTTGCATTCATCTCGGATTGAATTTTTTTAGGGACTCTTTGACGGGTTTCTTTTGAGATGGCAGGATAGATTACATACGGTACTTTGTAAGGTAGGACGAAAATGTTGTGCGGGTCGCTTGAGCGGACAAGCCGAGCTACAGTGCTGTACTGTAGTGTGGGAACAGATGGGAGATGATTTGCTGCAAAATGGGAATTTTACTGTAGAATTGATCATGATAAGGTTGCATAAGTGATGCATATTTGAGGCTTCTGATCCGAAGGGATACTAGGGTAAGAAAACACCTATTTTGGTACATTTTATACCGATTGGTAGACGTCACGGAGCTTACGCCCATCATTGAATTGTGATCAAGATACTTTGTACCGGTTCACTGATGTCCAGGGTACAGGGTATCCTGTTTTACGAATATGTGATTTGCCGTCCAAAATGTCCAACGCCGCAAACCGTTATGATTTCATAACCCTGCCAAGCAAGGGTTTGAGTGGCATGACTGGATCAGCACCAAGATCATGCATAAGTACGGCGTGGGCGGGAGCTACGGTACTCTTGACCGAACATCTCATTTATCACGAACGGTTTTTAAATATAAGAGACAGAAGCAAAAGAAAATCGAAAGGCAAAATGAAAGAAAAGACATCGCTTGGATACACATTTGTTGAAGCGCACGTCGCGATTGTACCATGCAGCGCTCAGACCACCGGCTTGATAGAGACATCCATCCTCGATCGAATTCACGTTATGCTCGCTGAGGTTGGCCGATCCTTATCCCCGAAGACCGAGCATTTTGGGAAGAAGTCCACCACATGGTAACATGGCTTGATGCAACAAAGAACGAAGCGTTCAGACCACTTTGACTCGCTTCGTTTATAGGTCTCCACACGCCTCCCTCGCTCCATGGAGAGAGTTCGGACCGTTCCACGGACGTCACCTGCCTCTGAAGCCACCAGACAGCTTGACCATTCCCCGCCAAGGGAAAACGCCCGAGTACTGCATGACAGGATGGCCATCTTTGCTTGACAAATAATTCGGTCTTCGGCCTTCAGCTCGGACCCTGGGAAAATTTGGGCAATTAGACTGTCGTATTTATATACGCAGTTGCCAGATCCAGTAAAAGATGGATCGAATGCATTCTCGCATGTATCATAGTGAGAAACTTTGATTCGAAACCGGAAATCAAGTCGTGTTCCTTTTTTTTTCAGCCCTCTTTGTCCGCCTGGAGATAAACGCATGACCACCTGCAGCATGGAAGCCCCGCGCGCAAGATCTGACATTGCGGCCAGAGTGCAAGACTTGGCAAGTCAGCTTTTCGATGCTGCAAAAGCTTACCAGTCAGCACCGGGCGAGCCCGATCAGAATGTCCGCAGGCAGATCTCGATTACAGCGAGACAGATTGCATCATTGACAGAAGACCCAATGCAAGATGCGTTAAGACTTTCCTCTGAGGTTCGTTTGTATGATCCGATCGCCTTTCTTTTTCTATTTTTCCCCTGGTAAACATTTTGCTGTTAGAATCAAGTCCTCATATTTTACTGGAAGGAGGAATTGACAATATGGTTTCCCAATCTAGATGGTGCTCATGGTAGCACTGCGGTCATTAATGACAATTGGCGTGTTTGAAAACATGCCGTCAGAGGGATCAATTGCGCCGGCAGAACTGGCCTATAGAACAGGGGCAGAGGAGGCTCTCCTAAGTAAGGCCTGCAACTAACCACCCAAAATTATACTTCCACCTCGAAATACATATTTTTTTTTTTTAGGTACGGGGACTAATCAATATGTAATATTTAGTCCGACTCATGAGAGTACCCGTGTCAATGGGCGTCTTTGAACAGACGCCAGAAAATCACTATGCTCGCACGAGCAAAACCGAGTCTTACCTAGGATCAGCTGGGTCAATGTTCGAGACCATGTAAGCTTTCCCCAAGCTCTCTCCTTGCAAACAAAGCTCAATACTCCCTGCGAAGACAAGAGCATCATATTGCCAACAGTCACTATCCTCTTCATTTTCCCTTGAAGTGAATCTGTTCGAAATTAACGAAATCAAATGCAGGATGGACAACTTCCTCGCCATCATGGTCAAGTTCCCCAAATACCTAGAGCACTTCGGCTTCAAGGAGCCCGTCAGCCAGACCGAGAGCCCCGTCTGCTTTGCTGAAAACGCCCTCGGCGAGGACCCCTGGAGTGTCATCAGCAAGGACCCAAAACGCATCGCCAACTTTAATAAAACCATGCAAGCGCAGGACAGCAGCATGCCGATGATCGGCATCTACGACTTTTCTAACCTTCTAAGAAACGCAGATGTCTCCTCGAATCCAGATAGGCCACTCTTCGTCGACGTGGGCGGGAACAGAGGCCACGTTATCAAGGCAGTCCTCGAGACGTATCCCGAGTTTTCTGCGCCCCGAATGGTTCTCCAAGACCGCCCAGTAGTCATTCAAGAGGTCGAAGAACTTGGTGAATTACCTGGTGTTGTCAAGATGGCGCATAACTTTTTAGACCCGCAACCCGTCAAAGGTTTGTCTTGATTTTTATCCTTAACTTTTATCCCGTTCTTCTTCTTGTTGTTGTTGTTGTTGTTGCGGGCCGATTGGAATCCAGCAGCTGTACTCCCTTCTTTTCCTTTCCTTTCCTTTCCTTTCCTTTCCATTCAACAACAAGTGCCATTTCACACCTTTCTCCGCCGAACCAACTCAATATTCTGACACTCATTGACATGCAGGCGCCGTGGCATATTACTTCCGCCGAATCATGCACGACTGGTCCGACGCCGACTGCCGCACCATCCTGAAGCAGATCGCCGCCGTCATGGCTCCAGACTCCAAAGTACTCATCTCCGAAACCATCGTCCCCGAGAAATGCGACGGCCCTAATCTCATGGCGGCCTGGATGGATCTGGTCATCATGTCGCTGGGAGGCAAAGAGCGTACAGAGGAGAATTGGTATCGGCTGGTGCAATCTGCAGGACTGCGAATCACAAAGATCTGCCGCGCGGCGATTGGGCCGCAGGCCGTCATTGAGGCGCAGCTTGCTTGATTTATTTCCGTTACTTTGGGTTACGTTACAGAGTACAGACTGCTTTGGGTCCCATTAGTAGTACTTTTGGTATCGTTGTATCGTTGCTGTAGGTTTCGATCTTCACTATTATGATGATGGTGTGATCAGTGGTCTAGAGATGGGGGGTTCGATATGTACAATGTAATTGGTATATATATACACAAATTGGACAGAAATTATAATAAAAAGATAAGAAAAATATAAGACAAAGAATAGGGAAAAATAAATATAATAAAACACAGATATAATGTAGTAGAATAATACAGATTCAAGGCTATATCGCCCAAGGGGCGAAGAGTTGGGAAGTAGTAAAACAAAGAAGAAGAGTATATTCCCCAGCTAGATAGACCCTTGGATGGAAATCAGATAAAATTGATTGGCCCGGCGAAATAAAGCGCCTCGAGACAAAATCACTCTTGTCGTAAGAGTTCAATCTGGAATTCGTCTTCGGTCTTGGGCATGCGCTGGACGGCGTCCAAGGTGCGAGGGGCCACACTGCGGATGGACTCCAAGGTAGTTGCACGTTCCTTTGAGGGGCCTTGAGACCGAAGTTGGACCAAAAAGGACGCAAGCACGACCAGGGTCTTATATGTGACGAGGATATCAGTGATGGCGCGCTTGTTACTGGGAGGCTTGTTCTCTGCGCCGAGGAGGTAGATACGGCGATAGCGCTTGTTATGACGGCCCCAACCGCGCCATTTCTGCATGAGTTTGGCTTCGCAGATCTGGAAGGCTTCTACGCCGTGGTTATTTTGCGCGAGAGTCTGGACGTAGAGATTCCAGTTGCGATTGTTGAGGTCGAATCCGGCGGCGAGCATTTCGCGGACAGTAGCAATGAGCTTGTCACATTGACCTGCTGCGGCGAGGCCTTTGACGAGATACGGAAACGGCGGGAGGAGCAAGTAGCGTTGAGACTTGAGCACCCAGCCAGGTTGCGATGTATCTGGGTCGCTGAGGCCGCGTGCTTGCCGCTTCGCTTGCTGCACGGCAAAGTTCCAGCAGCGCGTGAGCTCGTCGTATTTGCCTTGTCGGAGGTTGGTGACCATTAACGCACTGAGCAGCTTGATTGGCGGTTCCACCGGCTTGTCAGGATGGGTAGTCTTTGCGAGTGTGAGGTAGTCGTTGTAGAGTTTCTGGACCTTGCCAAAAGCGCCGCGCTGACCGAGAGTAAATATCAAAAAGTCGAAATAGGCGGCGGGGTACGCTTGGTCCAAGGGCTGGTTCGATATGGACTTGCGTGGCTCTTGGGCAGCAATCTCAGACGGGTCCGTAGTGCGCATCATTCGGTCGAGAATTTCTTCAGCCTGTGCGAGGCCCATGTCCGTTTGGCTGATACGCCGCGACGATTCGCCAGATTGCTTGGCGTTGGCGGAAGCCTTGAGGATAAGGACCTGAGTGGCGAAATTCGGTTTGATGTCGTGAGCGAGCATGTGTCTGTAGACGTTAAAGACCTTGTCTGATTGCCGACAGGCAAGGTAGCCGCCCATGACAATGGCGTAGTGCTGCGCTGTAGGTCGGAGTTTCTGACGAGGCATTCCAACTCGAAGCATCTTCCAGGCATCATCCGGCCTTTGGCATATGGCCCACAGCTGCATCATGGCGGCGTAGGTCCATTCATCCTGCCGAACATGGAACATTCGCATCCCGCGAAAGACTCGCTGAGCTGCCATGATATTGCGTTGTTGAGCCCAGCCAACAATGACGTAGTTCCACATTCGGGTCCTAGAACCACGGAGAGTGCTTTTGCGAAGCTTGTGCAAGAGCAGCTCCGCATATTTAATATTGCCAGACTTGACATAGGCCAGCACAAGGCAGTTCATCATGGTGGTTGACCTGGTGATACCTCTGGAGGAAGCGGTGGTGATAAGTGATCGAACGTTGTCAACATCGCCCCGATTAGCGCATATGCCCATAATAGTACCAAAGCTGAATTCATCGACCGGTAAACGAGTTGAAAGGAGGTTGCTAAAATGCTTAAGAGCGCCCTCCAGATCACCAACTCTCGTATGAGCATAGATGAGAATATTCCAGCAACGCAGGTTTTGATGAAGTTTGAACTCTTTGTAGATACGTTCAAATTGACGGACCGTTTCACCAACCTCTGCTCTTCTAGCATGCACGTACAGCAGACTTGGTAAGACGTTCATGAAATCAATCTCTTCGGCTGGGTGGATTGAGCGAAGTTCGTCGAAGAGGCTGTGAACCTTTTCGGCGTGCCCATGTGCTGCAAGCTCGGTCATCGCTGCTTGAAAGGCAAGCACCGGTGGACGACCGTGGAATTTATACCAGTCCGCAAGGAGCGTCTCAATGTCAGATACTGAGTGCACGGAAATGGCGTTTCTCAATATTTCGAAAAGAATCCGATGAGAGAGGGAGAACCCTTCTTCCTTTCGAACCTTATTGTAGAGCGAAAAAACAAGAGGGATGTTTCTTCTCTGCTGGAATATCTGTATAGCATCCGCAAACTGCTCTTCTTTCATAGCTCCAAATTCCAACAAGATGTCTGCTAGGCGATAAGCGAAGCGGGCAACAGGATCAGTTCGTGGCGCCTCTTGCATGATCCGGCGACGCGGTCTTGTTGGTGGTCGACTCTTTATCACTTGCTGGTGAAAATTGTAGCTGTTGAACTGGTTGTTCACGTTCTGCCTGTACTTGACTACGTCCTGTGATGCGGTGAATAGATCGGTAGACTGCTGGCGTGGCGTGTTGTCCGACACATCCGAGGCGAAACGGTAAATCCGTCCATGAAGGGGGTTGAATTTCCGGGCGGAAAGAGTGTAATTGATGAGCTCTATGGCAAAAGATTTCCACCTCTCATAATCATCATTACCCTGCTGAGACTTGACAAACTCAGCCAAGGAGACAGCTCTCTGCAGGAAACCGTCCGACCCAATGACCAATCGCCAGAGATCATAAGTGGATGGCCCAGGCTGCCCAGCTTCCAAAGATCGCCCCTGGACTCGTTTAAATCCCTCCCAAGTCTCAAGAGCCAACCTCCAATTGCCAACATTGATGGCCCGAACCATAATAATGTGTGTTCCAAAGTTTCCAGATCCCTTCAATTGCTCCACCGCTTCTCGATGAACTCCCAGGGCCTTTAGGAAATTCTTGGCTTTGAGGTATAGAACAATGCCGTCCCTGTACGATTGGGCGTCCTTTTCGGAAGGTAATATATTGTATAGATGGAAAGCCCTTTTCAGGTCCACGGGTCTTTCAGAAGTGGTGAGATAAGTAAGAACGCGTGCAGTCAGATCGAGACTTTCAATCTCCAAATGCCCCTGACGCCAGAGATTCCAAGCTCTCTCATAATCATTTCTTCGAGGGTGATCTAGTAGCCTTCTCAGCTCTGCAATATATTTCGCATTAGGGGCGGAGGTATGTGCTGGCTTGGAAGGCGGAACCGAAAGGTGGAAGGCCGTCTGCGCGTTAGAAATGCTATCCACTGTAACTTCAGCGGCTGCTGATGAATATGTACGCAAACCCTTTCCGATGCGTTCAGTCTCTCGGCAGGTACCCCATGAGGCGCTCTTTGCCACCGATATCCGCCGGAGGGTCGCAAGTGTTTTCGCAGGATACAAAAAGTCTAGTGTTGGCGCATCAGGCAAATTTGCTGGCCCGTTGCCCCTGCTATTTGGTTTTCCCGTCCCATTCTGCCCTACTGATTTTGGCTCGGATTGCGAGGCTGGAGACGCGTTGCACTGGAACGGATCAAGATCGTGGCCGCCATGGTTCCAGAAGGCGACATGCAGAGATCGCCGGGTGCGCACTGGTGCGGAAGAAATGCGTAGAAGGTTTCGTCCTCCTGAACGCGGGCATGTTGTTGCTCTCTCAAGCATGCCAAAGCAACTCGTTAATAGTGTTGGGGAATTATCGAATCAGTTGTGTTGCGTCGACCAAGGGAGCTTGCTGCTTTTTGGCAAAAAATGCAGATTCCTTAGCTCCGGAAAAGCCAATTAATGCTTCAATAGGCCTTTGAGACGCTTCAAACGACCAATTTCAACCTCGAAGTTTATAAAGAAACCATCAAAGCTAGAAAATTAAGAATGCTGAAACAAAAATCCACGACCGCTGTGATAACAATGCCACTCAAAGGTGGAATAGCATTTAGAAATATTATTGTTCGCCAGAGGAAGGAGAAACGAGGATCAATAGTTCCCTGCGCCGCCTTACCAGGGAAACTATTACCGAAAAGCACGTGCTCGCCTAAAGTTGCTTCCTATAACCACAAAGCTCAAGGAACGATGAACCACCAACTGCACGAGCGACGGTGGGTTGGACTCACATTGGCAGTTTACTTCAACCATCACGGTGCGATAGCAGCAACATGGACATTACACACTTTGTAACCTCTCGCAGGGATAATGCCCTCCTTGTGGGAGACTACAATTCATATCGAGCACAGCTTTCCAGGCGTCTGCAGACTGTCACGAAGAAACTTGGTCGCTCGTCTCTGAAAGGAAAGAAATACACTCCAAAGACACCAATTACGGCCGAAGATATTGCTGGGAATTATGAGTACGTCCTCAATTTTGCATCCCGTATTGATTCAAAATGTTAATGTTTCCCTAGGTTCGTCCATCTCCTTCTCCTCGCATCTGAGCGAGCATGGGCACATGCTATGCACATGAAATCTGTCCACTCTCAGGATACTACCGGCAAGGGAATTACTGGTACCACCAGACGACACATTATCTCACGGCTGCAGAAAGCCGCCAACCATGCCAATACACTTTCCCAACTGCTGGATGACCGCCAGACGTCTCACGCAACCGACACCGATGTCCTAGAAGCACGAGCATATTTCTCCTCTCTCTCCGGAGCCGTCGAGTTTGAAAAGCAGAATTGGGAAGCCTCTCTGAGATATTTCTCCGTGGCTCGTGTCATCTACCAAGCTTTGGAGGTCTCCACAAAGAAGGACATGTACCGAGACATCCTCTCTGGCACAATCGACCCAAGCATCCGCTACGCCGCATACCAGCTACGATTGCCACGCACCGTTGCCATTCCCGTGATTGCGCAGCGCTACTTTCCTACTTCGGAGCCAGAACTTGTAGCCCTGGTTGAGAAGCTTCAACCCCAAAGTCTAAGCAGCAAATCCGGGGAGCAAGAGGGCGCAGCAGACAGTGCGGACGGCACTCCGAAATCCATCACCTGGCGTTCTCGCACCGTCGATCTCGAGGATGCGTCCATAGCGCAAGCACTCGCTGCAGTCGCAGCTGCGGAGAGGAAACTCTCAGCATTTCTCTCCTCTCCTTCAGCCACAGAAATACCTGCCAAGGAGAAGGCAACCGCTTTTGACGACGTCCTTATCGCAAGCCAAGACGCAGTGGACGCCACCAAGAGTGCAATTGACGAGTTGGCTTCCGAGGGAGTCGGCCAGGGAGACAAGCGCATGCAAGCTTTGCAGATTACTCGAACCGCAGTAAACTACTCCCTAGTTGGCTCGCGAATCGGACGCAACCGCGAACTTTCTGGCAAACACGACGGCGCCCTGCTCGAGTCAGACGAACTCAAGAAAAAGCGAAAACCGAGAAAAGACGGTGCTGAGTGGGTTGAAAAGGAAGAAGGAACCGGCAAGAAACTTGCTCGTTTGCGGGAGCATGTCGTCCTCTACGATTTGACTCTCCAGGTAAGTCACACTCCTACCCAATAATGGTAAAACAATAAATCTCATTCTCATTTCCCCCAAACCAGAGCATCGACTCCATCAAAGACCTGCCCGGCATAGCAGCAGACGCCTCTCTCGTTGAAGAACTCGACGCCAAACGCGCCTACTTTCAAGCTCTCAAGTATGATCCCTTTCCATTCCCATTCTTCCCTCCCCCCCCTTTACCTCCTCCTTTTCCCCATCCTCCATTGAGACACAAACTCTAACACCATCTACTTTTCCTCACACAGATGCCTCTCAATCGCCCACTCCCACTCTCTCCTCTCGAACCGCGAGAACGCCCTCGCGCTCTTCCTCCGCGCCGCCGAACTCGCCGAGCACGCGCACTCCTCTCTTTCCACTACTTCCCCGCCCGCGGAGCCACCCGCCAACGCTCTTCCCAGCCTGACCATTTACGCCTCGCAATCAAACTGGCTCAAGACGCACGTGCACAACCTCGTCTCCCAGAACCGCGCTCTCGTCTTCTTATACCAGCAACTTGCTTCTTCCGATAACTCCTCACCCGAGGCTCCGTCCTCGCTGAAAACACCCCTCATCGACCGCCTCGACGCGTACCCTACCACTGTCGATTTCGATCATCTCGTCACCTACCCGCCCCGTGTCCAGCCCGTGCCTGTCAAGCCCCTCTTTTTCGACGTCGCGTGGAACTATATCGATTATCCCGGCCGCTCTGCCAAACCTGCTCCCGTCGCAGCAGCCGCGCCTGCGGCAGCGGCGCCGGTGGCCGAGCATAAACCCGAAGTGCAAGAGCAGAAGCCCGCGAAGAGAGGCTGGTTTGGATTCGGTCGATAGATTTACGCTTAGAATTTTTGTTTCCTTTTTCTCTTTTGATATATTGTTTATATTCCTATTTCAAACATTCCTCATCCTTCAAAGATTATTCGCGACTGTGATCTCATGGTAGTGATTATGAATCATCAACATGTTGTGCATTATCCAGACGACACTCTTTCTGTATAACGGTAGAATAGAACCTTACCGCACAGCACCTAACGCGAGCCATGAAGATAAGTCACGTATATTTCATTATATATATATATAGCCGCAGTTAGCTAGATCGGCCGTCGGCCACACGTATAATAAAAAAAGTATGTCCCATATGGTGATTCAATTTCCTCCAAGGGGAGATTTCCAAAATAAAACAAACTGTCCACTAGACCTTGTGCAAAACGAAAATGAAAGAAGGAATGGAACATTTGAAAAAAGGAAACAAAAAAATGATATCATCCAATTTCATCCAACCTTTGGCACCGCCGTAAATCCCGTCGCCGTTGAATACCCTGGCACCGATAAATGCTCAATAGTTAACAGAAATGCTGAAAAGTAACAATCGTATCGCTAAGAAAGGGTCCGAGCATGAGAGAGCAGACAGCCTTGGTTTGAGGAACTTGGGACTGGAAGGTACTATTTTGGCTGTTTACAGTATAGACCTATCATCTTCATCCTCGGAAGCTCGTCGCATGCCCAAGTCTCGAAGTTTCCGAGCAAGGAGGCTTTCACCGGGCGACGAGTCGCTGCCAAAGGGAGCAGCAGAAGGAGAGAAGCGATTGTTGCCGTAGCTGGGATGGTGTTTGTCCAGTTTACCATAGTCATTGTCGACATCGTTGATAGTGAGATCATTGGCATGGCGGTCGTTCCAGAGGCTCGGGCTGGCAGTATCATGACCAAAATCCATAGGCTGGGCCGGGGAAAGTGGTAGTCTTGAAGGATGGTAGCTAGACGCCAAGGAATCTTGATCATGGCTACTGGCCTGGACGTTTACGTGGTCAGTGGCGCTGAGAAGATGGGGGGACATCCAGCTGAGCGGTCGAATGGACTCGACTGGCGCAGGCTGTGTAGGCGAGATACTGGCATACTCGGGATGGTGAAAGGCGTTGTTGTGTCCCATGGAGTCGTGGGGAGGAAAGTGGAAGAATGGCGGCATTCGCTCAGATGAGTGGAATGCGCTTGGATTGTGGGCGCCGACACTCCTCCTCCATGCCGATCTTTCTGAGCCAAGGGCATGGGTTGTGCCATGAGGACTATTTAATAGGGTAGACTCTCGGCGTGGTTTATACGAACTGTATTTTGGTTCGGGGACTTGGATGTCATTGAGGAGCCTCTCTTTACCGTCTGGTACCCGATTTGCAAATACGACCCTGATGCTCTTGTAGAGATAGAAGCGACCTTTAGAAGGGCAGCAGATGTGCAGATGAATCATATAACGGAGTGTAGGCTTGTCTCCTGGCCCAGGAGTCTGAGGCAAGTCTGGTCGAGACGTCACTGGCTTTTCGATGATTGGGCCGGCCGAATAACTCCGTTGGCGGACAAATGTTTTGGTTCCTGGCTCCATTCCTGAAAGATCGTAGGGCACTAGGAAGAGCTTGACGGCGGTCTTGTTCGGGTTTTTGATGACGATCTGAAGCTGGCCTTGTTGAGGGATACGGTAGCTTCCGCCCGGAGGGGCTTTTGGTGAAGTGGACCTGCGACCTTTCTTTTCTTTGCGCCGACGGTCCGTTGGGTCTACCATTGCAATACAGCCGGGTGCTTCTTTGTGATCATGGAAGGCGCTGGGCTCAACCCGATTCATCTGAAGAGCACGCTCGTGCAGTTGTTTCTTCTTCTTTACCTCCGAGGCTTCTTCTGAGGACGGTAGGTGATTTTCGAGATCGATTAGGCCCACATAAGGACTAGGGCCGTCCTCTGCTGATGAGCTTGTTCGTGCACTACCAGCTCCATAACTATAAAATACTGCCGGAAATGGAACAGACACGTGTGGAGGGCATCGGAGGTTTGCCTTGCAATTGCCCTTTCCGAGCACCCCTATCTGGGCCACAAAGTTCAGGGGCCTTGAAGGGGTCGTTGACATGCGGCCGTGCAGAATGGACTCTTCGTAGGATCCTACCATTGGCGCATGGTGGAGCGGATACGTATCAGACGAGAGAGAGGGACGGCGAACCCGCAAAAATGAAGGAGAATGACTTGTACTAGCTGGTTGAAGGGTCACCTGGTTGGAGATGGATCGTCGAGGCTGATGTGCTTGATAAGGAAAGGTTCCTTCTCTTCGTAGGGACGGATTGAACCGTGCTGCGTGTGTCTTGGTCGCGTGCAAATCGGGGGAGGCTTGGAGAGAATAGCGCGCATGTGGGGGCATCGTATGACGTCTGTCGCCCTTTTTGGAGGTCGGAGAGATCTCTATGGGTTTGGTCTTTGCTGAGAAATCAAGGTCGGTATTGTTCGACTGCTGCACGAGAGGACTTGTAGGGGTTTTGAGGATGAAACCGGAGGAAAAGGAAGAGAGTGATGGGATACCGAGTCGTGGAAATGATGCATCAGGCGATGATGAAATTGGTTGTGGTGGTGGGAAGCGGGGATCGTCCTGGAAATTAGGCACCGGATGGTGGGGAAATGCAATCTCAGGCCAAGGTGGTCTTTGGAGAATCTTTGAAGCGTGTTCAGGTTCATGGTTGCTTTGATGCTCTGGAGTGTGAAGGGCCGGTAACCCCGTCTCCGTTGCGGGCGGCTGCTGAGTGAAATCTCCCGAATGGAGCGCCGATCTAGGCCTTTGGATTTCTGCAGGCAACCCCAAGCGCTCCCCATTTAGTTCTTTGACCTTTTCACTTTCCGGGGCGGCAGGTTCTCCATAATCATCTGTCGGTGAGGTACTCAATACCGGGGGATTGGGTCGATTGTTGGATTCATTGTCCGGTTTTGTGGAATCTCGCAGGTAATCCTGGAGCTGAAAGAGGGCAGTATTAGCGACTACTTCTACTCTGGGAATGACAAAGAAATAGACTTGTTTCCGAGGCGGATAGCGACAGGACCAGACAAATACATACTGGATTATTGGGAATCCAAGTTGGACTTTCTCCCCGCTTGATCCGCCGAATCAATTCTCGGCGGTCCGTCGTCTCTAGGCCAGGGCGATTCGGTTCAACTTGGCTTTCATCCGGCGGGATACCGGTGTCCATGACTACTGACTGGATCGATTTCTCTAGATTTCCTGCCCGCATCGTTTCTGCAGAGGGTCTTTGCGGGCTAGGCCGCCAGATGGAGTCGGGCATTGCAGAGGATGGCGGTGGATCCGGGTGAGTCAGATCACCCGGATCATGAAACATAGGCATGATCACCGGGGACGATGATCGGAGTGGTTCACGGTAAATCGTGCATTCGACTTTGTCCTTGTAGAATCACGGTGAAGGAAGAAAGTGTCATGGATATTGTTTAGAGCTGTAACGGGCGATGCGGTGGATGTAGAGTCGGGCGGCAGAGGATAAGTTGTATCGTGGTGGGGAGGGGACAGCACCTTATGAAACGTGTGGAGCTGCCAAAAGCATAAATTCATCATAGCATAACGTAGTTTAGTTCCAACCACCTACGTTATAGTAGTAATGCTCGACTGTACGGTTATCATCATACCATACCCGGCTGGGTGGACGAACCGACGTTAAGCCCGGCCAGAGTTTATTATATACCCTTAGGGTGTCTTAGTCGAGTGACCCTCTATATCACTTTCCCCTTCTACCGTAACTAACTGCGCAATGTTGATTACCCAACTGATTTTGTCATCACTCATCATTTACATAAATGATCAAATGACCTCGAATTGGAAAGACAATGAATAAAATAATGAAGAATAATGAAGAGGGGCGTTAAGTTAATCAAGCCATTTCTGCCTCTTTCAACCTCATAAGCGATATCGATAACGCACCTTGATGGCTAAACCCAATTGAGCACAATCGTGACCCTGTAAGTTAATGCTCATCCCACCACCCTACTTACTACCTAGCACTAACTATTCTACCCATTACCATCTAATCCAAATACTACCTGCAGGGGATGACAGAATCGTGTGCTTTAGGGTATGATTGCGAGCTATTTATCTCATAAGAGAAGGTGGTCTCATGTTGATTTAGTTCCTAGCAGAGCAATCAATTGCTCTGCTAATGCCGGTTTGCCGAATTACCCTTGGCTGTTGATCCAAAGCATATCTATCAGTAGTCCTATTAGGCACATTGCTCACTACTATACAGTGTAGACTCATCATTCCAATTAGTTGCGAGGCAGGATTCAGCAAGGTAGTTACTTCTTTTGCTCATGGCGTATTGTTGCATTCTACTTACTCTCGCGTTCCTGCTGTACCTCTAAAACACAGGGAGGACGTGATCACCAGCAATTCAATACCCAAAATATGGCCTCATACGTCACCAACCATTACCTGCTTCTAGCTCCTAAAAGGATATCTCTTTGGAACCCTCTATATTGTATCAATAAAACTGTAGATCTATCGGAGTACTGCTCTCACTGCTCCCTCCTTGCTCGCTTCGCTGGAAGATGCAGGGGTCGGGATTCGAGACCCCGACGCTCCGCCCAAATACCCGCTAAAAATTTACGACTGTCGGCTGAAAGTTGGAGAATCACTGGGCCCAATTGATCGCAAACATATGAATTTCACTTCTTGACAAAACTCACTTCCCATTCCATCTCTTACCTACAATTATAATATTACATCAACCTCATAACCCATTCACCTGAAGACACACTTCAACCCACAATAACAACTGAAGCCCACAACTCCCCATATACAAGCAACCACACGCTCTACAATGGCGCCGAAACGTCCTCTCGACGACACCGAACCCAGACACTCCGCACACTCCACTACAAAGAAACCTAGGAAGGGATTCACTGTCGGCCCCGACCATCTTCCTGATGGCACATACAAGCGGAAAGGTACCCAGCACCCCCTATCTATGATTTCATTTTGTCTTCGAAAGAAGAACGACATCATCTAACGCCTCGGTTCAACAGTCCAAAAGATCAAAAAAGACCTCATCCACAAAGCCAAAGTAAAGAAGGCCTACGCGAAACTCAAAGAGCGCGAAGCACTCGAAGAAGCCGAACGACGGAACCGCCAAGCACACGTCGGGACCGTCGCAAACCATACGAATACCGGCGCCACCGAGAACGCCGAGCCTTCCCAGACAACCGACGCACCAGAGGCACCTCCAGCCGAGCCAGCAATTCATCCAGACCGCCAGGCGCACTTTGAGCCCGAAGACGACGACACATCCGGGTCGGACAGCGACGATTCTGATGACGCGGGAGGCAAACCGCCGCGAAGAATCGGATGGCGAGGCGTAAAAGGGGGTTATGGTGATGATGAGGATGGGGAGGGAGGACGAGGAAGGTATCAGCGTCAGCGAAGGCCAAAGCCGATGCCGTTTACAAAGGAACGGCGACTGGCAGACAAACGAAAGGCCGAGGCCGAGGAGCGCCGCAGGCAGCGCGAAGAGGCGGAGAAGCAGCGCCAGCAGAAGCGCGACGAGCGGGAGCGGTTCCGGAAAGCAATGGCCAAAGCGCGCACGGGTGGCAAGAATGGACAGAGGAAGCTGGGAAGAGAGAGCAATGTGTTGCTTGAGAAGGCGAAGAAACTTATGGGTGAGAGTTGAAGCTGATCTTCGTCATACTTTGTCATACTCGTCATACTCGAGAATGGCAGAGCCTGTGAGGGCCCGAGGATGTGTGTAGTGCAAGGTGCACTTTGAACGAATGATTAGGCGTATGGACAGACCAAAAAAAAGTTTGACTCGGTGGATTGAAGCCGTTGCTTTCTATTTGCTTTAACTCGACAAGGCGCAGCGCCCTATCGATGTTGTAATTATACCTTTGATATCATAGTCATGGAGGCGTTTCGCATTTCGATTTTTAAAAATGGAAATACAGATGATTTAACTGGCACTCAACGCCGTGCACACGTGACGTTGTGATAAACAGCCCAATCAGCAATGATTATTTATAGTGAAAACCTTATATATCCGAAAATAGCCAGGAGAGTATCATTATCCGAATCCGAATTTTGCCAATTCTTGAGAGATTCCTACAGCGCCCATTTCAAGCGCCGTCTTCCCATGTCTGACATATTAACCCTTGTGATATTCCATAACTCCTAGGCCCAGCCTTCCGATTCCAAGCCAAAATTTAGTCTTGATGCTGAGAACTGGAAAGAAGCCAAGCTCGAGAGGACCGCTGCGCCCCGGTCAAAAGTGATCATGAGCATGATCGCCTTCACTGACATCGCTTCCGACTTCTGTCCAGCTTCCCGGAGTGCTAACGCCGCCCACTTCACTCAGCACGTCGAGATACCTACCCTCCTGACTATCTGCAATGGATGCAGCACCCAAGTCTTCGCCGCTCTCGGCAACCGAAGGTGCGGCAGAGCTCGTCTGAGGAGTTACAGAGTGACCGTGCATACTACCCTGGTCCTGTGGCGATGCGTATATCGAAGGAGACGTGTGTTCCGCCCATTCATTCACAGACCAGAAAGGAGAAGCTTCTAGTTCTTGACGTTCAGCCAGTGGTGACGCTGTCGGAGGCACTTGTGGAGCTTGCTGAAGATTCTCCGTAGCTATTTCCACAAGAGGCTGCTCAGGAAGCGGAGTGTGTGCTCGAGAGGACGAGGCAGCAGTGGCAGCATCAGTGAATACTGCATTGGCATCTGTAGAAGCATCAGATTTCGCATGATCCAGAGATATCGTTGTGTTGCTGGCTGTGCTTGTCCGTCGCGATTGTCGAGAAATGTGCTCGTCCTCTTGGATCCCAATGAGGCTTCGGTCGAAGAGGACCTGGCTATCCTCGGGGTCCGCGAACGGGTCAGCAAATGCTGCACCGCGCTGAAGGCCGCGAACTCCCTGGAGGCGCCTTCGCAGGCCCTCCTCCTGATCATCAGCATCAACCGCCGTTGCTCGTACAACATGGTCCTTCTTCAGAGTACCATCGGGTTCCACGAGATCGTCAAAATCAGTCATGGAGCCTTTTCTTTTTTCGTCAAACGTATTAGGTCGTATAGGTGACTGCCCGTGCATCTCATCTTGCCTATTGGAGTTGGACTTTCGCCGCGGAGTATTACTGGCCCCGAAAGGTTCCTCGGTGCGCTGCCGGGTGCGCTGCTGGGACATGGAGATCTGAGGATTGATCTCATCGGCAAGATGATGGAGCGCAAGCGCAACCTTGCGACGAGTGACCTCGCACCATTCTCGGACGTGTGGGTTCTCGTAAAGTACAATGCCAGCAGTTACGAGCACAGAGGCCGCAATTATGATACCTGCATTTTTGCATGAGCTTACTCACGTATATAGACATGACGAAAAGAGTGGAAGAGAAATAGCATCAACCCAGGAGCTTATCTATAAGCCCAAAGGCACAGGTGAAGAGCCCCTTTGATTTATACAATAGCAGTTCAATGTGGAAAAACGGCGAAGAGGAAAATGTACCTTTGGCAACAGGCATCATGAAGCCTGACTCCTGCGAGCAATGAGGAGATAGCCTATCAGTTAAGAGGACTGCGCGAATAAAGACGGAAGATTCTCCACAACCCAAGGAATGGATATCAAAGGACACAAAACCAAAATATAAGCCTCGGAGGACAGGAATCTGTGGTTGAACTTCCTCCAAGAAGTTCAGGACAGGTTGCCCCGAATTTGAGAGGTGAGGCGTAGCATGTAATTCAGCTTGGTTCAAGGGCGGATAAACGCCGGGGGGTTTCCTTTCTACCCCGCGATGTGGCGTGGCTGACTGCGCCACGTCGGCCCATTTGCCTTTAGCTCCCGACCCGGGGGGGAAAGAGGGGGCTTTTTCCTTGCAGACCTGGCAGTATTAATAGTGTATCTCCCAAGCCAAAAATCGTAGTCCCGGCTCGCTTCCGGCTCCATTCAAGATGAACCCGCTCGTTACCAAGTAAAGGAGCCAGGACAGTTTATGTATAAGTTACTGTAAGTGGTTAACTACTAACGGAAGCTCTACCCCCGAGCCTTCCCTCTAGCTTACCTTGCACAGTTTAACCGATAGTTAAGCTGCTGCCTGGTCTCATCGCTCGCGTGGGTAGCTTTGGGACATGAGATGTTCACCAACCGTCCCAGTCGAACAAGGGCATGCGTATGTGCATACGTAGCCCACCTATTCTAGATCACGCCGTCGGTTCAGGGCAGATGTTTTAGCAGGCTAATAATCTTCTCTAAAATCATAAGAAAGCGAAAGGAGAAATTTTAGGCAGAAGCAGTCTTACAACCTGTTGTTCTGCTTAAGCTCAGCTTTCCCACTGACCGGGTACACTCTGTCTATCAATGCTATCGACATACCTGCACTGGTGCTGTTTTCTTTCTCCTCCATTAGTCGAGGATTTTCTTATCTCGGTATCTGAAATAGACAATATACCGACGGCCTCTGAGCTTGAACGGGCCTTGTGCTGTGTATTCCTTCTACTGCAAGAATTTTTGCTAAACTGTGAGCACGGACAACATAAACGTCTTGTAGAACGGCCAATGTATCTCTCAACCCAGTACATTTAACTATGAATTTGAAATTCAATCATATCATCATTGGCAATGACCAGAGAAGGAACCAAGAAACGCCAGAGAACCGACAGTCAAGGACCCGCACACATGTTACTGGGCGATGACCTGGAAATCCGTAGACCTATTAACGCTCCACAGCTCAATGAAGATCCCAATTTCCCTTTTTGGCACAATTTATTTGGACGTTTCCCCACCATTCTTTGCCCAATCTAGCCAGCTTCCTCTGTATTCTCCGACCTTGTCATAACCGCCTTGTTGGGCAAGTTGTGCCGCGGCACTACTCCGAACACCTGCTTTACAGTAAAAGACAAGCTCCTTGTTTGGCGGCGGCTTTGTAAATCCAAATCGATCCTCAAATTCGTCTGCAGGAAGGAACAATGCGTCTGGCTGAGAAGCGATGGGAATATTGATCGCGGACGGGATGAATCCAGCTTCGTACTCGGAAGGCTCGCGCACGTCTGTCATTGAGAAGAATATCGTCAACACATCTCATTCTTGTATTCTCAAAGATGCTTGATATCATTAATCTCTCACCAATCAGAATACGGTCTTCGGTCGGGTTATCTACTAGGCTTTGAACCTGAGTGTGCAATCATTAGCTTCGCCAGCGAGATATAAAGAGCAAACTGTCAAGCACATACATCATTGAATTGATAAACTTTCGATTTTGAACCAGAACCCGAATGCAATCGCACTTGCTGGAGAGGAAAGAAGCTTGGGCGGGGCTGAACTGCGACCGCAATTCTTTGCTGCGCGGGTCTGAGCCGGAGAAGCCGGCCCGGAGAGACAATTGAAGAGCTGAGAGCTCTGAGAGCAGAGGAGGATACGACGCGCCGACTAGCCATGATATAGCTCGACAAGGAAACAAAAGGTACGTTAGAGACGCAGATAGCTACGGCAACACATGGGATATTAGGTATGACGAAACTAAAGGTTCCAATTAGACGCTTTCTCCCGCTCACCGCCTTTGAGCACTTAAGCTTCGGCACGGTTGTTTACCCGGCTTCGCTATAGTTGTGTCCTTAACCCCGGGTTTGTTGGAGCTGTCATAGCTCCCTCCTTGATATTCCCCAATCTGCTATTTGGATCATTTCTCAAGTCGCATACATTGGATATTGAGCACTGTGTATCACAAATCCTAAAAGCCGTTTGAGAATTCGTTCACCGGTTTTCACTGGGCGTTGTATTTATTGCGTTCTCTGGAGTCATTCCTGCGACAACCGCATATACAATCATGGAGTCCGAACACACAATATTGAACCATTATAATCTCAGTACCCCATACCCGACAGAGTGGCCGGCAGAAAAGGATGAAGCCGATGCATCCGATGAAGACATACCACAGGCGATACCAGGTCACAACAACATTCAGCGCCGGCAATCGAAGAGTCGCTACTCAGCCTTGGACCGCAGACCAAGTGAGAAACGACGGCTTGTGCCTGGAGCTCAGAGGGGAGGGAACGGGCTGGAAAACCTCGTACACAACGATGAACCAGATGCATTAGGACAAATGGACAGTGTTGTGAATGTTCTGCGCGAACGCGGCTTGCCAGTGGATGAGGACCTGCGGTTGCGTAAGTTCCGTCATTGCCGATTGCTCCGCGCCATTGACTGACCATGACCTCTACAAGGATACCGGTTCCTATTATCCTCGACCACATTTTCACCTGCCTTGTTCCTGTCCAATGTCCACTCGGAGGACTCTATCCAATCCTTGTTACAAGGTCTTAGCTTCTTGTCTCGTTCCATTGATCAGAAATCCGCCTCCCTCAAAGCTCTGGTCGAATCGAACTTTGAGCGATTTGTTCGAGCCAAAACCACAATTGACAATGTCTACACCGAGATGCGGAATCAAGGAGCTGCACCCGAGTCTGACCGCTCGCCAGGTCACTCCAGACATGCGAGTAGATCAAGCGCCCATTTTCGAAATTCAAGCGCAAACATTCAGGCGCAAAATATCCCATCTGCAGGTAACCGCAAAAACGCATTGACCAAGGAAAGCGAATATGGAGTCCATGGAATCAAAACTCCATTGGTCGAAGTGTCCGTGAAAGCCGAAGAAGTATGGGGTCCTGCGTTAGGGGGCAAAGAAAAAGGGGACAACTTAAAGGCCATACTGGCATCCGTGGAAAGGCATCATGGCATACTGGAAGTTGGAGGAGCCCTGGCAGACTGTATCAAGAGAAAAGATTACGAATCGCTCGTCGAGGAGTACATTCGAGCTCGCAGATATGCCGAAGAAGCTCGAAATCTTGCAAAAGTCACAAAGCAACACGGCACTGTGCTTACCGATCAACAAATTCATCAGATTGTCATCACCGCAAGAATGTGGGCCGATGTGGAAAACCGGATCCAGGAATTCAAGCGGGACACTTGGAAGAAGCTGGTCAGTATTCGTCCTAGCAATCTACAGGAAGCTGGCATGACCCGGGAAGACGAGCATATGGAGCTCATAAGCATACTGCTCGAGTTGGGCGTGGAAGAGAATCCGGTTTGGGTTTGGCTTCAAAGCCAATATGAGCACCTGAAAAGCAAGATTGGCGTGACGTCGGACAGATTCAAAGTTGAAGTCGAAATCCTTCGTCGCCGATTAGCTTTGGAAGGAAAGCCATCCATTCATACGATTTCCAGTCATCTCCGTGCAGTCTCTCGACAAAATGTGGATAATGCACCCGGGAATATTGACAGGGTAGGAGTTCTCGAGGTTTGGGAGAAAGTCAGGGCGACGGTTGAAGCTCTCCTCCACTCGCAGAAAGGCATACTAGGGGAGGTTCAAGAATTCTGGGAATCTGCCCAATCCTTCATCGAAGGGAAATTGCAAAAGACACTACCTGTTGGCTTGGACGGCCAAAGCCGGCAACACCACAGACTCTCTGAGGATCACGTCGATGACCTTCGCAAAGGCGTTGTGGAGCTCATCGACCTGATCAAGAATGCAGTCTTTTCATTCTTTGCGGACCCACCAATTGAAGACATATCCATGCTTGTTTCGCCTATACCGCCTTCTCCGGCTACGCCAGCAGGAATCTCGCCGCTTCCGACAAAGGCTGCAAGATTGACGGTTGACCCCCATAATCTACCCCCGCCTTCTCCTCGGGTTGGTGAAGCATGGGAAGACTTTGCCTTTTGGCCGCCATATGCCAATGCTCTAGGCGGGGTATATTACCTTGGAAATCTAATTGTCTTGGTTGGGACGGCTGCCAGTGAATTGGCAACCGTGAGCGTTATCGCCCAGAACAGCCGGACGCTCGAAGGACTGAGACTCTTTGTTGGCGCGATCCGCGAGCGTTGTGCCCAGGCCATTTGCGCTGCCTGGGGAAAGGATGCAGAGAACTGTAAAGCACTAGAAGACTGGACTCCTGCGCCGCAGCGAAAGGGCGTTACGCAAATGCCCACATATTTTCTAAACTTTGAGATGCGAATCCTCGGCGGTATGCAAAGAATGCTCTACATTTCCGAGGCCATGGCGCGGTCGGGCTCCACGGACGTGGTCTTGCCTCCGCCGTCGAAGCTCCTCCAATTGGTCCGAAGCCAGTTTGTCGGAAGCGTATACAAAGTCTTTAGCGGAATGGTAGAAAACGCCGAAAAGCGGACAAATGCAGACGAGGAAGAGCAATGGGACAGGGACACTGATATTCTCACTTCTGAAATTAACGACCTGGTCATAGCAAACACACCAGTCAAACGCATCAACTCAAAGGACCGAGTAAGTTTCACCCATATCTTCCTCATATAAACTAGGACCATCATCCTCTAATACAGCTCAAAAATCATCTCTTTAGAACTCCCGCATGCTTCTCATCCTCAGCAATCTTCAAATCCTGCGCACCGAGATCATCCCGCAACTCATCAGCCAGTACGAAACAGACTTTAGCGTCACGCTTTCCGACGAACACAAGACCATCCTCGACGTCCTTGGCCAAATCGACAGCCGCATTTTCCAGTCCTATACGCGGCCCACCGTCGACAAGATATCTACCCTCGTTCTCGAAGGCATCGCTTCGCCCTCCTGGCCACCGACTACCCCGCGACCCACCGACGTCAGGCCATACGTGTACGAGGTTCTGCTTCTTCTCATCCTCGTTCACACCGAAGTCACAACCACCACTGCCTCCACCCTGACCTCTCGTGTCCTCTGCTACTTGCAAGAGCAAATGGCGCTTGCCCTCCTCGAGGGGTTCAAGAAGCGCAGAAAATACCCCCTCAGCTCCCTCATGCAAGCTACCCTCGACGTCGAATTCATCGCCCAGACCCTCAACCAGTACGCCACGGATAAAGTCAGCGACGCCACAAGCCGCATTTATCTCGAACTCGACAAGGGCACGGACGAGGACGCAAGACGCATGTTGCAGAATGAATTGCCCGAAATGCGCGCCACGCTTAAACGTCTTCGTGAACATACGCGAAGTGAATTGTATGTCCCCGTCCCCCTTTTCCCTCGTTCCTTTTTCATTTCCTTTTTGCTTCTCTTTTCTCTTCTTCCTTTCTTTCTTCCTTATTTACTTTCTCTCTCTCTCTCTTTCTTTCTTTCTATTTTTATTTCAATTTTTTTCTTTTTGTGGGTTGATTACACTCATCTTTCCCCGGATGCTAACCATTTTCTTTCCACATAGCGCCTGCTTCAAACGTCCCCGCGCTCCCCGCGACCGCGCCGACCGGCCCTCCCAACCACAAGAATAATCTCATTTCTTGTAACATGTCTTCTTGTCGCATGTTCCTTTTACAATCCATCATGCATTGTACATCGTACATCGTACATCGTACATATGCATTATGTATTCCCCACATTCCGTGTCACGTTCAATTGAATTTCCTTGAGAAGATACCACTATATCCATTCCTATATCCATTCTTATATCCATTCCCTTTTCCTTTTCCATTCTCTTTTTTACACTTTCTCATTTTACTATTTTCATTTTTGAAATTCAAAATCTACTAGCCGTTCCTTTCACACCCTGGACCATGAAACCCGAATCCATTTGTCTGACTTACATTGAATCGTCATGGCATCTTGCACCTCTGGTATCGACATTTTACAGCATTTTGGAGAAAAAGCAGAGAGGTTGTATATCAACATGAGATCTACTACCACTGGATTTTTCATTACTAGATTCTCATTATGCATTTATTCACTTTCGTTGCTATGTAAGCCTCCATATATCATCACCAAAATAAATGAAAAGAGGTGGGGGTAGCGATACGATGTTATTCAAACTTTGTATTATTCGGGACTCGTAGTGTTAGTCTGTCTCCCGTCTCCCGTCTCCCGTTCCCATTTTCTCGAAAGTAAGTGCCCCTGGGTTGGGTTAACCAGCCGCTTCCTCCCACCTCCCCTTCCCCCTGATAGGAAGAATAGAAAGAAAGAAAGAAAGAAAGAAAGAAAGAAAGAAAGAAAGAAAGAAAGAAAGAAAGAAGGGATGAAGAGACAGAGTAAAGAAGAGGATAGAGAGATAGAAGAAGGGAACAGAGATAAAAGAAGAGTTGAATAACAACGGAGAGAAAAGCAGAAGCGATCTCCCATGATCATGATCATTAAAAGACAATTACAATGATGCCAAGACCAACGCCTGAACATGCGCCGTGATATCGAAAAGACCCAGTCTCCGAAAAAAAAAAAAAGAAAAGAAAAGAAAAGCAAGGGCAAAGTGCAAAGGAAGAATGAAAGTACGACTTTGAACGCTGGCTTCGCGAGTGACAGAATGGAAGAAAGGGGAAATGGGTTAGGTTGTTACAAACGAGACGGAGGAAGAGAGATGGTGCTTAGAAGAGAGGAGAAGAGGAAGAAGAGGAAGAAGAGGAAGAAAATTTAATGGATCCGCCAGCGGGAATCTAAGCGTGTGATGTTCATCACGAAACGAAAGGTAAAGAGAAAGAAAAGAAAAAGAAAAAAAAAAAAAAAAAAGAAAGGAGAAGAAAAGGAAAAGGAGAAAGGAGATGGAGGGCAAGCGCGGCTAATGCAGAGATGAAATGCTCTACGGAGATTGACTATGATTGCTTCCGCTGAACCATCCTCGCACTCTGGAGCCTAGACCGCCTCCTCCAGAATGACCTTCTCCACTCCCAGAAGCATGCTCAGTTGCGGGAACGGACCCATGCCGCTGGATACCAGGCACTGAAGCTGGAGCAGGAGGAGGTGGGCTTCCAGTCTCGCTCCCGATTGAGATGGGGTTGGTACGGCTGCCCTCAGGCGGCGCTGCTTCAGGCCAAGGACTTGTGGCTGATGGTTGGGAATTTGCAGGTTCCTGGCCGGGTGTGCGGACAGCACCTTGGCCATGGCCGTTGCCCTCACCTTCGCCCTCCTTGGGCATGATTCCCTTTCTGCAGTGCGGGCAAGTATCATGCTCGCCGAGCCAAGCGCCGATACACTGTTCATGGAACCAATGCCGGCAAGGCAGAACGGTCACGTCAGAGCCGATCTCGACGGGGTCCATACAGATACTGCAATCGGCTGTGCCTGTGCTTTCATCCAGCATGCTTTGGTCGACCTTCTTCTTTGGTAGAGCGGCAATGGCCTCTTCCGTGGCGGGACCGGGAGCGTTCCCCGTTGCATTTTGTTCCATGAGCTGGGAAATGACTCTGTCGAGAGCTTCCTGCGTGTAGACTGCATCCCCGTGGGCGGCTGCCGCCGGATTGAACATTGATGCTAGGATTGCGGCGAGCGGATTGGCGGGGCCGGCGCCGGGTCCGTTGCCACCCCCGGCCTGGGGCTGACTAGCATCGTTAATCTGTTGAAATAGAGCTCCAAGGACACTAAAAGAAAGAGACATGTTAGAACGGACTTGTTACATAGGAATTATAGGAAGGGTTTTCACTTACTCCTGCAAACCGCCAAAAGGCTCCTGTTGCGGCTGTGGATTATTGGCATCTCGTGGGTATAACCTCGCATTATAACCTATTCTGATACCAGGGGCCTGATGTACTCCTTGCCACTGATGCTGTTGCTGTGGATTATGTGCGCCATCGCCTTCTCGGTGGCCTGGTTGTTGTCCATCGTTCGATCCTGCTCCTGCTCCTGCTTGGGGGTGTGCTTGCGGACCGCCCTGTTGTGTCGCTGGTTGATTGCGGGCAAACTGGGGACCCATCATGCCCTGCAGCATTGTCTGGAAATTCTGTAGAAGAGGATTGTTCTGTGTTCCTGGGCCCATGAATCCTTCATTCGGGTTTGAACGGTAAATTACGCGTGTAAAAGTTACCCCGCCCGGACCTGTGGAATATTCGACACGGTCTATGTCACCTTCATCAGGATCGGGTGGATCTGATGCCCACGGATTATGATCATGGAACGGATGCTGTGAAGACGAGTCGAAAATATCATCATCATCATTGTCATATCGAGGGTCGTTCTCTTCTTCAATCTAGCGATCCTGTTAGCATGGCTAGAATGCTACTGAGTTCAGACAGAAATGGCTCACAATTTCAGTAAAGTCTGATTGACAGCTTGGACATGTCAGCCCATGCTCGTCCCGATGCCATTCGTTCTCACACTCGTGGCAAAACACGAGCTCTCTCTCTTGGCCCTCATGGTCCGACATGATCTCCAGTGCAGCAACGTGATGTCGAGGCTCGGTCGCTGTTGGCCAGACTCCTTCCAGATACAGACCAAGTAATCAAGCAACGAATACTATCGTGCTGACCCGGTGAGCTTTAGCATCTGACGCTTGATGAATGAATCAATGCAGCCACGCGCAACAAGGCTCAAGGAAGTTGAAGCGATATCTGGGGCGACTCGTTCGTGGCGGGGCTAAAACAATAACTCCGATGATTGAACCCGCAGACAAAGAGGTTCAAGGGAGGGAGCTATCGTTGGATAATTATCTTCAAAGATGTTGCCGGCAAGTGGCTGTCTCGTAAGGATAAGAATCCGATATTAGTTTAATTACCTTATCCTCGATGACATGTCAAGCCGCAACAGCCTATGAACGGTTTTGGCAATTCACTTGGGCCCCAAGCAAAATGACGTCGGATCCGAGAGGCAATCTGCACGCACCGCCACCGTTGGGAATGGCACGCAATCTATATACTCTGTAAAAACTGAGAGTGAAAAGGTATCAAGTCTTGAGTTATTACGAATCAGAGTGTCCTTTTTATTTGCCTCGCCAAGTAAGCGCATGAAGCTCAAGTTACAATGTCAGCCTTTGTTGTTGCACCATCATTTTAGTCAGCTATCGCGTGCCATGCTTCTTCGACTTTCGGCTGTCTTCTGCCATATATTATTATTTGATACTTTCTACAAGTACCTACTTTATCAAAGAACAGAAATGCAAACGCCGCTGCAAATAGATGCCTAATAAGATGAAAGAAACGAGTCATGACTTGTACTTTACATGTGTCCATCACAACTGATAGCGTGGCCCCGGTCAGCAGATATTCTCTGGCACAATGGATGCCTATCGATGTACGTCTGGCGATCCCCTTGTACGTCATCGAGCTCCATGCGGGGGTTTTCGGTAGAGATAATAGATGAGAGCAGGCGTTCGGTCGAGATATCCAAGCCTTTACCGTCTCCGGGCGCCCTTGAAAATCAAGCTTCCAACAAGACCTGCGGCAACTGCAACACCTCCAAGGATCGCAACTCCCACCATTCCTTCTCGCGCAACTTTGTCATCGATGAGGCCGCGCAAGCTTGCAGCCTGCAGATTTGCGGGCTCAAGGTCGAGAAGCAGCTCGTTGTACCTCCGTGCTTCTGCGTAGTTTCCGAGTTTGTAGTTTCCAAGCGCCAGATAATACAGGCATTCTCGGCGACGTTCGGGGGAGCTGCGGAAGATCTCCGAGAGCAGTCGGACACCGGATTGCTGATCTTCCCGTTTGTTTGATTTGATCAATCCCTGAGTAGATCATGTTAACACAATTTGCGGTTCAAATGATGTGGAGATTCGCATGCCCAGGCAAAGTTAAATTTGGTCTGCACACCGACATATTCGCCCTCCTGAAGATACTGCGAGCGGAGCACTTCCAGCTCCGCTGACTTCAAGGGACTATGATAAGCTATGTCAGCAACAAGTTACATTATTTCTCGCAGCTTGGGGGCGATGAATAAATGGCAGGAAGCTCAAGAGACAAACTAACCTCTCTGCATCAGCAGCGTCTAGAGATAACCATATGTTAGCTTATTTGTACGGAAAATCGTAATATATGCCCGCAGCGCATCTTGTCTAGTAAAACCCAGAGTATACTCACATGGAAGGCTCGATCCCATTTTAGTCTTCTAACAAAAAGATTAGGTGACCGAAAGGAAAGTGAAGCCAAGTCGAGACGTAATGGGTGTGGAAAGTGCTCTTGCATATGCCGAGCGGAGCATCTATGGCGAACGTCAGCGGCAGGTGGCGCTCTCTGCATCAAAAGTGTGGCGGTGCAAGGCTGCCCCGCTCCGGGTAATGAGCGGTGAGCTGCTTTGTTGATCGGCCAACCCGCGAAACCCCCGACACAAACAAATCACATGTGTGAAAGTCGATTTCCTGGTCAATTAGTCGTCATTTGCTTGAGCATCTCAAAACATTACTTGTTATAGAGCTTAGAAGCGTACATCTCAGAGCTCAAAAAATCGATTGCGAACCATTTTGACTCTTATTTTTGACCTGATTGGCAAAATGCTCTTAGACGAAGACCCGGCGACGGTATGCACATCTCTTTCATGATACAGAATGGCCAAGCTCACTTACCTCGCAGCTGATCCATCATACCATTGGAAACTTTAACACCGACCCCGACAAGCATGCGCTGGGGCGCATTAACGAATCGTTGTCAGCTCTGCAGCAAGCTCGCGACTTGCGACTCCGGGAAGCTGAGAATGCCCTAAAAAGTAGATTTCTGTCGTCAAAATATACACAGCGCATCGTCTAATAGATATGAATTTAGAACTTTCGCGCAATCTATCATCCCTACAGACTCATCACAATGAAACGGTTGCATCACACGATCCTGCCGACCATGCTTCGCAGATATTTTCGCTAGATACGCAAAAGTTCCGCATCGCCAAAGCCGCATCGGATATGGAGATTGAAGGAGAAAGACTTGACCAGGAACTCGAGATTCTGAAAAGCAGATTGCAAGATCTGGAGCTCCAGGGTCTGGAGGGCGGAGAAACCGAGAGAGGAAAGAGAGACTTGGAGGATGAAACAATGTCAGTCGACCACTCCGAGTACCCCCGAAAGGTCGCGTCTGGACGCGAAGGAATCAAAAACATAGCTAACAAGGATCTTCACAGTCTCAAACTAAAAGTGTATCGGTCGCTAGGCATCGATATTGAATCGGATCATGCAGGAAATTACAACAAGGCTGTTATCCGGAACATCCAAAAAGCCGATGTCCACGTTATGAACCTTGATCCGAAGTTTTCGAAATTCTTCTATGCAAATTATCTTTGGCAGAGCATGTAATTCATGCTTATCCCAGGGAGTTTTCTTTTGGCTGGAGTTGTGCAGGTCTGGCGTGCTGGAGTAGGCGGGTTCATAGGAGCGTAAGGACGACACGGTGTGTTTTGGACAAAGACTGTCTCCGTTTCCGTAATACCGCCCGATTCTTGTTCTTAATTCATTCCCCTTATATATTCCTTTCCCATTTTCTGAATTCAATAATTGCAAACTGTTTGGTATCGTCGTAAACAGAGCGTTTCGTTCCCTCATGGAGCTCATTCTACGGTGCGTATAATGCCGGCCAGCGACTGATGTGTAAGAATACATTGCATGCTCACCAACTGAGGAAAAAGCATTAACATGCTATCCAGGAACATGCTTCTCAACCCTGTTCAAGAGTATGCAACGTGTGTATCTGGGCCTCAGCATCCGGCAGCTCTTCGCCCCTCCAAGTCAAAACGACCTCTTTGCTCAACGGGCCTTGACTCTCCCGGCCAATACCTTGACCCCTGATGATCTCAGAGCCAAGAAAAGCATCTGCCTTTTTCACAGGAGCACAAAACCTCAAAGTAACACCCACCCCTTCCAGCCCTGCCTGCACCGCAGTTGCATTCCACACCAGCTGCTCAACCACACCAGTCTCTTTTGCGATTTTTGCAAATCCCAATGGGAACCGGCTTCTCGCCAGCGCATCTCTAACCCCCTTCGTAGCGTCTTTCGGCGTGGCCAATATCCCCACGACGCCTCCTTCGGCTTGATACGCTGCCGGGGCGCCCGCAAACGCGCCTTCAAGCTCACGCACCATATTTGGACTAGGCGGCCGACTGATCGCCTTGCATTGGACTATTACCGGCAGCGACAATGGCAAGGAAACGTTCTCTGCGTCTGGCTCCGCGCCGGATGTTGCGTCCTCCAGAGGAACAGGGATCTGCCAGTGACCTAGAAGGTCGATGCCGAAATCTGAACGGCCTCCAATGCGCGCGAGTGAGAAGCCGAGCCGTCGTAATGTCTCCTGAACTGTATATTCGTAATGCGTCCCAACAAAAGTCGTGCTTGAGGGTGTCAGGTTGGCACGTGATGCGTAGGAAAGAAATGATGCGAGATCGTAGTGGTTCTTTTTGTCTTTGGTGATTGCTTTGTATGTGGAGGAAGAGCGTTTTGATGGGACTGAAATGCTGGTAGAGGGAGGATTCAGAGGCCCGTTGATTAGAAAGTTTGAAGAAACGGTCGCCTTTGTGGAAGAAAATGCAAGAGAGGTATATGCTGGTTTTTGGCGAAGGAGTCTGGATACGCCCTGGGTGTATATCCGGGAAGATGTCAAGAAGAATGTCATATTGAGGTGCTGAGGCTATGTAATGTTTTCCATTATTCAGAAAGCAATTGAACAATCATGGCATTGAGTCCTGGAGCCCAGACAGGGAATCAATGTGATAATATGCCCGTTCAAATCCAGATGAGCAAAAGTCGGTGTAACGTATATATTTCGCAAGTCGATATACCGAATGATACTCGAATGGCAAAATACTAGAAGCAAAATTCATAGAAGTCAAAACAAGAAAACAAAGGTTGCGCTCCAATCACATCAGACGTTTGGCCGAGTGCTCATCCAGTCATATAGTCCTGCACCTCGCCGTTTGTCAGTGTCGATCTCCCGCAGAGTTTAAACCACGCGAACCTCCGTTTCCTCCGTCCAGCTACTCCGTATATTAACCACAACACGGAGTATATCCAATTTACACCATTGACGCAACCAATCGACCTCCAGTTCACCTCTTGACAAATTATCCAATTCATTCTCTACCAGTCCATTGTACTCTCGCGACCCTCTCTCACCCTTCGCGACAAGCGTTCTCTCCCTAATTTCACTCGACCAGTCCTCTTCCAACTACACAGGGACGCCAGACCTCTACGCAACGCAATATGGCAGACATTTTAACACAGCTCCAAGACTGTCTTGACCAGGTCCGTTCCCTTCCGCCTCAGTCTTCTCTTTGATCCCGTGTCGCCCGATCACAGCATGCCTCGTCCCAGCATACCATCTACCTCCCTGTCCATCCTCCTGCCTCATGTCTCATATCTCTCTCTCTCTCTCTCTCAAGCCGCGCCCAGCCCAGCTCAGCCCACCTCAACTCCGACTCTCCTCATGTCCTACTAACACTCCTACCCTACAGCTCGCGACACAATTCTACGCTAGCATTCGCTACATCAGCACGCATCACGACTTTTCGCCCGTGGGGGAGCAAGAGAAGCTCAGTTCTACAGATGGTAAGTCGACGTACTACAATTACTCTATATATTCTACCACCCCGCTTCCTTCTTGCCTGGCCCCTCTCCCCTCCCCTCCCCCTACACCAAACCGACCCAATAACTCAACTACAAACACGCAGTAACGCCGGATCCTCCGCAAACGTTTCTCGCCGCGCAGCGCGAATTGGCACGGGACCTGATCGTGAAAGAGCAACAAATCGAATACCTGATATCCGTGCTGCCGGGGATCGGGACGAGCGAGAAAGAGCAAGAAGAGCGATTAAAAGCCCTTGAGAGAGAACTTCGGGAGGCAGAAGAGGAGCGTCAAGCGGCGGTACAAGAAAAAGAGAAGCTGCTGGAGCGTCTGGACGAGGTGATTCGGAGTATACGACGGGTGTGATCGGTGTATAATTTTATGATGGGGATGTATTCGATGAGAGGGTGTGTGAAGTGTTGGGCTATAGAGTCGCAAGGAAATGCAAAAGGGAAAAAGGCGGGGTGGGGGAGAAGGAAATGGAAAAGAGAAAAGGGAAAAGGGACAAACATGGCAGAAAGCCGGCGTTACTGGGAAGGTATAAAACCAAGGGTGTCTTTCTTCGTTTTCGATCTACCTATGTGTCGATATGGTATTGCAGCATTACGAGAGCGTTACAGGCAATTTGCCTGTGGGTTTTATATTGACGAATTCACGATGAGACATATCTCCAATATCTCCATCAAATTATTAAAATAATAATAATAATAATAATGAAATGAAAAAAAAAAAATAATAATTAAATGAAATAAATAAAAAGAACAACAGGAAATAAAGGACAACAGTCCTTGAATTGTGATTTCTGCTTCCTGTATACTATGGGAAAGCTATACGTGCTTTACACACGATGCGAGATACACATGCATAAGCGCATTAGATGGAAACTGTAAGAAAAGGGGGAGCTCCACGAGGCGGAAGCAAAAAGAATTGCCAGATCTGCATTACTTCTCGAAATGGGCACGAGATGCGTAATTTGTATGGAAAAGGATGTGACATGAAATGCTAAAGAAATATCGACAATGTATATCAATAGATTGAAAAGGGCTTGGCCCACCAAAAAAAGGTCAAGTCAATGTGGAAAAAATAAAAAATAAGATAAAACAAATAAAGATAAAAGCAAAAACGCTCAGTGCAAAGCCCGCGAGTGTAACGACACAGAGATAAGAAGTTGTCAAGCTATAACTAGAGCACGACTTGTCTGACTGGAAAGGAAGTCTTCCAGATGCTTAACTACCAAAAAGGGACAGGGAAAACAAGAGACAGTAGGAAATGAAGGGAAATGAAAATGGATTGCTTTAAGGGTATTTGCTTGATTTTGAACGCCATGTATAAAACTTCGGCATGATATGTCAGGAAAAATGTATGAAAGGCCGTGGATAATTGAGGATTGGAACTATTAAACCATGCTTGCTGCTCTTTGGAATCTGCTCTGTGCAGTTGACATTGTCCGTAACGTAATGTAAAAGTTCGTGATATGTGAAGGTAGGTCGTATCAGACATCTGGCGCAAGTTGTCCAAAAAAAAGGGACAGGCCACTCCTGGTCTATTTGAAGAGACTTCTCAACTCTTCGAGTCTTCGCTTCGCGGCTTCGCTCTGGTCAATCTTTCCACGGCTCATGCTAAGATCGGCGAGGTTCTGCTTCTTGCGTTGCAATTCAAGCATCTTCTCCTCAAAGCTTCCTGACATGATGAAGCGCGTTGTAACGACTTCCCTCATTTGTCCCAGTCGATGGATGCGGTCAATGGCTTGAGCCTCTGCCGCGGGGTTGAATTGAGGCTCCATCATATATACTCTGGAGGCGCTTGTGAGGTTGAGCCCCAATCCACCTGCTGCGATCGAGACGAGTATGACTCGGACAGTGGGGTCCTCGCGAAACGTTTCAAGTGCAGCGCTACGTTGAACACGGCTCATTTTGCCATCGAGTCGCGCATACTTGATTCCATTGTCGTCCAATGCGATCTGAATCAAGTCCAAGTGAGATGTCCAGCCGGAGAAAACAACACTGCAAGAGAGGAAACGGTTAGAGCGAGATTCAGAATCTTGAGAATAAAAAAAAAAAGTGAGAAGGAAAACCATACCTTTTTATTGGACGTTCATTCGGTTGAGCCTCGCTTTCGACTTCGGAATGCTTGAGAAATTCAATCAAGGTCTTCGTCTTTGTATGTGGACCGCCATATCGCCCGAGCTTTTTTGCCATTTTTGGATTATTCCTTGCAATCATTCGCGCTTCCTCGTCCTCCTTGACCTCGCTGTGCTTCAGCTCGAAAAAAGCGATTCGTATGTACACCTCGCACAGAGGACAAATAGCATGGTTGTCATTCGTTGCCACCTTTTGTACGGCTTCTTTGAACGTTGCAATGCAATCTTTGCATATGATTTGATAGCACGGGGTCAGAAAACCAATGAGATCATCTTTATCTTCTTCTGGAGCAAGCTCGTTCTGGCCAACCTTTCGGTTACAGTCCGCGCAGGTATCAGCATTGCTTTCTCTCATCAGGCTGAACATGTCGTATGCTTGTCTAGGAGTCAAAGCAGGTCGTTGATCATCCTCGTCTTCAAGATCGATTGCACTGCTTTCGCTCAACCCTTCTGTCATTTTCTGATCTTCATCCGAGAGCAACTCGCGCCCATGGGCGCAGATAAGCCGCAATCGAAGAATTGCACGCAGAATATGAACATAGAGCTTGCCACCAAGGCTCTTCCTTTCTTCACTAGCCATGACCTTTGCTTTGCTATCCGAATCCTTGGCGAACCACTCATAAAGCTGTCGTTCCTGGCTAGTGAAGTCCAGTCGAACTATCTGATCATGGCGTGATGGGAGTTCAATCCTATCCTTGAGCCGCCGAAGCGTGATAGTATCCACCAGTAACCGCAATTTTGGCAAAATTTCAGGATCTGCCATTTTAAAAGGGGTGAGCACATATTGAGCAAAACCGCCCTTTTCATCGAATGGCTTCAATCGAAGAAACTTGATCAAAGCACCCAAATCATCTAACCGGTTTTGAACTGGCGTACCAGTAACTGCCCACCGGCGTTGCGCTGATAGGGCACAGATCGCTTTGCACTGTCTCGTTGATTGTTCACGAATCATATGGGCCTCGTCGAGAACAATTCTAAACCAATTCGTTTGCTGGAGAGGTCTTGCCCCGTCATGCCGTTTCTTTCTTCTTCCATCTAACTCGCTTGAGACAACGTGATACGTCGTAATCACAAGGTCGTATTTTGAGAGCTCGCGAATATCGCTACATCTATTGGAGCCATGAAAGATGTAGTAAGATAGAGCGCCGGGTTGTACATGCATCTTGATTTGTTCTTCCCAATTTGCAACCGTGCTGAGAGGCGCAACCAGTAGTGTAGTCTTGGAATTGCGAACGAGTTTGACATCTTCCGGTGCTTGCGGCTCTGGTGGAGATTCCCCTGAAAAGGCTACTGAATCGTCCTGAGTAGATAACAAGAGTGCCAAAATGCTCAACGTTTTTCCAAGACCCATCATATCCGCTAGAATACCTCCCAGCACTTCTGGTGGTTTTGCCAACTCCTCCTTGCCCGTGATCACGTTGTAGTACCGGCTTTGCCCATTGGCATTCGCCCTTAATCTCCACAATGAGCTATTGCACTCTTCTTTTTCACTAAACACTCGGCTCCTTTCTTTGCTTGTCATAAAGTAAAGGCCTTGCTTCTGATGTGGAAGGAGCGGAGTGACAATGCGCGGGTCAGGCTCCATCTGGGGAAGGGTTTCCGACTTTTGAAGGGAGTCAAACATTCCGATAACGTCATTCCGAATCTCTTCAACCGTTCGAGTCACATAACCCGGCCCACTGGCGGAACCAAAGCGACTGGACGTATTGGTTCCGTGCACAGACTTGATAGCATGTGGGTTGAAAACTTCGATCCCTCGATCGACGGTAAAGGGCGCCCGAAGCCAGATTTGTCTTTGACTGAAATATTTGCCGATCCCTGCCGCATATTTCTTTAAACCGTACAAGTTCAATATTAAATCAAAGTGCCTGGACACTTCTTGTCCAGGCCACTCGTCAGGCTTCCTTGGCCGCATCGCCAACCGCGCTTGGCATCGAAGTTTGACGGAAGAAGAATTCATCAATGGAGCCAATCCAAGTGAAGTGCGAACATCGATGCTACCAATGTCGTGCCCAAGAGGATCAATGACTGAAATGATAAACGTGTTACGCTGCGGAGGGCGGAGTTCGACTTTGATAGGGGGCCATTGTTGAGAGCTAGAGAAAGCTTGTGAACTTTTGGAGCTCAAAGCAGGCACACGATGGGCTTGAACGCGGGCTCCCTCCACTTGGCCGTAACACACTTCCTTTTCAGAGTTATCTTCAATCACTATAACCTCTCGTTCATCATCTGTAAAGTATGTAAGCCATGGCCAATCTCCATAATTGAAACACATACCGCCGGTTAGGTCCACAACCGTCCCGCTTGAAGCAGTCTGCTCTTTTCTACCCTCCTCCCGCTTCTTTCGCATATACTCTCCAATCTCCCCACCCTTACCACCGCCAGCGAAGTTTGTTTTCTCTATCGGTTCGTCTCCGTTTGATTGCTCAGTCTTTTGTCTCTTTGATGGAATAGAGTCCCTAGTAGACACGTTATGGACCATCTCGATCATGCTGCCCATGCCACGAGCCTCAGGCTCCGATGATTTTCGTTTCCCTGCGAGGACCTGCGAATCGGAGGCCGAGGGAGCTGATTCTTTCTTGGACTGGGCCGCCTTGGAGAACGCTTTGGGATTCAGAAGCACACGTGGGTCAAAGCGCTGAGCTTGACCAGCACTATTTGCTGAGCTGGAACGAGACGCATGGGGCACTATAACAGAAGATGTCAGTAGCTGGATATAGTCTGCGGAAGTTGAGATACGGAATGGAGAAAGAGTGAGGACAACAATGGGGGCATCAAATATAATGCTCTGAAGTCCTCTCAAGAGCGTAAGAAGGAGAGATACCGAATGTTTCCTGCGGTCCCATGTTTCTCTAAAGAGGAGCTAAGGGCAAGTCGGAAGGAAATGAATGATGGCAAAGGACACGTAGAGCCACCGTGGCAAGAGAGGTCGGCCCGAGGTCAGAACGTTCAAATGACCACGTAACTTAGATGCAGTGAACCCTCCCTGGCGATTGTCACGGAAAGTGGAGCGGTGATCGTCGTCGAGAAATGGTGACGGAGCGGGAAACCGCCACGGGAAGGAACGAGAATCGGCGATTCATACGAAAGCAAAGGTCAAGCTCCAAAGCAAATGCAAATGGGAGGAATAAATGCCTAAAAGAAAAGAAAGCGGTAAGTGACAGAAAACGAATGTAAGCAGAACATGTGGCGAAGGGCGAGGCGCGTAAATCACTTGTACTTTCTTGAGATGCGCTTCACTTATCGATTACAATAGCGTCATGGAGTCGCGAATGTTTAAGCCTGACGAAAAGACGCTAGACCAAAATAAGCCACTTCATTGAATGGGCATTGAGGCTTACGATATTTCACGTCAAAGAGAAGGGCTGCAGAGAATATTTCGCCTTCGCACCTAGCCTTTTGTCCGTACATGATATTCGTCGAGTCCCTTTTTGATGTCCTTTTTCATTTACATTACATAAAAGATACAGGCAAATCTAGGTAACTAGGCTTCTCTTTCAATAACGATTTCCAGAAATGCAAATTTATGCATATCAATAACCCGTAACTCATGCATGCCAGCTTGAATCCTATGCCTGAAATATACAGTGAAATGTCCCACCAACATGTAACCACAATAGACACCGAGTTGTTCCCCGTAAAACTCCATTCCAAACGTTCACGAGATGACGAAGATGTATGTAGCAAGTGTCGCACGCACGTCCGTAAAAGCCTCACTGGCTCAACACCAAGTGAACACAGGATTTCGACTCTTGACCGTCTCGAGTCGCTCGACAATTACCTTCTTTCGGTTGCCTTCCATGTCTTCTGCCGCTGCATACCCCAAATCCCCTTCCAGATCATCCCCTTCATAGATAAGAGTGTTACTGCCTCGCCTGGAGGAGAATGAATATCGGCGGCGATGACTTGGGGATACGAATCGTGATGGCCGCGGCTCTTCGTAGCTCAGGCGAGGCTTCGATCGAACCGCGTCAAAGCTGGCTGCAGCTCCGTTTCTCTTAGTCTCATCTGGCCGCCCAGAGCTATGCCAACCCTGACCATGTATCGCTGCTCCAATTCGGGACGATTCGTCGACGTCTCCTGAAGGTCCAGTATTTGAACTCGGATTGCGAGACAGACTGAAACGGTGCGACTGAGGCAACTCTGAAACGGGGGAGTAAAGGCCTAAAAGATCATGCTGCGGCAGAGGCGCAGGCGGGTTTGCCGCGCTAATGTCCATTTCCTCTTCTTGTTCAACGTCTTTTCGTATTTCCGCGTCGGTCTGGCGACGCATCTCCGTAGATGCTGCCCGGAGTGGTACAACCACTGGGATATCTACGAGATCATCCCATACACAAATGCGCGCTCTCCGTGTCAATTCGAGAGGGCCATGATCCGACTGCTTGAGAGTTTCTACCACATTCCATGCTTGACCCTTCATGACGGCGATCTGTCGCGCAAACATTTTTTCCTGAAAATCCGAATCCTGGCTGAAAATATCCCGAAGAGCTTTCTGAGTACCGCTCCACCATTTGGTCGAGGTCAAAATAGGCAAGAAGTGTTCTCGTGTCTTTTGAGAAAATGGCTGCCCGATCAGAGAAACCGGAAGAAAGAGCCAACCAAAAGGGAAGCTCCGCCACTATATCGATTAGTAAATAAATTTGTCTTCCAAAGTCGGCGGATTGCGCCAAAAGAAAAACTTACAGCGTCCGGGTGCTTCCAGGGCCACGAGAGACTATTGTCGATGGCACCAATACTTATTTTCGGCTGTGTCTCTGCGTTGGATGGCGTTGCAGACCGACTAATCGCTGCCATTGGATCATGGCTTCTGTACGGGTGAAGGTTGTGACGGGATACACCATTGCCATCGACATTGACAGGCCGCGGCGCTTGATCTTCCTCGCCATTCTCTCCGTCCATTCGGGGTGGTTCTGAGACGATGGAAACTTCTTCATTCTGCCAGTCCACCTTGATCATCCAATTGTCCAGTCCCCTGTCTGTATTTCTCATTATATAATCCAGAATGACCAACTTTTCCAGTTCCTCACGAAAGGCTTGCTGTAACGTCTCGGTCCACATGAATTTCCGTTCCGTCGGCTCGGTTTCGGATGCTCTCGACCGCAGCCCCGAGTCGTCCTCATCATCCGAATCGGCTCGGCCAGGCCTGCACGTCTCATTCCAGGGCCGTTTCACGCGCTTTGGCGCACCTTCGGTAGAGAGGTGCGAGCTAAGCTGATCGGGCCATGGGTGTTCTCGTAGAAAGATGTTGGCATCTTTATATCCCCGGAGAAAGACCTGAAAACTGCCAACCTTCTGGGGAAGAGGTTTATGTTTGCGATAATAACTTCGGCGATCCCAAAAGTCATAGTAGAACGATTTCGAGGATAGATAAACAATGTCAGTGTACGGAACGAGGTTTGTCTGCAATCTGCTGTCGAGGACATATGCGGCGGCTTCGGAGACGTAGCTCAAGTTAGGAATTAGGCAGGCACGTCCAAAAAAGCAAGGGAATAAGTTTCGATGAATCCATTTTGTCCATTTGGGGTTCCGCGAAGCGTATGGTTCTTCGTCCTTTGGCTTGAACACGCCAACGACCTTGCCATCAGCATTTCGAGCAAAATAGCTTCCAGAACTTCCTTGTGATATCATCTTCGGGTGTATTCCAAGTTCAATGGCAACTTTAACACTTTCTACCACATCATCAAATTCCAATTTTGTCATTCTGTGCGAAGAGTCATCTCTCCCTTCCGAGGCGACTGTCTCCGCTGTTGTTGGTCTGATCCACTCGGGTGCCTGAAAGACAGAATGATGAATTTCTAGTTGCTCCTCTTCTGCCGTTTTGCCCTTGACCTTTCCAATCTTAAACTTTGAGGCAATCTCATCGGCCCAGCGTTCTAGCCGAGCATTGATCGCTTTCAAATCCACACCAGATGAATTGCTCCTCATACGCCTTCGACGTTCGGCATTAGGGCGGCGATAATCTGAAGGCAGCGACTGCATACCATCTTGTCGGCGCGGTTGAATTGGGGCAAATCGTGGTCCCGGAATGGACAGGGCCGGCCCTCGATAGGGAACATCGTCATCGGACTCGTCGGAGAAACCACCGGTACTCTCCTCGTCAGCTTGAGCAATACGCTCGTAGCCTGAAGCAGCCGGTCGGTTCTTAGGCATCGCGAGAGGTAATCTCTTAAAATGTTTAGAGAGGACTGTTCCGCAGGAGGGGCGTAGCCACCTTACCTCGACATTCAATGACCGTCGTTCCCTTCAGGCCACAGGATGTCTGGGGTCTCCGGCCGCTACCGGCATTTGCCGTTCGCCGAGGTTCGCTTAGTTCAGGAGATTACTCCGTATTCAGTGGACCAAGGGACCGAGAACGTGCGATGAACGCGAAACTACCAGACATGACAGTAATGTTGGACTTCAACTCTAGACGCAGAGTATAGAAAGAAGGTCTTGTTCAGAAAACCGAAACAGTTCTGATGGGCATTCGGGATGCTGGCTTCTGAAACAAATGATACAAGGCCAATGGGAACCATTGGTGATAATTTCGCTCGTCTGATATCGTCATTGGTGTTACATGTTCGGTCTCAATGCGCAACCCTTGTTTGTTCATTGCACTGTAGCACCCTCTGCACATACCCGAATATTCTGTCGCTGGGCTTACTTGGGCAAAGGCTGAAGTCATATTCACACAGAAATAGAACAAAAAAAAAAGGGAAGGGTTTTGATATACCAACAGATGAGCTAATTAGAATATTGACATGACGTCAACACAGTCTGAAGAACAACCATTCAGATTGGGTCCTATAATTTCATTCTCGCGGTTCGAGGACAGAATGGCATGTTCGTGCTTGTGGGGAATACCAATAGACAATGCGACTGATCGATGGCCTGGGGAACAAGATAGCCGTCCAGGTGTGGCGTCCAGATTACTATAGGGAGATTTTGTCGCCTATTGGACGTGGCTCAGTCGCTCTGGTTCTGCCAAATTTGGTTAATTTGCGACTACGACGAGCCGGGCCAGGTCCGCCATCCTTTCTTATTTCGCTCATGAGGCTTTACTGCGGTACGTCTAGCCCCCGTCTTCACCCCTAACCAAAACTTTTCCCCGGGCCATGTCAGGATATCTCCCCTATCTCCCCTATCTCACTATCAACAATCGATCCCGTCGCGGCGCCTTATCTTCGCCTGAACCCCTCAGAAAAAAAGTGACTGGGCTGAGCTGAGCTGAGCTGAGCTCTAAGCGGGTAGACGGAAATGAGCGATGCAACAATGAGAGTAATAATGTACTCTAGTTATTGCAATTGGGGCATCTGTTGCCGCGATGGCCGCAGTGTAAGAAGTCTCGGTACGGAGTAGAAGAATTCTCATCATTGGCATGCACGGTCATGAATGATTTGGCGGGGGATCAGATCAGCATAACAACCGCCCTTGCTTCATCTAATAAAACAAGCTGGATTTGAAGCGCGAAGAGGAGCCTCGGCCGAGCATTTGAGGTAGGGGAGCAAGGATGCAGACCGAAGAAAACGGAAAAAATTCATGACTAAGATACCTTAGGTATGATATGGACGTCTTCCGTAGTACTTTCATTCACTTACCACGTAGAAGGCGAGACAAGAATAGGGGGTTAAAGGGGCCAGAGGCTCCGACCTCCGCCGTAGCAAAACGAAGAGAAACAAGTTCTTATCGATCACGTTTTCCACGTCTCTTTCCCCCGGCTCGGATGCTCGACACTCGGGTTTGATATTCCGCCGTACCCTCCACCAAATAAAAGCCTCCCAAAAAAGTAAGGATTGCGAAAACGTGTCTGTAAAAGGATAATAAGTGTGGCAATGGGCAAATGTAAATGAGAGGAAATCAATCAACTCTCCCAACCAGTCCAAATTCATAACTAGAACAAGTACATCGTCTCAAGCGGGGGTTGTGCAAATACTCAATACCTACCTACCTAGGAATTCACCGAAAAGAGATTGCACGACACTTTCGCGGGGCCTGTTTACCATCAATCGAACAGCTTGGCTTCTTCCTCGTTCCTTGTTTGGGAGGTCATTTTGGCCAAGTTACCTTAGTCAGATAGTTGGGGGATCGCCCGGCCTATGATAAGCAGCACGGGCAAATCATTAGCTGTCTCTAGATGCATGGGCAGTGCCAAATTAGGTACTTGAAGGAGCCGTCATCAGGTACAGTATCAGGGAAGAATTGTATAACTAATGATAACTAAAGGTATGGCTCGGCCAGGGCAGGCCAGGCACGAGATGGGAACCAGGGAAGGCGCATTAGTTGTTGAGCAGGGAAGTCCATGATACTCTCAATACTGTGGGTCGGGCTCAGCACTCGCATGTACCCGTTACTCTACTGTAGTATCAACGCTCTGAGATAGAAAATCTGATCAAATTGCACAGTACAAGTACTTATAGGTATTCTATGCATTCCCCTTTGTGCGTCATAAGCCTTTGCTGCGCCCATCATGTGTTGAAACTCTCTGCCAGATAAGTTACTCTTGCTCTGGGAAACCTTTAAGAGCGCGCCATTGTTGATTTGGGCGTGCAGTTTCTGCGCGTCAATTTGGGAGGCCCGTGTCTTGGACGATACGCTATGGTACAGTTAAAAAAAGAAGTTGTCATATGCAATGGCGCCCCCTTAAACGCCGTGAACCCCCTTCGGCTCATGCCCCCAATTGATTGTTCCGTGAAGTAATCTTAGTTAAATGTACTGGTACCACATTTTTCTCCAGGTGCCACTTACTCCGTACCTTGGCTGCCTAGAGTACCTGCCTACCTTGACCACACTATGATCACCGAGTGGTCTTACCTATCCAGTTATTCTATCCCTTTCCAACCCCCCAATAATCCTTCACTATTTGTTAGCAGAGTGCTACATCTTTTCTTGCTAACAACATTATACCAATATTCGTCCTACCTTAATCTTTCCTTAACTTACCCGAGTCAGCTCAACCCCCATCCTCGATCCATCCCGCGCTTTGTCACTATCCTTATCGTTCCCCTTCCATTGTTGATCAGACTAATTCCCGATCGATCGCGCTTTCCTTCGTTCTCACGACCCTTTTTTTCACTTCCGTTTTTCTCTTGAGCCCCAAGTCTGTTCGACGGAAGTTCACTCTTTTACTATCGATTATCTCTCCGCCGTTCTGTCACTCTCTTGCACCCAACGTTAACGAAATCTCCAAATTCCTCTCCAAATTCATCGGTGTCCGACAAACTCAACACTCACTCGGCTTACTTGACAAGTTCTACGCCCTCAATCATTCTACTTCCTAATACCTACTATTACGCCTTCTTCTCCGCAGAGAATAATAATCGCTCCAATCAAGCTGCAACGGCTACCAGACGAATCCTCGAGTGTTGTGCTTGGCCCGAAAAATTTCACGGCCAAGACGCATCAACCACGAAAGAACGGGTTGAGAACGCGACAAGAATTCCTCAGATTAGGTCGAGAACGCTTTTGAAGCGTTCCGCCTTCATCCGTCGTAATCACGGCTTCAACTCTGGCTCCGCTGATTTATCGGGCACCGCCCATTGAGACACTCCGCCCGCCGTCAGCCCAGCGGGTGCGAGAGCTTCCAGCTTTGACGACCACGACGAACACAAGTCCCTTAGTGGAAGAAAAGACGACATTGCCACTGCCACCGATCGGACACGATATTTCACGACCTTCGTCGACATCGACGCAGTCCTCAACGGCTCTTTCGCAGCAGCATTATCAAAATAATAACAGCGGCGCGTTACCGTCGCTGCCAGGGTTGTCCACGCTGGCTTCGATCGCGTCGGCCCCGTCTCCCCAATTAAGGTGCGTTTGGTTCCGAGCAGCCTCTTAGGTTTAGCGTTTAGGATCGTCCGGACACCCACACAACCCACCAACCCTTTCCTTTTTCCCTTTTCCCTTTTCTCCCTCCCTTCCGTTTTCCCCCCCAAAATAATCGCCAGATGAGGAAGGGGGGTGGTCACCCTCTGCCAATCTACTCTACCGAGCCAACGCAGTATCGCTCCTTATCAGCTTTCCCCCAAATGCACCTGCACAAAAAAACCTTGAATCGCTGCACCATTCTAACTGCCGTTTATCTCACGCATTAGGGCGTTCAATGTGGGCCACAACATGACTTACGCTACGTCTTCTCCCGCTGCGACCGCTGCTCAGGGCAATACTCCGGTGAGTTTTCGGATTTCGCCGCTCGCTCGCGTCGTGCATATCCCTCCGTCTGATTTCTCCCCTTCTTTCCCCCCCAAAAATGCCCTTATCGCATCCTCCCGCAATCGCCATGTCGTCGACAGATGCTAATCACCACCGCGATCACTTACAGCCTATCTGCCAAAATTGCACGACGTCGACGACGCCGTTATGGAGGAGAGATGAAATGGGCTCCGTGCTGTGCAACGCCTGTGGCTTGTTCCTCAAGTTGCATGGCCGTCCGCGACCGATAAGCCTCAAGACCGATGTGATAAAGAGTCGAAATCGGGTCAAGAGTTCGGGTCAAAATCCCAAGAAGAAGGTTTGCGCTCTTGTCTTCTGTTCTCTCTCTTTTGACACGTTATAACTAATACGGTTCTCTTTGTTGCAGTCTCTTTTTGAATCCAATGGCCTTGCTGCCGCTCGGTCAGACGCTGGCACTCCGCCCAATAATCTCAGCGGCCACCGACGCACGTCACAAAAAGCCTCTTCGGGTGCCTCTGATCGATCCAACTCGCCCATTTCACGCACCGCCACGCCATACCACAACCCAAACATTGCTCCGCAGAGCATGTTTGATGGGGTGACGCTGGCTGAGCACAATTTCCACCCGTCGCCGTCGCTGCCGTCGTTGAACCTGAGGCAACCGTCCCCTGGTGCCGGCGCATCCTTTGGTGAACGACATCTTGAGCCGCCGCAGTCGTATGAGTCGTTGCTGGCGACAAACACGTCGCTCAAGACTCGTGTCAGCGAACTCGAAGTGATCAACGATCTCTTCCGGGGCCGCGTCGCCGAGCTGGAGCAAAGCGAAGCGACTGCGCGACGAGGAGAGATGATGCGACGAGAGTCGGAGACCCATCTCAGGCATATGCTGGATGAGTCGCAAGTCCGAGAGGGTGACTTGAAACGGCGACTTGACGAGCTGGAGGCGGAAGTCATGGACTTGCGTTCCTCTGGCCCTAGAACCAAGAAGATGCGTGTCTCGGACATTGTGGATGATGAAAATACTCCCATCGCCACCACCACTCCTCCTCCTTCAGCGTCGTAAAACTTGAGTTTTCAAAGTCCCACAGGCGCCAGCCTTGTGTTGCGATGGTTTTGCTTTATTGTGATACCAGTCTAATGAATTGTGTTATTTTTCCTTCTCTCTCTCTCTCTCTCCGGACGGTCCTTGCTTTTGGGGTTTGTTCCTTTTTTATTTCTTTTTTTCTCTTTTTTACTCTAAATGGCCTGACGCGCTGGTTCAGCGAGTGTATTCAGAAAAACAGATGGTCATTTTCGGCAGCTTCTGTTCTGGCCACAAAATATTTTGCGCTTAAAAAGGCCGTACCGTTATCACGGCGCAGTTTTCTTATCTCTCCGCCCATCCCCCACAATCATACACATTTCATACACACTTTATACACATTCCTTCGTCTCCCCGTCCCTCTCATACACAAACACACACTCACTCTCTCTACTCTAAACATTTCTTTGTACGACTAGTCACCTCTTATCTTTTTTTCCCCTTTACCCTTTGCTCGTCGCATGGATTGGACCAAGGATATCTTTTTCTCAGCACAAATGGAATCACCACTTCGTTCTTTTTCGATTCTTTCTTTTCTCTTCTCCCTCCCCCCGTTCTCCTCTACAGGAGATTTTTTTTCTATCCACGTCTTGTAATTGGCGCCAAAAAGTTTTCCTTTTTCTGATTTTCTTTTCCTCTTCTGTTTGTTTAAAACTCTTTTCGTCTCTGTTCGTTTAAAACACTTTTCCCCCTTTCTTATCTTGCTTCCTTCCGTGTTCAATGCTACAAAAATCTTGAATATCAAAACACAAATTATTAATTGTCCTATCTTTCTTCTTCGATTCGATTCGATTCTAGTACCGGTACAGAATAACATGTGTATGCATGTATGCGTGTGGGCGAAGGATAAAAAGGGTTTGGGTTCGCGTGGGAGTCGTGGAAGTCGTGTCGACATATGCGGAAAATATTAGTTAATTTAGAGAATATCAATTGTATTTTTAGTTTTTATTATGATTTTTTTATATCTTATCATTTTTCGTCTTTTATTCTATATTTCTTTTGAAATATAAAATCTGGAGAAAATATCTTTTCTTGTTTCTTTGGGAAGTAAAGATAAAAATGATGAAAGGGTACAGGTAGTTAGAATAGGGAAAGCCCGGAAGATAAACCTTTTATTTTACTTTTAGGTTTGATTCAAATCTCAACGTTTTAACCAGTCTTTAGTGTTCAAACTTCACTGTTCTTATGATTCGGTCGTTTACTTTTATTGATTGTCTTGACTCTTGTCCTGGTTGCAGTCTACAGTCTACAATCTACAATATACAGTTTACAGTCTTGCAGTCTGCTACCTGTGAGTTAGTTCAACTTCTCGTAGTAGTCTGGTAGAAAAGTTAACTTACAGCTTTTGCTTCGTAGTGTACTTTAGTTTTCGTATCAAAGGCAGGTAAGGTAGGTAGGTAGGTACTAGGTAGTAAAGACAGCGTCACAGATATGATTGATATAAGAGATACTAGAATGGACAAGGAAGTTTGATTTATTTGTGACCTATTTCAGAAAGTGCACTAAGCAAGTAAATATAATGTGAAAATTTGTCGCTAATGACTACGCTGGACTAGACAAAACGCCAATAATCTATAACATACAGACACCTAAAAACACCGGAATAGTTGGTTCCTACTGCCTAGATCTTGTCGTACGATGCACAAACTACAACTACTGGAATCCGTTCAGACCGACAGTCAAGACGTTCTCGTCTTGAAGCTCGGCGGCGCGGGACTTGAGCTCGTCGACGTCCCAGTTGGCCCAGGCCAACTTGCCCTTGAGGAAGGCGGCTTCGGGGCTAGATGCCCAGACGAGAAAGTGTGCGGGGAGAGTGACTAGTGTAATATGTTAGCAGTGTCCACTATAAGATATATGCGATGGGATGAATAGATGTTTGGGAGGTCAAAAGGGAGAAACGAGTGGAAAGGATGGAAGGAGGGAAAGAAAGAAAAAAAAAAAGACATACCATCATCCAAAAGATCTGCAGGGAAATCAATGCCAGTCTTGGCGCTCATATCCGTTTTGACAACGCCAGGATGGATACTAAGAACAGTGGCGTCTGGGGTTTCCGCCTGCAAATACTCAATGACGCGAGACACGGCAATCTTGGAGGAGCTGTAGGCCGAAAAGCCAGGGTACAGACCCCGATGGGCCGCGGCAGTGGAGACTTGGATGAAGACTGCACCCTGGGCGGCCGCGTGCTTAGCAAACGCCTGCGCAATATTCAGTGCCCCCTTGACGTTGATCTCGAACCCGAGCCACCAGTCCGCCACGTCGCTGGACTTGATCGGGCTCGGATTGGACAGGTAGCCCGCGTTGTTGATCACAATGTCAATGGGCTGCTTGGTCGCGGAGGCAAACGAGGCGAAAGCGGCCTCAACGGAGGCATGGTCCGTCACATTGACGACGTAGACGTGGACCTTGGTCGCAGTCGTGCCTTCGACAATCTTCTTGGTCTCTTCCAAGGGCGCCGATCGTCGGCCCAGCAGGGCAATGTGCGGTGCGCCTGCCTGCGCAAATGCCTTGGTGGTCTCCCGGCCGATACCTGTGCCGCCGCCGGTGATCAAGACGGTCTTGCCAGCAACGGAGAGAGCCTCCCGCGAAGGGTCAATCGAGGGGTAGCTCGTGTGGTGGTAGGTCTTGGTGAATGTGCTGGCCATATTTGTAATGTTCCGATGTGCGGTGTAGTAGTGTAGTAGTGTTGTTTGAGTGAACGGGCGTAGACTGCTTTAGTAGAGTGCTGAAGCTGTGCTGCTGATATGCGGACTTGAGATAGCCTTGAAAGGAACTCTTTTGATGATATGATTGTATAGAAAATTTGATGAGTAGAAGAATCAGATATCAACTCCAGACCTGACGCTGTTTAAATAGACAAAAAACAACAAGACAAGAGGGATCGAAGGACATGGAAGAAGGACGTGGACACCTTGTCTTTGGTGTTGTGGCTGTTGATTTCAAATCCATTTTGCTCCTTGTGTGCTTGACGTGCCTTGGTGGAGGGACAGATGGAATAACGCAATCACAATAATCAAAGCACAATACACATTGTGGAGCAGACAAGGCTTCCAAAAACAAACATTGATTGCTGACATATCGACTGCTAACATACTAGTCCTCGCATTGCGTCTCCTCCTGCGCGTCCTGAGCCCACAATTCTCCCTTGTTGCGTGTCTTTAGCTTCTAAGCGCAGGGTTTCAAATACAGTCCCCTGTAAAGGCAGTCGATTTCTAAGCAGGAGGTTGTAAATTAATCACAACCGGGGAATGGTGCAAATAAAATACCGGTGTAGTCCCAATGCGTTGCCGCACGGGCTGTCTAACTGTCCGTAGGGACCAAATGGGCTAACGCGCCAGAAAGCATTCTCTTGGATGTTGATAGTGGCTTGGACGGAGTATTGACGTGACCGAGAAGAGCGAGAGATCGAGAGATTCGGCGCCAAAGGATGATGAATCAGTATTACTCGGGACACGTCCTCGGCGGCGCTAAAAAGCTTATTTCATCTTTCACCGGCAATCAAGAGTGTCCGGAATAACCTTGGTATTGTTGTGGGCCGGCAAGGAATTAATCCAACTCGGAACCGGTAGAGTGATAAGAATGCAAACAAAGAGATGAATTGTTCGATGAGATCTGACCCTGGCTGCGGTGGACATGGATTACTCTCGGGATTGACTAGTCGTGCGATATGGTTATTACTCCGCGTGTCCCCCGTTTCTGTATGTGACCAAAGGTCCTCTGACAGCCTTGTCAGTAAGGCGTGCTTTTTCAATCATGAGCATGCCAGTAGCCTCCCAGAAAGTATTCAATAGAGAGATAAGCGATACGAGGAAATACGAGAAATCATGCATTTACTAGGTAGGCAGCAGAGTCTGGGATAAGATTATATGTTGTCATCCATAGATTTTGTGTCCGTAGACTGATGACAGCAATATTAATGGCATGTAAACGGTCCTGGCTCAGCTGCCAAATGTGGGTAGAGAGGAAGATAGATGGTTGAGAAGCAGTAAGAGAATGAAATAGTATTTTTCGTTGATAGTCTATCTTTGAAGCAAATGGTATCATATGCTTGTCCGCATGTAAAAGATCCAACATTATAGAATGTCTGACGCCCCGACGAGTCCATCAGCGGTAATTATCCAAGGTAATCTCTCCAATTAATATCCCCAGTGCCCTCATCTCCAAGACCTACTAACCCTTGACCCTCTTGCCAAGGCTGCAACGCGTCGAGGCTTACTAAATGACGCATGGTCGGCCTGCCATGTGGACAATTCCACGGCTTATCAATCTCTCCCATATGTACAAGAACGTTTTTCATCCGTTTCGCAGTCAAAGGGTGCCCGACCATAATGGACGAACGACACGCCCGCATGGCGAACATGCGTCTGACTTTGCTTGGACGAGGAATGTGGGAAGCAGACGAGGGTGAGTCGGCTAGGAGCGAAATGAGCTCTTCGAGGTCGCGCGTATCGAACACAACGTCACGGCTGATTGGTAAGCTTACGAGCTTACAACGCTGTCCAATGGGTTCCTCTCCGCTTGCATCTACCTCGACGATGAAACCGTTCTTCTCCAGTACGTGCGTGTTTTCTAAGAGTATTTCCTCTTCCACTGCAGTCAAATTGAGCGCGCGTGGCTTTACCAGGCGCTGGTTCTGTACCACCGTCTCTGCCTGAAGACGTTCAAAGTTATACTTTTCATCTGACGCATGTTGATCAATGATGAAGAGCTCATCCTGTGCCTTGCTGTCACCTTGCTCATTGCAAGAAACAGAGTAGGGCCGTGCTGCCAAGATGAACCCAAGATTGAACTGCCCGACCACCCGCATCTGGGCAAAATCTTCCTTGGAAATGGTAAGAGATAATCGTTCCTCGACAGATTCTGCAGATTCACGGTCTACCTGAGCACCACTCTTCGCCATGTACCCTTGACGCCGTTCGTCAATAGCTTCTAGAGATTCACGGAAAGCGCTGATATGGTGCTCCATTTTGCCAATTGACCAATCAACGCGTTGGAGGAGTTGCGTAGTTGAATCCTTTCTGCGGCTGTTTCTTAGGAGATGATTCGCCCGTTTTATATTGTCCTCCGTGGGTCTCGCTGCTACCTGTGCAGCATCTTCTGCTTCACGTATTAAAGCTTGCACCCGTGCTTGCTCTTGAGCTTTGGCCTCTTCTTCATCAACATAGTCTGAATCAGAGTCCAGTGCTTCCGGGACTTCTTCTGCATCTCCAGCATCTCCATCAATCATATTTTCATCAGGTACCTCTGCATCTGAGGTGTATCCTTGGCCCTTGGAATCTTTGTTCTTGCTGTCTGAGGCTATGCTTTCTTGAGGGCCCTCTTCGTTTTCACTATTCTCCGCGCTGCTGCTGCTGCTGCTGCTGCTGCTGCTGCTGCCGCCGCTTCTTTCTGCATCGCTACTGAGCTCCTGTCGAGTATCAGAAGCAGCAAATGCTTGCAGATTTTTTGCAAAGCTACTTCCACGAGGCGGAGTGTTCTTGGAATTTTTCAATCTTGAGTCGTGGGGAGCTTCGACGGCTGGAGTTCTTCTAGCAGATGTTCCAATGGGGGACGTGGTCGTTTTAGAGCCAATTGTTATGGTAGCCATTTCAGGCTTCATGCGCTTAGGCCGCATTCGATCGAAAGCATTCTCTATAATTCCAGGTCGAGGGCGTGGTGGTGGGGTCAGAGCGGGAATTGGGTCCTCAGACGGAACAGCAGTGGATGGAACAGAGTCCCGCATGTCGTCTTGGTCGGCCATCCGCTTGTTGAAATCCGATATTCGTTTGGAAACTGTACCCGAGGGACCAGTTGTCTCTTCACTGAATTGTTCAATTTGCGAATCTCGTTCGGTTGCCTTGTCTGGATTCCTTTCAAGAACTGGCTTGATTCCGGGGGCGTCTTTTGCAAAGCGTTGGCTTAAAGACTGTGATAGGGTTTCAGAAAAAGGACCAATTGAATGGCCATTATTCTCCGCATTCGCTGCCTTGGCTTTCATTGCCGGGGCATCTCCGTGGATTGGGCTGTCTAATGTTACTGAGTCGTGCTTTGCATTATCCGTTATATTCTCCCTTTGATCCAACGTCATCGTCTCATCGCTATCGGCAAAATCAGATCCAGGTGTGGCATTTCTTCGTGCTGGAAGTTCTTTTCGTAAAGGACCCTTTGGTAGAATGGGCTGAGACTGCGGCACTGTCTGGTCTGTAGATTCAAAAAGCTGTGTGAGCGATTCCTGTTCTGGTCAGCAACAGGAGGTCAAAAGTTCAATGGCGCAGCGCAAACCTTGAGCGTCTCAAGCAGTGCATTCTGATCATGCAAAAGTATGGTGCGTTTATCAGGAGAAACATTGACGTCATATGCACCTAAGACGTAGAGCATTAGACATTTCAAATCAGTATTCAGATATTGTAGAACATACTTGTGTCCATTCGAAAGTCGGCAAAAACAAAGGGCGATTGCGTGACGTTAAAGGTTTTGTAGACCTCATTGAAGACTTTAGCTATCTGGGGAAGTCCACACGGCCTCGAATTGACGAAAAACATTTGACGGTCTGGTGTTTGGCGTCCCTCGCCGAAGACTGGCCTTGATACGTGTCCTGAAACTAGAACTTCTTCAATCCTTTCGAAGAGTTAATACCATGAATATTGAGTGCAGATACGAGATTCCTACCGTTTCCCCTTTCTGGCTGTCCATTTCTGGCTGGGTCTATTTGTCGGTTGCATTTCCAATGTTAAATTCAAAGGAACGAGCGCAGTCAGGGTCTTTGCACCAAACACGTTCGCAATATTTTCCCTAGTGGACGGGTTTGACTTTGTTGAGAAAACAATCGCTTTTCGCCTGATATATATTAACAGCTGCAATTATCGAATTATTGAACAGTGGAACCTTACCCCTTTGCCATTTGGTTACTGACAGTAAATTTGACATTGACACTGATACATGCATATGCATGTAGTAGCCCCAGAACCTTCCCATATTCACGTTTGATCGTCTTTTCCAGTTCTCGTCTTCTAACTGGTAAATTATGGAACAGGTTCCCGACGACCACTAATGTGCCCTTTTGACCGGCCACGATGCTTGTATGTTTGAGTTTGCCAGAAACTTCAAAGTCAAGTCTGCTCGCTTTTGGGGCATCTTGCGCTCGTGCGGTTATGACATGAAATTCGGAGAGAGCGCAAAGCGAGGAAAGCGCTTCACCTCGAAAGCCGAATGTCTGAAGTGTTTCGAGATCATCGTAGGTTGAAAGCTTTGACGTGTGATGCTTCAATGCTATGATTAAGCCAAGTTAGAGCGGTGTTTCTGAATGTGCAAAAAAAAAAAAGTCGTACCAACTGTCTCAAAATTCTCCGGCGCAATGCCTTGTCCGTTGTCTTGCACCTCGATTGACTCCAAGCCATTATTTTTGAAGCGCACCTCTGTACATAATGGAAAATCTATTAGCCATAAGTCTCAGTACAAAAGACTACAGACGCACCGATAGACGTGGCACCAGCGTCCAGGCTGTTCTCGACCAGTTCTTTCACGACGGAACACAGGTCAACAATAACTTGACCAGATTGGATTTGATGAACCTGCTAGAGTCAGACCAGCTTGTTTCTCTCAAGTATTTATTCAGCATGATAATAATGCCCTACCGATCGACCTTCAATGGCCTTGATTGTGGCCATTTCAACCCATGTCTTTGACAAAGTCGCGTAATGATTTAGGATGACGCGCTGTCGCCGCAATATTTAATTCGGCCCCGCGTCGCGCTTTTAGCTCCCGGCGGTGTAGGACGGGACGAATCGAGCCACCACTGCTGCAATCTTGTTCAAAGCTTCTACTTGGCCAAGCACCAATCTCCTAGGCCTGAAATGATTGCTATCATATATTTTTACTAAGCATGCGCATGTCAAATCTATTAAATTATTCCCGGATCCACCCCTCATCTTAATAGAAGTGGGTGAGCGGGATGTCGCAGCGTGCTCCTGCTATAGCGTCAATGCTTTGAGAAATATGGTGCCAGCAATCACCAAATCGTATTAAGTGAGAAGATAAATTAGTATTTATAAGTACAAAAAACATATTTGTCCACTCCTAGGCCATTAACATAAAAAATTCCCATCAGTAAATGAACTTCATGTCAGTAGAAGACAATCATTTAAAAAACAAAGATGAAGAAAGGCATTATGGGCTTCTCTGCAGACTTTTAATAGTCAAACCGATTGGGCAGAATAACAGGTGCAAGCAAAGACCACGCGTAGATAGCATAGCATACCCATGCGCTGACAATCTTTGTCCAGCTGGCCCAGTACGTTCTGCCGACTGGCTGGAAATCACCAGAAGTTGTGCTATCCTCTTTGAGATTCATGGTCAAAAGAGTTGCAACCCAGGCTGTTGCCAGCATAAAGATGAGATGGAAAAGAGAATAATTGTACTGAGTGCCTCCTCTCTCGTCATCCTTTGCCGGGCGCTCATCATCAGATTCATCGTCACTCTCGTCAAGAGCGCTTGCGGGTAGACTGCCCTGTGCAACAGCAGCACGAAGAGCTTCGGCACGCATTTCCCGACGATTGTTCGGCTGGTCCGTGAGGCCATGTTCAACTTCATTATGGAGCTGAGAATAATTGCCATTGCCTTTGCTGCCCAGGACGAGGCCCTGAGTAGCAGCTCTCGTTGTACTGTAAGCGACGGTAAGCATTGTAACAATGGCACCGATTACGATCGACGCGGTTCGGGTACCGCGAGCACGGACTAGAGGATTGCAGTGTTTATCATCCGGTTCCATTGAGACGGCAGACATGGTCAGGTAGGTGCAGTAAATTGCGACCATGGCTGACTGGGCAAGGCCAGCTCTGGGGTTGGAATCTTGTACTGCCGGATGAACAGAAATGGAAGAGATGATGAGAAGTAGAAGCAAGTTGACCTAGAGTGTGTTAGAAAATCAGAATTTTGCAGAACGGAATGCATTGACAATACCGTAATGGCGGCTTGGTTCATTGAACAGCCTCCACGCGCAAAGAAGATATACATGACAATAGTCATGGCAATGGAGCAGATGTACATGCTCAGCGTCGATCCGATGAGGAAAAACCTCCAGACGCGAGAATCATGAAACTCGATCTTTTCAAGGCAATATTCCGCCCACGAATGCGCAAGGTCGACGAGGAGAATCAGCCCGATCAGAAGGAAGACGATTGCTCCGATGTACGCGACATAATTTCCCCAAGTTATGAAAAAGGCGTCCGGGATCAAAAAGGTGAGTACAATTATTCCAATCCACGCGATGATTTTCGGCCCCCAAAAGCCATTCTGGATAGCGGCGCGGCCGTCCTTGGAAGACTTCACGCCAAGCAACATGAGGGCAAGAAGAGCGTGGAAAGCACCCAAACCAAAATTGATCCGATGCACGGCGACAAAACCATAGCAATCATGGCCGACACATGTCAGTCTCATGTAGTCGAGAGTAAGATGCTCCAGCTTCTTTATGGCCCAATCGGTGAGCATGATCCATGAGACTATGGAGTTGACGAGCAGAATGAGCGCGTAGGCAATGCGAGTGGCCATACTACAAGTCCAGCAGTTAGCTTAGCCTTCCAAAAAAGCCTTTCTGAGAGAGATTAATATTAACCTTCCCTGGCATTTCCCACATGCGCTACAGACGGCGGAACATGTTGCAGCTCCACAACAAGATGCGGCAAACGTCCCGAGCTAGAACTTGGTCAGAAAACGATAAAGAGTGCACCGCTTCAAAGGATGGACTTACCGTGCTAAGGCTCGGGACTGCAAGAAGAGGAATAGATAGAAGTGCACCCATTATGGGTACTAGAGAGATGTTGTTACAGTTTTCAAATGGTGGTAGCAATGAGCTGCCTGTGACGATGGAAGAGGAATTCGCCTCCAATCCAAATATGCAAGCGCTCTCATGTCATCGACACATCTGGAGATGGCGGAGAGGAAGCCTAAGTACTATACTGTAAACGGATAATTAAGCGAACCAACCGCTTCTGATGCCCGATTTCCAAACAATTACGGTTAGATCCGAGTCTTCGCGGCCACCTTACCAAAAATGGATATGACGCACTGATAAACTCCCCTTGATAAAAAGCTCGAGATTGCGCAACCGCAACCGGAGCACCTTTGATAAGTATCTCTACTATTATCTATACAGATATTGTGCTGCGATATGTGGTATAGAGACATGAACCCAATTACCTAACTCGCGCCCTCACTTATCGCCGCCTCGTGCAACGCATTTCTTGCTCCGAAACTGGAATTGATATGCTTTTACCCCTTCAGTCATCAACTGCTTGTGAGGCAATTGCACCCACTTCATGCCCCAATCCTTGACATTTCTTGAGAGTTGTATAATCAATGGTTCTTACGTTTTATTTCAAACGTGAAGATCATCTCCACCAAAAACCGGAGCAGTAATCGGGTCAACCATCCACCGCCATTTGGCGCAATTGAATCGGCCCACGGCTTGATAGAAAGCCGACTTGCGTCGAACAATCTCGTATTGGGCCATTGCTCTCTTGTCCGCTCTCAAGATGTCAAATACCAGCTTCCCTGATGCGTCGGATTCGACACATCGAACAACTCGTATAGTATCAGTCATAGCAGCCACAGCCGTCGCGTTGGCATGTGGCACGAATGTTTGTGGCCTTTTGTGACATTACCTTTTACCGTTCTTGCTGAAACTAGACCCAGTATGTATATTCGGCATGGGCGCCGCAATTTGCGGAGAGAATGAAGCTCTCATCGACACAAAGCAATCTGATTGTGAGCATACCCCTCAGTGGAGAGGCAAGCGAACCGGTTTGCTAAACTTATGCAGGGCTCTGCGGGAAATCTTGGCATGTATGGCTTCGGTATCCCAGTGGGATTATTGGTAGATAGAAAGGGTCCTCGCCCGGGTGTGATTTTGGGCTCACTTCTTCTACTCGTGGGATATCTTCCCATGCATCTTGGTTAGTCTGCTCGTGGGCTGGTATTTTGACCTAGCTAATAAGACCGCAGCTTATGATGCTGGCCCTGGCTCGATAAGCGTTGCTGCCCTATGTTTCTTCTCTCTTTTGACCGGGTGTGGAAGTTGTTCAGCGTTCTCTGGGGCGATCAAATCCTGTGAGCTCGGTTTCTTGCCGCGGAGGGAGAATTTGAATTAACAGTCTGCAGCGGCACTCAACTGGCCCCACCATCGTGGAACAGCTACGGCTTTTCCTCTTTCTGCATTTGGTCTCAGCGCAATCTTCTTTTCGACCATCTCTTCTCTGATTTTCTCCGACAATACTTCGGGCTTTCTCTTGCTCCTGTCCATTGGCACATTTGGTCTCACACTCGTTTCGGTATTCTTCCTGCGAATAGTTCCTCAGACCGGAGCGTATACTCGCATACCGGCCCACGAAAGGCGGAACTCAGACCCTCACCGTGCTCACCGGAGAAAGTCCGAACAGGGTCATTACCAGAACAATGCAGAAGAACCTGGTGCGTGCTCTCCTTTTTCCAATCACCCCAGACGTCAAAGTATTCACCTAGGAATCCATTCTGGCCCACTGCAATACTACGATCTGACATCCCTGACTGGAAATCAGACGAAATTTCTTCCCTTCTTTCTACCTCTCCTGATCCAGAACAATCTGCCACCGATTTGCCTAGAGCGAAGATTGACGAAGGTCACAACCACCATCTAGATATTCGGGGCTTGGTTCTACTCTCGAAACCCGATTTTTGGCAGCTCTTTTCCTTGCTGGGACTCCTGACAGGTGTAGGATTGATGACCATCAAGTGAGTTATGAATCAATTGCGATTTTCGATGCCGTCACTAACTTTTGAAAAATAGCAACATTGGAAGTGATGTAAGCACACGCGTGTTGTTGCTACCGTAATACTTGAGTTTACAATGAGATGCAGGCCCGAGCCCTATGGATTCATTATGACGATAGCGTGCCGCGTGAATTCATTCAAAACCGTCAGGTCGTCCACGTCTGCGTGCTTTCAGCTATGAATTTCCTTGGGCGTCTCTCAAGCGGTAAATCGCCTTCTTTCTACACTGGATCTCTCAATGAAGACTAATTCTTCCATGACAGGGATCGGTTCTGATCTGATTGTAAAGAGAATGGGTATGAGTCGTTTTTGGTGTGTTATTGCTGCGAGTACAGTATTTTGTGTCGCGCAACTTTCCGCCACGCAAATCAACAATCCGCATTCATTATTCGTGGTATCTGGTCTGACTGGATGTAAGTGTTTTGGTTGTCATCTTTTAATCGGGAAAGCAAGTTCTGACAGGAAAATGATTTAGTGGGTTACGGTTTTCTGTTTGGTGTATACCCGGCATTGGTATAGTGATCCGTACGTTACTCTGTAGAGGATGTGCTTGCTCACCAATGTTTGTAACAGGTATCGGAGAAGTTTGGCGTTCATGGTCTCTCTCAGAAGTATGTGTTCCATTGCCTTTGGAAAGAGATTAATGATGCTTCATTGGTGCTAATGTCTTTTGTTCTAGCTGGGGCTGCATGATTTTCGCTCCTGTCATCAGCGCAGAGCTATTTAACCTGATTTACGGTAAGTTTCCCTGCAAATGCTTTGGAAGAGCAATGAAGAGTAATTGTACATGAATATTCCACGATTGTCTATTTTACTTGACCGCGTCTTGCAAATGCAGATCTAACAGTGGCGACTCACAGGGGCCGTCTATGATAAGCATTCGGTTGTACTGCCCGACGGCGAGCGTCAATGCCAGGAAGGTCTCGCCTGCTACCGAGAAGCATACTGGGTTACCCTCGGCGCAAGCGTCCTCGGTCTTTGCATCTCATTCTGGTGCGTGTATCACGAGCGCGCTGAGCAAAAGAAGCTTGCCAGAAGAGAGGGGCTCGAGGCCGGTCACGAATCCTAAACTCGTCAAGTATATGTGATTTTGAGCACCTGGTTGCATTCTTTTTGGTGGCCTTAGGGAGCGTTTTTATCTTTACTATAGAAGATTGGTCACGAGAACAAGGATGCTGGATATTCTTATACCTGCGACAAGTAAGATCAGCTTGGTTATTAGCACGCCAAACTCATCGAGCGGGTAATCTATTTTCGCGTCTACACGTCTACGGGCTTTGGCATGTTTCACCCGGGCCGTTGAGCGGCCTTGATAGCGTTGCAGCTTTTATAGATTTTTCATATTTATAGATTTATTTCATATTCAAGCCAGCTGTTGGTTCGTCTTTTTGCTGCATATCTACGCTCTTTAGGGTTATAATACTATCTAGTAAGTGACTCGCTATTGTATACATAAGGCAGGATAATCGTGATCGATCATAGCACGCTGGTAACTCTATCAACTTGAATGGAAAAGGACAAGATTCAAATGACCTCTTAAGTCTAAAATCAATGCTGCACAAACAGGGAACCGGAAACTCATGGAAATCATCCAGCATTGGGAACATAAAAGGTATACAGGAAAAAAAGGTGGAAAATCTTCGGAAACACAGATGTAAGCTCTCGCTAGAAGTCATAACTGACTCTAAGATACGGGGACCTTCCCATATTTGCCCTCCCAAACGTATCGTCTCGGATTTGTTTTTTACATGGGAGCAGCCTCAAAACTGAACTTTCGGTTTCTAGGTCCCGCCCAGTCCCCGCCGCGGCCTTCTTCGGCAACTTTCCCACTGACATCTCTCCTGCCGAGTCGGGAAGAAGCAGCAGCGGGCAGTACGTCGGCGCCAGAGCTGCTCACGACTCTGGCATTGCCCTCATGGGCTAATTGCGAGGAAGGCTTTGTTCCTGCATTGAGATTCGGATAGTACTTGTCTTTCTTGTCCGCTGCGCTAGCTCGGTTGGCTGAAGCTGGAGTCAGGACACGGTGTGGAGGAGGGGTAGGCGAGTTCATGGACAGGGGATCAGGCACGAGGGACTCGTCAAAAGGATAACCATGTGCGGTTGCAAGGTCTCCGTGGTCCAAGGGATCCTGCGAGAGGGCGTGGTACTGGCTGTTGCCCAAGCGCTTGAGATCCTCGTCTTGGAACGCAGCGGTCAGGCCAGCGAAGAATTGGCCGTGCGGGTTTGTGTTTTCGTCGGGTTCGGGTTGAGTCTGGGAGGAGGCAAGGGTATCGATTCTTTCGTATTCGCCTTTTCGACCGGCGCGACCTTGGTGGTGGTGGGGCGGCTGCGTGTGGTCCTGCTCGTCGTCCGAGGTGTTGACTACATACCAATTGTCGTGGAGGTCCGATGGGTCCTCTGGTTGTTTTTCCGGCGATGGCGGACGGCGAGGCGAGGAGTAGCCAGAGTTGCGCTTTGCGGCGAGTCGGCTGCTGCTCCGAGTAGGTCTACTAAAGTCAGATCGGGAAGTGCGCTGCGATGGCGACTGGCGTCGGACTGGACTGGTGTTGTTGCTTGCACGCGAGCGATGCAGATCTGCCCTCGATGACCGGGCAGAGACGTTTTGTCGGTATATTTGGCTGGGCAGATCGGCGCGGGAACCGTGGGGAGACGCGGACGCGGTTCCCGGGGAAGTTGGCGAGGAGGTTTCATTGGAGTTTGTGCGGGTGTGCATGAATGGGATTGACTGATTTGTCGGCAAGAGCGGAACATCTGTTTGAGAAATAGCCTTGGAATGCCGTGGGCTAGAGCTTATTGTGCTTTGGCTGAGGCGTTTCTCAGTCATGCTTGAAGCGTTTGAGCTCTTCTTCTTGTGTCTCGAGGTCAGGTTGTCTTCGAGCGGATTCATGTCTGGCGGCAGTTTTGCTATTCTTCGGAAGACAATTGCCAGATAAAGCGCAACGAATATCGAAATGAAATGCAAACCGCAGTTGGCAATACTAAGGAGGAAAGTGGAGAAGATGATCTTGTGGTTGATGGTAGCGTCATTGAAGAATGTGCTCCACTTTCCAGGTTTGTCTGCGGTATTGTCATACTGCGTTTTGCTCATGAGCAGCAAGATGACATAAAAGGGAATCAACCCAATGTCTGTGATTAATGAAAAGACATGATATGATGCAGAAGATTGGGCAGTGCGGGCCTTGGATGGTCGCGAAAGATGGAAAATCGCATACACGAGATGCACAATCGCAACGCAAGGCTATATATCTCAAAATATCAGAATACAATTCTCATGAAATGGAGTTTACTATATATTCGGGTTGTTCAGGAACTTACGGGAACTCGAATAATCCATCCGACAGCTCCTCCGGTGTTCTTAATGACAATCACGCAGAAGAGAGCTCCAACTGCGCCTAGCAGTTGTAACATGCGCAAGAACAATTGCAACCATCTCACTTTTTGGATGGTATGCTTAGTTCCTTTGCTCAAGGGCTTGGCATTGTTATCCACAGGCAGCACCAGATAACTATCGGGATGCCTGTTGAAACTGACCAACGGGCCTTCCTGCTTGGGGCGCGGCCGTGACCGACTTGCGGCAGAAATCAAGCTGGCTTGCGATACCGCTTTAGGATTGAATGGACGTAGCGGGTCGTCATTGAAGGGGTATGTCGAAGGCGGATCGTAAAGGAATGGGGGTTCTACGCCCATAATGAGTAACTATGACGAGTCCCTCAGACTCCCGGTCAATTGCGTAGAGAGTCTCGAAATGACTTGGACGCGAATGGGAGACACGCGAGAGACACTGGAATGCAGCCAAAGTGAGGAATGGAAAGTCTGAAGAAAAAGAGGACTGGGCTGGATGAGAGAGAGGGAGAGAGGGTGTGAGAGGCCTATTCTGCGACCTCCCAATGCATAGAACGGGTGGCTGGGCGGCCAAAGAGAGGTTCTGGTTCCCCGGTAAACAATGTCGGCGGCCCAATGTGGAGGATTGAATGGGTTTGATTGGATTGATTGGACTGATTTAGGTTTACAGGGGTTCGGATAATCACCACAGCAACCACCCAACTTTTGCTTAATCAGATTATCTCATCTTTTACCGATGACTGTCAATCAATCGAACTGATAACTAAATCTCCCCCAACTTTAATTTGCGTCGGCAAATGGCCATCTTGTGATTGACGGCGGCATGAATTCCGTCATTCTTCGCAGTCAATGCACCGCATGGCTACAGCAATCGACTGTTAAATCTGCGCATCAGCTGTTCTTGCGCCACGCTACTCCGCTACAGCGCAGAACTTTGAGCAGCGCCGCAGTCAATCATGCAGAGCGGCCGTTCCGCTTGGCCGTCATCGGCTCCGGCCCTGGTGGCTTTTATGCTGCGTATCGGGTCTTGTCAAAGATTGAGGGTTCCGTTGTAGACATGTATGAGCGTCTGCCTGTTCCATATGGGCTCGTCCGATTTGGTGTCGCCCCTGATCATCCTGAAGTCAAGGTTCGTCATTTCGTCGTTTCGTCATGAGTCACTGCATAACGATCACTGCATAATGATCACTTCATAAATGAGCGCGCTCAAATCATTCCATATTCCATGGGCTAACTCTCTTGCGCATCACAGAACTGCGAAGAAAAATTCGAAGAAGTCGCCTCCTCGCCCAGATTCAACTTCATCGGAAACGTCTCCGTCGGGACCGACCTCCCCTTGACCGCATTGAAGCCGCACTACGACGCCATTCTCTTCGCCTACGGCGCCTCGGAGGACAAAGAGCTGGGCATCCCAGGCGAGACGGATCTCAAGGGCATATACTCCGCGCGCGCATTTGTCGGATGGTACAATGGACTGCCTGAATATGCGAATCTGGCGCCGAACCTCGAAGCCGGCGAGGACGCGGTGGTGATTGGCCAAGGAAACGTCGCGTTGGACGTGGCGCGCGTCTTACTCACGGATGTTGATGCGCTGCGCAAGACAGACATGGCGTCTTATGCGCTGGACGCGCTTTCAAAGAGTCGAGTCAAACGTGTTCGAGTCGTCGGTCGACGAGGGCCCATGCAGGTGTGTTCCTTGCCCTTATTTTATTTCATTTTATTTTATCCTACTTTTTTTTTTACCTCCCTATCCCTTTCTCCTTCCCCATAGCCACGCCATTTGACCGTATACTGACACCCCGCAGGCGGCGTTCACCATCAAAGAAGTCCGCGAACTCCTGACCCTTCCATCCGTTACATTCGAGCCCGTCGACCCGGCGCTGTTCCCTCCCGAAACCGCCAAGTTGCCTCGCGCACAGAAACGCATTGTCCAACTCATACAGAAACACTCCGCCTCCGCCCCGTCATCCTCGGACCCCGCATCGTCGTCGGGATCCAAGAACTGGGGTTTCCGCTTCCTTCTCTCTCCTACAGCCTTTCACTCCTCTCCTTCCTCTCCTTCCTCTCCTTCCTTTTCCTCCTCCTCCTCCTCCTCGTCGGACAACGCCCAACTCTCCCACATCTCCTTCACCAACATGACCCTCACCTCCCCCTCCTCCGCTACCGACCCCTTCGACCCATCCGCGCGCCCCTCCCCCACCGACCAATCCACAACGCTCCCCGCAAGTCTCGCCTTCCGCTCCATCGGGTACAAATCCGTCCCGTTGCCCGGTCTGTCGGACTTACACATCCCCTTTGACGTCGCGCGCGGGTTCTTCCCCAACGACTTACACGGCCGCGTCATCGACCCGTCGCGCGGCCCCGCCGGCGCACTCACCGCCGCGCATGTCCCCGGTATATATTGCGCCGGGTGGGTGAAGCGTGGGCCGACGGGCGTGATTGCGAGTACGATGCAGGATGCGTTTGCGAGTGCGGATGTGATTGCGCTGGATTGGTACCAGAGGGCGCAATTCTTGAACTCGGAGCTTCGTCCCTCCGAGGGGGGCGGTAGCGCTGAAGGGGGTCGTGGCTCAAGTGAAAAAAGTGGCGAAGGCGAGATCAGACGCGGATGGGACGCCCCTGCGTTGAAAGGAGAGGTTCAAAAAAGAGGACTGCGGCCCGTAAGCTGGGCGGATTGGCAGCGGATAGACAGGGCGGAGAAAGAAAAGGGCCAGCGGCAGGGCAAGATCCGGGATAAGTTTGGGAGTGTGCCGGACATGTTGAGTGTTTTGGACTAACTTGGAAGATTTGGACCAGCTTCCCCTCTCCTCTCCTCTCCCTTTTTGATTCAAATTCAATTGTTCCCCTTTGCTGGAAGACATTTTTCCCTTTACTGTCAAGACTAGTTTTTTTCTTGATTGCACATATGATCATCGACTGGTTTTTTTTTTAACAACATGTACTAGATAGCGTCTCTATTTTCTTTTTTTGGCATCTCAGTCCCTCTCCACACCGACTCATCTATAGATTATTCTTAGACATATGTACATATACTTTGATATGTATAAATATATATACAATGGAATAAAGGACATATACAGAGTAAACATCCGCGGACGCCCCTAGTATGAGATCATGGATAGGTGACTTCTCCCTAGACAGCGCGAGTCACAAGGACTCAGTGACGCTCAGCGCTCAGCGTAAAGCAGATCATGCACCATTTCTGCAATCGCCAGAGAACTCGTCAGGCCTGGGCTCTCAATCCCCAGTAAATTCACAAACCCGTCAAACCCATCTTCTTTCTGAATCACAAAATCCTGGAACCCCTTGGCGCTGGCCACTGCGCCCAACTTGCCCAGCTTTGGCCGAATGCCGCAGTAATCCAGGCCGATAGACTCTGGTTTAATGCCTGGTAGATATGCGCGGATATGCTCAATGGCTTCGTCGAGACGGGCCGGGTTTGGCCGAAGATCGTTCGGGTCATCCACCCATTCGACGTCGGGACCGAAGCGCACTCGGCCTGTCAAGTCAAGTGTCAGGTGTGTGCCGAGACCGCCATGGCCGGGCGACGGGGCAGGATAGATTAATGTCGAGGGACGCGGGTGCGGAGCAGAGTAGGAGAAATACGAGCCCTTTGCGAAAAAGGGCACGCGGTGCCGGTCCGCGGGTAGGAGAAGATTGTTGATGTAGCATGCGCCGAGCCCGGCGCTGTTGATGACCGTTTCGGCGGTTATGGTATATGTATTATCATTGCTGTCTTGTGCAGAGGCTGGGCTGGCGTCGGATCCCGTGGAACCATTGGCGCCGCTGCCGCCGCCAGAGATGGTTATTTCGTAGCCTCCCTTTCCGCCGTCAATTGCTTTTAAGCCCGTCACGTTGGCCTGAAACGCGCACATGCCTCCGCGGTCCTCAAATTCGGCTTGCAGAAACGACATGAGCGAGTGGCTGTCGACGATGCCGGTCGTGGGGCTCTCGAGGATCCCCGCCTCAGCGCGCACATCTGGTTCTCGTCGCTGCGCTTCTTCAGCGCTGACGAACCGTGTAGGCACGCCAAGAGATTGGGTAAATGAATGGATCTTCTCGCATTCTTCCCATTGCTCGGGCGTTTGTGCGACTATCCATTTTCCAGTCTTCTTGCAGGGGATCGAGTTGCGCTCGCACAGGTCGTAGAGCATGTGTTTGCCCTGAATGCAGAGTTTGGATTTTAAAGAGTCAGGCCCATAGTAGAGTCCTGCATGGATGACTTCGGAGTTGCGACTGCTTGTCTCGGTGCCAACGGAACTGTGACGCTCGATTATCACGGTCGAAGTGCCTTCTCGTTCGGCGAGTTTGCGGGCTATTGCGAGCCCGACGACTCCACCGCCAATGACCTGGAGTTGTTAGTTGGATAGGTGCCAAGATCGGGGTGACGGAGGAGGGAGAGAAACTGGGGAAGGCAGTGAAACTATCTCACTTACAGCATGAGTCAGGTCCGCTCGACAGGAAGAGCTGGTAGAGAATCCACGACAAGCTGATTTTAATTGCCCAGAGAAATGCGCCCGAAGCGTTCTTGCAAGCATGACGTTATCCGTCAATGGTGTTGAGCAATTCGCTAATCGAAACTGAGACAAGCAGAAGCAATACCAAGACACTCAAGACATAAAGAGGAGAATATCAATTCAGTTTACTCGAAGAATAAGGAGGAAGCGGTTGTCATTTGTGTTTTTCACATACAAATGGCCAAAGTTGGGGAGTTTGTTTGCCAAAGGGCCTGGCGTCAAGTATACGGATAGCTATAGGCCGAACTAATAACCCACCTCTTCCGATAAAGCGATAGTGAGGAATCTAGCATTTAGTGTTACGATAAGCTATACCTTAGTTTACCATGATAAGCGGCAATAAGACCCTGAATTGCCGTTGTAGCTTGCCAGACGGATGTGTCTTTCATTAGAAGTTTATGAAATTCATCTTTTTTTTTTGTAAACAATGTCCTACATGTTCGTTTATTTTATAATCGTGATATTTTTACTCCTGGTGGTGTCGTATTAGACTAATAGAGTACAAATCACGAGATGAAGCTGAAGACGCCCCCCACTATTGACGAGTTTAAATAATCTTGAAATTTTAAGATAGGTGGGGTAAACCGTGACCTTCCTATCATCTTATAAACTTCTTTTCTAAACGACTAGATTCCCTTACGCCTAAATTCCGACCGCTACAGGGCCGTCGTTGACTCCGTTATAAATACATGTAAACTCCAATTAACGCCGCATGATGTTGAAAATAAAGACTCCATGAGATGCCAAAAAAAAAAAAAAAAAAATACGAAAGTCGCCCCCAAGTAGCATGTCACTCTGGCTTTGGATGATCGTTTGCCTGAGCGCTCGCCATCGCAATCGGCGGCGACGCGAGATTGGACATTGTGACGGGGCTATGCGTGATGGCAGAGTTTTCGTTTAGATCATTGATCTGTCGTTCTACCCTCAGAGTTAGTAAGATATTATTCGTTGAAGGTCGCGACGATTTAGTCGACTCACCAAGTTCGCGGATTCTGTGCCTGAGCATTTGGTTCTCTCTCGTCAAATTCTGTGTCTCGGCTTGGAAGAATGCCGCCTCGTCCCGACCACCGAGAGACCAGTCGGTGGCTTCGCTTTGACCGGATGCCATTGGTCGTAGTGCTGGCGACGTTCGACTGGAGGTACGAGAGTGTCGTGACGATCGTCGTGAGGCTTCTGCAGAGGTGCGCGGCACAGGCGACCGCGAGCGCGGATTGGTGCCAGAGGCATTGATTCCGGACGAAAAGGAAACAGATCGTTCAGAGGCAGGCGTGCTGTCATCAACAGCCGTCGATTGTACTGGCCCTGCCGCTTGCTGCATCTGCAGAATCTGTGTTTGCTGCTGACGGATCATCTGGAGAAGCCGATTCTAGTTCTTTGTCAGCTCTAATTGTCAATGACGACAAATTCTGGAAAGCGGAATGACGAACAACTTGGGCTTCCTGCTCCTGCTCAATCTCTTGATGAATCTCTCCCAAGCTCGGAGCACGTGAATGATGGGGATCCGCGGTGACAATGGTCGCTGAATCTCCAATGCCCAAAGGACTCGCAGTGCGAAAAGCCGAGCCAAAGGACGAGGAACGGTAGTCGTTTGACGACCGATGCTCAGTGCTTTGCATTTCGCCTGGGCCCGGGAGTCCGGGCTCGGTCAGGTTGAGATGCATCAAGGCACTCGAGCGACGTCTTTCATGATGCGGGGCCGGACCAGAGCTCTGTGGGGGGACACCAGAGCGAGATCGTCCGGAGCTCATCGAAGGATGTCTAGCTTCGTAGTGAACTGATGGAGATTGCATGTTGGAATTCGTATTGGCGGATATAGAAGGAGATCGAGGTGAGGATGAAGGAGTCTGGCGATGGAGAGCTTCGGAAGCAGACTGTCGAGGAGGATTGGATACTGAAGAGGACGACGAGCGTGAGGGGGGGAGGGAATTGATATCCGGTGCCATAAATACGTCCGAGGAGAATGACAGGCACAAGTTTGCTTTCAATAGTATTGTTTTTTTCGTGATGATATAACCAATTAAACGTGTCAGAGGATATAATCTGGGGTCCAGGCGATAGGGTTGAGAAAATAGTGGAGTGATGTTAGGAAGTTTAGGTCATGCAAGCAATGCATTCGTTCAGTGTGGAGAAACGTTAGCTATTGGTGGCGGTGCAAGAGCTACAGCGGGTGCTCGGGTAGTTTATCACCTTCTGGGCGCTGTCGCTGCGGTCAGGAGTTCAGGTCAGCCGATTGCGGTCATTTCCAGCCAACTCCACGCCAAGCAAGAGGTTCAACTGTACGGGTAGTATCGTGGCGCCATCATTATTGATTTTCGGGGACTTTTGAAGTTTATTGACGCTCTTTGACATTTCTTAATGACCGTCTGGTTCTAACAATTACAAGCCCAGAATGATATCATAGCCATTTAATGACATGTGAGGCTTCAATCTAGAGATATTGCCGGTGAGAAATGTTCAATTGTTTAATTATCCAACCCCCGCATATCTGTAAACAACCTTGCATATTCTCGACAAGTTTTGACTCCCATGAACCCCAGATTTCAAATATATTCAGGGGTCGTAAATCAAATTGGTATATCCGGACTGAAATCAATCCCTCAAGACGCCATACCACAGAATTTCCAATAAAAATATTAGCTCAAAAGGAGATCGAAAAGGCCTATACATCCTCAAGACGGGACACTGGAGCATGTCAGCTTTCACATGTTAAGACTCCACATGGCAGAGACTTACCCTTCATAATCCCATCCACTGTCACTCTTCCTTCGCCGATGAGAGGTACGTCGGTTAGATGCACATTTGACAAACAAGGTCAAGGCACTGATAAAGAGGACAACAATGGCTCCAATGGAAGGCACCAAAACCGTACGCTCACGATTGACAAATGAGTCGGAAACATAGGGACAAGTGGTGTTCGATCCACCAACCACCCAACAGTATTCTTTATCAAGGCTGTTGAATTTGACCCACACGCTTCTTCCTTCAAGGTCAGTCTGTTTTCGAATCGCTGAGAGCAGGTACAGGTTCTCCAGACCCGTGCGCGGAGCATCGAACGTGCTGTTCTTAGGACACGCGCCTGTCGCCCAGGAGAATGTCGTTGCATAAGTCGTGATTTGCCAATGATAAGGCTGACTCTCGACTCGGCAAGCAGCATAGTTATGCTCCTCACAGTCTTCTACCCTCCAGCGTCCATTGAGAGTGGGATCGGCAACTGCGCAACGAAAATTGGATCCATCATCGTCGCTATCATCATTGACAACCTCTGACGAATTACGCGGTTCATTCGGAGCCCAGGACCAGGTCGCTTCATACGCAAAATCCTCGTACGGTGAGACATTTGTATTGGCTGTGCTGTTCAGCAGTGTGTTGTTGAGTATGGGTGATATTCCGCATGCTGTAATGTTTGGAATAAGACTGAGCGAGTGATTCAGCGTTGCAGTAACAGCCAAGGGGTCATTAGGAGTCACAATGCCGTTGGTGATGAACCAAGAATTATTCAGCTGGGATAGTGCTGTCGTGCTCGGGTCAAACACGCAGCCAACCGTTAAAACATCCGAATTAGACACCTCGATGGTGTGAGAGACCTCCAGTTCATCTTGAGGAAATATCGTTCCCTCATCAGCGGCAAAATTGTAGCCGCTCATTTCAGGATCCAACTGACCCCAGCTAACCAACAATCTTTTCAGATGCAGCATTTCAATATAACCTTCACTTGGCCAACCGTCAATAGTAGTGTGTATGCCATTACTCGAGACTTGGACCTGCTGATAACTTTCATCTGGGCGCAAACTGCTTGGAGCTGCGTACCAGCTATCTTCAAGGTCTGCGCGGTCGTGTTGAAGATCCGATGGAGTATAGAGAAATGCAGACAAGTTCGCCTGAAGCGCATTACTGATAAAATTGCTGTTTTGAGGAAGACTCGAGGCTGGAGGATTGGGGACAGGCGATCCTAGTGACTCGAGCGGAGACGCTGCATGTATATTCAAATTCAAGATGACCAGATGAGCGGCAATAGTATCCTGAGTATGTGACAAATACCTTGAAAGGAAGCTGGTCATCATTTCGAGATTCATTGTAGTTGAACAAAGGTAGCTGCCAAGTTGATAAGCAGGCCCCTCCGTAGCAATTGGCTGTGCCGAAGATGAAACAGTAGAGCTCGCGGCGCCGCTTGAGGCGGCATTAAATGTATTCTGGGATATGCCTTCCGTTGTGCTAGCCGCTCCCGCTTCGGTTGAAGAAGAAGCAGCAGCATCTGAAGCTGTTCTAGCTTTGATATTCCTGTGGTGCGTTGCGGATGTACGGCTCGTCTTTGAAACTTTGAGTTGAACCGAGCTGAGCGAAACACTCGAGCTGGTAATGGACGTTTGAGATGACGACGATGACGGAGTTCCGCTCCCAGCAAAGTTGGTAGGGATCTCTACAGGACAAAAGCTCCACTGTTGTCTGCCACTGTCCCAATATAGATCCACGATGAATCTGCGAAAGCCAGCATTGAGCAAGTTCGAAATGCATGTCGCGGCCTCAACATCCGTATATCGTCCGAACGGGAAACACGCGGCGGTTAGTGAGACTCCAGGCTGAGTTACAAAATTCATTGGCACAGTGAGTCCCAAGTCGCGCTGCGACTATGACTATAGTTTAGTATCTTGATTTGCATTGAGACATCGCCATCGAGCCATACCAGGAGGGCAATTGCCCGTTTGGACCCAGATTCAACATCATTTTCCAGCGTTGAGCTGGTCGACATCCGGTGCAATATAGGGTGGCAGACAAAGCACAAGAGAAAATCCAGCTAACAATAAATCACATTGACTACATATGTTAATCAAAAAGATAAGAATGCACGTTCAATGGAGTCGACATGAAGCATGAGGGAGGGCAATGTCGTAAGGAAAGCTGACATAAACTACGGAGAACTGCCGCCCCTCGGCATTTCCGCCCCCAGTTCCGTCCATGGCGAGACGTAGCGCTGCGATCGCTTGCACGGTGATTGTTGTCCTTTTTTGTGCTTCTTTGATCGAGAAATTGACTTTCATTCACCACTTTTCTTGCCTTACTCAGCTTTTACTGCAAGTCAAATCTATAAAAGAGATTCGCTCTCGCAGAGCATATTGTCTTTTTTTTTTTTCTCTTGCACTCACCGGCACCAACCATGGCTTCTCCGGTACCTCCTCCACAGCCCGGCGTACCGCCAACTCCCCAGCAGATTGCGGCCATGCAGCAACAGCTGGCAGCTGAGGCCGCAAAGCACAACATGTCCGTCGAGCAATATGTTGCGCAGCTCAAGGCTCAGGCCATGCAGCAGCACCAGATGCAACAGCAGCAAAGAGCCGCTGCTGCCGGCCAAGGCCAGCCGCAGCAAGTCCCTATTAAACCAGGACCGCCTGATCCGAAGGCGCTGGCCGTGGCAAAGTGGCTGCGTTCTCAGGATCTCAAGTCGCGAACCTGCATTCTCCAGGCAGCCCGAAAGGATATGTTCAAAGGTAAATTTAGATGCGAAGGTAGAAAGATATGTGCTTCTGACACCCCTGATCTTTAGTCAAACGTGCTATCCGCGCTTTGCAGTCGCCAGAATACGCAAAAGCCGCCTCAAAGAACCCGCTTTTGCCAAAAGTCACTGATCGGGCCTCTGCCGAAGAAACCTTCAAGTTGCTCCCACTCTCTCTTTTGGCCTTGCGAGTCACCAAGCTCGAAACTCCGGCAGAGCTTCAGAAGAAACGTGTCAAGGGGCAGTGGATGGTCAAGATTGAGCAGCACCAGGACATCAAAGATGAGCTGCATTATGTGTGGTTCTACGAAGGCCCGCAGTGGAAGACGAAGCTCTATGCTGGACTGGCGCTGGTCGCCATCATGGCCGTTGTCATGTTCCCTCTGTGGCCGATGGTCCTCAGAAGGGGAGTTTGGTATTTGAGTATGGGTATGCTGGGTCTCATTGGACTCTTTTTCGCCATGGCTATTTTCCGATTGATCCTGTTCTGCGTTACCGTATTTGTTGTCCCGCCTGGTCTCTGGCTGTATCCGAACCTATTCGAGGATGTCGGCTTCTTCGACTCTTTCCGACCCGTCTGGGGCTGGCAGGAGGTAAGTTAAATTTTTATTTCCACAACCGGAACTACAGTCGTCGCGAACCTTAATTTCCTTTTGTGCCTTTGAATCATCATCATCATCATCATCATCATCATCATCGCCACCACCACCACTCAACTGTAGTGCTAATCATTACATTATAGGACGCAAAGAAAAAGAAGAAGTCGTCCAAGGCCAAGTCTAACAAGAAAGAAGGTGCTACGAATCAGCCCTCTGACAAGCCTAGTGCTCAGACTTCATCAGCGACCACTGGTGCTGCCCCCTCCGCTGACTCGCAGCAGCGGTACATTCAGCCTCGTGTCGAGGAAGTGGAAGAATGATGTGATCTTGCAGGCCGGCTCTGCTCGATCTTTGACTCCTTTTACTCTTTTCAAAGATATTCTCAGTGGACATATCGTGGCGTTTGTGGACTGAATTTACGCTTATTAAGAGCATTTTCACCTTGCACATCTCAGTTGCGCGTCTTTCGTGCTCAGTAGATTTATCTTAGCGGAAAATTTTACCATTCCTTGTGGCCTACTCTTTGCTTGCTGGAATATGGGAAGGTTCCAATTGATTAACATGTAGCCATTCACTTCACGTAGAAAGCGGAACCAACTGAAAGGTGTGTCTGGATTGGAAGCCTCGCGAGCCACAATTGAAAAATTGCCGAGATATTCAGTTCAAGACTCCTTATGCTTATACGAAGGCGACTCAGTCTCGGTCTAAAATGACGAATGGACAAATTCAAGGAGAAAGTCTAAACAGATAACGAGGCCTTTTTGTCCGATACCACTTTGGCGCCGTTGGAAATGCGTCCATCAAAATGTAATAACTAGGAGTAGAAGAAAGTTTCATCCCGAACTCTCACTAAATGCACGCTTCAAAACTTCAAAATGCTGTAAATGAAGCCAAAGTTAGCGCTGCAAATTACGGACGGGTTTCACGCAATTTCAAAAGAGTGGCCTACCTCTCTCTGTTCATCTGACAGCTTGCCTTCGGTGTCCTATCGAGAAAGAAGTCGTCAGTAAGGGAACGCCCAGGTAAGACAAAATCTCTCAGACATACAGTAATAATGGTGAGAACAAGGGAATAGTTATTATAGAGAAACCGCTCCTTCTTTCGGGGATCCGTGACGCCTTTGCTTATTTTCATTAAGAATGCTTCGTATTCAGTCCTTAATCGTCCGAGGCTGCTTGATACCGGCTCATCATCTCCAGCCTCACTGCTCAGAGCAAGTATACCTTGCAAGAGCTGACTGAAACGTTGTGTTAGGTAGTGCGGCGCTGCCGACTGCTTTGAGGCGTCCGGCGCACTCAAAGAAAGTGCAGATGTTGCACTCCTTGACGTGGCACTGGCAATTCGCCGAATAGAATCGCAATGCATGTCCATAATTATCTGGAAACGCGGCCACAACAGCATATTGGTTCCATTGATGTAAGTTTCGACAGTGGGGACCTTTCTGCGTTGAAGTTTGAATGCCATCTTTTGGTTAAGTCGGACACATAAAAGGACGCCTAAGCAATCAACAGTTGTGTCGATTAATTGTTTCGTAAGTGCTTGGCCTAGAGCAAATGTTGGCTCAAAAATCTCCATGAATTTGCGCGAGATGTCGTGGAATGAGTTTGGCGCAAAAAACTCTGTGAGAAACAAAAATTCGGCGGAGGCATTATCGATCAGAGCTTGATTGAAGTTTCGGAACGGTACCTCGAGGTAATGAGTAGACTTGTCCTCTTCTGCAAGGTAAGAAGAAATCGCTGCGTCGTTCGTCGTTCGAAGGAGATCGATACGGCGGCCTAGATTGAAAGCATCGTGAGGCGCAGCGGCGGCCTTTGAACCACCAAGATGACCTTGGAAGGTTAGCAGAATTCAAAATTATAGAATTTTAGATTGCCTAAGTACGTACTTCTTCGTCCATGTTCATCCAAACCGAGCACATCGTGTTTATCGAACACATGAACCTTGAGTTTCTCCAGAGCTTTTTGATACCGACTAAAGTGACTCACATAATACCAACGCATGGTGTTGATATAAGCCTGACCAATTTCTCCCGCAAGTTGAGCGTGATGTTGCGCCAAAAATTTGTACGCATCTTTGTGCTTGAGGAAATTCTGCCGTTGGAGAATCTGAGCATTGACATTCGGGGTCCGCAAGGATTTAATCTGAGTAACCAAGAAATCCCTGATCCGTTCGATAGCCTGCAGAAAGTTAGGACAAGCAAATGCATTTTTTTATTTTTGAAATGGCGTACCCGGTGTCTCAAGTTCTCTAACGGAGAGCGTATATCCTCTACAGCCTTTACTTGTTCTTGTCCAGGAAACTTCTTGTCGAGATTTCTGGCAAGACTCTCTAACTCATTGAGTGCTTTTATCCAAGCCTCATCTACTGGTCCTTCCGCAATCTTTCTCACCGAGGTAGGAGCGATGCTGATCTCCTCCACCGCAGGGCCAAGGGCCCTTTCTACAAGCCGCCGGTTTTCGAGCTTGTTGTTCAGGGCGGTCGATTGTGCTTGCAGTGTCTCGATCTCAGTGGAGACAGCGCCGAGGTCAGTTTCAAACGTTGTAAAGTATGCTTCAACAGTCTTAAGAACATTATCGCAGGCCTAAGGTATACAAAATTAGCGATGAAGAGGAGAATTGATCAGCTTTGTCATACAGTGATTGAACGATGCAACTCTTCGAACTTGTCTTTATCCTTCTCGTCTAGATTCGAGCAGTGGTTAGGACAAAGGGTATCATTTCAATTAGCAGGCTAAAGGACATACACTCTGCAATTGACTGCGCATTCATCTTATGTACAGCATGTTTTGAAACATCTTGGCGTACAATTGCGCCCTCCGCGAAAGCCTCCAAACTTAGATTTCCAAAATCCGGATTTTCGACTATGTCGACAGGCTTCTCCACTTTCCTTTTCTTCCAGGTACTGTCAGCTGGATCCTGTTTCTTGGGTATCTCGACTCCAATTATCCCTTGGAGTATATGAATGGGATCGGGCACATCCAAGGGAGCTGTCTGGGAAACTTGATTCCGTAGACTCGAGCCATTCGGCAAGCGGGCAGCACTAGGAAGAGAGCTTGTAGATGTGTTTGAAATGAGAGATAGTGTCGATGCACGCGGACTTAGCCCAGGCCGTGCTGAGGAAGATCGTGGAGCCAAGTGTGAGGTCCGTCGGGGCGCCGCCGGAGAGTACGACCTGTTATTCTGAGCTCCTGGCGAGCCAGACGCCGTGTGCCCCGCCAAACGATCCAGCCACATATCAGGATCCCATCGATAGTAGGCGTTTGATAGAGTTGGTAGATGTATTCACAGCTTCCAAAACCATTTGCGGTTTCATGACATAGTATCAGTCACACCGTCGAGCTCAATACCCCTTGTGGTAAGGTAATCACGCCCCCAGACATGGACGATTCAAGTACGACTTCCAAGGCAAACCACTGACGTCGCGGTCCCTTTTGATACGGTCGCCCGCTGAAGCTCATGATGCAGAATTGGATTCCTTACCTTTAAAGTTCCCTGAAATGGAAAAACGCCAGTTTGGCTCTTCCCCTCACCAGCCCGCTCGCTAATTTTTCATCCTTAGCATATTCGCTCTTCGAACCAATGAGCTGCAGTCAATGGGCAAAGACCGAGGTCTGATTGAGCCCCTCGAAGTTTGACTTCGCCCACGAAAGCCCACAAAAGACCTAAAAAGGTACCTACACAGTAAGGCTTTTTGGCATCGGCTTAGCTAATAAATCTCTGCGCACTTTTCACCCGCCAGGTCAAGTGGTCCACACTGAATGCCCACCTCGAATTGCTAGTGCAATCTCGTCCTTAACTGTCTTCGAACTCCATCCTTTCTGTCCTTCACCTCTTTCATTTTGCTCTTACGACCACTTCCCTCTTTGCTCTTTTCTCTTCTATAAACACTTCTTCAAAATGGCTGACGACGCCCAGGTAAGTCAGGAATTACTATACTTTGTTCCATTCACCCTCCTCCCCCGCAAAGGATTTCCCCGCCCCAGGGGAATTTTTTTTTTTCGCATTTGACGACCTTCCCCGCCAACTTTTTCTTGTGATAAATTATGACTGACTGGTCATTCCCAACAGCATGAGCACGTTTTCGAGGCCGCCGGTGATGCCGGTGCCTCCAACACCTTCCCTATGCAGTGCTCCGCCCTGAGAAAGAACGGTCACGTTGTCATCAAGGGCCGTCCCTGCAAGATCGTCGACATGTCGACCTCCAAGACCGGCAAGCACGGTCACGCCAAGGTCCACCTTGTCGCCATTGACATCTTCACCGCCAAGAAGTTGGAAGAGCTTTGCCCCTCCACCCACAACATGGACGTCCCCAACGTCACCCGCCGCGAGTACCAGCTCGTAAGTCGCAACAATCTGTTTTTCAAGGTCTTGTAGCTAATTGCGTGACAGCTCGACATCGACGATGAGGATGGATATCTCTCTTTGATGGATGCTGACGGCTCCACCATTGACCACATCAAGATCCCCGAATCCGGTGAGGCTCGTGAGAAGATCATCAAGCTCTTCAAGGTCGACAAGAAGGATACCAGTAAGAACAGCTTCTTTTCCATTTCTACTAGATTCTTTTACTAATTATGATTGAATAGACGTCATCATTCTCACTGCCATGGGTGAGGAGGCTGCCATTGACGCTAAGGAGGCTCCTGCTTCTTAAATGACAACAGGATAGAAGGCTTTGCAATGGGTTGTGAAAAGATGGCGAATGCGGTTGGGAACAGCTGGGATCTTTGATCTTGGAGGTAATGGAAACATTTACCTTCCCCCTTTTTTATTCCATATGGGGCATGTAGCTTGTCAACATCGTCGGATTATCCTCGGCCTTCCTTTTCCGATCTGTAGCAGAGATCTTTCCCTAGAGATGGCATGAAATCTGGGTTCCTTTTTTTTTCCCAACGTCTATCGAGCAACTCTCCTTGCCTTTTCTTACCAGTCATCTGCCATTCCTGACCTATTTTCCTTTAAAAAAAAACACTCCGTCTTGGAGGTTGACGATAGTGACGTTAAAACGAGTTTATCTATAGTCAAGTTTGTTAAGTCAACCATCATAGCTTGCCAATAGCCATGTTTCGAAGGTGTGATCTTAGTAGTGAATTTAGCCAAGGTTGAGTTTAACGGGCTCTTCTCAGCTGTGAAACGTTAAATCAAGTTGCTGGGCCTGCTTGCAGGGCTGGCCGCCAAGAGAATTTTGCCTTTGGCTAGCGAATCTGTGTCTTATCGATAAGAGATTTCCGGACCACAATGATGCTCCATGACCTGTATCAGATGCCACTCTCATTTTTTGAATGTACGACACATCCTTTCTCGTCAAAAGGGAAGATGCAATTGACCTATTCTCTCTTATCTTGTGATGGAGTACGTCAAAGGTGAAAGGTGCGGTGTCGAAAATTGCCGTTCCAATCGATACTATGTTGAAGACGGCCTCTGGTTCTGCAGAAACGGCCATCGGAAGGAGGTTTGACGTTTTCCTGCCCATTACACTAGGATACAATCAAGTACTAAGCTTTCTCAGGGCCGGATTCAAGTAGAAGAGGATGAAGATGCATTTGGAACTCAAGGAAAGAAGACCAGAAAGAAACGAGAAGCTCGTGAATTAGAATCCAAAGGTGAGATTCTCCGCCAAGCATTGTTGCTGTTGCAACTGACCCTCTCGACAGTTTATCGTGGGCCGCGTGCCTTCCATCTCTATCTACAAGCGTATCAGTTTATTTTAAGGAAGCAGGTTCATTGTTTAGTACACCAAAAGGGCCTTCCTGCGGAACTTGAGGTAACCCTCGCGACAATAATTTTCCTATAGTTTGCTAAAGCAAGATGTATAGTTCGTTGTACGCGATCTGTGGGCTCTGCGTCTCCAGTCATTCAAGTCCAAGGCTGAGGATATCTCTGACACTGATGGTCAATCCTTGGTATTCAGCTCACAAGCTGAGGATACGGACGCTTCTGAAGTGGATTCTCGGAAATCGAGAGGACGGAGATCAGGCTATCATGCCCCGACAATGATTGAGACCCTGGCTTTGTGCTATATTGGTACACTGATGCTAAGATTACCTGTCAGTGTCGGTGACTTCATAAGGTTTCTGCCCAATTTCTCCAGTCCGTTTTGTGGCTCAAACTAATATTGAAAAGATGGGCCAAACGGGAAGAGATCGTGTATTTCAGAGCTGTCAGATGGGTTCCGATGGCTGTCAAGTCTCGACTGCGCGGTCAATGGCTAGAAGCACTCGATTCTGTTGTAAGTAACTCATGTTTATTTCAACACTGCCGGAAAGCTGAGAAAACCTACAGGCAACCTTACGAGCGGAGCATTTGCAGCAGGCGGTTCTACGGCTGATTTCTCTCTTCACGACAACTTTTGACATAGCGATGCCACCACTTAACCATTCATTACTTTTGTTTAGTTATATAAAGGGGCTTGCGCTTCCTTGTATGGTCTTCCCAGATATCGGAAGTGAATCACTCTAACAACGACACAGTGGATCTGTATCCCGCAGTTCTACGCCTCGCCGAGACTGCTGGTGTGAGCTTTACATTTCGGCCCTCTTCGGGACTTCTGACAGTCCTTCCGGAGGTGCAATTGATTTCGCTTCTTATCATGGCGGTCAAGCTTTGCCAGCCTTTGGATTCTATTCCTCGGTATCCTCAGTCACAAGTTGAGCCAGCTACGCTCCTGGTGGATTGGGCGACCTGGGCTGCCGCTTCTCGGGATCCAAATGTCTCTGAAAGTGCGGTGCATGGCACTACTAAAGAAAGGCAATCCGAAATAAAAGAAGAAGACGTGTTTAAAATGACGGAATATGACATCGATGATTACCTAGGGTGGTTTGAACAAACATGGGTTGAGAAGGGTGAGCACAAACGTAAGTATTGCTTCAAGCATGGGATATGCGATGATGCTGAATATGTGTAGTCCCGCAGCAACTATTGGAAATGTTTCCTACAGACCCAAGTGCAAAACTCGCGGATAAACCCTCATCGACGCAAAGTTTCAACAGTCCCCTTTCCTCGAGGGAGGACGGAATAAAAAGAATTCAAGAAACTCTAGCTTGCCAGCAGATTGTTCCAGGAGTATCCCAAAACAACGTCAATCGTCCAGGAAGTTATTATAAACATTTTAGACGCGGAGAAGACATGTCCTCTACAGCAAAACGCCTATTTCAGGCTGCCTCAGATCTTATAGGGGTTTCAATAGAAACGCTGGTGAAGAGTGTTTTTGCACTAGAGTGCAAGTTTCAAAATTGGAATCACGAGGAGAAGAGGAAGGAGGTGGCGAGCCTCTTCAGACCGGCCTCTCCGGACGACATGAATCAACAGCTTTGATATACCGGGTGCCTTACCTCGGGTAGCTTGGGACGAATTTATCGTGTATAGAAGTACCAAAGCGACCAGCAAGCGAAATGTTCGTCAGTGAGACTACTAAGCGTTTGCCATAACGTCAGAACACAACAAGTAGATCTTTGTAGTAATCCCTAGAAAAGAGTTTGAAGGAAATTCCTTTTGTTAATTGATTGAATATTTTTTGAGATAAATAGCTAAGTTCACGTCGAACTAGGATATTTCGTCATGTCACGGTGCAGATGATGTTGCTACTGCTGCCATGTCTCGGCGTCAAGCGAAAATGCAGTAGGGCTAGGGCCATTGAGCCGCAAGCGAAACTATCGCCCCACCAAAAGCTACAATCTCGAAATCGACGGGAGACTCAGCAACGACGAGGACCACGACCAACGAGACCCGCAAAGAGTAAGTGAAAATGCCAGATACTATGCCGTTGGATATTTTGCTTTGAATAGAAATCGAATGCTGACGTCTTTTTTTCTGTCTAACAGTGCAGATGTAAGTTTCTTCCACCCACGACCGCAAGTCGAGATTCCGCGACGACACCATCATGACTTGATTTTCACCGCGCTACCTCCAATCCAACATATGCAACGGATTATCGTTTCGAGAACATTTGGCTCATGGTTTTTCGTTTCGCAACAGCTTCGTCAAGACCCTCACGGGCAAGACCATCACCCTTGAGGTCGAGTCCAGCGACACCATCGACAATGTCAAGTCCAAGATCCAGGACAAGGAGGGTATCCCCCCGGATCAGCAGCGTCTGATCTTCGCCGGCAAGCAGCTCGAGGACGGCCGTACCCTCAGCGACTACAACATCCAGAAGGTGCGCTGAATTTTCTTTCCAATTATCCTGTGGACCTGCGAGCGAGTGCGGATTGGTTTCAAGTACTATGGGCCGTGGTGAAGGAATATGAAAAGGAGTTTTGGGATTTTGAACGGAATGAGGGACGAATAATACTTGGAAATCACGACCTCGTGGGACCGCAGAGATGGCTCGGCAGGATTATTATGGGAACGGATCGCTGATACATCTTCGTCTTAATAGGAGTCTACCCTCCACCTGGTCCTCCGTCTCCGTGGTGGTATCATTGAGCCTTCGCTCAAGGCTCTTGCCAGCAAGTACAACTGCGAGAAGATGATCTGCCGCAAGTGCTACGTACGTCATTCCTTTTCCGAAATCCGCGGGCAATACTCTCTGGTCGACGAATCTTTCGCCCCCTGGTTCGCGACTTGAGACGAGAGAGCCCGTGTTTGGCCTCGATGGTCAGTGGCTAATACAATTGCAAATAGGCTCGTCTCCCCCCGCGGGCTACCAACTGCCGGAAGAAGAAGTGCGGTCACACCAACCAGCTCCGGCCCAAGAAGAAGCTCAAGTAAACGATTCGTTTCCGAAAGGATGTTTTGCTTTGCTTGGTGCGTTGGTGTCTTATGATGGAGTGTATGGCTTGCAAGGGGATTCCAGACTCCATTGGCTGTAGATTAGAATGAAAATCACATCCATCATATTTGACTTTGTTTCCTGGGCATATCTTTCCCGAGCACGCATCTATTCATCATCCATAGGATATTCGCTTGTGACGTCGTCTTTTCTTTGGGCTATCGCAGCAGTGGGTACGAGGATATCAGACTCCGGCAAAGAATTTCAGAACATGACTTAAAAGATGCCAAATATTGATGTTGCAAGGACAATAAAGCCCTGAGACAAGCTATCTAAGCTACAAGCTTAATCATACATGCAAATTGTGGAAGTGAAGTGGAATGAACGGCGCATTGCCTAGGGACTTAAGCGCCGAAGAACATCCTTATCATCTTATCGTCATCATCGTGATGTCCCTTATTCTTATTCGAGACTGGGCTCCCGTGCCTATAGAAGAGCGGTTAACCGATATTTCTTTTGACGAAGAGAGTAACTGCTCTCTGCGTAGTCAGACAGATAATACTTACGCAAAGAAGAGGATTTTGATTGCGAGCGCAAGGCCAGCATGTAAGGCAATTACAAGGATCAGCAGGATCTTTGAAGTCTTTACATCTGTCGCGCTAAGCACGGGGTAACTAAATTGACAAACGTGACAAAGATTAGCCAGTCATCCTTGTCCCTGCGTCGCTGAAATTTTGTAAAAGCATGAAGGGCCAATGAGTGTATATCTAGTAAACTTACAGGTTTCGGAAAAGGAAGACGGCGGAGGCCGCAAAACCGACGCCAACAAAGGCCCAGTTAAGAGCTGCAGAGTTAAAGTTAGCACAGCTTGCACCGAAGGCAGAATATCTTCTCCACGAAGAAAGGAATTTGCTTGAAGCAGTATAAAGTGGATAGTTGAAGCGATTCCACAAGAGAAATTTTTTTCGTCTTACCTGTGACTGGTGACCAGGAAATCAATGCCACAGGGATCCAAATGAGATTGGCGTAGCCATAGAGCGCCCAGCATTCAAGCACGTTTGCGGACTCGCTGCCAAACCATCGCAACAGGCCCCAAAGCGCGACAGGAATAACTCCTATTAGAAGAATCGTAAGCTCTTGTTTTCGCTGCCTCCAAACGCCCTTGAGAGCAAGAACATCTTTAGGGCATCTGTATAGAACTGCTTTATAGCAGACAACATACCTGTATACCCATATATCAATCCAGCGGCACCTATTCAAGGGATTGACAATCAGCCCACAATATTCCTCTCATAAATCGCAACTTTAAGTAATTCCGCCAAATCAAAAGGGGGGGAGGCTGTCTTGAGGCTCCGTTCAAACGGCCAACCACGCTCCCGTCCCCAAACTCATATGCATCCCATTCTATATCGCAGCACATATGTTTGAGACTTACCGCTCAGCAGTCTAAAATCATATTCAAAATGCCCTTCGTGATTCCTGCTAAGATACTGACTAATCGTGCCAGTCAAAAACAAAATCATGACCACCGTCGTGGCGATCCAAAAAGGCCCATAGAGATCTGGATTGCCTTCTAGCACGTCCAGGAAATTCGCACGCGGGATAAGCGCAGCGTAGCATCGTTTCAGCACTTCATTCGTGTCGACATCAAAGAATTGCGCATAGAATTGAATCGACCATAGGTAGCGCTTCGAGGAGCCTGAAGAGCCTCTTGACGGTCCACCGCTCAGAAATGCTCGGTTGTTGTCTGGCGCAATCTTTCCGCCGCGGTTCCGGCCATCTTCGAAATCTGTTTCGAATTGTAAACAACTAGACCAACGACGTCCCCTCGGCGCAAAGGTATATCACTGCGACTAGGTAAGGTCTGTGTATATCGAACTTACTGGATGAATGGAATTCGAGGTCCTCTTGCAGATCTGTATGTCCTAGATCGCCCTTTTATGTGCAGGATATCGTCAGTAAGCGGTTTACGGTTTGTGGCATTGATACAGGGATAAGAGAAGGATTCATTTTGAATTTAAGGGGATAAATATCTACCTCTGCATCGACGTCAACTACGACGTCGTATCCCCGCGATGCCATGGTACTCTTTGGGAGGGGCGCTCGGAATAAACTGTTGGTTTATCGTTTGTTATAGCTAATATGGAACTTCTTACGTCGGGGCTCAGGACAGCTATTCGATGCGGTTACGTGTCGGAGCTCCGTCTACGGTCTGTGGGGTCCACCAGCTGTGCAGCTTTCGAGCGCTCCCGATGCACAGCCATAACCTGTTAGTAGTCCTGGTACTCAGTATAAAGGCTCGAACCAAAGGATGTGAGAGATGTGGAATAGAAGGAGCATATTTATTGGCTAAATAAAATTCGTGCTCAGATCTCCATTTGCTCCAAGTCTAATTTGATTGGAAGTATGAGTAATTTCTTTTTTTCAATCGCTTGGAAAATTCAATCTCTTGGAAAATGTCCTGAAAAGAAGTCTGAGCAAAATCTCTACGGAGTAGGGCTTCATGGCGATACAGGATCGAGCCTGAAAGTTCATGGCTATATATAATGAATTAACACAGTACTCTAGTACATGCGACCATAGACTGAGGAGAACTGGGCATCCCGTCCGCTCTGCCATACATAAGCCTCAGATCGGCGGACTAGTAGTTGGGTCGGTGACGACCAGCGAATCCCCGCTGTTGCATGTTTTTTTTATTTTTTTCCCCCTTTATTTTAAGTACGCTTATTTTAGGTTACTTTCAGGTAGTGACAGTTGAGTTGAAATATGTCGCATTTAATTTTATTTCAAAGTGCAAGCGGTTGAAAACTCCGCCGTGTGGGATTATCTATGCCTATCTAAATAATTTTTTGAAGCCATCTATGGTATAGTATACATGTGATGTCAATCTCCTCTCCAACCCTTATACCTTACCTAGGTATAGGGAGTTGCAAGTATCAAAACGCTTATCAAAACAAAAATCCCATGTCTCATCTACTTGCGAGTCATCTGAAGAGACCAAGCGTCCGTTGTACCAAGCTCAGAACAAGGCGAGGCAACTTGTCCAGCCCTGCATAGGAGCCTAGAATGTTTTGTCGTCGAAGCAGCCAAGAAATTATCGCGATGGAGATGGCAAGACCCGCCATTCCTGCTGGTCGTTTATACTTGTGCATCAAACCAAACAAATCTTGGCGAAGCTTCTCCCGACGTAGTTGAGTGACTTGACGTTGGAAGAGGTCCTCTCCTTCCTTTAGGGATTGCTTGGCTACCTCGACGGGGGTCCTCGTTGTTTTCAGTACGCTATAACGTGATATTCTTCGCCAAGCACCAAAAGGTAAGCGGGAGGGCGGATGAATATCGTATAATTGCATTGTTTTGCTGATCAGACCCTCCAACTCTAAAGGTTTTGGTAATTTGGAAAGAATGGAATGAAGCATTTCTGGTTCGTCTGGGGGTATATCAAAAAGCTCTTCTTTTCTTGAGAGCACAATCTATCGCACAAAGATTAGCTCCAATCAAATGAAGGGGAAATAGAATACCTCGCAAAGATAAGACGTACAACTGCAAAGAAATATACAGACATGGCTGCCTCCTGGGCAATCAAGAAGTCAAACAGGCGGGCAATATCTCCATATTCTTGGATGTCGTGAGCGTAAAGAGTAAGTGTTGCGGCGAGGGCAAAGAAAGGCTGTGTTTGGGATAAGTGACGGCAAAGCTTCGAGTCGGCGGCATACAATAGGGGTGGTAGCAAATTCAAATGCGCCAGTGCCGGGGTGAGCGAAGGGAGCATGAAATCGCGAATCCGGAGCAGAGACAGCCGAGCTACAGCAGAAGTCTCTGGACCAAGAACCAAGAGTAACACTTGCACAATATCATGGTATCCCTGAAAGTAGCTTAATTCAGGATGTAGACGCAAAACGGCAGTGATCAGGTCTTGCAGCTCTTCTTTTCGACGATCAATTTGCTTTGGGGACTGATCTAGCTCATGCTGTCAACTTCTCCTCATCGTCCAATGCGGCGTTGGGATAAACCTTTTGGGTAGTAAACAAAAGATCGGTTGACGTCTAGGGAGACTTGATCTTCATCGCGATGCCTTGGAAGGTCCTTCCATATTTCTGCATTATATTTATCTGTTGTCTTGTTTGACTGCTTGCAGCCAAGTAAAATTGGCCCTGGTAAATTTCTTGTTAATAGAACGAAGTACACACTAGTTACATGTCCAATCGTATCTTACATGCTGCTCGACGAAGATTGTCCTCCACTAGACCATATTCAGACGTAGCAAGATTGCTTAAGGCTTCAACATCTCCAAGTTCGCAAGCTCCCAGGATCTGGGCGGCCTTGTTTGCCTCCGGAGCAGACAACGGTCTGCGCTCCCATTGACTGGTTGGAGAGCTTGAAGGGGGGTCCGCAGTTGAATTCGCAAGCGATCTTTCGGATCCTCGCCGTGAGGAGTTGTGGCCATTCAGTGAGGCTGTGGGCTCATCGTCCATGTTATCAATGGCTGAGTTGTCGATAAGGCAGCGATCCGTGTGGTCAGAGTTGCCCACTATTTACACAGCTGTCCGGGGATTAATCCAGTTGGCCTCGGCTCCCCCAATCCATCCACAGACGCGTTTCCCTTTCAACTCGTTCTCGCGTGCGTTGCGCTTTAGTGCCTCGTTTAGGGAAAGACTGACAGAACACCGCTAATCGATAAGACATGGCATAATCAATTGCCATCGTTGCTTTAAGCCAGGTAATTATACACCAGCCTTTGGAATATATTGAATTCTGTCTATATGAAGCTGTAGCATAAAATTATTCATCATATGTACTGGCTAAACTTTTCGGGATTGTTTCCCAATTTCACTCAATCCTCCTTTCTTTTTCTGTTTGGCATCTCGTTTTGAAGCACAACAAGGAATAGTAGACCATCTGCCAGCTACACTTTGATGCACGATGAGAAGCTCTTTTAATTCAGATGCATAACTTTTTTGCCTCATCATTTTTTTTTATCGAACCCAACCATCCATCATAAAGAAAGCTTGCCATGGGCATTTCACCGTGTGATAGAACAACAGACCTTCCTAATGAGTATACTCAGAACAGATCTTCGATGATGACCCATGATGCATCTCGATACTGCAGCCACCCCCCACCTGCGCTAAACTCGGTAAATTGGAGTAGGAATTTGAGGCTGAGAAGCCAATCAAGGACACCGCGCGAAATTAAATCCAGGGGTTGGCGAGAGCAGTTTGAGTTGTTTGCCGGGATATATGTCTGACTTCGAAAGTGGAATCCCTTGCGACATGCCTTGCGAAGGGCAGGGACAACATCCAAAAATTCTGGCATGTTAAATTTTCGATCGCAATTTGTCAAGCTCCAAGATGGGATTTGATCTATGCCCTGCTCGGATCTGACTGCAGCGGTAGCGGCTGATCATATTGGCCGAAATTGTGTTCCGCGGCTGGCGTCACAGTCCCAATTGCCCGAGTGCTTGCAAGCTAGGGCATACAAGAAAAGAACAGCGACGGCCGACGCCGACTGGATGGCGAGCGGGATGAGAGATGGACATAGGTTGGTTACAGGGGATCGCGAAAAATGCATCGATCCTGCAAAGGCTCCTGATCTCATGCAGACCCTGGATCTTTTGGAAAACAGGGTCATACGAGGTCGGGGAAGTCGGACGACCGCAGTCAGTATCACAATATTGTTTTCTCTTCTTTTACCTGAGAGGGAAACCGATCACATCTCACAAATGAACCCACGCGTAGGCGCAGTCCATTTTCTGATGCATTGACGCCTGGCTTTCGAGGCGAACAAAAGAAGGGCATAAGGACCCCTGACAGCATGGCTCATACCATGATCCCATCTCTTCAGCCACGAGACAACTTTTTTAGTTGCCTACTTGGCGTTTTCCCCAAATGGAAGCTAGGGCAACGGTTTGACGACCGTTATAGAGCAGCCTTTCGGGTGCATAAGTAAATATTTCTGCTGGTGGCAAACAAAACTGCCTCGAGCGCCATGTGAAGAGCTCCCAATTCGTTTTCTTATTTGTATCTCTGTGAGCTGAGTGCGGCCAAGCATGCCTTGACGGGATTAACTAAGATACTGCGCCCCGAAGTTTTACCCTGTCAAATTTGCCCGTAAGGACCATCCTCTGGGGCCCCGCGCGTCCAGGAGCTTTTCTGCCTAAACGACCGATTATTGCTCTCGCGAGACGCGAGCTGAAGCGTGTAAATGTGGACAGATCTCGCCATTTTTAGGATCATGACATTTTCCTTCCGCGAGCGCAGTCCCTAAACGACAGGTTTTTTTTTTTTGCTCGGTGACAACCAAACACTTGTCCCACCGCTCGGTCGGAGCACTCTCCGTCAACCTTTGATAGAGGGAGAGTAAGAAAAAGAATTACCACCCCACTAAAGACCTGTACGACCATTGTCGGTCAGCACGAGGAGATCAATGAAATCAATGTTGCCACCTGTATTGGTCTGCCTCTTCTAAGAAATAAAAATCAGGAGAGAAGAAGAAGAAGGGTCTTGATGCTGTTTCATTTGACTATCCGTCGTCATGGATCCTTGAGCTCTCCCATATAACTTTTCCTTGCTGTCTCGTTCGTTTGGGAGAGACTTGGTTACTGTATTTTTTATACACACACCGCATCCACAGGTGCCCGCAGCTCCTCTGAACACAACCACGCGCAACTCCCTCAACTTTGTGGGAAGCAGTTGTGGTGGCCTTCTTCCTCAGTTCACACCATTCACTGCTGCCCGAGGGTTAGACAAAGGCTTGTATTAGCCGTCTCAGCTGAGCCTGGCCAGATCTACGGTCTCCACGCCCGGGTCTCAGCCCATCCATATTGCCTGCCATGTCCTTGGCTCAAACGAGGGTGCTGGTGAACGGGTCATGGATGGATCTCCACCATATACTGGCCAAGAACCGTGAACAGAATACCGACGAGGACACTGACATGGCTGCGCCTACACCCGAGAAACCACCTGTTGTGGGCCTCCTCTCGCAAACTATCATTCGAAGTCCCGTTATTAATTGGATTATCCCGGCACGCGTCAGGCATAAAGACAAGAATGACGTTGTTCTCATTGGCGTAAGCGTGTCTTTTGCATGGTAGACTGAGCATGGAAATTGACAAAGGCCCGGGTGTAGGAACATTTCATTCACATCAAGGAGCTCCATTCGGACGGTCACCTTCAGCATGTGGCTTCAAAAACCGACTTTCACGCTTCAATTCGATCTGCAAGAGTATTCGGTATTGCACGAAAACCCGCTGCGTCGGGCTTGGATGCCATCATTAAGACCGAAGAGGGAGTTGACATGGAGATCGATTCCCCCCAAAGAGCCCTGCCACCGCAGGTGCTATTGCTTTCCCTCTCTACACGAGAGCTATTATTTCTCTTTGCTTTAGATAGGGATGATGGCGGTGTAGACTTTTTCACCAGTTACAAGCCACTCCCGGAGCAGAGATCATTTCTGGAGCAGCCTGGTAGGCATCTTGCAGTGGATTCAAAGTCAGTATCGCTCCACGATGCGAGCACGCTCTACTGAGCTGTTTATGGATATCGAGAGCTGAAGTCTAATTATCTGTTGGCAGGTCTCGAGCTCTTGCAGTTGCTGCTCATGAATCATCTTTCAGCATTTACTCGCTAAAGAACATGACGCGTCTGGGAACAGAAGCAAAGCTTGACCCAGATTCCGACGGGCGAAATTTTGATCCTATACTCGAGGTGAGTGTGAAAGTGAAAACGCATATATGATAATTATCTGTGTCACCTTCAATTACAAAGCCTTGGTTGAGGCAGTACTTTTATGACCAGAGTCTTACTTTCTAATGTTTCACTCATCTGTTCCCTCATTACCATACGAATTATTCGCTGCTCGGGTTGTTTCATTTCAATTTAGGTTTAGATCATCTGGCATCTTCTTCCTATCACGGGTTTTCCGTGCCTCCTCTAAATCTAGGATTGGATACTGACCTTCCAGTAGGAGAGACATATGTTTGTCAATGGCATCATCTTAAAAATGGAGTTTCTTCACCCGCCCGCTGGCGATGAAAATCATGTGATATTACTTCTCATTGTGCACAAGTATGGCGCTGTTGCAAGTGGTACCATTGAAGCGGCGGCTAACTGTAACTTCGACAGAGATGGCAAGTCAAGGCTGATATGCTATGATTGGGATGCATCCACAAGCTTGCGGACCGTAAAACGGTTACCGACGGATGGGCAGCGGCTCCCAAAAAGTAAATTCTTTGGCTCCGTCGCCTCCTTTTACGGATGTGTTCCAAGTCATTTGCTGACAGACAGAAAGATGACAAGTTGCCTATCCTCTTAATTCCGCTTACAATATCTTCTGCATTCATGCTGGTATGTGAACGAGCGATAGCGATTTACGAGGGCATACTCTCCGGGGCTGCCAAGAGGAGGGCAATCCCACTCGAAACATCAAAGGATCTTCCAAGGAACCCAGGAAGCTCTCGTCGGGGTTCGTGAAATGCCACCTCATGAAACTTAAACATGTCTTTGAATCTGACGTACAAATATAGCACCTCTCTGGACGCAATGGGCCCGACCTGTGCGGAGGGAAGAATATCAGTCAAGGCATGACGATCTATTTCTTTGTCGAGAAGATGGACTCGTGCGCTTTCTCGAAATCAGTGACGACAGTGAGATGAAAGTCAATTCTCAAATGCGTGCAGGCATGCTGGACTGCAACATTGATACTGCCTTTGCAAGCCTTGATCTTGGCCTAGACCGCGAAGATCTACTTATCGCTGGTGGTGATATGAGTGTGGGCGGACTTTATCTGGTACGCGCAACCTCACGATAAATTTGTTTGGGTCCTCATTAATGAATTCCTTTAGTTTCGAGCAAGAGAGCATCCTGAATATGTAGAGTCATTGCCAAATTGGGCACCAACGATTGACTTCATCGCCGATGTCCCTCCTCGTCGAAATATTATTGACAAGAAACAGCCCCCGCTCAACGGAAACCGAGCTTTTGCTTGCACAGGTAGAGGTGCTTTCGGTGCACTTTCAGAACTACGCTATGGGCTTGAGGCCCACATTGGTTCAATCACAGAAGCCGAAGAACTTGGTGGGGTAAATCGACTCTGGGCGCTGCCTGATCTATCACAAGATGGTCTATTTATCCTTCTGTCTTTTCCATTACATAGCCTCCTTTTGCATGTCTCTGAGGATGCGCAAACAATCGACAGCGATTTCGATGACTCTGCCACCGGACTGAACCTGGAGCTGGAGACCTTAGCGGCGGCAGTAACTCCAGATAAAACAGTTGTTCAGGTCACCGAAAGCGGTGTACATCTTACCAAATTGGCATATAAGCACAATGACGATAAGCCTGTCAAACTCTCTCACAGTATCGAACCTGAAGAGAGAATAATTGCGGCAGCAGTCGATGCAAAATCCGCTTTGGTAGTGGTCGTCGTCCGGTCAAATGATGGGCCAATCCGGCTTCAATTACTGCATTGTTCCGATGGTCCTCACGGTAGTCAAGAGCTAGCACTTGGTCAAAGCCTGCGAATGATGTCTGATCCAACTTGCATCGAAGTACTCCGCATGCAGCAGAGACTTTTCGTTGCCCTTGGAAGCTCAACAGGAAGTGTGCAGATCTTTGATGTGGGAGATGACCTGTCCCTCAAAGCTACTTACGAACATGAATTCTGCCCGCGCGACACACCCGACCCGTTCATGATTTGCGAAAGCGTCGCACTCCTTTCAGAATCAATTCCAGGCACTACAGATCATCGAATGCTTCTCGTTTGCGGTCTTCGCAATGGCCAGTTGCACGCTTTCACCATAAAGGAAGACGGCGATGGTAAAAAGATATGCCCTTTCTTCTCAGCCTCGTCCATGTACTGATAAATTTTCAGATACTTCTCTTCCTTTATCAGCAAGGTCTTCGGTACAACTGGGAGACACACCCTTGAAGTTGATCCCATCCAACTCTCAGAATTTTGTATTCTTTGTATGTGGCCAGGAGTTTGGAAAGGTGTCAATGAATCCTCGCGAGCGGGGTATGGTCTTGACTTCTCGCATATGGTTGTCAGACCGAAATGAGGTATTTGAGCACATATGTAGCATTTATGGTAGCCTGACTAACGTCTTCATAGCCGTCATTTGAACAATCGCCACTTAGTGCTTTGTCACAAATTCAAAGCGAGAAGCACCTAACCCGGACCGGACTATCAGGGTCTATCGTATGCGTCATGGGAACAAGCTTGGTCATAGCGGCACTGGACGATTGTCCAAAGCTCGTACCACGGCAGTTTCTCCTGAACTCTTCGCCAAGTCGGATAATATATTCGAGCCACCTGAAGATGCTTGTGGCCGCGTCAATGACGATCGAGGCGAAATCAGCACGCCACGGACAAGGTGATCTTGGTAAAGGCAGGCGTATTATACGCCCTGTCATTTCATTCGTCGACCCTGACAGGTACTGCAGCATGTCGCCTACTCGCAGAGAAATAATTAACTTGGACGTATGCAGGTCGAGTTCAACGTCCAATGGCGAATCGGCTCAGCCCCTAAGCGCCTCAGGCCAATCTCCTAAAATTGTTTGCAAACCCGGCGAAAAAGTTTTGTCATTATTGGAATGGTGGTGCAATGAAAACAATAAGAGCTTCCATGCAATTGTGATTGCTACAGGAACTATACGTCAGTCTGGAGCTAGGAGCGGCAGATTGCTCTTTTTCCGTGTACAAAAGAAAAGCGATGGCAGAGTCGAATCGCAGTTGAAATTCAAAATCGGCTGCGACAAACCTGTCTACTCTGTAGCCAGCTATGGGCCGAAGTAAGAATCATAGCTGATCATTTATCGTAACTTGTGGGCAGACATGCTGACTAGATGAAGTTCTCTCATTTACTGTTCAGGGACAGAGCTGCATTTTTTGACTTTTAGCGTTACGGAGAAAAAGTGAGTACCACATTATGAGGGTATGAAGTACTCTCCTGACATTCTGCAGGTTCACTCGGGTATGCCAATACAATCTACGATCACCAAGCGTTCATCTATCTGTCGAAGCCCCTTATATTTATGCGAGTACGGCGCTTGATTCCCTCACGATACTCAAAATTGAAGATGATAAGATCACCCCCCAATTTAGGTAAGCTTTGGCGGCTCTAATGGTGTATTCCCGCCACTTACAGATGTGTTTGCAGCGACGAACTTGCACGGGATGGCATGTATCACCTCAATCTGAATCACCTCAGCATAACCTTAGCTACCGATAAGGCTTGCTCCATTGTTGGAATTTGGAAACCCCCTCGTAGGTATCCTGAACCCTCTAATCCTTGGACATTGAATTCAACTTGATCTATTTGTAGACCCACGCAAGCAAACTACTGCGCCAACAGTATTCGATGCTGAGCTACCAAGCTCTATTACACGGCTCCGACTTATCTCATCGCGGCATGCGGGACTGCCTACACCTGCAAACACTCCTGGAGTCTTGGAAGACAGAATCATAGGGTCTAGCGCAGATGGCACATTTTACCATTTCACTATCCTTGAAGAGTCTGCATGGCGGCTTCTCCGATTCATCCAAAATATGGCCAAACGAAACACCAAAATTTTCCCCACTCGTCGCTTCTATCGGCCTAGGAAGCACATTGAACCTCTGATGACCGGCAAACGAGCATTCCATATTGATGGCGATGTTCTCAATTGTGTCTTAGATCACGGTGTATCCGAACTTCACTCAATGCTTACGCGTCAGCCCGGCCTCGAGTCCAGATTTGTTGATTTTGATAGCGCTCAGGCGAGGCGCGAACGATTCAACGAGCTGGTACGCGAATTATTCGGTGGAGATATCCAGGATCCGGTCGAGACTGCTTTCCAGTACATCGGTTATCTCACCCAAAATATCTTCTAGCTGAGACATTTGCAAACTTTGATGAAATTTTTTTTTTTTTTGATTTATGGTTGCAATATTCCCCGTTCGCTGAGATATTACATCGGCTCTTTTTTTTTTTTTTTTTTTTTTTTTTTTGTACATATTAACTGCGCCTTCCTCGATCACTGCCATGTTCATTTCATTGTTGATATTGTGTGAACAGCAGGGTCGCTGCGGCCATGGATCCATTCTTTTCAAAAAAAGAAACGGAGCTTGCTTTAATGTCAAAAGAGAAAAAAACTACCGGTTTATATCATGATTCCGTGGCTTTGCACGTGTATCCATTCTTACTCGAATTACCTCTGTTTAGTTGTAGTTGGCACCTTTCTAGGCAATTGTAGGGAAAGATGGATAAGCAAAGATGAAATGATCAGATGAAAAGTTTAATCAAAAGAAGCCTCTGAGCGCACAATAGCTCCCTAAGATAGGTAGGTGTCAAGTCTTTTAAAGATGCCAACACCTGATACTAGGTTAGTTCGAAGGCTTCATTGTGTGACAATCGTTGGAGCATAATACGGCTGAGCTGCACTGATCTGGACAAAATCATAAAAAAATCTTTTGGGTCTTCGAATAAGACAATATATAGTCATACATAAAGAATCGAGACCAATACTTGCTTTTAAAATACTCGTAATACTTCCTGATGCTCTTTTTTAATAGCATGCCCTGTGAAGTCACTGATAAAAGGTGAGAGCCACACCTGGGTAACAGAGATAAAAACTTGAAAGGTACCCTGGTCGATTGCGGAGAATTCACTTCAAATCCGGTAGCTACAAAGTACCTCTCGTGGTTGCACTCGGCAGGCAAAACCATTCGGCCCCGCCACGCTCGCCGTACTCGTCATTATTGTCGGCGCGCGAGACAAGAAATCGTTAAACCTCGACGAGCCAACGAGCGAAACTTTCATTTCACCCACAACAAGTCGAGCTCGCCAATTATCCCCGGCTTAGGTTGATCAGCCAGGAGATATTCGTGGGTTTGTGAAAAATAACTACAGACTCTTTTTATCCACTGACTCGGACACCAGCGCAAATAACGCCCCGTACGACTCTTTGATACTTGATAGTTTTACCGAGGCCGTCAAAATGGGTCCCAAGAAGAAGGGAAACAAGAAGGGCAATGACGACTGGGAAGCAGAGTTGGGCGAGACTGTCGACCCGATAGCTCAGGCCACTGCTGAGGCTAAGGAAGCCGAGGCCCAAAAAGATGCAGAGGAAGATGATGCCGCGGGAGGCGGTCTTTTGGCAGCCTTGAAGAAGAACCGAGGAAAGAAGCAAAAGAAAGGAAAGGTTATCGAGGATTTCGTTGAAGGCGAGGACATCTCTGCCGTGGACAACGAGGATGAGCCCCCTTCTCTCGGAGACTTCTCCACAAAGGCACCTGAGGAGGGTGGTTTTGACGAAGACGAAGAGTTCCCAGCGAAGAAAGGAAAAGGTGGTAAGGGTGGTAAGCAGGCGAAAGAGGCCGAACCTGAGGACGAAGGGGCTGGACGGATGAAGTCCAAGAAGGAGAAGGAGAAGGAGAAGAAGGAGAAGGAAAAGCAACGTAAGAAGGAACAGGTAAGGAAAACAATCCAGCCATGAAGCATACCAATATGCTGCACCTGTAGCCGGCTCTAATCTGCCTTTCAACTATTTAGGCTTCCAAGAAGAAGACTCCTGCTCCTCCGCCACCACCCAAGGCTGAGGCCGGAAAACCTGAACCCGATACCAAAGCTGAGACTGCTGCGCCAGCGTCGGCGGCCGCCGCTGGTGGGAAGAAGAAGAAGCTCAACCCAGCCTTGGCGGCGTTGCAACGACAGCAAGAAGCATTGCGTAAGGCACAGGAGGACCAAGAAAGACTAGAAGCTGAAGAGAAGGCTCGCCTCGAGGAAGAGGAACGGCTGCTCGCCGAGGAGGAGCAAAAGAGAGAGGAAGCTCGTGCCTTGAAGAAGCAAAAAGAGAAAGAGAAGAAGGAGCAGCTCCGCAAAGAGGGTAAATTATTGTCCAAGGCTCAAAAGGAAGCTCAGGCACGCAATGAGCTACGCATTCAGCAAATGCTGGCCGCCGGACAGAAGGTTGCTGGTCTGTCCGAGAGCGGCGAGAAAAAGAGACCGGTGTACGACGGCCGGAAAAAGAAGGGTCCCAAAAAGGCTGACGAAGGTTCCAACGAGGCTGCTGAAGCTGCCCGAAAGGCAGAGGAAGAGAAGAAGAAGAAGGCCGAGGAGGAAGAGCGTGCCAAAGCAGCCGCTCAGGCCGAAGCAGAGGCAAAGGCCAAGGCTGAGACCGCCGAGGAGACTGATGGCCTCGATGATTGGGAAGCCATGGCTGATGAGCAAGATGGCGTAAAAGACAGTTGGGATGCACCTTCAGAGGAAGACGAGGAGGAAAAGAAGCAAGTCAATGGCCAAGCGACTTCGACGCTTCCGATCAGAGGAGAGAAGAATGCGTCCGCAAAGGAGGTCGAAGAGTCCGAATCGGAATCCGAGTCCGAGTCTGAATCCGATGAGGGCGCTACGGCTGTGGAGCGTGCTGCAGCGCAACGGAAGCATGAGGCTGCTGAGCGCAGAAAGGTGAAGCACGAAGAAGCCCTCGCCGCTCGATCAAAGGATAATCTCCGATCACCCATTTGCTGTATCTTGGGTCACGTCGACACAGGAAAGACTAAGCTTCTTGACAAGATTCGTCAGACAAACGTCCAAGAAGGCGAAGCAGGTGGTATTACGCAGCAGATTGGTGCTACTTACTTCCCTGTCGATGCTCTGAAGCAGAAGACCCAGGTGGTCAATCAGGATGGCAGTTTCGAGTTCAAGGTCCCTGGTCTTTTGATCATTGATACTCCTGGCCACGAGTCTTTCACAAACCTTCGTTCTCGTGGATCGTCACTTTGCAACATTGCCATCTTGGTCGTTGATATCATGCACGGGCTTGAACCTCAGACTCTCGAATCTATGAGACTGCTGCGAGACAGAAAGACGCCTTTCATTGTCGCATTGAACAAGATTGACCGTTTGTACGGATGGAAGAAGATTGACAACAACGGGTTCCGCGAGAGTTTGGTCTTGCAGAACAAGGGCGTTCAAAATGAATTCCGGGATAGGTTGGAGAAGACCAAGCTTGCTTTTGCCGAACAGGTATGCATAATAACCCACTGAAAGGCTTTAGTACTCTGTTTTTGCATTTCAAAATACTAACTTTTGATTACTAGGGTTTTAACTCTGAACTCTTCTACGAAAACAAGTCAATGTCCCGCTATGTGTCCCTTGTTCCAACTTCCGCTCACACTGGTGAGGGTATTCCCGACATGATCAAGCTTCTGGTGTCCCTCACTCAAGAGCGTATGACGAGCAAGCTCATGTACCTTTCGGAAGTCGAGTGTACAGTTCTCGAAGTCAAGGTCATTGAGGGTCTCGGTACCACCATTGACGTTGTTTTGTCGAATGGTATCTTGCGAGAGGGTGATCGAGTAGTGTTGTGCGGTCTGAACGGACCTATAGCAACGAATATTCGAGCACTGCTGACACCAGCGCCGCTCAAGGAGTTGCGTGTCAAGTCTGCCTATGTGCACAACAAGGAAGTCAAGGCTTCATTGGGTGTCAAGATTTCTGCAAACGATCTTGAGCAGGCCATTGCTGGATCCCGACTGCTTGTTGTTGGACCTGATGATGACGAGGAGGACCTCGAGGAAGACGTCATGTCTGATTTGGAGAACTTGCTCGGAAAGGTGTCCAAGACCGGTCGTGGTGTCAGTGTGCAGGCATCCACCCTTGGCTCGCTTGAAGCTTTACTTGAGTTCTTGCGCGTCTCGAAGATTCCAGTCGCCAACATCTCCATTGGCCCAGTCTACAAGCGTGATGTCATGCAGTGCGGTGCCATGCTTGAAAAAGCAAAGGAGTATGCAGTAATGCTCTGCTTCGATGTCCGTGTCGACAAGGAAGCTCAGGCCTACGCCGACGAGGCTGGCGTTAAAATCTTCACCGCCGACATCATTTACCACCTCTTTGACGACTTCACCCAGCACATGGCCCAGCTTGCTGAGCAGCGTAAGGAGGAGAGCAAGATGAGCGCCGTCTTCCCTTGCGTCCTCTCCCCCGTCGCTGTCTTCAACAAGAAGGATCCCATCGTCATTGGTGTTGACGTTATTGAGGGAAGCTTGCGCCTCCTTACCCCCATCTGCGCCGTCAAGACCAACCCTGTCACTGGCGTGCGTGAAGTCATTAATTTGGGCAGAGTGTAAGTAGCTTTAGAACCCTTCATCTTGATTTCCCTTCACTTTCTTTACTTTTTTTCTCTTTGTTGTCCCACTGAAGTGCCAACCGGGCCTTTACCCATTTCATTATTGCGACGACCGCTAATCATATCCTCTCTGATAGGCAATCCATTGAGCGCGAACACAAGCAAATCCCCATTTGCAAAAAGGGCCAGCCCTCTGTCGCCGTCAAGATTGAAAGCTCCAACCAGCCCGGTTACGGCCGCCAACTTGAAGAAAAGGACACGCTGTACTCGCTCATCTCCAGAGAGTCTATTGACACGCTCAAGGAATTCTTCCGTAGCGACGTCACTACGGATGAGTGGCTCTTGATCAAGAAGATGAAGCCCATGTTTGACATTCAGTAAAAAAAATTTTTTGTTCTTTGTCTTTTTTTCTCTTCTTTTTAACCCTCTCTCTCTCTCTTCTCTTCACCCTTTTCTTTCTTCTCTTTTCTTTCTTTAAAATAGTTTGTGTGTTATGTGTATGTGTATGTACGTGTCTATGCGTGTCACGCATGTGTTTTTCACAAAATCTAGACTGCATAAAAAGTACAATTTGATGAAAATTTTTATTTTATAATTGGGTATCCACTTGCTCTCTTCCCAGCAAACTTCTCTTCTCTTTCTGCACTCCGCCATCCTCTTCACGCTCTTCCCTCCACCGTCTTCATCTATACGCTCACTAGGTACGTTGAGTTGAGTATCGTATGTGACTATTGTATTGTATCGTTCGTCTCATATCGTATCGTACCGGTATTCTATCGTGAGTATAATGTAGCAGTAGAGTACATACACAGTGCATGACGTATACCCATTTCACTTCTAACGTCTAATGAGCATCTCGGGAACGTCCAACAAATATATTATATACATGCCGTCGAGTTCGAGGGCAGTCCGAAAACACAAAAACACGAAACACAAAAAGGACAAGAAAAAGAAGGAGAAGACGATGATGAGGAAGAGAAAGAAAGAATTAGAAAAGGAAGATTAACGCTTCTGCGCCGTTTCCAGCGGAATCGGCTTCATGACTCGCCGCGCAAGCAGGGGACTCTCGCTCCCGATACGGTCCCACTCATGCGCATCCAGACATGCCTGGCGAGAATACAGCACCGCGGTGCGGCCCCGGGACGCCATTTCCGTTTCGTAGGCTTTTATAGTCTCGTGGATGGCGGCGGTGTCGACGTCTGATGGCGCCCGCGACGAGGATGGAGAAACCCCATTCGTGGTGGCGGTGGCGGTGGCGGTGGAGTTGGAGGTGTGATGGGTGTTGGGAGTAGTAGGGAGAGTAAAAGTCCGTGGAGAGTGTTCTTTGAGAGCCGTAAGGAGGTGCATAATGTCGGCAATGGCGTGGTTGGCGGCCTCGCCTCGGTCTGTATAAGGTAAAAACAAAGGCAGATGAGCAATGTGTAAAGATAAAGAGTGGGGATTGTGAAAAGGCGGGGAACGAGCATGGGAAGGTAAAGATAATAAAATAAGAAATCATGATGATAATGAAGATAACTATGTGATAATAGTGTAATAGTGATAATGATGATAATAACAAAAAATACTCACACATGGTCATTGGATGGGCAGCATCGCCAATGAGCGTGACGCGTCCCTTGCCCTGGTCGATTGCAGGCAGGATCCAATCCTGCAGATTGACAATGGCTGGCTCAGTGTCATCTGGCAGATCCTGGATGATTGACCGGAACGGTTCCTTCCACGGATCCACAAGTTTCTTAATCAGCGCCAGACGCTCTGATGGGTCCTTGGGCACTTCGAGGGGGTCAGGGAAGCCGTAGAAGCCGGGACGGAAGGGCCAGGAGACCATTATCTGGCATATATACTCGTCTGTGCCATTCTGAGCGTCTGAAGGCGTTTCGAGGACTGTTTGGGACGAGATGTAAGTTAGCTCTCAGGCATGGCTTATGACTGAGGAAATAGAGAGGCATTGAAGCAGCAGGATAAATCGTCAAGCAAGGTGTAAACGTACAGCTGAACCAGAGATAAAAATCTGTCCGGGGATCACTGCCAGAGAGAAAATACGGATCCAACGCCATGATGTCTTTGACTTTTGCCTCGGGATATTTCACTTTAATACCCAACATGCGGATCGGAAGCATGTAGTTGGTGTAGTCTGTGGGATATATGTTTTGGCGTACTCGAGATCGTGATCCGTCGCAGCCCACGAGCATACTGCCTTTGTAGCTCGTTCCATCATCGAAGCTGGCCGTTACGGAATCAGGTCCGATGTTGATGTCGGCCAGTTTCTTTGACCACTGTAAATGTAACTGTTAATTATTGGCAATTCCTTATAGTGTAAAGGCCTGGGATGAAGTGAAACAATGTGACATGAGACCATCAACGGCACGAGGACAGCATCCTTCGCCTTGATTTGTATGGTTTAAAAGCGATGAAAGTATTCTAACAAAAGAACATGCTTAAACGGCACTTGAGTAGCAAATTGGAGACAAAACGGGTTGGTGTTGGGCTATTTCTTTCAAATTACAGCACGAGTATGCGCCATGAGCGCTTCCTTGCTGATATTGAGCAACTTGCTGGAACTGGGCATACGGAGAACCCAACGCAATGAAATGTCAAAGGAAGGCAACGCAAATTTGCAGATTTGGATGGTTTAAACTAGACCGAAACATATGAAGAGAGACGATCATTTTTGTATAAAACATGTCTTCAAAGCAAAAAAATACATACCTTCACATCCACTCCATCCATGAGCACCTTTCGCAGCTTTTCTCTGCTTACCCGAATCCTCTTATTTGGCGGGACCCGGCATTTTTCTTCGCCATTGCTGAGATCGAAAAACATAAAGTTGCCATTTTCGCCCCTCTCGACGGCTGCCCGATTGACATACGTCTCTGGCAAGCGATCGACTACTTGTTGTGGCAGGAGTTCGTAAAAGTCCTGGAGTGCCCAGTGGATAGTGAGACCCCACCCTGTCCCGCGCGACTCGGGCGACGCATCACGCTCAAATATCTCAAAGGGAATATTGTTCTTGCGCAGAGCCTGGGCGAGAGTCAAACCGCTGATGCCTGCTCCGATGATAAGGATAGGAGCAATTGAGCTTGGCGCTGTCATTTTTGTGGTATGGTAATGTTTGTAAGCTGTGCTCTCTTGCTTAATGGTTAAAATTGTCTGCTATGTGGTCAAACTCGCAATTTCAGGCCCAGCAAATTGACACCCCAAATAAACAATGAGGGAAAAAAATTTGAAGCAAGATAGGAGGTTTGAACCTGTATAAACTGACGGTTTGATACAATCAGAAGTGTGGTGGGGTAATCAGAGGGACAACACCCAGTACTGTCGTCACCGCAAACGGCCTAGGTGTTGATTGAACATGGCGTGGCATGACTGGCACGCGGATGAGAGAGAGACCTCAGACTATCATGGCAAAAAAAAAAAAAAAACTGCCAGAAGCCTCCACGAGAAATGGTAGGGGTTCAGAGTCTCAGGGGCAATGGACCATCATCGGAAGCTTCTCGATGCCCCTCACTCAAGGGTGGAATTGACCGGGGTGTCGCATTTTAGCGGTTTTCTGCCCGCCCACCTGCTTTGCCTAGTAAAGTCATAGCTGAATTTTGGTCCCCTGGTTGCATTTTCAGGGATCGGTGCAAAAAAGTATACCAATGTGGACCCATTTCCCTGTTAAACCTGGCTCCGTAAGGGGAAAAATGGGCACGGCACGGCACACCACACGCCCTTTTGCCCTCCTGGTCATTACGATGGTTTCCCTGTCTAGTATTGCTCCGCCAGTTCTCCTCAAATTTCGTCCTTTAATTTTTTGGGAGGGTCTGAAAGAGGGTCTCATTTATGTGAATATGAATCCAATGCCATCAATTTACGCTATTCTATTGTCTGTAGTGCAGATTGAATGTAAGATATATCAATGTGATAAAGACTCGCAAACCATCAAATTACCTCCCAAATAGCCCGCTTTTCCATTAAAAATACATAATGTTACATGACACCTAATACTCGTATCTGAAGCTCTTATTCTCCTTGTCCGTCTTTCCGTCCCAAGCTTCCTGAATGGAAGTGTCTTTTTGGGTCTCGGACAAAGTCAGAGAGGCGCGGCTCTTGTTTGCCCAGATGTAGTAGAAGAAGAGCAAGATGGTCAAAAACATTGCAGCCGCTTGTGTTGCAATCAATGCAATCTTTGCCGGTTTGTACTGCGGCGCATCCTTGGCCTGGAACGTCTGAGGGCCAATAATGTTGCCCACAGAGAATGAAGCGGATATGATGGCGCTAGCAAAGGCACGCTTGGTCTGGCCTGCGCAATTCGCCGCAATCCATTGATAGATGATAGGTAAAGGCGCGACAATAGCATTCACTAGGTAATTTCCTGCTAGAAGTCCACCTCGGTGGCCATGCGGTAGGAAGGACATTAGAGCGCCGCCAATGATGGCCGGGATGCTGCAAAAGGCGATCCAAGCCCATCGGTGGCCTGTAATACGGACACCAAAGCCAACCAGCAAGGTGAAGAATATGCTGACAGCGCCAGAAGGCATGTTGAGAAGAGCTGAATGGGTTGGGCTGTAGCCAAAGCTTCGAATGAGCGTGGCTGAATAGCTGGTAATCACTCCACTGGAAACCGATTGCTGCGCGAACGCCTTGTAAGCATGCTTGTGTTTGGAATTTTTAGCGGGGATATTCGCTCACCAAGATTACGATAAATGCCAAGAACCATAACTGGACATCGATCAAGGACTCAAAAATCTGTTTGAAGTTGAATTGCTTGTTGTCGATGCCGGTCTTGTTAACTTTGACGTGCTCCAGCAAAACAACCTTTTCCGACTCCGAAAGGAAGTAAGCCTTCATTGGCGTATCCGGCACGCCGAAGAAAGTGCCAACCCCAATAAGAGAAGAAACGACACCGAGAACAATAAACAGTATCCTCCATCCCTCCAATGATCCATGTTTGACGTGCTGGAAAGCGTAGGAGAGCAAACCTCCGAAGATCTGGCCCAAGCCCAGACCAACGTACCAAAACGCAAAACGAGATGCCTGCTCCTTCTTTGTGTACCACTGACTGCTAAGCAGCATCAAAGACGGAGCAACAGCGCATTCAAATACGCCCGAGAGGATTCGAGTGGTGAGAAGACCGCCATAATTATGGACTGCTCCGGTGCAAGCGGTTGTAATACCCCAGCAGAAAACATTGAATCCAAGCCATTTCGCAGTGGGAAGTTTTTGCAGAAGGAAGACTGCCAGGTCGTCAGACAATTTAAAAAAAAAATTTTAATTAAACTGTTCCAAGGGAGAGCAATAATTACCGTTTGGCACTGCTGCGACCAAGCAAGCAATAAAGAATGCAGACGCCGCATTGGAAAAGTTGTTTCCCACCAATTTCGCGTCCTTTCTCAGGCCCATGACAGCAGCGTACTAAGTAACTTAATAAATCTTTCATTTCCAATGCCAAGGGACCAATGACTTACGTTGATAGCCACCTTGTCAATGAACTGCATAGTGTAACAGAGGCACATGAACGGAATGATCCGCCAGTCGATTTTCCGGCGCAACGCCTGCAAAAAAGCAGCATCTTGCGCAATCGCAATATCCGCCTTGCCCTCATGATCTCTGAGGTACGTTAAGGCCGAGTCGACGGCCTTTGGCGCTGCGGATGCAGTGGGACTCGACGAGCCACTCTCAGAGAGGGTGAGAGGAGCTTTGGATTCATATGTATTGGAGGCCATTCTGAGCGCTTAACTGATCGTCTCACTGCAGATCCAGACAGCTGCGGAACATCGACTGCGCGGCAATTGGGAGCGTTTAAAAAGTGTTCAAGTGGCACAGCACAACAACATTGGAAAAGGTCTGTGAAGGGCATTGCCATGAAGGTTGCCATTACACCATTCCATACCACGTTCTCTTGAACCCCTCCCCTGGTAGCCTGACTAAATCTGGTTGATCGAGCTTCATGATTGGAACTGCGTTAGAATTATCTTGCGTAAGGAAACTAATAGAAAATTCAGAATGTGAAACTTCAATCATATCATCTCGATGCTTGGCCGAACCTGCACGCTTGTGGCACGGCCCCCTTGTTCATCATGGCTTAGAATCGCTTGTCGACCATGTCCACTGGATCCGTTCTTTTGTCCGTGACTTTGCCGGCTCCCCTCTTTAGCGGGGTGGATGTCCGAGGGGTCGACGGGCCGACAACCCTAAAGTCCGCCGGTGTGGTGTAGCTCGACCGGGAGGCCCGGGACCACAGCAGTCGGCAAGGAGGGAAAAAGAGCTTTGAGGAGGGCCGTTTAACTGTCAAGAAGTCTGTGAACCCTGGGCTCAGGCGTCGGTGGTAAAGCTGTGGCGCCTAGTTTAGTTTCGAAAATCAGTCTACCTCCCTCCTGTGGTTAGACCCTCGTTCAACCTCGAGCAGGGGCCATAAGAGTATCCACGGGTCGGAGCGAAGGAGGCGTCGTCCCACACCGGGCGGGAGAGCCGTAGCGTGGTGGTTTGACGGCGAATACCCGTTGACCATCTTGCCATCACTATCTTGTATATTATTGGGCTTCGTCTCGCTCTCTGAAGCCAATGGTCCAGCACCATTGATAGCGGCTGGCCCATAGCGGAGAATTGACCCGTAATTTATTGTTCTTAGTCAAAGCATCTTCAAATTAATTCCTTCGCGATTATTGAAATGTTCGCGTAAATTTTAAAATCAAGACATACTAATCGATCCAACTAAAGCTCCTGAGCGTTAGCTTGAACTTTACCTGGTGAGAAATTCAAATATTTCTGGTAGTCTCGCCTTTCAAAACCGTGCTGGGCATAGCGATCGCTTGCAGGTCAACCTTCTTGATTCGGGCCGTGATGCTACAGTCGCAAGCAAGGAGCTAAGAGAGTAACCTGCTGGATCCATCTGAGTCAATGAAGTCTTGTGGATAGAACACCAAAGTAAGGTAGGAAATGTACACTTGCATTGGCCCAGCCAACCCGTTCAAGACGGACCAACTGCCTCTTTCTTCTCAACCCCTGCTGGCTTGTAACTGTACTATACTCACTTTTCTTTGTCGAGGGCTGTTTGAACGATGATATTCTGTAGAATCACGCCATGTGCTCGGAGCCTCGATCTCCATTCTGTTCGTCATCTTTCTTCCGTCTCTCTCCTGCAATATTGTTTTAATGGATATAGGAGGATTTCACTCGTGCAATTCTCCGGCCCCCACTCGATCGGATCATGTACGAGTACTCTGTACCATCAATGCAACTAAAGAAGACGGCTAACTAGGTAACCGCTAAGTGACTTACCTACCTTACAGGAAGCTCTCAACGACGCGTCTTCTTTCCCCTGCCGGGCCCGCCTTGCTGCTTGCCCATCCCGATTCATTTTGCCCCAATTGGAAATGTTTTAGTCAATCTTTTGATGGGTCTTTTTTTGTGGATAGATCAAAGCGCTGCACACACACAGCTCCTGGATTTTCGTCGCCCGTGCCGATGATGAAGGCCACAATATCCTCCAACCCAGAGACTTACCGAACTCCGTAATGGATTTGTACTTGTCCGATCCAGGTCACTGTCCAACCAATGGCAGAGACTTAGAGTGGGGTGGAACTTCCAGAGCACAGATCACAGTCAGCCATGATAATAGACGCGGGTTGGTCCGTTTTAGGTGAGCTTCGTCGGAGAGTGGCTGGAATTCCCATAGCCATCTCTTTGCTCTCGTTATGATTTGTAGCTCTAGCTTCCGAAGAGACTTGTTTTGCGTTATAGCGGCCAATGAGACGAGGATAGGGACGTTATCTGGCGTGCCACCAAGCATTTTCTGAGACTTTGTGATTATGAAGCACCACGATCGCGCTAATTTGGAATGCCCTGCAGAGCACGAACATATTCGCATGGGAGGTCTGTGTATATTTGCACGACGATACATCTGAATCATCCAAATCAGGGACCCTGACCGGATCCCATTTTGTAGACGTCCATTGAGGGCATGCTCTGGCTTCTAGGGCGAGTTCGTTGTTTTATGTGGCAGCCATGATGAAGCTCTCCGTTGCAATGGACGGTGTTGCTGTGCCGCACGTTGCATGGGCTATTCGGAGGGGAGCAATATCTTTCAGGTCATTTGTGCTACGTACTCGTCTCTCGCATCACGCCGAAATGAAGGTCCACTAAGCTACGCTCTCATGCTGTGAAAAAGTGAAGCGAGTGGTTGGCTCAAGGAGCAGCCCATGGTCAGAGGGCTTCGATCGTCTAAAGAAGTGTGAGATCAGCATGAGCCGACATATTTCTCGGGCCGCAGGATGGCGTCCCAACCGCAGCGTAAAAAGAAAATGTGCATGCTCGCAGCAGCGCTCGTCCACCCCTGACAGGAAAATGCCCCAAGAGCCCACCCGCTGGGATAAGCAAGCATTAATCCCTCGGGCTTGTCCGCCATGTCCCATGCAAGTGTGGAGACTGGGGTTGGTCATATACGTTATTCAATGCTGCGTGAACAATACACAAATAGTGAGCAGAGCTCACGTCAAGGACCTTCTGAATCTTTGCGACCTTGATCGGTCCATGAGGCATCTTTAGATGTCACCATGGTTTGGGTGTACGGAGCCTCGCCCGAGCTCAATGCTCAGTCGAGGTATCCGGCCATTGTGGCCGTGTCGGTCGTACTGACTTTGGTCATGATGTCTGTAGTAGGACTGCGTTTTCACGCGCGGATTGGCAACATTGGACCGGATGACTGGGTGATTTCTGTGGCAATGGTATGGTAGACATGAGGCCAGAAAGAGATATGAAATGCGCGATAACGACATCTTCCACCAGAAGCGTGCTAATATATTGCGTTCAACAGACCTTCAGCGTAGTGTATAATATTCTCTGCATTGTCCGTGAGTCTCAACGCAACGAAGGAATGAGCGCTACAAGCTTTTGCTAATCCAGCTTCCCAGAAACAAGATATGGATTGGGCCTTCCACTGGCTCTGCGACCTAAAAGTAATCTATCGACATACTCAAAGGTACGATATGTATTCTAGTTTGAAGCCAAGTCAAACAACACAAAACACTAACCTCAGGTGTAGGTTAATTTTGCCGGTAGACCATTTTATCAGACCGGCATTGCGCTCTTTAAACTCTCCCTTTGCATCAGTTACCTGCGTCTGACGAGGCGGGCTCATAAAAGATATTATCAGATCTTGATCTGGGTAGTTGCCTTCATTTCAACGGCAGGTCACTTGGCTGGCACATTTGTTCTCATCTTCAACTGCAATCCTGTAAGCTCTCCCCGGTCATTTTCCTTGGCATACAATGCAAATAATACTCACATTGCATAGGTCCATAAGTCCTGGGCGCCAAAGACGCCCGGAAAGTGCTTACCGTTTGGACCTACCAACTATGGTCTTGCCGGCTTCTCCATTGCTTGTGATGTCATCATCTTCATCCTCCCCATCCCGCTTTTCCTAAATTTGTCACTCAATCGCTGGGCCAAAGCCGCGCTGTGTGGTGTATTCTCCCTTGGTCTTTTGACTACAGTCTGCTCGATCCTACGGCTCTTGCAAATCCATAACATTGCATATGGAAATGGCGATTCCACCATGCTTGTGACATGGGGGACTGTCGAATTTAATGTTGGCGTAGGTCTATGACTTTGATTCTATTCTTCATCGACACTACCAGAGCGCTAACGAAAAACCTCCGATCAGATAATTGTGAGCTCGCTACCATTCTTGAAAAATCTTATCAAAGCTCTTCGGGTTCCCAGTTTGAAGCGGCTTTACGAATCCCGCAACCACAACAAGCAGCAGGATTATTCGCTACACAGCTTCGGACACAGCGGCACAATAGAAGGGAGCAAAGCAAGCAGAAACCGGAGCGATAGTGAAGAGAACATCCTATTTCCTGAGGCTCTGGCGGAAGGAGGAATCCGCAAAACGACGGAATACCATGTTTCCACTTCAAGCAGCCATGGAGCCAACAGTCTTTGAGCGAAATTTTTGCTTAGATCCAATTTCGGTAACCGTCCTTGTTCGATAGACTACCCGTGAGAAGGTAAATAGATCAATGGCTAGCAGGCACACGCTCTTTATTGTTTTTCTTCAAATTATCCCACCCTGCTGAGCCCGCCCCTGCTTTCTCTTTCTCTTAAAATGTATATATATTTGGATAGATCCATGTCACTATCGACAATAACATGTTAATCACAGAGTAGCATAATTTAGAAATACCATCTCTTATGTTTATGAATGTCATTTCCAACAAAGCTTGGATTTGTGTATGCGCGTTTTAATTCGGACACGTGCCGAATACGGCAGTCGACCAATACCGTACTAGCAAGACTTGGGGTCCGCGAAAGGATCGGGTATGGCAACTTCACTAATTTGCTTCTGCCCGAGCCTCAATCGACCACCGCTCATCACCCTTTGCTACTCTCCCCTCTTTCACTTTGTCCTTTCCTCTCATCGGCCTGTGCGAGATCGGCGCCATTGAGGTTCTTCGCGATGCTATCTTCACGCTCTTTTGCCGCTCCGGCTCGTCAATGCCTGCGCCAGGCCCGCGCCTCTCCTCGATGGGTCCCAGCTACTGTGCAGGTAAATGCTGCCCATCGATATCTGAAGCCATTGAGACTTGTAGACTAATTGAATCAATTTGCAATTGTCATAGATCTCTGCCAGATTCTATAGCGCCATCCCAGCGAAGGATAAGGTCGCCAAGTTCAATGGCACCAAGAACAAGGATGTGAGCTCGAACCTACCCCCCTGTCGTCAATACAGAGTTTTGAAAGCCATTGGCAATGAACGAATGCATTAATTGGGAAGCTGGGTCAAAAACTTATAATGAATCAATCTTTTAAAATGTACACTGTCGCATTCGGACGCCAATGGCTTTCGACATTCCTTTCTCGAAGAAAAACAGTGAGATTGTCAGTGGGCAAGGCTAACAGCAAACGCACAGGGCAACTACACTGTCACTCTGATCGAGGGTGACGGTATCGGACCTGAAATCGCTCAGTCCGTCAAGGACATCTTTTCCGCCGCCAAGGCAAGTCGTCGTCAATTGCACGTCAATACGACTTATAGGCTAACCGACTGGACAGGTGCCCATTGTGTGGGAGCCCGTCGATGTTACCCCGCAGCTCAAGGACGGCAAGACCGTCATTCCCGATGCTGCCATTGACAGTGTCAAGAAGAACTATGTCGCCCTCAAGGGTCCTCTTGCTGTATGTTTACTACCCTCAGACTGTTCTGGAAAACTCAAGGAAGTGCCATGGATAGGAACTAATGGAACCTTTTGTTAAAACCTACAGACCCCTGTTGGCAAGGGTCACGTCTCTCTCAACTTGACTCTCCGTCGTACCTTCAACCTTTTCGCCAACGTCCGACCTTGCCGCTCCATTGCCGGCTACAAGACCCCCTACGACAACGTCGACACCCACCTCATCCGAGAGAACACTGAGGGTGAATACTCTGGCATTGAGCACGTCGTCGTTGACGGTGTCGTGCAGAGCATCAAGCTCATCACCAAGGCCGCTTCCGAGCGTGTCCTCCGCTTTGCCTTCCAGTACGCTGAGGAGATTGGCAAGAACAAGGTCCGCGCCGTGCACAAGGCCACCATTATGAAGATGTCCGACGGTCTCTTCCTCGGCACCGCCCGCGAAGTCAGCAAGGAATTCCCCAACGTCGAGTTCGACGCTGAGCTGCTCGACAATACCTGCTTGAAGATGGTCACCGACCCTCTTCCTTACAACGACAAGGTCCTTGTCATGCCCAACCTCTACGGTGACATTCTTTCCGACATGTGCGCCGGTCTGATTGGTGGTCTCGGTCTGACCCCCTCCGGTAACATTGGTGACGAGTGCTCCATCTTCGAGGCCGTTCACGGTTCCGCCCCCGACATTGCTGGCAAGGGTCTCGCCAACCCCACTGCCCTGCTTCTCAGCAGTATCATGATGCTTCGTCACATGGGTCTCTTTGACCACGCTCTCAAGGTTGAGAAGGCCATCTTTGACACCCTCGCTGATGGCAAGGTA